CACCTAGTTAATACCTCACATTCAGAGGAATTTGAGACTGAAATTAAACAGTGCTTTGGTTGTTTTCTTTATGAATTGTGGTGCCTCAGAAGTGATTTCCAACATTCTCCCGCTGTGGATACAAACTGCAGGCAAGGATTGGTAGTAGCTGGCAAGATCATTCACCATTCCTCAGTGAAAAGCAGTCAAAGAATCCCAGCTTCCCCCAGCAATCAGAAAAACATAGTCCTGTTGCTCTAATATTAGGTTCTCACACCAAATAGCAGTCAGTGATATTTCTGCCCAAAAGCTAGCAAAGAAGCACTCATCTCCCCTCCTCCCTTTTAAACAGAACGTATGCAATTCATTGGATTATTCATGCCTTATCTTTACTTTGGCAAGCCAGCCTCCACGACTCTGGTTGTTATGTCTGCAATAAATAATAAAGTGCCAAATAATTTTAGCACAGGAAGGTGCAATATATGAAATAGCCTCAAGTCTGTAAAGTTGCAAAGATATGCAGACTCTTGGAAACTAATTATTGTAGAAAAAACAGTACTTATGTGTTCCAATTCAAAAATGTGAAAGTTGCACTCAAAATGATTATTACAGGCCATTTTTCTGGGGCTGAAATGTTGGTGCAGTTCTGCTCAGTTTCATGAATGACCGGCCTTCTATTGTTCCGAGGGAAAAGACCTATTGTTCCACCTCCACACTGCCTCCTGTGCTCTGCAATGACAGGTGGCAACATTTGAAAGCATTCAATCCCAACTCCTGCATCATACTTTTCAACCGAGCTGCCAAGCGGCACTTTCATCTGATTTCCTGTTGGAACAGGGCAATTAAAGACAGCACCGGTTCCTTCCACTTATAGATCAGGCGGCCGCTATTACCTGATATGGGGATGGCGACATGCCAGTCTTCACATGCCAGGATATATACACCCACTTTATAACTTACGCTATTCTTGCGCTTTCTTGCGATAAGCTACACCTGCACTGCATAAGAAATTAACTTCTCGTCCTGCAGTTACCGGTATATAGATGTTTACCCAGAAATGCAACAATGCTCAACTCAGCTTACACCCAGGTAAATGTAAACAGGATTACAACTTTAAAGGTTAGTATTTTATTTTAGTTAATTATCTTTATTACTTTAATGGTGTTTACTTTTTCAATATTTAATACTTCACTTTTCTAATTAGGACCCTCAAAGTAGATTAGACTATCCCAATTTCAAGTTTTTTTCAAGTTTATTGCGGCCAAAGCCAGTGACACTAAACATCCCAAGATCAGACAACAAGAAATCAGCAACAACTTCAGAAAAGAAAAAAGGTTACACAAGGGAACTTCGCAGTGTGCCATTCGACAGAAGAGATTTACGTTTCTTAATTACTAAAGTGCAAAATTTAGCCACCTCATATGATACTGAGCTTGAGGAATCTTCCAGGAGGTATTTTCGAAGAATTTCAGGGGAGGATTCCAAATAATATTGAAGGGGTATAAATTTTGATAGAAGCGGTAAAATAAGTTGAGCTCGTTCTTCACTATAGAATTCGCAAGATAGAAGAATGTGTGTGACAGATTCTACCTTATTAGACATACAAGGGCAGAGACGCGCATGCATTGGAACCCGCGTGAATTTGCCGTACAGCACTGCTGAGGGCATTGTCTCAAAGCGGGCTCTAGAGAAAGCCCATCTATAGGCTTCGCTAGTGATGTTGGTTAAGTAAGGGGCAGCTGTAAAATTAGGCCAAGCTTTTAAACATCTATACGTCTCTGGGAGTAGGGCGCCTTCTTGTTGTAATTCGATATCATAAAGTCTCCGAGTAATAGTAGCTTTTGCCTTGTTCAGAGTTCCAATAAAAATATTTTCAGGGTTTAGGCCAATTTGTTTGATCTTGTTAGTTATTTGCATAAGCCAAGGAGGATAGGGAACTGCGGCCAGGAAGCAAGGTAATAGACCCTTAGGATTGTAATGGATTTTCAACCAGAGGGATATCTATCTATCCCAATTAATAAGCCTTCTTCCTGCCCAAACTAGGCATTGAAATATGAGCAAAGCTTTACATAATAAAAAAGATGTGCTGAATTAATGTCTTCGTTCTTCTCCTCCTCCAACTGAATTGTACTGAAATTGTATTTATCTTACTACTTTATGCTTCCTGTAAGGCCCCTGCTAATTTTGTTACAATAAAAACGCAATCCAATGCTTTGTTTAATACCATCAGCCACAGAATGTTTTATTCCAAGCCTGATCATGCTGTCTATTACAAACATGTGTAAGAAACAGTTTGCACGCCAGATCTGCCACTTTTTTGCTCACCTCTATTTTTCCAAATAAGGGACGTAAAACACACTTAGCATTTCACTTGCATGATTGATATACAAAATGGCAACCATTTAAAACATACCTGTTTTGATTGTGAGGTACTTTTCATATTTGCAAGTCCTCATTTCTAGGTTTTCTCATGCTGTCCGAATTAGTGCAACAATCTAGCATACTGCTAGTTGCTGAGGTATAGTGTAGTTACAATCAAACTTCTCTGCAGTCAAATTGCCGCTCCTCTTTAACAAGATCATAGTCAACATTTAAGTGTCTAAAAACATTTTAATTCTTAAAACAACTTTTTAATTGAAAGGGGGGGAGAGTGGCAGACTGTGGAAACAGAGTCATTCTTTACCCCTACACAACTCAAACTGTTCCTTTTTTTATTAAAATGTATTTGTGCAAAATTTAGTTCTGTGCAGGCCTGTACCGTACTGGGGGGGGGGGGGGGGAATATAAAACAGGCAATTCCTAAACAACAATCCCAACATCAGACAACAGAGAGGAAGAATAATAGATCACAGAACCTAAGTTTTGTACATTATGAACTAGACATAGCATGTTCTTAAAGCTCCAGTAATACATTCCTTGGGGGGTGAAAAACCCAACAATAACAGAATGCACTTTGGTCATTATTAACATTATTAAAACATTAGTACAGAAACAAATAAAATATAAAATGTTTGTGTTGCTTTATATATAAAAACACCTTATACCACACAAGTATATATTGCAATAATTCTGGAATTGGGAGTTTTGGAAGGTTTCATTATTATTTTCTTCAGATTAGCTACATTATTTTCTATTGTTTATACATTCCAATAGACGTTTTTTTGAAAAAATAAGCACAATGAACACAATATCCAGTTCAGAATATTATATGTATGTTCAACATGATAGCATTGTCCCTTTTGACATAATGTTTTGAATCACACTTCGCAGCTCAAATTGACAGCTCTATAAAATTTTCAGCTAAGCCTTATTGAAAAGTAAATGGAGAGACTGTCAACATAGTGAACCAATAGCTCTACAGATGCCCTTACCTGTGTGCTCCAATACATACACTGAGCATGGGGATTATTCATCCACTTAAGGGAGAGGCTGCTTGGTGTAAATCTATATATATTTGTGCGTGTAAAGTTGGCCACTCCACTGAAGAGAATGGGACAATCCCAGAGGCAGCACTTTGCTAGATCACAGTGGCTCGGTTACAGGTGTCATCAGTGTTCAAACTGAGCACTTCCACTTCCTAATTTAAAATTAGCTACTTGCTGCTAAAGAGAACACCAGCTAATGTTATCTGTAAAGTGCAGTCCTAGTGATGTCAGTGGGGCTTATTCCTTGGCGGGGGGGGTATACAGAATTGCAGCCTACGTCTTTTGGAAATTTACTAAAAAAGAGAGATGACATGGTCATGATCTGGCATCAGTCCTAAAAGCATCCCGCTGAAATCACTGCAGGCTGCACACTTACCTGGAAGTAAACCCAATGAACATTCCAACTTACTTCTGAGTAAACAGCAAGCTAAGCCAGAGTGTTTAAGTTCAGTGGGATTTACTCCAAAGCACATATGGATAAAATTATAGCCCAATTTTGCAATTCAAGAGGATTAAATTGAATAATCAGTGCTCACTTCTAAACAGGATTAAGACTGAGTTCTGAAAATTACGATTTCAAAAGTTGCTTATCTTACAATTTTTTATATTCCCTGTGTGGTATAAGTCACATATACTACAGTGTACTATGGGAGAGCATTCCTACATAATATCTTGCAAATGTAACACTATTGCACCATAGTCCACCATAATATATTCTATTTAGTATATATAAAGATCACTATTTAAGTAACAATAAAAGTGCACATATTGAGCGGCACAGTCAGAACTGTGCAAACAGCCCAGTGTCTCAAATAAATACTATAGCTAATTTTTATCAAAATATCTTACAGCACAGTAACAGTTTACAGTTATTGCTCCAATAAAAATGTTATCAAAGAGCACTTGTTGACCTGCTATGTAATACCTTAGTAATCTTCAACAATGCTTAAAACTTCAGATCAATATATTTAGGATCCTGGAATCACTTCAGTAAGAAACGTGCTGGCTCTAGCATTTATATATATATCTATATAAAAATGTAGTTAACCTGGCCTACTGCATTGTAATTACAGTAAATGTCACTTTCTACTGTAACCAACAATATGCTGGTGCTCTGATACTACCCCTGAAAGGAAGGTACAAAATAAAATGTTTAAAACATTTTATAGTACATGTTCAATAAAGTGACTTCAGCATGACATTGATGTAACAAGAAATTCTGAAGTATAAAAGCCTAGCATTAGGGCTTCACCTTTCACAACAGATGAAGCATATTTGAGCAATTTAGTGTGACCAATTGCCAGGATCTCAAGTATCTGGATATCCATTTTTTACCCTCTCAATAACCAAAGCATATTAATGTTTCAAAATGAAATACAATGTCAGCTAAAATAAAATTTACAAAAATGAAAAGGTAAAATAAATATTAAGATTGCACAAGACAGTCAGATGTAAACACTTCAACTTTGCAAATGATAATCCATGTAGAGATCGAAACTTCTGAAATAAAGAATCAGCAACTGCTTTGAGGCAGCTTAGTCGATCAGTTCTCTTCTCCAGAGGATTGTGTCCATTTTCCTTTTTTGGAAAAAAATGTCAGGATTTGATCTTCCAGAGCTGAAGATTAAAGCAGCAGAAAACATATTTAGAAATAAGATCAACTGCAGGTTTTGGTTTTATGCTGTGCTTAGCTTGTCAATAAGATTGTGTGTGTGTGTGTGTGTGTGTGTGTGTGTGTGTTTATTATGTTTATATACTAGCTTTTCCTCCAAGGAACACAAGGGTGTGTGCACGATTCACCTCTCCCCCAATTTGAATTTCACAACAACCCTGTGAGGTAGGTTAGGCTGTGAGACAGTGACTGGTTCAAGGTCACCCAGTGTGGATTCAACCTCTGGTCTTCCAAGTCCTAGTCCAATACTCTAAACACCTACACCCACACTGGCTCTCAGTATTTAAGCGATCTGCTAACATGTGGAAGAAAGCTACAGCTAAAAAATGTCAAAAGGTAATCAACCACAAAATACGGTATATCTGACACACACACACACACAGACACACACACACACAGCTATCTTATATTGAGTCAGAGCATTGATCATCTACCCTACTATTGCCTACTATGATTGGTAGTAGCTCTCTGTGTAAGGCAACCTTTTAGGCTCTGTGCATCAGATCCTTACCACCATCTGCACTGCAAGTCAAATTTGACACAAATGATGTCATGCTTTGAAGTCTCAAAGCCAGGGCTTCAAAGCTCAATCTTAGCACAGCTAATGTGGGGGATTGTCAGCTTTCTCATATACCAGAATCACCTTTCACCATCCCCGAAGCAAGGCAAGTGGGGCAAAGCAGAGGTTGAAAAGGAGAGCAGGGGGCTGATGGGAGGGAGAAACCAGCTCTTTTGCCCACTGCTGCTCTTGAAGCACACATCGCCAAAGCAAGTTGCCTTCTCCTTCCCTCAAGAACTGGGGGGAGGGAGAACAGGGGTTCTCCACACCTGGTCTAGGTCCTTAAGCTGGTCTTTCCCATCTGTGCTATCCATTTCCTTTCAAGGAAGATCACCTACCTAAAAAGCATGTGCTCTGCCACTGATGAATGCTCCTTCCCTCAACTGTACACAATAGTATGCCATTGTAGAAAAATCTGAAGCAACTCATGTCATTATGAACATGGAATGCTCTATTGTAGAGGGTTTTTGATGGGTTGCCCCAAGGAAAGATTACATTTAATTTTAAAAAAAAAACAAAATTGAAAATAGGCTGATGCAATGATTCCACAAACCAGCAGAAACAATGACATTTGCTCTTTTTAGCAATTGCTATTTTAGTTAAGTCACCATTAAAACACTGCACTGTGTGGCTTCATTTTAATATGCCTTGAGCTGCAAATAAATATTCATTGTGCAGTGTACTTAGCAGTGAACCAATGAAGTACCCCAAATCATGATGTCATAACAGTATTCCAGAATAATTATTCTGGTTTTCAGGCAAATACACGAATGCAAATATTTAAGAAATTCCCAAAACGTGTAATATGTTTGCCTGTTTTATATAACACAACTGACTCAAAGAGAAAACCAGTACTTTTGATAGGAATGAATCAATTACATTAAACAATGGATTTCTTTTTTTAAAAAAACACCAGCCAAAATTACTAATTAAGGCAGAAATAGGGGAAAACATTTAATACCTTTAGATTAAATCCAAGCAAGTCACTAATAACACCAGAAACAGCAGACAGAATGACAACTTGAGTGATGTTATAAAGCAGAGGATTCATTGTCAATCCGTATAACCTGAAGGGGCTGTCCAGTTCCTAGGAATGAGAAATATATATATTATTTTATTATTATTATTATTATTATTATTATTATTATTATTACCCTGCCCATCTGGCTGAGTTTCCCCAGCCACCCTGGGCGGCTCCCAATTGAGTGTTAAAAACAATGCAGCATTAAATATTAAAAACTTCCCTAAATAGGGCTGCCTTCAGATGTCTTTTAAAAATAAAGACAGCTGCTTATTTCCTTGACATCTGATGGGAGGGCATTCCACAGGGTGGGCGCTACTACCAAGAAGGCCCTCTGTTTGGTTCCCTGTAACTTGGCTTCTCGCAGGGAGGGAACCGCCAGAAGGCCCTCGGCGCTGGACCTCAGTGGGGTGGAGACACTCATTCAGGTATACAGGATCGAGGCGGTTTAGGGCTTTCAAGGTCAGCACCAACACTTTGAATTGTGCTCGAAAACATACTGGGAGCCAATGCAGATCTCTCAGGACCGGTGCTATGTGGTCCCGGCAGCCGCTCCCAGTCACCAGTCTAGCTGCCGCATTCTGGATTAATTGCAATTTACAAGTGGAGGCCTGTGAATTTTCACTTAGCTGGAGGAGATGCCACATTAGTGGCTTACTAGGTTGATGCTTTAGGAGCAGTAGTCCTTGCCTGAACATCTCCCCCCCCCCACCTCTAAATGCTATAGCTGCAATGACTTTCATAAGACACTGCTGAGACACTTGAAGTTTGGAACCGTGGGGCTATGCACATATATGCTAAGCAAGTAAACAACCAGTGCACTGCAAACATAGCTGTATACAATTCAAAAAGAACTGATACATCTGTTTTTAGGGAAAGTGAGAACTACGAATAGGCCTCAAACTAATCATGGACAACAGTATAGCCATATCTTATTAAGGAGCATTTATTTTTACGTAAGTATGCTTATATTCCATGTTTATTCTTACCTTGAGTAATTTTGTAGCAAGTTTCAAAACATTGTTCACTAATGTCAGTTCTTCTTTCTTGTTCGGCTTCTTTTCCATTTTCAAGTACAAATTGATCTAACCAAAAATAGGTTGAATTTTATAAAAAGAATTCACTGCCCAATTGCCAGTACGCTTCTAAAACTCTGAAGTTTCTTTCTCACTATCAGCTAACTAAAATTTATTTAGAAAATCCGTAACTACACTTCAGCGTAAGGTTCCCAGGAAAGCGTATCATCATTATTGTTTTTAACCAAATGGAAACAAGAAAGCCACAGCGAGCAAAATTGAATAGAACAGTAAAAATATCAGTTAAAACAAGCTACACAATGTGCTGTCAAAGTCAAAAAAATATCAAAGTTGTTGCCAGGCCACCTGCTCTGGGAAGGCATTGAAACCACAGGATGTCACAGCTGAGAAGACCCTATTGCAGGTCACAACTCACCTAAACTCAAGATAGTAGGGAACCTAGAGGGCCTCTGGAGATGAACACAGGCTCAGGTTGTAGAAGCTGGTTTGCTTACTTTATAAATTGAGCCTTGCTCCGAGTGGTTTAAAGGCTAACTCATCAGCACCTGTATTGCACTACAGCCACCATATTTATGAAAGAGTGCACAAACACAGAATTCCTGGTTTAGTACTTTCATTTACAGCGCTACCTCCGGTTACAAACTTAATTCATTCCAGAGGTCTGTTCTTAAGCCGAAACCGTTCTTAACCTGAGGTGCGCTTTCGCTAATGGGGCCTCCCGCTACTGCCATGCTGCCAGCGTGCGACTTCTGCTTGCATCCCAGGGCAAAGTTTGCAACTAGGAGCATCTACTCCCAGGTTAACAGAGCTCGTTACCCGAAGCATTCGTAAGGAGGACGGTACGTAACCCGAGGTTCCACTGTACTTTAAAAGCTGATGAAGCAATGGGACCAAGTTTTCCATTTTACAAAATGGTTGTAGGTACTACCACAATATGTATTGTTAGAAACTCAAGTCCATGTGTTATTCAAATAGTCAAACATATCTGAATCTCTGGTGTTCCTCGGCAGCATACTCTGAAGAGTAAATCTGCTGATTTGTGGACCTGTGTCACGTGAACTGAAAGCAATATGTATATAGTGTAATAGCATTATTGTTTATATAGACTTCAAGTCAACTAATCTTTAAATGCATGATAAAACAACAATAAGTAATCTAAAATATCTCATGCCTACTCTATACAGTGGTGCCTCGCAAGACGAAATTAATTCGTTCCGCGAGTTTTGTCGTCTTGCGATTTTTTTCGTCTTGCGAAGCACGGTGTCGGGAAAGTTTTGGAAAAGCTTCAAAAATCACCAAAGTCTTTAAAAACCTCAAAAAGGCTACCACACCGCGTTCTATGAGTTGCTCCTCGAAGTCAAGTCGCAACTGTATTAACGGTGTTAAGAAAGGAAACAAACTTGCAAGACGTTTCCGTCTTGCGAAGCAAGCCCATAGGGAAAATCGTCTTGCGAAGCAGCTCAAAAAACCAAAAACCCTTTCGTCTAGCGAGTTTTTTGTCTTGCGAGGCATTCGTCTTGCGAGGTACCACTGTACTAGCAAGACATTTTTCGTTCACTCGTCTTGAAAAGAAACAAGACACAGTGCCAGACATCACTGCATGTTGAGATGCATTCATCACTCTTACCAAGCGAGTTCTCACCTGTTCAGTAAGTAATATTGAGGTATTGCTGTATTTTTTACTTGTTTCAGACCCAAGTGTAACAAATCTTAAAAGAAAGAGAGTTAATGAAATGCACCATATCACTAGTTCCCAATTGTAATGGCAATCAAGGAAGATCTCATGTACATGAAGTAGCTGAAAGGGAAAATAAATAAAACAAACTCAAAGTAGGAAACACATTCAAATTTATCTAGACTTCACAGAGAATCAAGTTATCATACAATGTAGATACTTTTACAATGTTGTTAAAGTCTAAGGGTACAATGCATAATTTCTTTTGTGTAAGTCTCACTGAATTCAATGGAGCTGTGTAAAATTACAACATTGTCTAGGGCAACCTCCATTTGTTTCAGTGTGTTTGCAGAGGAGAACCTGATGCCCTGTTCACTCTGGTTAAAACAGAGCTAATTAAATATCATTTGATTGATCTTCATTGGTCTTAGAACTGTACTGTTCATGCAGGCATGTCTGCGTACCAGGGTGTGCAGCTGCTCTGCGCTTCCTGAGTCAAATCACAAATCAACAAAGCAGCTGGAATCAGATCAGGGCCCCCACAAAGCCTGGTTTTGTTTTTCTCTATTCTCTACATCCTTTTACCTTTCAATATACAATTTATCTATTTTTCTGAACTCTAGTTCCATGGGTTTTGCAAGAAGTAAGACTGTCTAAATGGTGCCTTTGAAGAACTGGAGGACTTTTTTGATTAAAGCAAAGCAGCAGAGGATTATTATTTTAGTTAAAAGCTTATTTTAACTTCTTAAAAAATTGTGCCCTATGCTGCTTGTGGAAAAAATCCTCCTGAATTCTTCAGCACTCCACAGACAGTGATCAGGATGGATTCACCTTGTAATGCAGTAGTGGGGAATCTCTGGCTTGTGTGTCTAATTAGTTCAAGCAGTGATCCTAATTTGGCCATGTCCCTTTGAAAGCATACTATCAGTTGTAAACAGGGGCTCTCTCTCAGCATCCATCAGCTTATTAGCACTGAGAGGAGTTCCTTTGAAAATGCAGCACCAATCACTTGATGGGTGCTGAAAGGGAGACCCTAGGAAGTTGCCAACCAACATCATAATGAACAGTCAGTCACATCTTATATTAAGGTAAGAAAGTACAAGACAACCCCCCACCACCGCTACTCAAGAATATGAAACCAGTATAGATTTTGGAGTTTTAGTTGGCCTAATAAAGCTATTTGCTTTAATATGGATTAGGGAAGGAAATGAATATTTCTTTCCTTTGCTCACCAAAACCCCTGGACCTATTTGTGTGCAAATTAGCAGGCTTAATCCACTTTGGAGAGCTCCTGTGCCTGAAGATTTAATCTGCTTCTGCCAAAAAGGGGGGAATACAGCAGTTTTTAGTACCCCCTAAATGCAAATGTGGAACACAGAGCTTTGATTGGGCTCATAATCCAATCACAGAAAGACTGGAACAGATCAGTTGTTGTTGTTTTAAGTACAGATAGGAGGCAAACAGTTGATCAACATTCAGGCGTCCTGCAAATCTTTAGACCCACCCACACAGGCAGAGTGTGTACGCATATTTTCTGGTTAGATAAGTTATTTTACCACAAGGTTTTTAAATTACCGGTAAGTAAATCAGTTCTTGTCAGGTTTTCCTTACCTGTGCACAGCAGATAAATACAGCCGAAATAGTCAACAAAAAAGCAGATGAGACTATTACATCAACTGACCGTTGAGGACCTCGACGCTGAAAATAAAAGGGAAACTTAGTGAGTAATTCTCTGGAGGGATTAACCATAGAAACCTGGTAAATGGGGTGACATGTCTATAGACTGATCATGCAATTAAATGACAAGTTTTAAATGCAAAATATCAAATACTTTCTTCCTATGGTTTAAAGGAGTATGGTGTTAAGCATGCTTATTAATAATGACAAGGGAGAAATTGTGGCTGGGGAAAAAATTGTTCTAATAAGACAGCTTTGTGCCATGAAATGATATTGTCTTGATCACAAGAGTCTGAATTTCAGTTGCATCACCACAATCTCTTGAAAAGCCATTCTCCAATTACCATGTGCTGCAATCCACCTCCTACAAGTAATGTGTGTGGGGGGACGGGACATAAAAAGATCTCTGCTATCAAGCTTACAAGTCACCTACAGTAATGCAATGCATACAATTCTCTCTGAAAGTTAAGCAGCATACAAGCAGGACACAGAAAAAACACTATTTCTAAGACTGGGGACAGCAGGACATAAGAGAAATTAGCTTACTGTAGGATTCCCTGCCTTGTGCATGGGGTGTAGACATATGAAATATCAGTTGCTTAGAAAGACAGTAAGACCTAGACTTGAAAATGCCAAACAAGAGTTTTCGAATTAGAGGAGGGACAATGAACTGCTATGCTAACCTGGAATGGTAGGACTCCTCAGCTTTAGGTTTCACTGCTAAGTTCTTCCAGGTGAGTAACCCCCTACTTTTAGGCCTTTTAGCTCCCTCTGCTGGATTGTAAGACAGCTAAATTAACTACAAAATGGTCTTTTTTCTTTAACACACTCAACAAGAACAAAACTGGAGGCATGAACAATGTGTTTAGCCACACAGGGGACAAGGGGTAGTTGAACAACATTACGGTGTCCTGCTATGATTATTATATAATACCACTGCTTTGATGCAAGATGAGGCAATGGGAAAGTTTGTATGATTATATATCAGCTTAATAAATCAATGTATGAACACCCTTTCATGAAACCCCTTTACTCAAACCTAGAAACCTTTCATTAACTAAAGTTTCCTGTTTCATCGAAATTGGTAATCCATGGTTAACAGCTTTTGAACAAGTAAAGACATAAAGCCTACTTCATGATTTAATATATTACTTGTTCTGAACTTGTTAATCAGAGTTTCCTAGCTCACACAAAAGGAAAAACTATTGTTAACAGAATATTTTCCTCCTTATTTGTCTGCCAGCTTGCGCAAAGGGAGGACCCAGATCACTGCTCATGTGGTCAAAAGACTCAATCATATCTCAACTTAGTTATGTGGTTCAAAGTGATCAACACTTCTACGATTAACAAATATTTTGTGTAGTAAACTTTTTTGGGTATTTTTTCATTGTTTTGAGATAGCAAAACATTCATTATCATGGAAGAACAAGCCAGCCGCTGATGATCATACTGAGATGGATAAGATGACACTACATCTATTGTGGAGCTGCAATATATCCCCTCCAGTGACCCTTGAATAGCAGGAGAAGAAGTGTTGCCTGCCATTGATATGGGAAAAAAGGGAAACCAAGTTCCACCAAACCTGTCTCTCTTTGAAATTGTGCGGGAAACTTTGAGAAGCCCTTAAAGTTCTGTAGAAAAATCTACAGAGGTAAAAACAAAAATGTACCATCTACATATATGGGAACATTGAGTGGAGGGAAAACTTTATTTAAATAATATATTCATAACACACTTCCAGTATAATTGACTCTCGGATGAAAGATCTCCTCCCACAGTGGAAGCTCTGCAAATGGCTAGAAATGTAATAGTACCAGCATTAGCCACTGCAAAGAGTATTTCCCCCACACATGGAAGAGGGAGACACTATTCTTGAAATGTAAAGTATGTGCTCCAATGCTCCAGAGAGCAACCAAACTGACCCCGAAGGGGGGGAAACAATCAAAAGCAACACAGTGTGTGGGGAGGCGGGAGAGAAAATGCAGCACAGTATGAGGAAGGGTCTTGTAACATTCAGCATCAGATACGGCATCACAGCAGCATTTAACAGATGCCTGTGACACTAACGCAGAAACATTCTCTACACTGTTGGAAATGTAATGGTGACATATGGGGACTAAAATAACACAATTTCCCAGAAACATCTGTCAGAAGTGTTATTAATAGTTACATTTTTAGTCCTGTGCTTTTTAAAGTCCATCAAGAAAACAACCTTCCTTTTTATTTCTTCCTTAACTAAGGCAAAGAGTCAGCCAATTTATAAAACAACTAAAAGGCATTACCCTAAGGTTTCTTCTTTATAAATGAGGCTTCTTTCCACAATATTTTAGACTGCAAAAATGAAATTATTATGCCAAACTGTGTTGTTTTAAAACCACTCTGCCCAACCAGAATCAAGAAAGTTTGGCCTTATAAAAATGTGACCTGATAAAACTAAGACTGGCAGGAGATCTCAGTTGCTCACCTCTTGATTTTCACAATGAGAAATACTTACTTACCTGTACTACAAAGCTCAGGAGAAATGCAAAAATTCAGAAGAGGGCAATGCTCAGTATTAAGTACTGTCAGTATAACACACATCTGGTTTAAAAGCATATATGGCAAACAAAAAATAAGGGCCAACAAACCTTTAGATAGGAGCGGAGGGAAAGCCACATTTTAATATTCTGCACCTTCTTTAGTCGAAAGTGAGGAACCTCAGACTTCCGTGCCCTTCTTGCAGATGTTAGGTGGCCAAAGAGTTTGGCAAAAAGTAGCCTCTGTAAGCGATAAGTTACGTTTAGTGAATTAAGAACTGAAATGCATTTGGAATACCAATACAGATTTTTAAACCATTGTAAAGACGTTATAACTTTAGATACTTTACATACTGTCCATACTTTAATATTGTGGTCAAATTAAGGTTGGAAATTTCCATACTTTATATATTAATTCTCAGGTATAAATCATAAATAATAGGAAAATAATAATTTTTATTTTCCTTTTAATTCTATTTTATTTTCCTTTTAATTTTTAATTCTATAATTTTTTTGAAGGAGAGGATGCAAATCTTAAAATAGTAAGATAATAAATATCTAAAACTGTGTTCTATATCAAAAACATATATGCCAAAAAGCAAAACATAATAATACATTGCAGTTTCTTTCTTCATGTGAATGAGGAGTTTGCTGCAAATGCCTACCTGTTTGTAGGTTCTCTCGGCCACACATAATAAAAAGAAGAATATCCATACAAGGGAAACACGAACTATGAAGCATACTATAACCATGGAAAGAACCATTATGTCTCCATTTGACCCAAATGCAATAGTATAAAGTTCAGCAGCAGAATGTGTAGTTAAATGCTCCAGATCCTTAGCTTGGGAAATTCGAAATACAAACGGTGTTAAACCCAGGATTAGAGAGACAACATTTCCAAAAATCTGATATCCTATTCCTGGTACATAGCTGTTTACCTAAAGATGAGAGAAATATATATTTTTAAAACTCAACACAACAACAACAACAACAACAACAATTTCTTATTTATACCCCGCCAACTATATTATTAAAATACTATAAACAACAAAACCCCAGCAGTATAATATAAAGTAGCATGTTAAGAAATACTGTTTAGTACTCTTCCATAAAAGTGATTGTTTGCAAAATACGCTTAAAATATGTAATATACCAGAACGATTTTCAAGTTTGTTAAGACAGAGTTGAAAGGTCAATTCCTAGGACCTATACATAAAAAGGACAATTATACATACTTTGGACCTATACATAAAAGGGACAATTCCTAGGACCTATACCAGGGGTCTGCAACCCGCGGCTCCGGAGTCGCATGTGGCTCTTTTACACCTTTGCCGCGGCTCCAGGGCGGATACTAGCGAGGGGAGGAGGCGCATTGTGCGCCCCGACACTCCTCACTGTGGCGGGCGCTGTACTGGCTGTGACGTCGCATGGGGGCAGTGCGTGCGTTAGTCATGCACCGTCCCGACGTCACCTTCTCGCCCGCTGTCAGATCGCGGCTCCGGAGATATATTTGTTTTAAATGTCGCAATGGTTTTGCAGCTCCCAGTTGTTTTTTCTTCGGAAACGGGTCCAAGTGGCTCTTTTTGTCTTAAAGGTTGCAGACCCCTGACCTATACATATAGGTGATGAAGGGCCAAAGGATAAAAAATGATAACAAGTTGCATTCTAAGACTCTCAAGCAAAATTCCACTCATGCAATTCAGTTTTCATAGAATAGAAATACAGAATTGTAGAATTTGAAAGAACCTCAAGAGTCATCTAGTCCAAATTCCTGCAATGTAGGAATCTAAACTAAAGTATCCATGGCAGATGACCATCAAACCTCTGCTTAGAAACCTCCAAGGAGGGAAAGTCCTGTTTTCTTGCCTCCTACTCACTGTAGATCCCTGCTGTTCCCCAAAAGGGAAACCCATGGGAACAGTATGGGATATGGAGAAGGGAAGGGGATAATTAGCAAAAATCAAGGAAATGCTCCTGCTTGCACAATTAGTTTTTTGAATCCAACCTAATATTTCTGAAACTTTGAAAAAAAAGTTGTTCAGGTTAGCCAGCCTTTCATGCTCATGTGTAGTGGTGTTCTAGTTTTACAGGGTGAACTAATTAAACCTACTCAATTTTTATTCTGCCAATAAATTGTGGATCTTTTATTTATTTATTATATGGACTACTAGCGGTCAGCTGCTCTGTGTAATCTGCACACAGGGCAAAGGAAGTGAGGCAAACTCTAGGCAGGTCTGCCCCGCTTGTGGCTAAAAGGAAAAGATCGTGTCCACTTTTATGACTGAATACAAAACAAATTGAAACCTACAGAACTGCAACATGGTACAGACATCCCTGTACCAGGGAAACAGAAGTATCTCTAACTTGGGTAAAGCCAAGTAAAATATTTCAAATAGATACTCACTCTGTTCATTATCATGCCACTGATCTCAAGCACCGACATATCAGCCTTTTTGCAGTCATTACCTTCCCAAACAATTGCGCTTACTTTTTCGAGCCCAGGGTTAGAACTATGAAACCAGGGCAGGTGACTCTGTGTAAAAAGAAAAAAAGAAGGTGTTATTCTGGACATTGTATAAAGGTAAAGGTAAATGGACCCCTGAACATTAGGTCCAGTCGCAGACGACTCTGGGGTTGCGGCGCTCATCTCGCTTTATTGGCTGAGGGAGCCGGCGTACAGCTTCCAGGTCATGTGGCCAGCATGACTAAGCCGCTTCTGGCAAACCAGAGCAGTGCACAGAAACACTGTTTACCTTCCCGCCAGAGTGGTACCTACTTATCTACTTGCACTTTGACATGCTTTCAAACTGCTAGGTCTGCAGGAGCAGGGATCGAGCAACGGGAGCTCACCCCGTCACGGGGATTTGAACCGCCGACCTTCTGATCAGCAAGTCCTAGGCTCTGTGGTTTAACCCACAGCGCCACCCGCGTCCCTTGGACAATGTACACTAAGCACTAATTTACCATTACAAAAAAGTATTTCATTACCAAAAATTCCTATTTGCAAATACCGTATTATTCACTCTATAAGACGCACCAGACCACAAGACTAGTTTTTGGAGGAGGAAAACAAGAAAAAAAATATTCTGAATCTCAGAAGCCAGAACAGCAAGCGGGATCGCTGCGCAGTGAAAGGAGCAATCCCTCTTGCTGTTCTGGCTTCTGGGATAGCTGCGCAGCCTGCCTGCATTCGCTCCATAAGACGCACACACATTTCCCCTTACTTTTTAGGAGGGAAAAAGTGAGTCTTATGGAGCAAAAAATACGGTAACTATATTTTGTTCAGTTTACCTCTTTTTCTGCCACAATTCTAACTCACGATAGATTTGGCAGGATACGCAATGTGGTCTTTTCCCACTAACCTGGTGAAATGGGTCATCTCTGTACTCTTTCTTTATACATGTGTTAACTTGAGAGTTTTCCACATCTGTCTCACTGGTGCAAGAGGAGCGGCACTCTGCACAATGCAAAAGGTCTTCCCACAACACATCTTCTGTCTCAGACTCTGGTCTTGTACTCTCAGAATCTTGTCTGGAACTTGAACATCGTGAACTGCAACTAGTGCCTGATTTAGGGATATCCTGAAAGATAGACATTGCATATTTGAAAGAGAACATGTTTTTTTTCCTTGTTTCAATAATAAACTCATTTTTTCCCTAAAACTGCATTTGCTTCTTATTCCAGATTCCTGTTTGGATCCATTTTGTAGCTTGGCATGGGAGCGGGAACTTTAGCTAAACCCTTTCCAACAGAAGAAAAAAATGTCTGTACACAATATTTATTGGAACCAGTAGTCTGGTATGCTGGAAGAATGCAAGGATAACAACCATAACAACCAATACTCTGGTATGCTAAAGGAATGCAATAAATCAGCTAGGTAGAACAATTTCACTTAATCACAGTTTGCTGAATAAAAAAATGGAATTAACAAGGTAGACAGCAAGTGAATAAGATAATCAGAAGTTAATAAAGAAGGACATTTAAGAATAATTATATTTAATCATGTATTATTAAAATCAGAGAGTTGGGGAGGTCTATTCAGAGGAGTTAAAAGATTTCTGATTGGCTTAGATTTGATGAAGTAGGTTGTAACTGCTATAGGATGTCTTACTGTATGCCTATGATAGGTTAATAGTAATCACGTGTGTATCACAAAAATGTTTAAGTTGTGCTTATTTGTGCCGTGTTGCAGTCTCCCTTTGATTTTTCAGGAGACTCTCTTTTGGTACAGTTGTGCCAATAAAGGAATAGTTTTCAATCAAAGCCTGTGTCTGCTTGTTATTCCACTGGGACCCCAGGCCATCATAACCCCTTCATACTCATTTAATGCCAAACATTAGTCTGTTTTAAACATTCAGTTGATAGCCAACTTGAATTAAAAATCAAAAACATACCTAGAGGCCCTTTTGTAAAAATAAAGCCTTTTTGCCATGCAAAAACAGACATTTGGTATTTAGAATTAGTGATGTTTATATTTCTAAAATAGTATGTCTTCTGATAATTTTCTAGCTTTATAGCTTTATTACAAACTCTAACAAACATAACAAAGCACTGGGTTTGTTAGCCCAATGGGACATCTTATTCCTTGCTCTAATATTGCCACTTAGCTCTGTCCTTGTTCCCCCTTGGTGGTGGTGGTTGTCGTTGGGGTTAACACAACTCATGCTATGGCTTCTACACCAGTGTAGAACAGCCGTACACATTCTTGTACTACAACCACCCGACAAAAAGAAAGAGCTGACACTGAATAGCCCTACCCTGAGAGTCACCCACTGGGCTGAGGGCCCCCCCCTTAAGAATATGAACTCACTAAACAGGGAAGCTGTTATAGAGGGAACATAGTTTTCCAATTATGTATCTTACTGCTTTCATGAAAGTTTGTTTGAGATCATTGCAAGAGCATACCTCCACAGGGTAATGTTTCTTATAATGATGGGATTTCCTATTCCGAAATGTGCAGTCACTGGAAGCACGTTCTGCATTACGGCGCAAGGGATATCCTGCTTCTGGTCCCTCTTCGCTTGAAACTTCATCAGATACATTTGTCACTGTTCTGTGATTATCCTAGATCAATTAAGAATTGGCTGTTAGTAAAAACTATTTTTTTACTTCAAATGTAACATAATTCCACTTTGCATACATTACAATTATTCTCCATACATTTTTATAATCGTAAAATCAGACATAAGCAATATTTCCTCCACCATCACCATAGTACTGTTACTATGCAACAAGGTGATCTGCACACTGCTTACTGAAGAATTGCAGGCAAAAATTCAGAGCATGTAATTAGCCAACCTAACAAATATCTTTCTGTATTGTTATGAGCTTGTGGGTGCTAGACATTTCTAAATTCCTGGAACCAAAAAGTACTGGAATTTAATCAAAGGCTTCTAATTCCAGGAAATTCCAGACCACTATAATTCCCAGAACCAGCAAAGTGTTAGGACTTTGTTCATTAAATTGATGTTCATTAATTTCTGTGAGTCTCCTCTTAGTAAAACTTAGTTGAATGCCACCCGGTATCTTCATGAGTAAGTAGGTTGTAAGAATTTAAAAGTAAGGAGGTTGCTAACACTGCTGGGATTGTAAACCAGTATTTTACTGCGAAATGAAGCCAGGGAGATATGCCAACAATACATTGCATTGCACTGCTGTACATGAATTTGTACAAACTCCTCTTAAAACCATCCAAGTTGGTAGCCATTACAACATATTGTGTTGCATGTTCTGCAGTTTCACAAGGCACTGTCTGAAGAGAGGTCAATCAAGCCCCTTGAAGACTTAAGTCCCCCTGAAGTCAAGGGACTTAAGACTTTCTGAAGAGACAAGCTTGTATAGCAAAGAGTTCGCTATGGGCTAGCAGGGACATCTGGCCCACGATGTTGTGGGAACTGCCCATTCTCCTTATCTCCCAATCTGATTGGCAAGTAAAGTACTCTGCCTGGGTTGCAATCTCTAAAGAGCAGAATGAGCACTTCCAATCAGGAGATGAAATTCCTAACCAGTTCTTTAGAGATCCTCTGTAAAAAGCAGAGAGAGGGATATTTTTTCTCTGAACTTAGTGCTAAACATCACAGGTCTAAGACTGGAGGTAAATCCTGTATGGTCAAAGATTAAAAGGCTGTGTTTTCACAAACCACAACTCTAGTGTTGCAGTGGGGCGCCTTTTACTGTGCACAAAAGGTTCTGTGTAAAGTCAGCACCCTAGACCGGAAAAGTAAAAAATCAAAGAAATTGGGTGTGACAAAAATCCTTGGCTAATGTTTCCTGCCTGTGCTTAAAAGATCCCCCTTATATTTCCCACAATATTTTCCTTAATGTCCCTAAGTGGACCTAATAGTTAAAAGGTTTGCAGCAAGCCAGGATTTTAGACTAACTTCAGCCTATGATTTAGTATCCTGGCTAATTCCAAAGCTGTTAACCAATAATTTTTCGTTGTTTTTTGCTGACTCCTATAAAGGGATTGTGTTTGCGAGCAAAAGACTTGTTTATACCTCAGCCTATTCATATGAGATCTGATCATCTAAAATGCATGCGAGAGAGGTAGGGAGGGAAAAAGCATTGGGTGAAGTGGCCTTTTCATCTTAGCCCAGCATGGGAATTCTTGCATTCTCATAATATGAAAATATTGATGCTGAACTATAAAAATATTCTAGAAGAAATGAGACACTCACTTTGTGATGATTTGTATTACTGAATGAATTTCTGACAGCTCCTGTGCTCCAGCATGTCTCTTCTGATCTGATAACTTCACACTGCGGCTCCTGGGATTGTAAAACATCTTCATTGTTTTTACCGGTCTTTTTTCCATCAAGCGAGACATAGCCATTGTCAGTCTCTGTTGACTTGTCTATTGAATTCTTTGCTTTCTTTGCTCTAGAGTTAAACATATACATAAAATAATTGTTTGCATTACAGTTCCTCCATATCTTGTCTCCCAAATTTCTATACTGTACAAGAACAGAAACCTGCATGCAACATTTCACATATGAACAGATGATACATTTTAATCTACCAAGTTCCCCCAAAGAATCACTAATTCGGGATATATAAATCTGCCAAAGTCAACTGCTAGTCTTGAAGGCGATAGGTTTGGATATGCCCATGAACAAAGCAAGTCAGAATTTTGTCAGAGCAACAAAATAATAATGACTGTCATGGTTCCCCCTTGAAAACATGTCATTTTGAACCATCCATGGCTAATTGTACCTTATTCCTCTATAAATTTATTTCTACGTACTATTTAAAGCAATAGTAGAGTATAAGGGCTCTCTAAGCAGCAGAATCTCAACAAAAGGCTAGATGAAGGTGATAAAATGCATCACAAAAGAGAACAGCAGCAAAGGATACACAAAAGATACATAATAACTCCAAGTGGCTTGGAACACGCTGCTTATTTTATACCAGCTAAGTTACTTTATTTTGCTTATTCTGTGTTTTGTTTCATTGGTCCTTGATTTGATTGTATATTCTGCACGGCTTTGGCAGGGGAGGGCGGGATATAAATAAAATGCTATTGTTATTATATTTAATAATTATGGTCTACGAGGTGGGGAGAAGACACCTCTTGATGGTAGTAGTGAACAGCATTGCTGCGAATGGCATCCTTGGAAGGGAAAGTAAAATCTCTTGCTTTCACCACGGTGTGGTTGCATAAACATTTTACAGTACTGTGCATGTGCAGGTGGGCCAATTGGCATGGCCCTATGATTTTGAGGAGACCTACTCCAAGTCCCCCGGTAGAGGCAAAGGGGGACCTTTTGGTAAAGATTATTGAAATGGGGCCCACATTTCCCATCAGATCTGGGCCTATTACCAGCTATGCACAGCCCTACTTGTGCCCTCAGGAGGAAACTAATTCCCAAGGTAACAGGGAGAAAAAACACAGTCCTTGTCAACTCTGCCTTTATGGCAGCATCAAGGAGACTCTTCAGACCTATCTTCTTCATCCAGAAGACAAAGTGGGAAATTGAGACCTGGGACTCTTCCCCATGTTCCAGTTTTCAGCCAATCAGCTTTCAGCACTGCCTATTGGGCCTCAGTCCACCAATTAATTTGGATCAAATATTGAAGCAAGAAGGTAAGATGTGGGTATCAGTAAAGTAGAAACTAAATACAAAGTATATCTGTCTGAATTAATCCCTCAAATCACAGTGTTAAAAAGGTCACAGCTATGAGAAGCTGAGGTTCCCAAGGACAGCCACACCTTTTAATGCTAATCTGCATGTGCGCACACACAAAAGGGATTCAAAAGAGAAAGAATCTGAAACATCCACTGTTTTAAAAATATTCTCTATTTCAAGTCTATAGATAGAACATAACCCAGAACAAAGAACAAAAGAAGTCCACAAAACAAACACACCCTTAATTTGTTAATGCCTGTGGTCAATGAACTGGAAAGGAAGCCACTATATGAAAAAAGAAGCAAAGTACAATCAACAAAGCAGAGAATTAAACTACCCTTTTGCCATAATCTAATCTCTTATGAAAATCTAATACAATCTGGCTTTCTCTTGAGTAGCAGCTCTACATGGTGGAGTGCAAAACCTTGTGGGGAGGTCAGGCTTCCAGGCCTCTGATCCTGTACCCATTAGGTTAGAATCTGTAGGAGGAAACTCAGTGAACCAGTTAAACCAGTTCCTTTATTATGGTAATAGCCACTCAGCTAAGCACCCATCAACAGCATCTTAGAAAGGAATGGGTGGGCCATTTTCCACTTCACTTTACTGGATGCCAGGTCACCCTAGCATGGAGAACAATAGGCCAACAGGGGATGTGTTCGGGTTTTGACCAAAGTTGGAAGAGGCCTGCATTGCTCTGTGCTGGACCCAAAACTATGGCTTCTCCCTGGGAACCTAAGGGGGAGGCAAGATCTGCTGGAGTGTTAAAGCTGTGAGCCCCTCCACCTCATTCTCAGGTAGTATATATGTGTAAATAAAAACACATATAAGAAAACCATAAAGATACCAGAGTCTCAATTGACCTTTATTCCAAGGAAACAAAATACTGGGTAAGTGCCGGAACCCCAGGAGTCTTTCGTAGCTCAGTGATTCAGATGCATGCAACAATATTTTTCCAAAATAGTCATTTGGTCAAAAGGAATTTTGACAGAAAGGGCGGCAATGAGGGCTAGAACAATTGCATAAATTTCCTCAATGGTCAGCAGGCAAAGTTGCTAGACACTTCTGTTGTTGGGGAGTTTGCACGAAAATAGTCAAGAAAGCTAAAAGATGATTAGAGAACATGCCTTACACTTACTATCCTGCTCCAGCAAGAAAGAGGGAACAGCAGCTGAATTTTTTATGTAGGACTGGGGGAAGAGGTGAAATTATAAGCTTTGTGATCTGCAAAGTCTCTTTTGAGGGACTGTACCTCAACACTGGGATGCGTGTGGCGCTGTGGGTTAAACCACAGAGCCTAGGACATGCCGATCAGAAGGTCGGCGGTTCAAATCCCCGCAACGGGGTGAGCTCCTGTTGCTCGGCCCCTGCTCCTGCCCACCTAGCAGTTTGAAAGCACGTCAAAGTGCAAGTAGATAAATAGGTACCACTCCAGCGGGAAGGTAAACGGCGTTTCCGTGTGCTGCTCTGGTTCGCCAGAAGCGGCTTAGTCATGCTGGCCACATGACCCAGAAGCTGTACACCGGCTCCCTCGGCCAATAAAGCAAGATGAGCGCCGCAACCCCAGAGTCGGTCACGACTGGACCCAATGGTCAGGCGTCCATTTACCCTTTACCTTTACCTATCTCAACATCTGATGTCGGACAGTGGAATTTGCTGTTTGTAGGAGCCTTAAGCTCATCCTGTATATATATATTTTTAAGAAACTTAAATATTACAGGAATACCTTAAGCCTCCAATGAGACTTTTTTCCAAAGAAAATCAAAGCCAGCTAAATGTGGTTTCCCTGGAACTTCTCGCCACTCAGGGAAACAAGTGTGCATTTTGTTTAAAACTAGAAGTTAGAGCTCCCCTATGAGGAAAGGTTACAGCATTTGGGGTTTTTTTAGGGAAAAGGTAAGAAGATGTGACATGATTGAAGTTTATACAATTAAGCATGGCAGAGAGAAAGTGGATAAAGGAAATCTTTTCTCCCTCAAGCCTAACACTAGAACCTGTGAATATCCAATGAAGCTGAATGTTGGAAGATTCAGGGCAGATAAAATATGGTAAAATTGCTCTGCCCAGCAAATACCTGAAATTTGTACTTCCACTTATGCAAAAGGAGAAAAGCTAATCATATTATTTCTACTGTAATTTGTTCCACCTAATACTGAAACACTAGCAGTAAGACGAGGAGAACAACAACACCATGAAGTTTCATAAAACCAAGTTCTGCTGTGATCTACCACTACAAACAGGCTCTTCTGAAGAGAAGCATCAATGAGCTGCCATATTTAACATTCAGTTAAAGCACTTTGACTTTGTGAAGGATAGCTTCAAATAACAATTGTTTAACTGGAAACAATCTCATGACTTCAATATTATTGGATTAGCTTTCTCTCTACAAACAAATTTTCTCACTGTGTCATATTCTAGTTTCTTTTTCAATGCTTCTCAAAAAAAAAAAAAATAATAGAGCATATTTAGAGTTCTGTTTAAATTCACTGATGCTAAAGTCAGCCGTCCAAGCATTTTCACATGGGAGCTTCAAGCTTACTACATCAAATGCATAATAATGTATAGCTTTTTAAACAACCCAAACTCTCCATGTTTTGCAACATTTCCTACAAAACAAAATTAAGTTTACAGCTTTGAATTTCCTCCATTAGGGTATAAAAGCTGTACCACATCTCTTTAAATAAAAATAATCCAGTTTACATGCAAAGAATTTGACCAGGACTCTGAGTCTTGGGGAAGAAAGGGATTTTTTTTTCAAAATGCCTATTTTTGTATCGTAGATGATGCATGTAATTGCTTTGGAAGTCATGAATATTGCTCTGAACACAGAGCACAGCCAAAATGTATTTAAATATGAAAGATTTCCATACCTTGCAAACTTCTTTACAGTGAAAGATAAATTCCATTGTGTAGAACTTATTATAAACATTTCTACACAAGAATATTGAAATACAGTACATAATCAAAACATCAAAACAGAGGATGAAAATGCAACTGAAAAATTAGGGCAGAATTAAAATTATAATAATTGAGCTCAAGCACGAGCTAAGGCAGAAATGTGTTTTTAAAATTAAAGAGGGATGGGACCTCTATTGCCTTGATGTGCTTAAATGGCCTGCCAGAAGCAACATGTGATGATTATAGGTCATAATTTTAGTTTATAGGAAACAGCATAATCATATAAGAGCATCAGTGTGACACATGTTAGTGTAATAATGCTGAACACATAAAATGTAAAACATGTAGATGTAGGAAGCTGCACTATCCTTTTTTCTGACTGCTTAATACAAGTGCATTAATATACTTGTTTCTCAACCGTTTGGAACAAATTTTAAAGAAACTAATCATCATTGTTTGGCCAGATGCATAGTTAAAAAGCAGGCTATATGATAATTTACATCTGCAGGATTTAATAGCTTTTAAAGCTTCATATATTACACCAATCAACAAACCTTAGCTTTTTTTGTAATCTAATTGGAGCAAACACCTTCGTTGCTTTTGCTTGCTAGTCAGTCATAGACGGCATCATTTCACTACTGCATAGGTCTTCAGTAGATGGCACATGACCCACAACTGCTTCAATGACCCACCCTAAAGTTTATTTATGTCATACAATTTATATACCATTTGGTGGTGGTGGTTGTTTTTTTTTTTAAAAAAATCAAAGTGGCTTACAAAAAGGATAAAAAATGAAATCATTAGTAAAAAAAAACCCAGTAAGAACAACAATGTAAAACCTTCAAAAATAATTAAAATCAACAATAAGCTAAAACCAGATTAAAGCACATGCCAACATTCAACATGTCTTGACAAGCTTGCCTAAAGATAAATGTTTTTAGCAGGGTTGAGAACTTTGCCCCAGGATGAGAATGGAAATCGTGCACCAGCGGCGCAGCAGCAACAGGAGGCAACATTAGTGAAAGCGCGCCTCAGGTTAAGAACGGTTTCGGGTTAAGTACAGACCTCTGGAATGAATTAAGTTCATAACCCGAGGTACCACTGTACCAGCCCTTATACTTGGAACAAACGTAATGCAGTGGTACCTCGGGTTACATACGCTTCAGGTTACATATGCTTCAGGTTACAGACTCCGCTAACCGAGAAATATTACCTCGGGTTAAGAACTTTGCTTCAGGATGAGAACAGAAATCGTGCGGCGGCAGTGGGAGGCCCCATTAGCTAAAGTGGTGCTTCAGGTTAAGAACAGTTTCAGGTTAAGAACGGACCTCCAGAATGAATTAAGTACTTAACCCAAGGTACCACTGTATTAACTCTCTCCCTCACAACTGCAAACCACCAACACATAAAATCAGGAGGGGAGAATCCCTAAAAGTAGGGTCTATATTGCAGGCTGAGACGAAAGATGAGCCCAGATCTGGAATGCCTGAAGACCACTGCATTAATGAACTGAAACTACAATATCAGAATATGGAAACCTACACTGCAAGACAACTAGCAACTTTAGAAGAACAGAACCTGATTTTTATTTATTTATTACTTTTTCTTGCCCTTTGGCAATGGTTGCGCAATATTTTCCACCTAAATAATCAGTTTCTATATATCCACTTGGCATTTATAAGAAAAGTTGTCTTCATTTGCCAAAGTCAGAAGAACACAGCCACAGGTGCTGGAATACTTTGACAGGGTTATACTAAAGCTAGCTGGATGTACAGAAGAATGTCAGCAGTACAGATGAATGATTACTTTGTCAGAAAAAGGATAGTGCATCTTTAAGACAAACAAAGCCTTGAATAAAATACAAACCCCGATAAAAAGAAAGCAGCAAGCCAGATATCTCTGAAGACAGCGCCAATACTGTAAGAGGTGCTTGTACCGTAGCTCTGCACTGTTCCTTCCTGTGTGTTATCTGTGGTACTAGAGCCATCTCCTTCCCTATGTACTTCCAAATGTGCTGCTTTCCTTAATTTCCTTCATCAGAAGAGATTAAAAGTGGAAGGCATCTTGTAAGTGTCATTCGCTAGCACTACAACACGGTCAGCGTTCTTGTAAGCATGCAAAGAGATTTGAGTTCAGCCACTGCCTGGGCTTAACAGACAGTTTGTTATTGTACATGAGAAAAGTTATTATTTTCGTCAGCGTCTTCTCTAAGCACAAAAATCATCCCTCTGAGCTACACAACACCAGTCCAGAAAAAACAAAAATATGAGCACATTATGCATTTAACTAATCACTAACAGCTTCCTGCACCCCATTAGTTAGTTCTATTGTGTTGATACCAATAAGAGATACCAATCTGTATTGGGTGCAGTTTAAAAAAAAATATCACAACAGTATTTATAGCAGTGAAATTTCATGAGAAGGTCAACACACAAATAAAAGGAACTTAGCAGAACAAGAATACCCCCACCCCCCACCATTTATTAAATAATGCATAATGTCAGATTTTAAGCCTTTTTCAAAAATACCGTATTTTTCGCTCTATAATACGCACTGGACGATAAGACGCACCAAGTTTGGGGGGGGAGGAAACAAGAAGAAAAAAATTCTGAACCCCAGAAGCCAGAACAGCAAGAGGGATCTGGCTTCTGGGATAGCCTCTTGCTGTTCCGGCTTCGGGGACAGCCTTTGAAGCCTCCGCAGCCATCCCCAAGCTAGAACAGCGAGACGGAACGCTGCGCAGTTCTGGCTTCGGGGACAGCCTTTGAAGCCTCCGCAGGGCAGCGGGGTGCCTTCATCCCGCTGCCCTGCGGAGGCTTTGCGCAGCTAATCCCAAGCTAGAACAGCGAGACGGAGCGCTGCGAAGCGCTCCATCTCCCTGTTCTGGCTTTGGGCTTAGCCGCGCAGCCTGCATTCGCTCCATAAGACGCACACACATTTTCCCTTACTTTTTAGAAGGGAAAAAGTGTGTCCTATAGAGCGAAAAATACGGTAGTTTAGATTCTGAAATAAAAAGTAAGCACATGCATAAAAGGCTCACTATGTTAAAATAAACTGTACCTTCGCCTTCTCCCTCCTGTACTTGGAGGTGGTTTAGGGGTTCTTGTTGAAACAATCTGGCAATGCACAGTTCCAAGGAGCAACATGAGCCATACAGGACCTACTACTTCAGTCAGAGGTATATTATGTGTGGCTTCTACTGTATAGAACAAGACTACTGCAGCAACTTTCAAAGACATGGGGGGAAAACAACCAGTGAAGAATTAAATCTGCAACAATAATTCATAATTAAACAATGATACTGTTAATAAGTCATTTTTGTTAAACTCAGAAATAAGTGTGATCAAACCAAAGTTAAGTATTAAAAAAAATCAATACAGGAAATTTAAACATAGAGCAAACTTTCACTGAAATCAATTGATCTTAAAAGCTTGGTTTTTCTACAGTGCTCTATTTGAAGAGTTAACATGTTTTCCGATATTGTTGTGACAAAACCTTTTAAATATAAGCAGTATACATCAAGATTACATTATACTACACTGCATACAAGCAACTAAAATGTTTGGCACAAGCTTTCAGATCTGCTGATCTCGGAAGACAACTGGAAAACATATTTAAAACCATGGTAACAGTCACAACAAAATAGGATTGGGACAGGCATACAGTGCAGCACATCTAATATGTGCCTCAATTTGTACCTTTAGGCAAGGTACTTTGAAGGAGCTGAAATAATGTACCAATGTAACTGATTTATTGCAGTGCTGCATTGTGGATAATTAATGATCAAGGGACTGTCAGGAACAGTGCATGCTGAGCTCCCCTCCTGCCACTGGCATCCTGCCACTGGCATCACTGCTGCTTACCTGGATGGAGATGGGGCAAGGTCAGTGCACCAAGAGACCCGAGCTCACTGTCTAAATAAGTGATGCCAAGGGCCACTGCTGGGGGCTGAAGCAACTCCCTTATAAAGTTACAACATGGTGGCTATATCTTATCACCAGTATCAGAGGCAGTATTCCTCTAAATACCTGACAAACATGACTGTGAAGGCTGCTATTGTGCTTATGTCCTGTAGGCAATGTTGGCTGACCATAAGCATGTGATTAGCAACGCTGGATTAAATGGACCTTTGGTCTGATTCAACAGGGCCTTATGTTCTCAACAATTTTAATTTAAATATTGCTGTACAGGTATTACCACACTTAATAAAAAATAAATAGCCATGGGTAGAATAATAACACTATCTACTATCATATTTCAAACAGGTGGTGAGGAAACTGTCAGTATAGAATACATTTTAATATAGTTTTCTAGTGATATGAAATCACTGTCTAAGCTCAAGAATAAACACTGTGTGTTCTTTAAACTAAACTTTCTATTTCCCTTTGTTAATTTCATTATGTTTCTGTGGAGTGCCAAAATGATATCCTTCTCTCAATTTCGATTTTTATTCTTACACTGTGAAGTCCTTTTCTTAGAAGTTAACATTTTTGGGAATTGCTGTAATTTAGTTTCATCTTTATAGCAGCTTCTAACTTTTGAGGTAACTTGAGTTTAAAAAATATAAATGGAAATGCATCATTAGAACTCTGAAAAATAAGATTTGGTCCATTTTTTGATCAATGCATTTTTAAAAAACTAATAATGTCATCCAGTTATACCTTGAAGAAGATAAAGGACAAGGAGCCAGAAGAAAATAACCTTTGATGTCACTTGTAGCCACCACCTGAAGAAGAATGGGAAGAAAACAACTCTAACAATCCCCTTTCTAGTCAGAGATGTCCAGGGACTTTCTGGTTTAGCTTTAGCAAATGCAGAGCCTAAACAGAAGACAAACAAATCACTTAGGTTGCATAGCAATATAGACAATTTACAATTACCATTTGACTAAGATAAAATCCTAAGACTTTGTGTGAGATATATATGCCATATTTACATGGAACATATTCCTGTGTGTGAAGCTGAACTTCTAAAGCTGTGTACTTTCAGCAAAATAAGTAGTAGTACTTCATAAACAACTGTAAATATATTTTGTCCTATATGAAACATGTGTCTGGTACAGGAAATCATATGCGGGAACTGTCTCTAAGCTTGGAACAGAAGTGCAGACTGCCATAGCATGACACATGGGAAATACCCAATGGAATACTGTGTAATTCATCTTTCTACCATGTAAAACATATAATTATAGTGTAATGCTATGCATGTTTAGAAGCGAGACTTATTGTGCTCAATGGAGCTTTCTTACAGGAAGATACATACAGGACTGCAGCCTTATTCAGTGCAAAAATTCCAGTGAAAAGCCCAAGTTTTCTTCCCCTTTGTGTTTTGGAATCCAAAATTCCAACATATGGGTGGTGCATACTTGTAGAACAGAGGACTACAGTAATAGATGCAAATGGAAATAGAAAAGGGGGAATTTATTTCACTGAATAACATGCCAAAGGGATAAGCCTGATGCTGACAGTGGATAATAACAGACCACACATACCTGCCACTATTCCTGGTTCTTTTGCAAGAGCTACATACATTTCTACACATACTTCTACAAAGAAAAAGAAAAACAGGACCCAGTCTTGCTTCTACAGCAGGGTTGGGAAACCTGTGGGCCTCCAGATGTTGCCAGATTACAACTCTCAGAATCCCTGACCATTGGCCATGCTGGCTGGTGCTGATGGGAGACAGACTGCAACATCTCAAGGGCCACAGCTTCCGCATCCCTGTTCTACAGGAACAGAATAACAGAATTAAACTAAGCCGTGGATTTAGATCTCTCAAAGTCAGTACTGTATCAGAAACAGCAAAGATAAAAATTCTCTTTCCTATAAATTACAGGGGACTCAGGACTGATCATCTGGTATGGAAATACTGGGTCAAGTATGCCAGGGGCAGCCAATGCGGTGCTCTCCAGTGGTTGTTGAACTACAGCTCCCAGCATCCTCTGTAATTGGCTGCACTGGCTGAGGCCAATGGGAGTTGTAGTCCCACAGCATTTAGAAGGCACCACATTGGCTCCCCCAATGTATGCCATTGGTTTCTTTTGATTTGCAGCAGGGGAAAATGATAGGAAACTAGCACTTGGGTGGCACCTTTTGAGATTAGTCACAATCAGGTGCTAGAGGCGTTCAGTGCTCCTGAAATCACAATTATTAAATGTCTTATGATGAGGGAGACTCCCTCTAACCTCATCTTGACAGGTGATGTCAAGTCATGAAAGTGCGTTATACAACAGCTATGTGAAATTTCGCTACCTTTATTGGAGTTACTTCCTGCAACCTGAATTTCACTGCTCTGAAGAGGGAAACTACTCGGAAGTGAATGTATCTAACACGGCATGTTGTGCACAAGTTCAGAACTGCAGCAAAATTTAACTGCGGGCTATTACTTCCAAGTTCACCTTGCAAATCCAGCCTACCCTTGATCTAAAAATAAATAAATCTGAGAACGCACATTTGAGCAGCATTCTGGTTTCTTTTAATCAATTACACATGAATCTGTCCACAGAGTTGTTACATTGCAACTGCCCAACCTGCAATAAGCTGCGCACTGATGGGGGTATAACGAGGCTAGGAAATACACAAACACCATATGTATTCCCCTTTAAAAAAAGATGTCCCCAAATGCACTCTACCATGTAAAACAATAAAATAAATAAATAAATTGACATATTGATCAATACTGCATTCCATATTTAAGAGATCCATTCCTACCTCTTACAAGATCAACATCTATGAGATCTGGCTTTACATGCCCAGTTTTCTTTGGCTTGTTTCTCAAACCCTGTAATATGCAAATAATATTGGATTATTATTATTACAATTAAAGGAAAAATACTTTTCATATAAGCAGGGGCCAGTAACTGTGGTGAACTTAAAGTTATCAGGTTTTCATCTCCTGAGCTGTGCACTATTTCCTATTTGAAATCTACTTTTAAGAAAGATTCCAATTTGCCATGTATCTCTACTAATGAAAAATATTTTTTGCTTTAAAAATACAAGTATATTGCTGATGCAAATACAAAGGTATAATGAAAATTACTGTCCTTTTTATTATATTTCCCAGAACACCTAAAGGAGTTAATTAAGTTCAATTATGCAGCCACATACGAACACACACATGCTTGCCAGAGTTAGTAAATACTTACTTTGACATCTATTTCATTTTGCCTTTAATTTTCAAAGAAACATATCCACTAGACTTTGAAATTCAAACTGTGGTACAAGAATAGATGTAAACTTATTACAGCCCTCTTCCTAAGTGTTTGAAGTTTGTCTTTCTGAGAGACAAAACGTACATCATGAAGCTTCCAAGCTAAAACTTGTGTAAATTTACAGGCTAAGAGAAAACTAAAAAAAAAACAAAAACAACAGAACACACCACAGTATTAAGTATTTGTTTCTAAAGTAAGGATCTAAAACAAGTTTCTAAATTAACTTGTCACTTTGGAGAAAAATATCAGAACGTCCAATATACTGAGGACAAAACTTACTATTCATCCTGCTTTAGAGAGATTTCTATTTCCATCTCTGTCAACCTATCTGCTAGTCCTTGAAAGTATGGCAAAACCTGGTATTAGATCACACTGACCCTTCTGAACTACTCAGTAGCCCCCCTGGCCCATCTCAAACTCTACAATTGCTTATAGCACACATGGACAACCTTTTCAGTAGCAGGCTTTCAACATCCTCTTTACTGACAGGTTCTGTCCTACACTGATATTCTCCAGAGCTGGTGCTAGATACAGGGCTCTGAATATCACTTTGTCCATCTCGTAACCTTCAGCTGCACCCTGAATCACATGCAACAGGAGAGACCACTTATTTTAATCCTGTTCATACTCTGCTAGAAGCTGTTAAGTATCATATGCATTTTCCTCTTACGGAAAACACACACTGGAATTTAGCTTAAATGCTAAATATTAATTAATTAGCTTAAATACATAATAGATGCTAGATAGATAGATAGATAGATCCCTGAACAATGTGGCTCAGTAGCCACAATATGACCAAATTCCAACATACAGGTGCATCTAAAATGGACAGCTAAGTTCACAATGCTCATAGTAGAGGCTTGCAGCCAAAGAATTGGCAAGTATTTTTAAATCAGTATGTGAATCATAGGATTGCCAAATCACAATACTCTAGTGATAGTAGAAGCCACAACCAGTAGGATTTGCCTGTCAGGTTCTAGAAGAGCTATCAAACCTATACCCATGGTCCACAATCCCATGCTTATCCATTCCCCTCCTGCACTGTTCTGATATGAAGTTTTGATGCAGTCCTTACATAATCCTCGGCTATTTCTTACTGTAGCCTCATGTCTTCCTTTGTCTCCTCATATTGTGTTTTACATTAACACCTGCTTTGTCTTGTTTCCTTTCATCTGTCTCTTGGCTAGTGCCCTAGCACTGGACTATGGGACATGAAGAGGACACTATATAGATTTTCCTGACTGGAAGACTGGGTTTTCTTCAGAGCACCATCTCAGTCTCTGTCTCCTCTGCTTGTTTAACAAAGATTTATTCACCACTTCTTCCCATTAGGTTCCTGTTTTTCCATCTTTAGTCTCCAAATCTTCTAGCTTTCTGATTTCCTGGGATGAGTTCAGCCTGCCCCACAAAGATACAAATCAGTGTTCTAAACTCCAATTGTTCTAGGCACATTTTGCGACAGGGAATTTCATTAGCGCAAGCAGTTTCTGAGCTCTGGGCGCAGTACTGTGTCTAAGATTTCAGATTAAAACTGCAGAGTGGAAGGAATGGAGGACCTTTCTCTGCCTCCCCACTTCCAGCTACTCTCTGAAGACTGGAATAGTGAAGAATATTGGATAAGAGACCCTCTTAAGCAGGGGTCAGCAACCTTTTTCAGCCGTGGGACGGTCCACCATCCCTCAGACCATGTGGTGGGGCGGACTATATTGGGGGGGGATGAACAAATTCCTACGCCCCACAAATAACCCAGAGATGCATTTTAAATAAAAGGACACATTCTACTCATGTAAAAACACACTGATTCCCGGACCGTCCACGGGCCGAATTGAGAAGGCAATTGGGCCACATCTGGCCCACAGGCCTTAGGTTGCCTACCCCTGCTCTTAAAAATATTAGGGGGGTGGGCAGGGGAAGGACTAGACCATGGGGGAAAAAAGAACATATTTTTACTGCAGCTCATTAATTTTCAGCTTTGTATTCTTGTTATAAAAAAGCACACCTAGACATTCCGTTGTTGTGCCCATAACCTAGGTTTAAGGTGCCATTTAGCTCCTATCTTTCATATCTCAGTTTCTAACACTGCTACAAATACCTCTAAGAAACTTAACACTAGCCAAACTGGACAACACCCACTTCCCAGAGATGGTCACCAACTTTGATGTGCTTTTTGTACCAGGTGGAATTTTTACCTTTTAGATTTGTGCTTGCTTGGGCATTTTAATCCTGTGTAACTCTGCATTTTGTTTGAACTTCTATTCTATAGACCCCCTTATGTAGTTGAAGAGAAGCATATAAATGGTTCACTAAACAAAATTAAAACTTTCTTTTCCCTCACAGAGCTGGGCCTGCAAACACTGACAACATTGTTCCCTGAACAGTTTGGATCTTACAGCATTCCAGGCTATCAGATCAGCTCAACTAATCAATGTCAAAAGCTTCACTGCTGCAACCACAATAGATTATAGATCTGCCAAGAGAATGTAGAGCTCCAGTTAAAAGGAAATTGAGAAGGTAGTTACAGACACTTGGAAGTTGTTTACAATGATAACAGGGCTTTCAAGTTAAACATACACCACTTATTAGATAAGGCAAGTTCAAACAATTATCTGTTAAACTTCAGACTAAATGAGACTATAAAAGACAAGATTACTTCTTGTAAAACTATTAAAACATGAACACACACACACACACACACACACACCCAAGCAAGAAGTCTGGCAAACCCAACATAAGTTGACAATAAGAAAGCCAAGAAGGAACTTTATGAGCAACTTCATAGTGATGTAAAAATGAATAACACTGGTAGCAGGGTAGCAAACAAGCTGTACAATGGAGACATTAGACCAAAATAAATAAATGGAGTACTAAAGGAGACATACAAACTCATGAGACATTATTTTATGGCAGAACAAAAATATATATGTTAAATACCGTAGTGGTAAGAGGACACAGAATGTATAACAAGCCATCTATGATGGTTGCATTTTGCAAACATAGCAGTCATAATCCAGGAGGGTTGGTTATTTCTTCAATCAGAAGCTGAGTAACACATAGGAAGCAGAAAATAGAAATAAACTTATTTATTTGGCATCTGGCAGCAGAGGCATACTGTGGGCCTTTCTAGTTGCTGTGCTTTACCTATGGAAATTCTGTAATAGTTGTTGTGTTATTCAAATAACAGCACAGTTTTCAGGTAACTCGAAACCAAACAATGGTTCAGTGTGAACAAGCAAACATGCAGGTTCTTGGATGGTGGCCAGTTTCTCCCACAGTCCTGCTGCTGCTGCTGCCGTACCACTCAGAACTAAGCTTTGGTTGGGCTTAACGTTACATCAAATCCAAATCTTTATAAAAAGTGAGAATCTTCCCTTTCTTTTTGCCCAAAGGAAAACTTGATCCCATACTGCGAGTGATGAACTCATTATGAATCTATGGGATTTAATACTTCAAATCATCCCCAGTTTCAGCTGCTGAGAAACCTTTAGAAGAGTTTCCTAGTCACCCAAATATGGCACAACTCAAAAGAAGAGCAACAGGGTAGCCAAGTTTGCAGATGACCACTATTAAAAATTGTAAAATCCCAGATTGCCACAAGCTTCAAAAGGATATTTCTAAACTTGGTGAATGGACCACATATGAGATCCAACAAAAGCAACGAACAGAATTATGTGCATGAGAATTAAAGACTATTTTCACATATGTGCTGATGCGGTCTGAACTGACTACCAACAACCCAGAAACATCCTGGGGCCATAGTGGAAAATTCACTAAATCTGTTAGTGCTACTGCAGTAAAAGAAGTTAGTGTTGAGAATGGTTAGGAAAGGGATAGAAAGAGAAAACAAATAACTGATGTGATTAGAGACTTGTGTCCAAAGAACATTTTTAATTAGGCAGTATACAAATCATAATAAAGAATAAAATAAAAACAGCCAATAATCTCATTTTATAAACTGACAACGTGCACAAATGTAGAATTTTGTACATAGTTCTAGCTGCCTCATGTAAAAATGAGAAGGTACAGACAACTTTATTGCTGCTTCACTGTACTTATTCTATAGGTCCATTCAATTGTTCTCTTTTAATGCTTATCTGTTTTAAACTCACTCTAATGTTTTTATTATACTTTCAGGTGTTATTCTGTAAGCTACATTCCAGCTTAAACAAATGAGCAACTGAAATGATAAGAGGATTGAAGTGTTTCCTCTGTAAAGGAAGACAAAAGTTTAAATTTGGAAAAGGATTATGGAGCAGAACCACTGGTTCCCACAAGCTGTAGCAGGAGAAGATGGCAAGTGTGCCAGGAAGATTCAAGGACAGTCAATATTATATTTTGAGAATGATAAATGTTCCTATGTAGCTGCATTGTTTTATACTTTCTGGATATCCCATGATAATATTATAAAATAGCACTGCTAGGCTAAGTTGTTTCTTTTTATTTTCCAATGCATTACTTATCAATTTTTTTAAATGGTGTGGTGTGAACAAATTTTTATTCTGAAAAGTGTGGCAAAGAGAACGAAGTATGAGAACCACTGCTATATACATTTATAAAATTATTTGTATTGCCTGTATAAAATAATTCATCCTTTGTCCAATGTTATAAGTTTAACATGATGTATTTAGGACAAACAAAAGTAGCTGTATTCTATGCACTGGATAAAACTTACAGAATTCATTGCCAGAAAATGTTGCCATCGACATCAGCAGATATATATATAGGCACAAAAACTAAAAATTAAGCCTTCAAGTTCAGGCAGTTTGTAATCTTCCTAAGGGCATCTGGTAAGCCTATGACGGAGGCAGAGTGCTTGACCAGATGGACATTGGCTTGTTCTTACGAGCTCCAATGAGAACTAAGAGCACATCAGTAGAAATCTCAATGGCATCAACTGGCCTATTCTGAGAAAATCTGGTGTGTTTTTATGTTTCAATACAGTACTTTGTTAGTGAGTCATACTGCCCCTGTAAACAATGAAAGTACTTGCTCATTGCTCGCTGCTTCAATATCCCCTCCCAGCACTACTACTGTGTGTTCGTTCTTCTGTCAGGAAAAAGAACGGGTGTACATGCAGCAGGCACAGCACTCTGTCAGTCTTATCTCACTCCTCCATCTCTCTTCCTGACAGAGGAGATAACACAGGTAGCACACACAACAACCCTATCGCTCAGCTGTGTTTTCCCAGCTGATGAAACACGGCCAGCCTCACAACTGAATGAAATGCATGCAGGTAGGCAGCAGGAGGAGGAACCACCAGGCAAGTGCATTTTCCACCTGGTTACTTGCACTGAGACAACAGTTTCAAGGCGAGAAGCGTGTTACAAAGTTATCTATTACTGTCTGTTTGAAAGGACAGAGTTTCGTGGAACAAACCACTGGATTCCCAATAGTTAGCTCATAGCACTCAAGCCAACAGAAGCTTGATTTTAACCTTTTTCAAGTGCAGCACATTCAGAGCTGGAATCTAATGGTTGTTTTCCATTTCATTTCTGGAAAATGAAAAGGTGCTGTTTCGGATGGTAATGATATACGAAAATATGGAACCACAATAGATGGCCAGAAGGTATAATATCATATCAAAGGAAGCAGGGGTTTATTATAATCCCAGCATTACAGTTTCTTGTCTCTTTAGAAGAGTGGGTGAATCCTTAAATGAACCAAACAATGTAGCCCTATGAATGTCTATTCAGAAACAAGTCCCACTGAGCTTAATGGGACTTAATTCCAGGCTAAAGTGTAGGATCACACCCTAATTGTTTTAAATGGAAAACAGAAGTGATGCTAAAGCATTTAGATGCTTTTGAAGTAGTTACTTATTCATCAGATACTTGAAGGCTTTTGTTAGTCACACTAAGATGCAGAGACACAGTTAATCTACAAAAGCTGTTTTGTTTAACACAAATTTCCATAATCAAGTACTTACCAATTTAATAAACTGTTCAAAACAATGACAGGATGAAAAATGAGGAAAAGTAAACTGGAACTATAAAGGTAACCATGTGATAGTCAGTGATATCTGACCAAAAAGCATGTAAAATATGAAGGGAATTATCTATGATATAGCATAAGGCAGCTTAGTGCAACATAACTAAAAACACCCCAATATTATTTTTAAGCACTGTGACTGGGAGTTCCCCAAGTAAAAGATCTATCCTAGCTGTTTCCTTTAAGGAGGCTCCTCCACATAAAAACTCACATCCACACCAAACAGCATACAGTTTTGATGCAAGTGAGAGACAAACCCTAGCCAAGATTCCATAATCTAAAGACTTCCTACACCCACAAAATGTCCTCTCCCACCCTAACTCTTGTACCAGTTTTTTTCATTTCAGTAGAACTTCTTTAAAGTTTAACCCACCCACCACAAAAAAACTGCAGATTGGTAAGGATTACCATTACTATCACTACATGATAACAAAGAATTCACAAATGCTATTAAAATAATTCACAAATGGAACATCCTTTGTCCTGGGGGGGAAAAACAGCACACACCTGTGTCACAATAAAGTCTTATCAAAATAAATTCTGAATTACAATATATCCCTGATTTTCAAACTATATACGTGAGAACTATGTGCTTTATCGTGCTTTCTCAATGACAATATAAGTAACAGAGGACAAGCTTCTCAAAAACTTCCCTGCTGCTTAATGACTTTCCCCTACAATAGACATTTCAGGGGGACATTGGACATATTCTTGAGAACACATAGCTGTCATAGGACAAGAACTAGCCCAAAGGCACCTTGCTCACACCCTGCACCGAAAAAAGTGCACCCCAGAGTCCTCTGTACAGGAGTTGTGCAGCAAATTAAATGATTTGGAGTGAGCTTGTTAAGTTTGACATTCAGTACCATAAAACAATAAAAAAAAATCTAAACTTTACCTTGATTTCTCTTTGTTCTACAGATTTTTCCCATATTTGCTGGTCATATGCCCCAATCTAAACAGGAAAGAGGAAAGTCTACATTAAAATGAGATCATTCACAGTATAATCAGAAACAACACCCACACACCCTCACCACACTTAAAGTCTCCAAGAAAGCATGTGGATCCAAGACTACTGCCAGAAGTGTTTCCGCCAGCGGTAGCCAGTGTAGTACTCCAGAACAGGGCAATCCAGAGGCAAGGCAAGGCCAGCTATGGGTCTTCTGGATCCTAAACCATTTCCTGGAGGTGGGACAAGGAAAAAACAATACAAGCACCCCCACTTTTGGCCCTGGATAATATGAGTCAGCAGGGCTTTAGATGTGATGGCTTATCCACTGTTCTGCCCCACTGCTCCCAGATACTGCTTAGGACTGTCTGACAAATAAAGCTGCTTTTCTCTCAGAATCTGCTTTGTGCACTACATGTAGTCTATGTGCCTGACTACTCGCAGGATTTCTTTTAGCATCAGTTGCAGACTTACAGTGCTGACAGAAAAGGAACCAAAACAAATTACTTGAGGCTTATATCACTTTCAAGAATGGTTCTCAATAGGCCTGCATGTGAAAATACCAAATCGGAATCTACATAACATATCAACAACTGCTCCATTCGGAGGATACTAGATTTCTGTGAGGCCCTGTACGTAGTTTCCGCTATGTGGACAACTCATTTGATCAGTTCCTGTTCCTGTCTGTATGCTTAGATAAGGACCATGCCTGGGTGTCAAATATTAGGCAGAGAGGCTCCAAACTTTCAGCTGTAGTAGATTTTATTAGAATAAAAACCAAAAAAAATCAGGTTGTACTCAGGATGTCACTGGAAATGTTAAGAAGCTATTCAGACATAAGCATGGCATTCCAACCACAAACCCTAAGCTCTTACACACACACACCAGCAAAATAAAACATGATTTGCATAAACCATAGTTTACCTATGCACACTGTCATGTGTGATTCTTGTTTGTGGGCAAAGTATAGCTTGCCACTAGCCTGGAAAATGGGAGAAATTAATCACTACACATAACGGGAAGACAGGGTGCAAGAGCCTGAGGCCTGTAGTTATAATATTAAACTGTGATCTAGCTTTATGCTTGAACAGCCTCAAAGAGAAAAACAACCACAGCTTAGCTTCATTTTATAAAGTGGCTACTGACTTTCAGAAGAAGTTACATGATTTGCAGTGTATGTTCCTTTAAACAATTCTTTGCCCCAATATTATTCCTTTAAATAATTCTTTGCCCCAATATTATTCCTTTAAATAATTCTTTGCCCCAATATTATTTTCCTGGTTTTGCTATAGATTTAAATATTCTCTTCAAATACCTTTTCCTCCCGTTTCAGACTTTTGATGTTTGATTGTTTTTATTTACCTCGTTTTTGTCTTTTCAGCCACACTGAACTGTCATCACTTCCTCCGCTAGTGGACTCAAGTGGCGAGCACCAACAGAAAGGGACCCAAACAGAGCACTGAGAAACAAGCAGATCACTATGCTGGGGAGAGTGTGGTGCTCTGCTTGGTTTACAGCAGGCATAGGCAAACTCAGCCCTCCAGATGTTTTGGGACTACAACTCCCATCATCCCTAGCTAACAGGACCAGTTGTCAGGGATGGTGGTAGTTGTAGTCCCAAAACATCTGGAGGACCAAGTTTGCCTATGCCTGGTTTACAGCTTATATTATTCTGGGAGGTCGGCATAACTTGCCAGCAGCTGCTCAAGTGGAGTGAGGATACACAACATCTGTTGAAGGTGCCACTTGTTTCAGAGCACTGATCAAACTTGACCACAATGCTGTTTGTTTCATCATGTTGTTGCGGTGAGAGTGTTGCACTTAAGAGTAGAGAGAACTGGTCAAAGCCCCACACAGAACTTGAACCACTTACTATGTTTCAGCCTAATCTAACTCACATGAAGTTCATAATCATCCCTGCATGTATGCTTTCCTCAGGGAGGCAGGATATATAAATGTAAAAGATAAATAAAATACATTTCTAAAGGAAATATGCTTTCAAGAACAGATGACTTTTGCATGGACATCAAAGTCGTACTTTTCTGAAAATTACACAAAACACAGCTCTAACATTATTTCAAGAAGCCTCTTCTTTCCCATAAAAGTTTCAGCTATTTTTTCATTAAAAGTCAACCACATTTTAAGCCTCTTCTTGGTGGTTAAACCTGGTTTTGCCAAATATTCTGCCTACTTATACTCTATTCGTAGATACAGTTGCAAGTGTGTAATGAATCCAACACTCAGTGAAACAATTCCTATCTGTCAGGCCTCTAAAAAGGATCAGAAGATGTTTTGTATAGTAGACCCTAACATAACCCTCAAGGTTAGAGCAAACCTTCGGAAAATCCAACTCTTATGTACTACAACAAGGACAAATATATTTGAACAAAACAGGCTATATTTTCAAAGCATGCCTACAACTGTATACACCTTCCAAAGTAGTTTACTCACCTCAGACTAAGCCCCATTGAAGTCAATGAGACATCCTTCTGAACAGATATGTCACTAACAATGCAAAGCCTGCTTCAAAAAACTGAACTACTCTTGAGATTTCTTTCTGTCTGACTCTCTTCCCTCAGACATATTGTTCATAACCAGAGTTATGACTACCATGACACTTTTAGCTGTATTTAATAAGCACTGATACTTCTGAAGTGTCGCTAAGTAGCTCAGCATTCATTGTTTAATTAAAAAAAAGCTGAAGACGACAAACATTTGATCTCCTAGGATACTTGTGCTGCAATCTTAAACTCACTATTTTTATTATTTCATTTAATCTCTTAGTCACCCAATAAATGTCACTCATAACTATGAAGTAAGTTACTAGGAACTTGATTTATTTTTAAGCAAACATGTTTAAGACTGCATTGTCAAGAGGTCAAATGTTCACCTTAAGATTTCAAAGCATTTCCCTAACAACACACCCTCAGAAACAGCCTCCTACATTTTTCTTACTAGATCTCCCTGGCCCTGCATGATAGGGAAACCCCTGGCTCTGTTGTTCAGTTCTATTTACAGGGAGGAGAAAATGAAGGGATATACTATAAACTGCCATAAGTCACATAATAGAGGGAAACGGGTAGCACTGTGGTCTAAACCACTAAGCCTAGGGCTTGCCAATCAGAAGGTTGCGGTTCGAATCCCCACGATGGGGTGAGCTCCCGTTGCTCGGTCCCTGCTCCTGCCAACCTAGCAGTTCGAAAGCACCTCAAAGTGCAAGTAGATAAATAGGAACCGCTCCGGCGGGAAGGTAAACGGCATTTCCGTGCGCTGCTCTGGTTCGTCAGAAGTGGCTTAGTCCTGCTGGCCACATGACCCGGAAGCTGTACACTGGCTCCCTCACCCAATAAAGCAAGATGAGCGCTGCAACCCCAGAGTCGTCTGCGACTGGACCTAATGGTCAGGGGTCCCTTTACTTTTAAATTGCATAATATGCTATCCACGATATATAATTATAAGGCAGATGAAAGAACACAAATATGCTGAGAGGGAATACTGAAGACAGACTAATGCTGAAGAAATAAAAGAAGATGATGAGTTGAAAATGTTGTTATGTGGTCATGGGTCAGCTGAATGACTGGAGGGTAGTATCTGGTTCCCATATAACCTTGAATAATCCAAGGAGGTTCTGTTTTCATTTGAATATATAATCATCCCAATTTCACGGCTGCAGATGGAAAACACAACAGCAGTTCAAAAACAACACACAGAGTGGAGCTACAACAATGGTCTTCTCTGTCAGCATGATTAAGTCTAATTTTTAGGCTCACCTCCAGGATTTTTTGAGCCTTAAGTATGAGACAACTTTAGACCATTTGGCCCTGCCTCTCTCTGCTTGGCTTCAGGACTGAGTGTGACTGCATGAACGCCACTAGCCAGTGATATGAAACATTACTCAAGGTCAGGAACGCAGATGGCACAAAGCAGAAAACATTCCTCTTGTGGGGGAAGTGATGGGAGAAGTGTAGCTTACTGTAAACGTCTTACACGAAATAAAATTTGTGGCTTGCAAAGCTGAAGATACTGTTCTTTTTTGTAAGAGAGGCTGAAGAGAATAAGCAATTCAATCAAGAACTGACAAGTGGAGTCATATCTTATAAAGATGATAGGAGCACTATACAACCTAAAGGTACATAGGATTTTTATTTATTTTTGGCGGGGTGGGGGGACAAGGTAAGGAAAAGGAAGTGAGGCTTGCTAGCACTAAAGATACAGGGAGGACTTTATTATGAACCGTCAGGAAGCCTCCTAACCTCTTACCATGGTTCACTGAAAATTTAACGGCTGCCACTGCCATTATGCCACTCAGAGAATGCTCACGTTCCAGTACATATGTGATAATTGCCAAACTGAATGAGTAAAATTTATTACGATTTAGTCATCACACCAGCCCTTTACCACAACAGGAAACTAAGTAGGATAAACTACAAATCTATTATGTATTGCTGCTCTGTCAAAAGGAATGCTTGCATCTTGCAACACATGCTTGTCAGGTACAATGTATAGTTGTGGATGAAAAGGAATAGGCTTATTCAACCCAATAGCTTCAGAGCTTATACACTGTTTTTTCAAGTATATTTCTGACTTGCTTTAATCTGCATGTTGACGGTCCAGAAGGATACCATGGTTGATAGTATCAAAAGCCACTGAGAGATCCAGAAGAACCAGAAAATAGCTTTCATTTCTATCCCTAGCCTGCAGGAGATCACTGACCAGTACAACCAGGGCAGTTTGAATCTTATGGTGGAGCCTGAAACCTGATTGAAAAGGATCCAAATAGTGCATATCCTCCAGACAAGGCTGAATGGGATACTTGAGACTAGAATATAATTGGCAATAATGGTTGGGTCCAAAGATGTTTTTTCAAGAAGCAAGTTTAGTAACAGCTCTTTTAACTGTTCCAGGAAGACTCCCTCACAGAGAGAAGCATTCACCACACCACAGACTCCATTGCCCAGCCCTGCCTGGCTAGATTTTATGAGCCAGGATGGGCAAAGTGAAGAAGGATCAAATCAGCACCAGGAAGCCTTTGCTAGTCTTCCTATTCTCAACCTATTGGTGGCCACATGAACTGCCATGTACCGTATTGGTCCAAATATAAGCCACACCTTTTTTTTCCAAATTCCAATCCGGAAAAGTTAAAGTGTGGCTTATATTTGTGACCTTATGATATCGCTGCTGAAACAGCTGCCCAGGAAGGCCATCAGGGGTGCGGGACAACGGCGCACTGCCCACCCATGACTCCCAGGCCTCCCCCAGCTGTCTCACTCCCATACATATAGGGTCTCATCCCCATCAGCAACCATGCTGCAAGATTCTGCAGTTTCCAAACCAAGCACAAGAGAAGCCCCACATAAAGATTAGATTACTGAAATGCACTGTAAGTGATCAATACTGAATTACTTTTAAATTTTTGACCTAAAAGACAGCATATATTCAGTTGTTTATTAAGTAGTAGTTCCACTGCAGTCTACATCTGTTGTGATCCGGCCCGCAGGAACCCTGGCAAAGTAGAATGCAGTAACTTCAGATTATAATGAATAACAAGATGAAAAAATCTTTTTTAATAATTCCAGTGGCACCTTTAAGATCTACTAAATATAAGCTTTCAAGGTATGAGCTTTCGTGTGTAATACACTTCATCATTCATTCAGATTGTTCAGATTGCAAAACTCATCTACATGATGGCTACCTTTTACTGTACTAACATCACAATATCAGTCCACCTTAACACATATGCAATTACCATTTTGTTAACATTCCAATTTCCCCACATTAACCTAAACTGGACCAATTCCGAACTGCTCCTGAAACTATTACTAAACCAATACTAGCCTGAATCAGAGCTGCAATTAGCAGTTGAAACTACAATGAAATCAAAACAAGAAAGTTAAATGGCTTGGCTTCCTCATTTGAAGGAGAAATTATTTGATGCAACATAATTCTGAAAAAGGATATAAACATACAGGGCACTATTAGATGTCAAAGTTCTGCTGCTAAACCATAGTTTAATGTGACCACACAAGCGGCAGCAAATCTTGGGCTTGCATATCTATATTCCCTTCTCCTGCATGAGGCATGGCTATAAAGAGTTCAGAAGCCTTTGCTTCTGAATTTGTTCATTTACGCGATCCAAAACTCTGGTTTATTTGACACAAGGCAATGCCAAACCATGGTTTAACTTGCGCCCCACCCCCAGGGCTAAATTTAAACCATAAAGGTTTTACATATGACAATTACAAAGGTGACATATTATTAAGATGTTAAGATGACTACTGCTAAGTGACAAAGCCATGCTCTGTAAATCTGTTTATTTCCTAATTCATGATTCATGCCTAAACAATCCCACTGAACATCCATTTGTGCCTAACAGGCAAAACTCCAATGAACCAGATTAAAAGGATTTGTTTCTAGAATAGCAAACTAGCTGCTGCTAACTGAGGAAAACAAACAGCTGAATTCTGATCACGCCCACTTTCAGGCCGCCTTGATTAACAAAACTTCCTTTGAAGAGAATGTTGCATCTTGGAGGTCTGAAAGCTTTTAAAAGAATGAGAAAAAGGCTATATATTACAAACAAAGGCAGAACAGCACTGTAGCTTCGCTGCTCAAATTAGAGCACAATATAGAAAAACGGTAAATTTGATCTTTAGTCCAACAACTTGAGCAAAAACCTGTGACTCAAAACTTCCATTAAACAAGTGAACATGGCACGTTTCTGTCTTCTCAAAGAAAAAGCCTGACAATGGCCGTTTTGGAGCATAAAGCTAAGAACTTAGTCTAGTTCTGGGGTGCCAACGGAGTGCTCATGGGCACAATGGTTCTGCTGAGTTTATCCTGTTGCTGCAAAGCAACCTAGTGCCCTCCTCCACACACTGCCATCTTCTTTGTGATGTGATGAGGGTGGTTGCTTTTTTTCTCCTTTGAAAAGGATATAGCACTGAAGGAAGGCATTGGAAGAATGACTCTCACTTCCTCTTTTGACTCTATGTGCTTTTCAAGGGTCAGGTGGGGATCTGAGCAGCTGAACAGAAAGGAGAATGAAAGGCAACATGGAAAAGGAGGGAGGGCAGGACGGAAAGGGGAGGGCAAGCCTTCCAGCTTGCAGGTTGTACTTCGTTTTTTCCTTTGCACACACGCGTTGGGTACAATATGATGGATCTTCTTCAAATGGCTTAATTTATAAATCGTGTCAACTCCCGCCCCCTGCTGAAAATATTACTATATATAAATATGGTGATAAGAACTATTAGTATGCACACACCTTTCTCTACATTATTACCTTCCTGTGTTTGAGTGCTTTGACTCTCAATAAATTCTGAAAGCAAGCAAGCAGGCAAACAAAAGTGAAAATTCAAATATTACAAATAGTTGTGCAAATTACTTTAATTAGCATAAAATACCCAACTGTGAAACATGGAGATCATAGTCACAGAATTCTGGATTTGCTGAAGAAAGCCAACTACCTGCTAGTATCATAACTGACTCCCTAATTCTTCAGGTTTCACATAAAATCTGGAGGGACTCATTTAGAATGGTCATTTTGCTGTGCTCTTCCTTACAACATCACAAAATGTCTCTCAAATTAACCCAATGCAGACAAATTAAGTATGGCACAGTGCAAGGATCACTGCTTTAAAAATTATATCTACTGATTCATTCTTCCCCATTACTGTCCTGTGGAAAGAAAAATGTGTATTCTTTCCAAGACTAAACTTGAGCTTTGTGACAGACACCGATATTCACTTTAAGCATAGGCTGTGATAGTATCAACTTGTAGTCCAATACTCACGAAGCCTGGTGTTTCTAATAGAAACAATAAATATTTCAGAAGACATTTATAATTCATGTCCAAGAGGACGACCATCCTCCAAGATGATAGCCCAAGTATAAATATTGTTTTAATCAACCTGGCAATATTATAATGGCCTTTCTTAAAATATTTTAAGCAATAGAAAAATGTAAGCAAGATTTAAGCAGTATTAATTCTGCAATGCATATTTAGCCTCTTAGTTGGGAAGGAAAGCCCAGGTGAAGTGACAGTAGATGTACTTCTGGATGAACTTCCAAATAAAACTACAGTTTAAGGAATTAATATCACTGTATTAAAAACATTAACAACTATTGTATATAAAAGTTAAATTTGGAATGTTCACATGGCTGGTCTAAAAGTAAAGGCCAAGTCACTTGTATGTAGAAATCTATTTTCAGCTGTATTACATCCTTTAAAACCATTTCTGTTTTTATAAATTCCATGTCTTTTAAATCACAAAGTGATTACACTACAGTTTTAGTTGAACCATCAAAAGGTATGACATCTGAAGGCAGCCCTGCATAAAGGGAAGCTTTTAAATGTTTTATTACGCTTTTATATATGTTGGAAGCCACCCAGAATGGCTGGGGAAACCCAGTCAGATGGGGGGGGGGTAGAAATATTAAATTATCATCATCACCATCATGCACTGAAAAGTAGTAACAGCATCAGCCATAACTGTTGCAATTGTTTTCAGTAAATTGTTGCTCATTCCAACACAAGAATGTTTTATACAGTGCATTTCTGAGCACAATTCAAAGTGTTGGCTCTGACCTTTAAGGCCCTAAACGGCCTTGGCCCAGTATACCTGAAAAAGCGTCTCCATCACCTTTGCTTAGCCCGGACACTGAGGTCCTCCTCCAAGTGTCTTCTGCTGGTTCCCTCACTGCGAGAAATGAAGCTACAGGGAATCAGGCAGAGGCCCTTCTTGGTAGTGGCACCCTCCCTTCAGATGTCAAGGAGATAAATAACTATACAACTTTTAGAAGACATCTGAAGGCAGCCCTGTATTGGGAGTTTTTAATGTTTGGTGCTTTCTTGTGTTTTATATATTCTGTAAGCTGCTCAGAGTGGCTGTGGAAACTCAGTCAGATAGGTGGGGTATAAAAATCGTTCGTTAGGCAAGTGTTTGCATAGTGAGTTGATGATTTCCATTGTTTTCTATATGAACATTTCCAATCCATGATTTGCCCATTCTCTCGGCAGCCAATCAGCAACAGCAAAACAAAGGAAATACTTATTTGGCAATTCTCTCCTGCTCCCCGATTTGTCTGTTATTTCTCCCTCCCTCCATGGTTTTTGCCTGAAATGGCTGGTACTGACCAGCAAAACAAAAACAACTAAGGAAGTGCAAACTGTTCAAATATCTGAATCAGCTGTTCATGTAGAGAGGTTAGGGTATAATTCCTTGTGTTCAGATAACAGATTTCAGGTAACAAGTGTTCCAATAGGGGGACCTGTGTGTACATAGGAGCATTCCATGCAATTGTGCATATAGATGAACAAATAGGTTAGACTCTTGTTAAGACTGCTCCTTTCACATCATAGGCCTAATCAGAGAAGTGAATGGAACTGTGCTCATGGAATGGGACTTTTTCCTGGCTCCTCATCACCACAGTCTCCTGCTCCCCAATAAACCATTCTTGAGGGTCAAGGGATCTACTAAAATGATACTGTGTTGCAGAAGCAGGACAATACGATATCTTTATTGTCATTGTCCCATGCAAAACAATGAAATTGACAGGACAGGGAAGTTGGGAGAATTTGGTAGACTTCCTTTGCACAAATGCCTTTCAACTCACACAAGATACTTTTAGATCCAAGTCACAATAAACTGAATTCCTAAGGAAGTCTAATGTTCATTGGGGTGTATCCACAAAATGCAAGCACGCAAGTCCTTACTTAACATCCACTCACCTTAAGTAATGCTCAATGACCTTAACATGAGTCAACATTATGGAATACTTGGTGATGACTAAGAGGCTGCTCAGCTCCTTAACATGTTTTTAAAAAACTTGTCTTTGTACTGCCTTTCTAAAAACTCAAAAGCAGAAATTGTGTAAATTTTTATGACTTTCCCTCCCCTTCTGTGTTTACCTTAATTACACCAAGCAGAAGAGTGGTGCAAACGACGACAACGACGACAACAACCCATATATTTACTATTATTATTCATTAAATTTGTGTGCTGCCCTTCATCTGAAGATCACAGGGACGTTCACAACATAAAAATAAAAAATGAGAACACATATTTTAAAAATCTCTGTTTCCTTCCACGCAAAATGCAATGCAATGCTTAGTATCATTGTTGGAGTTCAATGGGGCAACCATCTACCTTTTGCTAACTTCCTGATTCTCTGTGATCCATTCCAACCTAAAAAAAGAAAATGCTGTGGCACTGTTCTTTTGTTTTGATCTGCCCCTCTCATGACTCAAGGGGAAAACATGTGTTTTCAGATAATCCTCACCCTTGAGGAGGCTTAAACGGTTGTTGAGGTTTGAGAACTCACAAAGATTTATAAGCAGGAAACATCAAAATGTTTGGTATGCTCCATTTTAAAGCTCCAGGACACTCCTAATTGTGCCATGTTCTACAGCAATGGTTGTCATCAATCACATTTATTGCTTAGACCTGCTAGCCTACCCTTGGGCTACAACGTTCATGAAGACAATGCGATAAACTAAATATGCACATCTGTTCCCATCACCTCCCTTCCTTGCAGCACATTTCCCCTGAGAAAGCTGTAAATGGCTGCTAGTCATGATAACTATATATTAACTCTCCAGGATCAGAGGTATCATACCTCTGACAGCTAGTTGCTGGGGACCAACAGTAGGAGAAGACCACTGCTTATGTTCTGCTGCTGGGCTTCTTAGAAGCATCTGATGTGATGATCAAAGCTTCAGTGAGAACTCACTGCCTTTAGTATAGACAACACTAGAGATGTGCTACCTATACAATGGTACCTCAGGTTAAGTACTTAATTTGAATTACAGAAGCCATCCCGGTTTCTGATTTGATCCAAGAATGTCCCAGTTTTCCTTTTTCCTCCCCTCCACATCTCAGAGAATACAGTGGTACCTCGGGTTAAAAACTTAATTCGTTCTGGAGGTCTGTTCTTAACCTGGAACTGTTCTTAACCTAAAGCACCACTTTAGCTAATGGGGCCTCCTGCTGCCGCTGTGCCGCCGGAGCATGATTTCTGTTCTCATCCTGAAGCAAAGTTCTTAACCTGAAGCACTATTTCTGGGTTAGCGGAGTCTGTAACCTGAAGTGTATGTAACCTGAATCATATGTAACCTGAGGCACCACTGTATGAGTTATTTGCTCACAGATGTAACAGATGCATTATCACCTTAGAATAATCTTGCTTCATACTCATGAAAAGTTATTTTAGTTACAAAAAGAGAGGATAAAATCTTAGCTTATTTATCACTGATTTTTCAGTTGCATTTCCCCACATACCGTACAAAAGTGTCCACATTTAAGCTTTAAATATATTTCGGCCCCCTCCAAGACCAACTGTGTAGAGAACCAGTTTCTAAATAAATAAAGTGGCTGCCACTCATGAAATCTTAATGTAAGACATACACAAAATATTTTTATATAACCAAACCGCAATAAAGATTAAACAATTCAGCTCTTTTTATAACCAAGATTGGTCTTTCTGCTTTATCATTATTTTAAACTGAAATTCAGTAACATTACAAGTGACAATAACAATATATCATTATATTTATCATTATATTAAACTGAAATTCAGTAACATTACAAGTGACAATAACAATATATCTTTGAAATCTGTAACTGCATGGATATACATTATGTTGTCCAATTACTGAGTATGGATCAAAACAAAAAGTATGGTTGGTATCATATATACTAAGAGTATACTCCTCCTTCAAGTGTAGATTCTGATGTAACCAAAAGAGCACCATGTATAGGCAAGAGGGAAGTGCTATCAGGTTCAGAGCAACCCCATTGTTTCCAGAAGTACAAAAACTATTTAGGGAAAATACCTAAATGGGGAAACTGAAAACAGTTCAATGAGGACTAAGCATGCTCAAAGGGCCACATAATGTTGAATAACTTGGGGGTGTGAGAAGTGGCAACAACCAGGGGAAACAGTATAGAGAGAGAATAGGCAGCTACTGCTGCAAAACTGTGCTTGAAAGGGCAGGTCCTCCTATCCAAATGTTCATTATACGAAAATTCACTTATCCAAACATGAGGAATTACCGTATTTTTCGCCCGATAGGACGCACTTTTTCCCCTCCAAAAATGAAGGGGAAATGTGTGTGCGTCCTATGGGGCGAATGCAGGCTTTCGCTGAAGCCTGGAGAGCGAGAGGGGTCGGTGCGCACCGACGCCTCTCGCCTCCAGGCTCAGAGCATCTCCCAGCTCGGCAAGCCCGGAGCGATGGCAGGTGCGCCACCTCGCCAGTGCTCGGACCCGCCTGGGGCTGGGGTCGAGAGCTCGGCCCCGCCCCAGCCCGCAGCTCGGGCGATGGCGAAGGTGCGTGCACCTTCCCCATCGCTCTCGGACCCGTTCTGGGGGCTGGGGGAAGCTCGGGCTTCCCCCACCCCCAGCCCCGCGCCTGGGAGGGGAATAATTTTTTTCCCTTTATTCCCCCCCCCAAAAAAAATCTAGGTGCGTCCTATGGGCCGGTGCGTCCTATAGGGCGAAAAATACGGTAGTACTCAAACTTCACTATACACACTACAGATTCAGATTTCCAGATCTGCATGTAGTACTGTAAACCTATTAGCAGCCATAAAAAAGCCTGCCTTTTTGCATTTTGCTGGTTCACAGCAGCCATTTTGTCAGAAACCATGGGGTGGGGGAAGATAGGAAAAAATGCTCTCTTAATTGTCCATTCTCGTCTGTCTTTTGCAAGGTCTATAAGGACTGAACGGGTGGCTCTCTCACTTCTTTCTAAACTTAAGGACAAACTTTTTCTAATGTTATAAAGCAGAGAGCACAGCACAGAGCTTCAATAGAGCAGCTCTGTTTAAGTACTGCATCACAGTAACTTTTCAAGGATGCCTTCCCCCTATTCCTTTGCATCTTCCCTATGGCTGAAAATACACCCTTACTCTTGAGTAAGGCTAAAATGCAAGGCAAGCTCCTTCTTCTCTTGCCTTTTCAGAATTCCCAGTCTCTGAGGAGAAAATATAGATGATGAGACAGTGGGCGATGTAGGAGCGAAAAGACTCTGGGGGAGGACGCATGGCAGAGCATAAGCAGATATAGAAGGAGGCAAGCAAGCACTCTTAACAATTACAAGCAGTACTAGCTAAATACCAAACCAAAGTGAAGCTCTCTTTTTTTAGATAAATCATTGCTTACCTTTTTCTGGTACCAGACTATAGCATCTGTTACTTTGGACGCCATTTATTCTATGACATTTATACAGTAGTCATTTTAGCTGTAAAGAGAAAGAGGCATAATTTTACATTCATATTCTAAGGGAAATTTTAAATATATATATACACACACACACACACACACACACACATATGCATACTATTCTAATTTAAAGCTGGGTGGCTAATCAAGTGACCAATTAAATACTGCTAACTGACCACTTCTTATTCAACCCAGTTCAATTATTGCAAAATATTCAATGAAACAGAGATTGTCCTTATGCAAATGGCAGAGGGCTAATAGGAACAACAGGAGTACAGGTGTTTTGCTCCCAGCGCTGCAGGAGCCAGGGACGGTCTCTCTGCATCACACACATATGTACTCCTATTATTATTATTAATAATAATAACAATAATAAAGCAACAAAACACCAGACATTAAAAACTTCCCTAAGGGTGGCACCTACCCTTTGGAATTCCCTCCCTTTGAATATTAGATTGGTGACATCGCAGTTACCTTTTTGGCACCTGAAGACTTTGAAGAAGTCTTTTAAGTTGAAGTCTTTCCCCAGTCTGCATCAATTGTAGACTTGTTCTAAATGTGTTTTTAACCTGATTTATCACTTGTTGTTTGCCATTCATGGCTCATTTGGGATTCCATTGTATACTACTGAGACAGTAGGTCTTATGGCTCCCTCCATATCTTCTGGGAAAAGCAATTACTATTTGCATTGTGCTATATTTCCATAGTGCTAGTCAAGTGATGATTACTAAGACATGTGTCCTTGTTACTAAGACTGAAATTTTAACTTCTTCCTTTTAGTGAGCTGGTTTTATTTTATTTTGTTCTTTTTTGTTTGTGAATCACCTTGGAATTTCTTTTTAAAATGAAGGGTGGTACATACATTATTTTAGTAAAATTAATAAATAAGTGGATGTGCACATGTTGCTTGCTGATACTCTCCACCACGAAATTAAGAAAACTGAGAGAAGCAGTGAGAGAGTGGAATGCTGTACTGTCTGTATCTCAGAAGCAACACAACTTCTTACAGTGAATGTTTGCCTTAACCGAGGTAATTAGGCAATTTCAGTCTTAATTCCAGATTGCAATCCTGTAGTGCAATTATGAATAAATAATTCTGAATGGATGTCACAAAGTTTATGACTTATCATAGTTGAGTTGGACCCCCAAATTTAAGTTTTGCACAGATAAGGAACTGTATGCATAGCTAAAGATTAATGTGAAATTCCCTCTGAAGCAGCTCTCACTCCTTAAGAGACAAGATGAAAGTATTCATCTTAAGCTCAGCCCCGTAAAATCCAGACACTAATGATTCTTTTTAACAGAGAGCAAAGTTGTTATCTGGAGAACATCTATGAGACGCACAAACAAGGACCTGAACCAGCATTCATTAGACACATTTGGCAATCAGCAATAGAAATTTTGAGATTTCATCTACGCTCCTATCACATTGTCTTTACAGTGATTAATGGATCCATTTTTATCAAGGCAACACTTACCAAGGACAGCTAATGTGTTACACAGTGGAAAAGCAAATTCCCAAATAGGTTAATTCTTGAAGGGCTACCAAGGTGCCACTCATAATTGCTGCTCTTGTTCAGGTCAGGAAGTAGCCCATATTTTGAGTACCTGAAAACAAGAGCCCAGTGCACAGCGTGATCCTGCTCCCATGCTACAGACAAAGCACAGAAATTACAGTCACACCTATTATGTAGCCTGCACCTAGATCCAATTCTTAACTATGTCATCAGTATTCAGTCAATGTACAACCCAATATCAGAATGTGGATTATATACAGAGAAGCAGTATACAGGCCAGAAATATTGTACACAACTTACTCACAAAGCACAAGTGCAAACTGGTCTTAATTATATGTTCACTTCATATGTTCCTAGACTGGAAGTGAAGGCTGAATAAAGGGCTCAGGAAAAGACTGGTTACCGATAATCCTGGTACTTTTTTTTAAAGGTACTTCCCACCCTTCTTTATAAAACAAACTCGCTGTTGAACCAAATCTAAAAAAGAAAAAACCCACAGCAGCATAATTGCAGAATCTCAAAATAATAAAGTAACAAAACCAAGCAAATTAACAACCTGTAACCAAACTCGGCTCCTACAGACAACCTCAGCAAGCACCAAAAGCCTTCCATATAAGCTAGGTTTTCACAGTGCTCACTGAAGTATATTGTGTCAGGGCTAGGCAGGGGATGACATTCCACTGTATCAGCACCACGACTGAGTGTGAGCAGGACCTCAGATGAAATAGTTAAGTAATAGCTACATTACAGGTAAAACATGATTGCTGCCAGGGCGGGAGTCAGGGGCAGGTCAGCAATAACTCACAAGATGTCAGTGAAGTTAACTCTTTATTCAAAGAAACAAAGAGAGCTCAGGTCTTGTAAGCACAGCAACTCTTCCCAGGAGATCTTGCCCCAATGAGGCAGTTGCAAGGACTGAAGGTCCCTGCCTCCCCACCACTCTCTAAGATTCCTTCTCCCCCGGCTACTTCCCAAGCAATCTGAGACGTCTTTGCTTTGAACCTCTTTGGGTTCTAGGAGACCAGTGGAGAGGAAAACTGGTCGCAGCAGGAGGGGGAGACTCCCCGGCTTCTTCAGTAGCCTGCCTGATCTCTGCCTCTTGGCTGCCCTCCTCTCCAGCCTCCTACTCCCAGTCTGCTCCCTCTTCTGCCTCTGATCACTCATTGTTGTCCCACCACCAATTTCCTGGCTCAGGGTGTGTGTGTGGGTGGGTGGGTGTGTGTGTGGGTGTCTCTTCGGGGTTTCCCAGCTGGTGCCTTCCACCACTCCTCTGTATCCAGCCAGTCCCTGACAATTGCTAAGGCATTATAAACCTCACAACTAAGATTAAAACTATAAAGGAGCACGGTTGGTGGGACCCTGTATTCAGGCTGGAGCAACAGCGACACAAGAATCCTATTAAACATGGTTCATCCCACTGTGGTGATTCTGATATTCTGGATTGCTGCTGTCCTAGCAGTGCTAGTCCTGTTGAGTCAGCTCTGTGTAATGGAAGAACACCCAAGGGTCCAGTGCAAGTTAGTGCCAGTAAATATGTGACAGCCATCGTGTTTCATCAAGTTGTTAGGGGGGACGACTGTGAGGATGGCACATGACACCAGAATCTAGTTAATCTCAGTGGAATGGAGCCTGGTACAAGCCATGTACACCCTATGATAGATTCTCACCCCCCCCCCCCGCTTGGCTCTTACCCTTTTGACTCCATTAAATGTTACCTAACATGAACTTGCGGGATGGGGGTGGCGCTGTGGTCTAATCCACAGAGCCTAGGGCTTGTCGATCAGAAGGTCAGCGGTTCGAATCCCCAGGACGGGGTGAGCTCCCATTGCTCAGTCCCTGCTCCTGCCAACCTAGCAGTTTGAAAGCACATCAAAGTGCAAGTAGATAAATAGGCGTTTCCGTTCACTGCTCTGGTCTGCCAGAAGCGGCTTAGTCATGCTGGCCACATGATTCGGAAGCTGTACACCGGCTCCCTCGGCCACTAAAGCGAGATGAGCGCCACAACCCCAGAGTCGTCCGTGACTGGACTTAATGGTCAGGGGTCCCTTTACCTTTAACATGAACACAGATACCATGACTTTAATTGCAATAGAACAACCAGCAGTAACATTGGCAAACCTCAAAAGTGAGCCCCCTAACGTAGGCCTTAAATATTTTTATCTAGTCCTGTTGGCAGACTTCTTCCACTGGCTAGAAGTGAATTTCTCCCCATTGTACATTATTCAAGGCAAGAAGATCAAAGAACTGGTTAACTAAAAGGTGTTAAGACAGCCCAAGCTAGGCTGTCCCAAATGAGTCTTAATTTAGTCAGTAGAGACATTCTTTTCTCCCATTCTTTTTCCAAACTATTTAAATTGTTGTTAAATATTTGTAAAATGCCACATTTGCTAAAACCTTCCTACTCTAACTACCAAAAAAGTCACTTTATTTGCCTGATAACAATAGTTCTTAAAAATTACCACCAAGACAGTTTGTCAGTATGAGCAAAACAACCCAGTAAATCTTCACAGGATTAGAAACTCTACAGTTGGTGCTTAACTTCAAGTAACTTCTGTAGCTCTGTGGTTTCCTGTTTCTGCATGTGAACTGTCTATATTCATGTTCATTTTATCCTATGTCTTTTACACTTCATTTCTTTCTGTAAGAGACACAAATAACTTTCTTGGGACCAGTTTTTCTATTTGCAGTATATGTATAAACTCTACATAAAATACACATAACAGAAGATGCCATTTTGTGAAGCAACTCTTTACAGAGTAAGGCCATCTGAAGTTATGACCATCAAGTATGTGTTAAGTGAGACTTGCACGAAGCAAACATGTTTAGGAGTGGGCTGCAATCTTCAAAGTTAATGGGTTTTCACACAGAGTCCAAGTGGATGTCTTTAGCATAAGGCTGGGTACAATGTCAAAGGCATGCAAAACCTTTAGATATCTTTAGACAGATGTGAAAGAAACCAGTGTAGACCTATTCATAGAAAACCAAATACAATTATGCACAATAGTATTTGTATAATAATAACAACAATAAACACTTGTGTCCTCTAGATTGCATTTTCGCAGAATTACCAGTGTTCCAGTGCACAAAAAAAGTTTAAAGTTGTGTTTCCTCTTCCTGTTCATTTATTTTAAGACATAATGATCTACTGTGAAATCTAAGGAACATACATGCAACTTATTTCAGGTAAACTGCTCTCTAACTGCTCCACTGGAAGTACTAGAATATACCCATTAAATAAATTGCAGGGACAACAAATAAACCTTACATTTTAACACTACTAGCTTTCAAAGTGCTTTTTTAATGCTGGCAAAATATAAATATCTGATTAAGTTAGTTGTCAAAATACAAGTCTCTTCTTCACATAACCTCATGTTTGTCCACCACTACTATCAACAAACTAGCAGGTTTTTTCCATCCACTTTACAGTTGTAGGTTCTAGGGAAATGTTTTGTTTTTTATTGTGTACTTTTAAAGGGAAACAGGTTGCTTACAAAGCTGAAAGTGACTTAAAGGCAGGGGAGCTGGATCCAGAGTTGCATGAGAAGGCTGCTCACACACAATGGGGCTTTCATGCCCATTCCTCCCCCCCCCCCCATAGCCTTTACCTACCCCATTCCAGCAGATCCCTTGACTCTTCAGGATGGTTGGGAGGAGGGGGGTAGGAGGCTGCAATAGGAAGGAGAGGCGGGGAAGCCCCATGTGAGAGCAGACCTTTGTTCACATGACTTTGGATCAAAAAAGCATAAAAGCAGTGACTGAGAAAGGAGACAAGTTTAAAATAAAATGCGTAAGAGGTTAGACAAATTTGTTGAAGTAAACCTTACCACTAAATACAACATGATCCGTTCTCTAAAGCACTGGGTTAAAGACATTTAAAGTTTGGATCATGTACAACGTATCATATACTATATTATGTTGGTACTGGGACCAAGGAGCCCCAAAGTCTGTCTTCGGGAGACAAAATTGTGTATCTGACTGGGATAATTAACTCAGCCCAGCTAAATGATCATATGCTCTTATTTTATGCCTTCTAACTTTCCTCATTCTACAATGTCATGTTTATGTTAGTCCAAAAATTACTCTGAAAGTGTGGCTAAGAGCTACACAGCTAACACGCTAAAGCAATACAGTAATTTGATAAAACAATAATCTCTATTTTATTATATTGATGAAAGCTTGAAATCTAAACCCATGAAACAATGTTTCATGTTTCAGTTAAGGTGCTGTGTTTAAAATATCATCTGGCAGCACTTTTATAACAGCTTCTTTGAAGAATCACAACTTTCGGTTTGTAAAGAAGTTCATAATCCAGAGTTTTTACAACTTGAGTTTTAGTCATGTCAGGTACTAGGTAAACTTTGCACGCAGAAGTGTAGGGTATATCATCTTATATGGACATTGAACTAAATGAATCTCAGCACATTTAGAGAGACATTCCCATTTCTCATCTAGCAGCAGCAAAACTTGTTTTGTGCTGGACAATTTAGTGGCAGGACATTTTTATATTTAAACCCATAAGTGATCCAAAAGTTTTACAACAAGGAGCCAAGTATATTAAATCATCATTCAAAAAGCTTTATACCACTTGCTATATTTGTAAGAGTATTTTCCCCTTCAAATTCTTTGGCTCCACTCAGCAGCCGCCTTGCTGACTAAACAGACAGCCCCAGATGTTGTTTTTAAGCTAATATTCATTTCATTCTGGAACACCACACATACTATGAGATGCCTGCATATAAAATGCTGCTGAATGTCTCTTAATTTAGGAAGGTGAAAATATGATTTGGACCTTTTCTACTAGATTTGACAAAGGATTTCAGAGAAGTAGGTTATTGGATAATAACAGCCTTTACTAAAACATTTTTGGAACAACAAAAGTGAGTCATATAATTCTTCCTATTTTGTTAATCTCTCTGGAATATTGATGAGTTCTGTGTGTATATGTGTGCGAAATAAGTAATGTAACAGGTTATAAAAACATACAGCCTTCAGAAAAATTCCAGGATTGTCACAATACTAAGTACATCTCAAACATTCAGTTCCTCAAAATACTTAACTAGTTTTCATGCTCAGCTATACCATTAGATCTTATATTCACTTATATTTATAATCCTTTGTACTACTCAATCATGGCCACACGATCCAAATATGCCCTTTTAAAATGTGTTTGGGGGGAGGGCTTTTATTTTGATTATGTATTTTGTGGTTTTTATATCATGATTTTATCCTGTGAGCCGTCCTGAAACCTGCGGGTATAGGACGGTGTGCAAAATTAATAATAGTATAAAAAAATAAATAAACAGAAGAAATACATCATTGTTTTATACACCCTTTACTCTTGTCATGTGAAAAATGATAGGAATCTATAATAAAAGCTTATTATTGAGGCACTACAAAATAAGTACACAGTGGAGTCCTTGTCTATGGCAAAGTTCTACTGCAGTAAATAAAATCATTCATCCATAAGGCTAGTGAAAAGAAGGACTTCCCATTGCTTTCTAGTAGCCTCTGCCAGCAGATCTATGAATGGCAGCACTTTGCCTGCACAACTGCAGCTTTGTTAATTTGATCTGAAACAGAGATGCTAACTTCTGCAATATATGAGCCTGCTTCTCTACATCATTACTATACATATGCCTCATTTGCTACCATAGCTTCACTTATGAACTTTTCCACAGCTTAGATCAGGACTGGTGAGCCTAACTAGACCCCCAAGCATTGGAGACTGGCTTGCCAGGCTGCTTTGGGCAAACCATGTCCACCTTCCACACTTTAGGCATCATATGTGATATCAGACACAATGAACTTCAAGCCAGAGCTAAAATGAAGAAACAGGAACACCCTCTTAAATATGCTTCCTTTCCTTGCTGTCAATTGCCAGCTTGAATTCAAGCTAGTGACAAAAAAATGTTCTTCTGCAGTGGCTTACTGTGATCACTAATCAACTGATTGGCACTCCATAATGCAGCTGAATCCCGCCCAAAACAGGATCTCTTTGTTCACCTAACATCCACTTGATAGCAGATGACTGACAGCCCTGCCCACCAACCAAGAAGGTTTTGGGGAGGCAAAATCCAGTCATATTCTTTCTATTCCCCATCACTTTCTTAGGCAAATTCCATCACTGATCAAATTTACAAGCATCCTTTTCACAAGCACCATATATGTTATTGCGGCCATACCACCACTCAGTCAAGTTTATTCTCGTAGTCTTGAGATGAATGTAGTTGCAGACAGGTTCTGCTGTGGACCTGTATGGTACATGTCCTGCTTCTAGAACTGAGATGCACTGTTTTCATGATGCCTGGCCTGTTTGTGTTAGAAACCTTCGTTAAGAATGCCATATAAAAGCTATTTTTGAACTAACTCAATTCTAAGTATCCTGGTTGTCTACAGGCAGGACAAGAATATGTTCAGATCCAAGCTACTGTCTCCAGGGTATAATATGCTATCAAACATTCCCAAGAACTTGGTGGTAGGAACATCAACCGAACCCGTTTGCCAGAACAACTTTTCTCATTCCTCCTAGGGCTTCTTTTACTTGGCACAAACTTGTCATCTACACAAAATGGCTATCTTTTTATCACATGAACAATTCAGAGATTAACAAATAATATGGTGATCATGAAGCAAAAGAGCTCAGTCCCTTTCTCACTTTATGTTTACAGCATGAGAACTGTTACAGCATGGCTAGGGAAATGTGACAAACTGAATCACACAGCAAAAGATTATTATTACCCTATGCTACCATTGCTCCTCTGGAAAACTGGGGCATGTTGGCAAGGAAAGGAGTCACAGATAAGGGATAGCCAATATGGTGCTACAACATCCATAGGTCTCAGCCAGCATGGTCAATAACCAGGAACAATGAGACTTGTAAATGGCAGGGAATCACACTGCCTACCTCTGTGCTACATCTTCTCGCATTATTTAAGTGATGTATGAAGGAGCCCCACTGTAGTGATGCAATGACACACATGTAACATGAGGGACCCTCAATTAGTAAGAGATGTCTCTTTTTAATTTATTTATAAAGTGGTCTGCTACATGATTATTATTTTTCATTCATTCTAAAAAAGTTTGCCATCCCATTCAGTGATATTCCATTTTTCTGGGAAAACCAACTGGTCATTTCTCTATTGTCAGGAATCAGACAAACTGTGCAACTAGTTCTACACCCCAAAGGTGTAGAGGGGCTAGGGGCACTCCCTCCCTTATGATGACCCTCTTAGGTATTGTTTCTGAAGTCTAGAGGGGGAGGCATTATTTGATCCCCATGCCTCAATCTCTCCACAGCTACTGTATGTGCATGGCTGAGAAGGGCAATCTTTTCTCCATCTCTATATTGCTTTTTTACGCTCGGGCTGTCTATCATCTACAGCCACCAATGTTAGGTCCCAAAGAAGAGTCTCTTTTTAGCAAGCTGCCTCCCTGCCCCTCTTCTTCCTTGTACTTGGTTTGGTAAAGTTCTCCCAATTCAGTCACTTTCCTAGCACACAAGTCTAGCTGCATTCGTCTTGGTAGACTGGGAATTTACTAGCCAAGTGGAACAGCTGCATACATATGCCAATTCTTGAACTCCAGCAGGAAAATGAGAGTGTGGGGGCCTGGGGACTGAGTTGAGTTCATATGGCCATCAGGAACTTGGGCTAGATCGCCTTTTGGGGCAGTGACAGAACTTCTGCTACAAAAGAAACACTTAGAATAGGGATGGGGGAACCTGCAGTCATTCAGATATTGTTAGAATGCAATTCCCACCATTCGCTATGGTGGTTGGAGCTGAAAGGAGTTGGAATACCACAACATCTGAATGGTCACAGCTTCCCCACTCATAGCTTAAGGCTAGCAGGCCTCTTTTGAGGTGAAAGTCCAGAGTGGAGACATGAAAACAATTGAATTCCCTAAAGTTCCCTTCTAGGATTTAAGGAGCGGTAGCAGAAAAGGTTCCAACCCATAAAATGAGGTGGTATTGTTATTAAATATTATTCTGGCATAGTGCAGGGTGTCTGTGTAATGCAAATAAAAAAATCACAACCTGAAAGGTTCGTCACTCCTATCTTGTACTATCCACCCTGTATCTCAGTTGTTGAATAAAAATAGTAAAAATACTTTCCTGAAAGATTCTCTAATGAAAGAGCCCAGCAACTGAGGTATTTCCCTTTGCAGACCCCACATCCCGTAAGTATAGTGATAACAAAGGGGAAGATGATTATTGCTGCAAGGTTTTGTTTGTTTTGTGCCCCCAGGTTTTTGAAAGAAAAAAAAGACACTAAAAATAACACTCATGAGGACATACTTCTCATATTTTAGTGCAGTTATACAAGCTCCTATGAGTAGGCACCGCTGTGTGATTTATGAGGCTCAGTGGAAGATACTAAACTGGTGGAGGTCAGGCAGGAGGTGCGGCTTGTGGATTCTATTCAAGGAATCTCTAGCTTTTCCTGGTAATTCAGCCATTGCCAAACCTACAGTGGGCCTTTGGGCTTGTATTTTCCAGCAGCAGCTCTCAAAGATTGGCTGTTTCCAAAGCAGCTTGAAATATGTCATGTTCATCCACTATTCAGAATTTTTTAAAAATAAAATTACTAAGCTTGCCTAAAGTAGTCCTTTGGAACCAAGCCAAGGAATTTAACACATTAATTCCTGCACTGGGACATTCCAAAAGTAGATCAAGCCCCCAAACTACATTTAATTAAAAGTGAAATAATATGTACACATATTAGAAGTAAATCCTACTGCACTCTGTGGGAGTGCATGAAAACATGAACAGAAATCATGCTACAAAAGTGTATAAAGTCTGTTCCTCAACCTCATGGACTGATGTAGTCAAAGTTCAAAGGATTTCTAAGGATATGGTTTTGCCAAGTATCAACTTTAATCAATCTAGAGATCACTGGGTCAAGTATCCATTTGCCGCTGGGTGAACTAAAGACAGTATGTGATGCAGACACACAGAATTTTAAGGGGTTTTTCAAATGAAGTGGACTATTTAAATCACTTTATTACAGCTGCATTCCTAGAGAAGCAGCTTGTCGATCATTCGTCTAAACTGCAAATCAGCATAATCCTATCCTTATTTAAATGTAAACATTGTTGCAAATTCTTCATATTTTTCAGCAGCAATAGTGTACTGTACTGCCTAATATGATCCATTAAGAACAAAGAGAACTATACAGAAATCTTTCTCCAAAGGCAAATTGGATTACAAAGATTTTACATAAGGATTTCTTTAAACACTCTTCTTATTTGTCCTCTCCCACCAACAACATAAAAGCTTTCATTACAAATACAGATTTCCAAAATTAAAGGTTTTATTTGGAACACAGGAATTGAGTTCTAGAACACTTGACAATATAAATTTTCTGTGAAACAAATTTTCTAGGGAAAGACAAGTTAAGAAGGAAAACAGAGACTGGTCACCAGAGACTGGTCAGCCAGACGGAGTCATACCAGTAAAATTTCTTGTAAAGTTGAAATGAAAAAGGTATATAAATATACCTTCTTGAAGAAACCAGAGGCCTTTCTCCTGGGCATGGTCGGCCAATTGGTGCCAAAGAAGGACAGAATTTTCTTTATGTATGCCACAACAGCAGCAAGAATACTTATTGCAAAGTATTGGAAGACACAAGATTTACCCACTCTGGAAGAATGGCAGATGAAGGTGATGGACTATATGGAACTGGCGGAAATGACTGGCAGAATCCGAGACCAGGGAGAAGAGTCAGTGGAAGAAGATTGGAAGAAATTTAAAGACTATTTACAGAAATACTGCAAAATTAATGAATGTTAGAATGATGTCAGAATGAAGTTAAGTGGTTTTAGTAGCAGTGTTATAAAGGTGTATGTAAAAATGGATTGTTAACAGGTGAAAATCTAAAGTTATAATATATTAAGTTAAAAGATTAAGACAAAAGCAAAGAGGGAAAGGAATTGCTGAACTAACCAATAGAACTGGAATACAAAAAAGGGAGGTGTGAGGAGGTCAGGGAAGCAAGGAAATGAAATGTAAGGCATGGAAAGATTGATGTCTTTTTTATCTTTTTTCTGTATTTTGTATTTTTTTTCTTTTCTATTTCTTTTTCTTTCCCCCCCCTCTTTTTTCTTGTAAAGAAAGGCCATGCCTGCAAGGATCTAAACAAACAATTCAGGCACTTAAAAATTGTGGGGGGAAACAATATTGCTAAGAACAGTGCACCATTGAGGTTTAATGAAGTCCCTAAGTGATGTGAGGTACCTAAGACATTGCAAAGAATAAGCCATTAATATCTAAACTTACTTAACAAATAAAACACCACCACCACACTGACCACAAGGCCCAAATACACATTGTAAATGATACATAAGTGAATATCAAGAAGCTGGAGGGAGGGAGAGAATCAAACATAGCTTTTGTGGTGTTTCAGTACCCCATATTTTACTGCAATTACTTGTACCAACATCCTAGAGCAGATCCCAAGCAATATTTTAGGAACAATTTTAATACAGTAGTTTGGCAGATGTTGTCAGTGAAGACATTCCAGGTGAAAGGTTCAAAATGGTCTGCTTGTGAAATAGACTACAGAAGTTAGCATCCTTTGACTAAAAGAGATGGGAGACTGTGGTGAGAAAGAAAGGGGGAAGAACAACAAGTTTGGTTGTATAGATGGTTGAATTTAAGAGCAAGGGCTATGAACGATTCACCTGCTCTAAAGAGTATGAACCCAATACATCTTTACTGAACTATACCTGGACAAAAGAAAATCACCTTATTTGACTGGCACAATGGTGCAACAGATTGTGCATAATCTTGTGGTGCAGACTACAGAAATTTTGTTGTGAGTGACAGAAAAGCACAATGAAGATGCTGATAAAGCCTCAGGGGGGATATACTGATAGAAAGGGAACAGGGTCTCAATACCCCCTCCTTTTTTTTCTTAGTTGTTTCTCTGACAGTTGTGAGCATCTGAAGGATCTGGAAGAGAGCACATCAGCACATGCACAACCGCCCCTGCAGCAAAGGACGCAATGGCAGCCACCAGGACGGCCTAGATGAACCCCCCACACACAAACGCACAAATCCACAATGATGGGAGCCGTTACCTTAATCCTGTGGGAGCAAGCAGAACTCACAAACACTTGAACACGAAGCAACACAGGCACAAACGCTGGACGAATTGCAAGGAGGAGCACAGAGGCGGCCCAAAGCCGAGCTCATGGGAAAAACTCGGGGCTATAATAAGGCCAGCTTTGCAAGCGCCGCCGGGCTTCTCCGGGCTGCCCTCGCCTCCTCCTCCTCCTCCTCCTCCCCGCTTCGCTTTCCAATTACAGCAGCCCAGGCTGCCCTGTCCCGGCGTGAACCCCGCTCGGCGCCGCACGCTCGCTGGCCGGCCGGCCGCCCGCCCGCCCTCCCCGGTGTCCCTGGCACCGGACCCGCTCGGCGCCTCGCCACACGCGCGGCACACCCCGGGGCGCCCCTCGCACCTGCGGAGGAGGAGGCTCAGCCCCCGCCGCCGCCAGAAGGACCCCATCCCCTCCCAGGGCAGGGGGCGCCTCGGGACATCCCCACCCCGCCGCCGCCGCCTCTCCCGCTCTGCCCTTCCCGCGCTCCGGGAGAGACCCCCGCCATACATCCCTCCCCCTCGGTCGCCTCAGCGGGGGGAGCGGGGTTCGAGTCTCACCGGGTCTCCGTGCTCGCCTCACGCGGCAGAAAAGGGAGCGCGGGGGGGGGGCGCCGCCGCCGAGACAACCGTCCGCCCGCCCGCCTGTCAGCCCGTCCGTCCCTCAGTCAGCGGAGAAGGGCACGAGCCGCCGCGCGAGGCAACAGCTCGCGGCTCCGGGCGCGCGCGCTCGCTCGCTCGCGACGGCAGCAACAGCGCGCTGCCGCGGGAAAGGCGGCCCGTCAATCATCGCCCCTCCTTCGCTCTCCCTCTCTCTCTCTCCCCGAGGAAGGGGAGGGGGGAGGGACGCGGCGGCCGCTCTCTTCGACGCCGACGGCCTCAACATAAACAACTTTCCTCATTGGACGGCGAGCCCCTGGAGAAGGCGGGGCCGGGGCGGTTTGAGCGAGCGTTTCACCCAATGGCGCCAAAGAAAGCAGCCCCTCGGTGAAAAGCGATTGGTAGCCGCAAAACGGGCTTTTTCAAAGCGGCTGTGATGGGCAGCTGTTCCCGCGAGTAGGCGGAGAGGGAGGAGAGAGCGTAGTAAGTCGCGCTTCGACAGAAATGGATAAGGAGGGGGGGAAATCTTCCTCAGGCCTGTCCAATGGGCACTTAGCGAAGGCGTGCTGCCCGCGAGGCGGGATTCGATGCGGACAACCCAATAGACTTGGAGCAGGCGACATGACAGGCACCTTCTGCAACCAATGAGCGTGTCGTGCGGGCTGTGACGTATATCTCATCGGCCGGTCGGCTCTGGGGCTGTCGGAGCCGCTTAGACGTCGGCTCCTCTTTTCTGGCTGGTTTGCCCGAGGCCTCGAGCGGTGGGCGGTGATGAAGCGAGTCTCTGGGGCCCCGTCCTAGGGCAGCGGCGGCTGCTGCGAGGCACGCCAGAAGCGTGACCGGTGGGTAATTTGGAATTAATGGGGTATTTAGCTCAGGGCGGTGGTGGTTGTGGAGTCCCCTCCTCCCCCCCTTTTGTCCCCGTTGGTATGTCCCCTCAGAGATTCCCTGTCTCTTACTTGCTATGGTTGAGCCCCCCGGGGGGCCGGGAGATACCATTCCACGGGGGCAAGTCCCATTGAAGTCAGTAGAACATTACTTCTGAATACACATGGATGGGGTTTTTCCTGACCTGAGTGTATTCAGTTATTGCCCTCAAATTGGGGTAATAACCATATATTTCACAAATCGCTTTTTTAAAAAGGCATAAGAACTGCAAGAATAGTTTCTAGCAAGCTAAAAGCAATTCAGTGGGAGAGCGTCCATTCATGGCCCATAAGGCTTCCTAAAAAGAAAATTAGAGCTATTCTCCCCCTTAAGGTGATCTAGGTCCTAGTCAGGAGCTCAGTGGGAAGGAGCTGTGCCAATAAACGTTGCGTTTTGCACTTCTCATATGTATGTTTTGTGCTTTGGGAAATGGTTCTGTGGCCTCTGTTGATGTCAGAGCATAGGAACTGCATAGCTGTCAACTTTCAGATTTGAAAATAAGGGATCAGCAGCCTCACCTGTCCCGGGGACAGTCTACAGGATATCTAACAATCCGGGATAGCAGGAAGCAGCGGGAAACGGTGCTTGTATAAGGGAATTTCCTGCCAAAAAAGGGAAGGTTGACAGCTATGCAACTGTCAAAGTTTGAGCAATGTGTCAAAGTGCTGCTACTGTGTTGCAGGCCTGAGTAGCCTTATGTGCTTAGTGACTGGATCAGAAAGTGGGTAGAGAGACACATCCATTTAGTATTTATAGATGGAGCCTGCCTTAGGTAAATTTGTTTTTACTGGTATAGGAAGCAGCACAGTCTGATTGGCTGCAAATTCTCATCAGCAAAGAAAGTCAATGGGGAGAAATGATGGCATTTGGGAAGTTGGTTGATGATGGAGGTGCGAGGCAAAGACTGAGCTGAAGGTGAATGGTTGACATCTGAATATTCAGCTATTCCTCTGCAATGTGGTAACTACATGTACTTTGCTTCAGAAGAAGGGAACCAAGAGGCTACCCTGTGTTAAGGTCTTGCCAAAAAATGGTTTTAAAAATCAGCTGAACTGTTCAAGCTGCTAGAAGTACAGTCAGAGGAGCTTTGGGGTCAGAGGCAGATTGCATCCAGTAGCGGGACAGGATTGTGAGAATTTGGCTGGGCCAGAGATCAAGGGAATTTTACAGGTGTCTGCAACAGTATCCCTTGAGTCCATAAAGACTGTCATTAAGCATTTTTAAGATCCAAAACTAAATATCAGTACTGTATTCCCTTATGTATTTAAGAAACATTTTGTCTCCAGTGTTGGTGTCAGTTTCACACCCAAACCTATTATTCCTAGCTACTAGGAGGCTTTAAGGGTACACGTATTCTTTTATTTAAGTTTTAAAAGCATTCTAAGCTGGCAGTAGGAAAAGGTCACACTGAGGTACTTTTGAGTTACTGTGGTAGGGAGATCCATAGATCCTGAAATACAAAAATTAAATATCTAAACGGTCAAAAAAAGTAGGACCAAGGCAACCATTGCCCTATAATCTTTAAATAAAGTCTTTTGCAGCCTGCCTTCTTTTATTAGGATTCTATTCCCTGCCCCTAGCTATGAGTGTGAGAGTACAAAAGTACATATTCAGGATCCCTTTGCATCAGATTGGTTATGCCTTATTAGTTAAGCCTTAACTAATAAGGCATAACCAATCTGATGCTAAGAGATCCTGAATATGCCATCTTGCTTGAGGAGTGGCTTTCTACATTAGATGGTCCAGCATTCTTCGCAGTCATCACAAGCAAATGACTGCCTTTCTCTTGACAACCATATACATAACTATTGCTTACAATAGCAAAGTGGAATAAATAATTTTAGTGCCTTCATTAATTTTGCATGCTGTTTTACAATGTCTGGATGCTGAAGCAGTGTACAAAAAATGTCTAATATACTATGATTTATAAGAAACTTTGTTAGGGGGTGGTACCAGTGGTCTGGAAAATCTTGCATAAAAGGTATCTCAGTCTACCAAAAAAAATTCTCAAAATCCAAATCTGGAGAAAAGGGTGGGTGTAAAAATTACCCACAATTGAAAGTAATATGGGATATATGTTGAGTTGTTGTTATATAGCTATTTTGATATGGTGCCAGCAAGAAATAGATCACCAGATTCCTTGGTGGGTGCCAAAATATAACTGATAGTTATAACATTTTAAGGCCGCAGTCCTAAGCATATTTTACTTCTGAACAGCATGGTTAGAATCAGGCTGAGTGAAATTATTTCTCCCAAATTTGTAGAATTAATATGTGGGCTTCAAAAGCACAAGAAGAGAAACATATGAGCTTTACTATAGTTTAGTGTGAGTGTCCACCCTCCTTCCAACTGTGGATCAAGAGTTTTCAGAGCCTCAGAGGTTATCTCGCCTTCAGAAAGTACCTTGTCACTTGGACACGTTTCAAGTCCTTCTCATCCTCAGAGCCTTTCTAATATGTGTTTATTTAAGTGGTCTTGCTTCCCCATTAATCCCTCCACCATCAGGTGTTTAAATAGCTTGTCCATTCCTTCAGTTAATACTGGTACTTTTCCTCCACCAGTGGCTAGCCCTGGAATTCCTGCTTTTTCCTTTATCCCACCCTGTGTCCTAAGATGCTTGCTGAAGCTTGCCCATTGCCTGTTTCTTTATTCTTTTATTTTACCGCTGCTCCTTCTCCATCTTGGCTCCCTTCCTGCTTGGAACTCCCTCTAAACATGCTATTTTTGCTACACCTTTATTCTCTGGTTGGTTGAGCATCTCTCCTTCTCCAGTGCCCACCTCCTGCCCAGCCTGTTCCAGTTTGTTTGACTCACCTTTGCACCTGACCACCACACACTGACAGCATGAGCAGGGAGCTGTTGTGTCAGTCACTCATGACATTTGGTTCCTTTGTTAATGAGCCTTAATGTTTTTCTGTTGTGTTTTCCAACATCTGTACCATGTGGCCACAGACTTTTTTCTCCTCCAACAATTGGATTTAAGAGTCTAGGGGTAACATATTATTCAGACCTGAAGGAAGATAACAGTATGTTTTTAGCAAGCAGCTGAAGCATATTACAGCTGGTGCTTGCCTTATTTCAGAGGTGGGATTGTTCCACAAGCTGGCTGCCAGCACCACCAAAAAGGCCCTCCTCCACATTGCTGCAAGATGGACTTCAGCAGGCTGCAACACAACCAAGAGGGCCTCATGCAAAGTTCTTAGAGAGCGGGCAAGTCTATACGAGGAAAGGTGTTCATTCAGGTAACCTGGTCCCAAGTCGTTTGGGGTTTTCTAAGTGAATAGCAAACATGTAACCTTATATGGCTTCATATAAAAATGGCAGGCACAACTGTTTTTGCTTAAGTCAACATATGGGAGATAAAGGGAGCATAGCGCTAAGATTGCTCCATCTGCAGAAGCATTTCTTCTTGCTCAATTGAAGAATCTCCCATTTTCTCCCACCTTGCACTGTTCTTGGGGTTTTCCTGACAGACACACAAGCCACTTTGGGGGGCAGTGGGGGGGCCCCATTGCGCTAGTGGAAGTCCTTGTGTGGGCTAATAAAGTGGAACTAATAAGTTGAATCCAGCCACAAATGAAAACTAGACTTGGCCCAGAGACTGTTTTCTTTATTTTTAAATTGCAAGTTGGGTGAAGCTTCATTTATAAACCTAGCTTGATGGTGTGTGGTTTGTTTGTTTTTGCTAGACTTACTGATATCTCCCCAGTCCATTTGTTTTTGTTCTGCTTTATCCTAGGGTCCATCTTTTCTACTCTTGCCAACCACCCACTAAAGCTGTTTAAATGAGAATGTCCTTGGCGCAGAGAGTGCTGCTCACATGGCTCTTCACATTGCTGTTCCTGATCATGTTAGTGTTGAAATTGGATGAAAAGGCACCATGGAACTGGTTTCTCATATTTATCCCAGTTTGGATATTTGATACTATTCTTCTAGTTATGATAATTGTAAAAATGGCTCGCCGTTGTAAGTCTGGCTATGACCCCCGAAATGGTTCCCGTCACCTCAAGAAGAAAGCTTGGTACCTTGTAGCAATGCTGCTTAAGTTGGCCTTCTGCCTCGCCCTCTGTGCAAAATTGGAACAACTTGCTGAAATAAAGCTAGCTTATGTCTTTATTCCCTTTTGGGTGTTGCTCATTGGAGGGATAATAGAACTTGGATACAACATCTTCTATGTACGAAGGGAATAACTTGTCCATAGACTGGGTTTATCCTTTCATCAGCCAGCATCACATTCCTTAAGAACATTAGCTTGCTATAAGTTTACAGCACCCAAAGGAACTACAAGTAACAGCTGTATGTTGACATTCTATATGCCGTTGGACTAGACTCTTCAATGTGTGGAGCACAGCTTTCTGATTTATATGTATATACTGTAAATAAATCATCAAAATATTTTCCAAGTATTCTCTCTATTTATCCTTCTGTGAGTGTGTGTGTCAAGTTTGTGTCTAGCGTGTTGAGTCATTACACTATAGAACTTGCCATTGCACAGAACTAAATTGAAATGGCTTTTCTGTAAACGGCTGGGAACAGATGGCCAACTTCTGCATTCTCAATAGTCACTTTATTCTCCAGACAGTGAGCTGAAGGCACAGAAGTAATATTTTTGTACACAAAGTGGGTTTACTTGCAACTAATCATGTTGTAATACTGAGAGGAACATAACAGTTACAAAGCACGCAGGCCCTAGTTGGATCATTGCTTGCAAAATCTGCAAAAGATTCAATGATAGTGATCTTTCTTGTAGAAATTTGATGCTTTTCCATCTTACAAATGAAACACTGCAGGCAAGCATTTTAAAATGCTTTAGTTTACTCTACTTCAGGGTTTTGCGAACTTGGGTCTCCTGCTGTTGTTGGACTACAGGGATGATGGGAATTGTGGTTCCAAAACAGCTGGAGACCCAAGTTTGGGAAACCCTGCTCTAGCTAATAGGAACCTTTTTGTGCTCTTAAGATTCAAGCATTGTAATAAATGTATATACTTAATGCGATATGTTAACTAGTATTTGCCTTCACTTCCTCATTTTTTTCCTGTCCCTAAGCTGCCCAGTGTGAACTGAATTGACATTAAACTACTGTACAAACTCAAACAAAACAGTCAGGAATCACCAAGTCTTAACACATCATCCTACTTGTATCTCCTCTACCCTCTTCCAAGGGGCACAATCTTCCTGTTGAGGAAGAAAATAAATAGGTCAAGGGAGGAAAGAGAACACAGTGCCAGAAAATATATTTGTCACACTGTAGCATTATAGGAACAAAACCTGGGATAACAATAAAAGCATGCTTTTGTGCTTCACACAATTGCCTCTGTGTAGTAGGGGTGCTGTGTAAAAAAAGACATTTCACAATGTTCGAAGCAGCTGGCAAATTTCATAAACAGAAGAGTTTACTTCCCTGTAAGTGTGCTTTGATCATAGCCTCAGAATGAATGGAAAGAATATTCCACTTGCCAATGACTAAGGTGTACTAGAATCCATCTGCATCTCCAACTTAAAGATACTCTGCCTTACTTGACAAAAGACACACCAATGTTCTTATGAGTAGGTTTGTTTTTCCTCTCTTTTCCAGGCCAGTGAATTCTTTTGGTCTCTTGTAAAACATGCAACATGATGGCAGAATGATTTTGCTGGATTGAGATATAGGAGACATTTATGAATAGACAGCTCTCACCTATTATGCTACTTAGCTGCAACAGTTTCTTACCTTTCCTTCTGTAAAATAATTAATGGCTTGTAATGAAATTTGTGCAAGCCGAAGTCCAGTCACAATGGGGTTTTCTCTCCTCACTGTTGCAGCCCTGAATCCCATGTCAAGCTTTTCTGACTCTCGGGAAAGGTGGGAGGGGTATGAAGGGGGCTGCAGTGAGGGAAAAACTTCGTTGTGTGAGTGGAAGGATGTGCACACCTGTTTTGAAACAAACCATAATATTATGCTTAAAGAATTACCTGATCTTTACAAAATGTCTCCTGTCGCTGTCCCGTTGTGGTAACGAAACAGCAGTAGCCTAAAGCATGAAATTCTATAATCTTTGCTACAACTTATATTTTGGCATGCTTTAATAAGGGGAAAGATCTAAACAACTTAATGAGAATCACATAGAAGATTCTCTGGAAGAATCTGTAGGACTGTATTTTGCACTTACTTCTGCTTCCTATTACACAACTATGGGTGTTGGGGGCCCATATCTTATTTAAGGCTTTAATCTTGTATATCCTTAAGCAGAGAGTCATTTTCACGCAGGTACTTTTGTACAGAATTGTAGTCACATATACTCAACTATGTGTGCTTAGTCAGATTTAGTCACTGTTTCTGTTTAAAAACGCACAGATTAATGATATTCTTAAGACTTTGAGTTACCTAAATAGTTATAGTTACAGCAATAGAATGAAGCAGCCACTTCCATAATTAAGATGAGACTTCTATGGCTAACATTACTATATGACTGTTGGCTTGTCGGTGTTTTTTGAAATATGGGCATATAAACTCCATATAGTTTCTGTATACCACGCCCTTACTAGGGCAGTTTGCAAAAGATTAAAATTAGGACAAATCAACCCCCAAAAACCAAAACCATAAAAGACACTAACAAGCAATATAAACAGACTTAGCAGAATTTTAAAATCAAACACCAAATAGCAACACAAGAGAGGATTTAAAAGCTTTGGAAAATACAGAGGTCTTTGTCTGGTGCTGAAATGATGTTTCCAAGCATATCTGCAGATCTTAGCATACACACAGACACATGTGGAGATTAGCGGTCTTCCAGTCCTGTGCATCTTCTATGCCAGGGGTAGGCAACCTAAGGCCCATCGGCCGGATGCAGCCCATTCGCCTTCTCAATCCAGCCCGCGGACGGTCCAGGAATCAGCGTGTTTTTGCATGAGTAGAATGTATCCTTTTATCTAAAATGCATCTCTGGATTATTTGTAGGGCCTGCCTGGTGTTTTTACATGAGTAGAATGTGTGCTTTTATTTAAAATGCATCTCTGGATTATTTGTGGGGCATAGGAATTTGTACATTTCCCTCCCAAAAATATAGTCCAGCCCACCACATGGTCTGAGGGACGGTGGACCGGCCCACGGCTGAAAAAGGTTGCTGCTGACCCCTGTTCTATGCAGAGTGGCACAAGCTGGTCACAGCTTCTGTTGGAAGCAGGATACTAGTCTAGATGGACACTTGGTCTGATGCATGAGGGCTTTTATGTTCAGAGAAAATGGCTGGTGATTGGCTATTACTATACATTCCAAGTCCAATGTGCATTATTCCACCATAGGTTGCGTTTTTATGTAATTAGAATCATAGAGTTGGAAGAGACCACAAGGGCCATCGAGTCCAACCCCCTGCCAAGCAGGAAACACCATCAGAGCACTCCTGACATATGGTTGTCAAGCCTCTGCTTAAAGACCTCCAAAGAAGGAGACTCCACCACACTCCTTGGCAGCAAATTCCACTGTCAAACAGCTCTTACTGTCAGGAAGTTCTTCCTAATGTTTAGGTGGAATCTTCTTTCTTGTAGTTTGGATCCATTGCTCCATGTCCGCTTCTCTGGAGCAGCAGAAAACAACCTTTCTCCCTCCTCTATGTGACATCCTTTTATATATTTGAACATGGCTATCATATCATCCCTTAACCTCCTCTTCTCCAGGCTAAACATGCCCAGCTCCCTTAGCCGTTCCTCATAAGGCATCGTTTCCAGGCCTTGGACCATTTTGGTTGCCCTCCTCTGGACACGTTCCAGTTTGTCAGTGTCCTTCTTGAACTGTGGTGCCCAGAACTGGACACAGTACTCCAGGTGAGGTCTGACCAGAGCAGAATACAGTGGCACTATTACTTCCCTTGATCTAGATGCTATACTCCTATTGATGAGGCCCAGAATTGCATTGGCTTTTTTAGCTGCCGCGTCACACTGTTGGCTCATGTCAAGTTTGTGGTCAACCAAGACTCCTAGATCCTTTGCAAAAACATGCACCTGACAAGGCACCATGTATGCCATCTTGAGCTCTTTTGAAGAAAGAAAGAACTTGCAGGCTATATTCCAAGGGGCACAAACATCTAGTCATCTGGACCTCAAGAATTATAAAAGTTATCCCAGTTTAAAAATTGCTAAACACATAACTACAAGAAAAATGGAGGGCCCTTCTCATCTCAGTACTATTTTATTTCCTATTTTCTTTTTTGTTTGGGTTCAGATCAGGGTTTGGAACCTAATTAAGATCCAATATAGAATGCTACTGTGGTGAAACTGCCATTTGTTTAAGCATATTGTAAAGTTTGCTTTTAAAAAATGGTAAGTTTCACAGCATAGGGTAATGTAAATTTTGAATTATGTGGCATCAGCTCATGGCAGACAGTTGCAAAGTTATGTGGCAGCTTTGAGAAGCAACACTATGCTAGAGGCTTAAAAGCTAGCAATTTTTATTGGATAGCTCTGGTCTGATTAGGAGGTTCTGCCTACATCTCAATGGATATGAGGTGGTCTGATGCAGGGGAAGGAATTCTACTCCACTTTCATCTGATTGGCTGAAGTGGGAATCAGCTGGAGCCTAAATACCTGGTCTCTGCCCATTGTAAGAGGTGGTTGTTGCTGGTGGAGCAGCCAGGAAGGAAGAAGAAACAGAAGCTTTGGGGGCACACTTCTTAGAATAACCTTTCTTCATGTCAGGAGGCCAGCTGTGCTAAATTTTCTGTGGCTCTTGCATACAAAAAGCAAAACAAAAGTCCAGCATCATTCAACTCAGAGTAAACAAGAGCACTATGGAAGCTCCTGATCAAAGTGTACACCTAGAGGCATTTTTAAAAAGAAGCAAAAATTTCGCTTGACAGCAGTATTATGCATCAGAAAATGAAATGAAGGATTAGAACAAGTGTAAAATATAACAAACTTGCACAAAAGTTAAAAAGACACAGGTTAAGTTAGAGCATTTGTTATTTTATTTTTGTTTTGATGGTGCACCAACTATATTTACCAATAGAGGTCTCTTGCTACAGTAGGCACTAAAGAAGTGTGACTGAGAGTAGTGAGTTAAGACGATAATGTATTAGTAAGAACTGGTGACTGAGTCAGGCCCTCTCCTCAGGATATACTAGCAATTATGTATGTCTCCATCTTATGCTGTTTCATTCTATGAAAAACTTGGAAGTCTGAGAAGTTGCTCTGGCAGCACAATCTTATACATGTTTACTCAGAAGTAAGCCCCACTGAGTTAATTTAGACCTATTCTCAGGCACACGTACATAGTATGGAAGCCTTAATGATTCTTACAATCATCTGTATCTGTCTTACCAGTTACCAACCTAATAGTGACATTTCTTGATGCAAGTATGAACCTTGAGTTTAAAACCTCTACTTATTTCTGCCTGGAAAATGGTATAGGGCCAGATGTAGGTGAATTACATTTGTACAACATAAAAACCATCAGGTTCTGAGCCAATTTATATGTTAACATTTATGGAAGAGGACAAATCACACAAAATTGTTTAACAGCTTAAATTGACTGGCTATTGTTAATTTGTAGATTTGGATTTGTTTGGGGGGGGATCCTGCCTCCTATAATAAACTCCAGCTCCATTATTGCAAGTTATATTTGTTCCAACTTGACTCCTCAAGTAAGTTTCAATGTATAAAGGATAGAATGCCAATGATAGGATGTAATAACTGGGAGAGAATAAGTTGAGGAGACTGGAACTGGTGTCCACTCAAGATTTAGAGATTTAGGTTTCGGGAGCGAGCAGGGCTTAGAATCCATCTCATAGGAAAAGGTACTTTATACCCAATTACGCTCAGGTAGAGAGCAGCTAGCTGAACGGAAGATACATAGGGCAACATCTCAGGTGGTAAACAAAAGTTAGTCATAGCCAATTACTGCTTAGTTTGAGGTGAACAACTTGGAGGTTTAAGAGTGCTCAGGTTTTAGCGCTTTAAAAAAGGACGTAACACGTTCAGCCCATTAGGTAACTAACAAAAGATATTGCATCCCTTTCAAAAACTTCAAAAAGATGCAGATCCCTTTCCCCACCATGTTGCACTGTGCCTTAAGGACTGTACCACTTCAGAATAAAGGTGAAAAATGCAGGCTGCAGTGCCCCACCCCATGTCAACAACCCTTTGTACCTATCAAAGTAGAATATTTGGGGAAAGGCAAAGCTAAAACATGCTTTCCTTAGACTAAAAACCTTCAATAACTCCCCAATATGGACTACATCTCAACCTGGATTGCGAAGTGGCACAATCCAAAAAAGCTGTACCATATAAGGTAATAGGGAACTGTATTATACCCCAACACTTGTCCATCTAGGTCATAGCTATCTAAAGACTGGCAGCAGCTTTCCAAAGCTTCAGGTAAGTCTTTCCTAGCCCTCACTGGAAACGTGGGTGACTAAATTTGGGACCTCTTACATATGCAATGTATGAGCCACAGCCCTTCCTTCAATTTTACTGAATGCACAAGATGAGCCAAAATTGTAGTTCATATTACGAAGATGCACTGGGGACAAAAAAAGGGCCTCATATCTTTGCAGCATCTTGCCTTGAAGTGTGTTTATATTTTTAAAGCTGAAAAGGGAAGATGTTATGGGCTGTTAAACCTTTGCTGTAATTAAGCATTCTGCGTGTTAACTCCTTTCAAAACCTATGAGGCTTAGCAGCAGTGGCCATGCTTTCCAATGGGCTGGACAAACTCAACTGGCTGCATCTACCAATGAAGCCAATTCAGTAATCCAAGAGCTAAAGACAAAATTAAATACCCTCTAGAATACAGCCCTAATGTATACTTGTGCTTTAAGTACACCTATGAAGATTCTGTGTCTTACATTTAATCAAAGGGCCTTCTTAGCAGTAGTTATACAAGTACTTTAAAATGTAAATTTATTATTGTATTCAATTATGTACTGCTTTTCTCCAAAATCCCCAAAGTCCAAGTTCTGGTTATTCTTTTGGCCTTTGTGGTTGTGGATTAAAGCATAAAAATATGCATGCAGTTTCAGCTAAAGGTTAAGAATCAAAAACTTGATTAGGTTCCCTCAAAGGTCAGGTAGGTCACACATTCTAGTCACCTTCCATCTTTGGGCTCCTATCAATACTTGTCTGCTGTTCCAGAATTTTCAGGTTGCAAAATGAAACTTCAAATATTATACAAGTATCCCTGTATGGTATGCCAAAACATTCTAACTGATGTTTTTGTTATGTGTGCGATTTTTTCCCTTAGGATTCCTGACTCATCTCTCTTCATGTAGGGAACACCAGGAAATAGTGGGATCTCTGAAGTTTATCATAACTGTATTGTGAGCAAAGTACCTGTCAATGTAAGATAAGATGATAAGAGAAGTTCATTGCATGTATAACCACCACATGAACTACTCATCCAAATTCGCTTTGAAAGTGAAGCTGTGCATTTAAACTTAAATGTCTAAGGTTTTTGTTTCATCATACAATAATATTCACTTTCTTGCAAAACTAAGTGTTTTGAAAATTAGCTCAGAAGTTTTGAGGGTTTTTTTAAAGAGACTGAAAAATAAAACCCATTATTGTTATTATGAACCTTTATTAAGTGGCTCACATTTCAATATAAATCACACTAAAAAGATTTTTCTTAAAAAAAGCTATTTACACTACAGTGCTGACACGTTAAAAAGGAAAAAAAATTGGTATAAATAAGCTCTATGGAAAAGCCTGGAATTGTCAAAAAGAATTCTGGCTTATCTTACAAAAAATATATGTTAAATGTCAGCTCTAGTCTAAAACCTACAACTCATATTTAAAGACTTCTTTATGTTACACCTGCAGTGTTTACAGTGCATCTGGCCCTAAGTGCTTTGATACTTTCACAGTTATGGACAGGCACTGAGGAATGTTACAAAGCTACATAAACTATATTCTGTAACAGATGTGAGGCAAGTAACAAACCTGACTCACAGAATTTAAGCATCTTTACATTATTATGTTTAAAAAGGAATTTAAAAATATATATACACACACAGAACAACTTCAACACAAAAAGTCATCTTCTTGTTTGCCATGCAGACTTGAATATGCTGAACTGCTTTGTCTGGTATCCTCCAGGTTCACATGACCCCCCAGACCCAAGCTGTCCTGCAAGTCCTTGTCTTCAGGTTCAGTTTCAAACGTAGACCCTGTCAACTGACCATGATCCAGCTTTGCTTTAACATTCTGACATTCCATAACATTAGGTGCTACTGTCTTTTCTGGAAGATTAACAATAATTGGTTCCTCTTTATTTTGGAAAGATGCAGCAGGTTCATGTGTGCATGAAAATTCCTGTTTGACATATTTAGTTTGCAGAATGCCTGAAAATTTAGTGTCTTCAGAGGCATTTATACTCGCTGCGTGGATTACACTGTCAGTTTGAAGTCCTACAGCAGAACATGTGGGATCTGTTGGCAGGCCTGCTTCATAGATGCTTTGATTTTCTCCCTCTGAGTGGTAGAGCTTGAGCCGAACATGCCAAGCTAAACTGCACACAGCTGAAACTGTCTTAAACTGATGCACAACATTCCTTGGAATAAAATAAATATCGTTATCATACAACTGAATTCTGGCATATCGAATGCCTTCCCTTCGTAATTGGTTAAGTTTTGCATCATCAACCCACTGGACACACTAGAAAGAGAGAGAAAAAAAAATTAATAAATGTTTTCTGGATCATGGTAATTCTCAATGAAATAATTATCAAGTCTTTCAAAACACTTACCTGTGAAAGCGGAGGTTCATGCAGATCTAGTTGCATTCGTTGAACTACCTCTAAGAAATCTTCTGCATGAAAGCAAATTACATCTTTGGTTATACGAGGTTGTTGAGGCCTATGCAAAGGAGAGAAAGGGTTGCCATCAAGGTTAATAAAGTCATACCTCGGGTTACAGGTGCTTCAGGTTGCACGTTTTCGGGTTGCGCACCACGCCAAACCCAGAAGTACCGGAACAGGTTGCTTCTAGGTTTCGGCGCTCATGCATGCGTAGAACCACTAAATCGCACTTTGCACATGTGCAGAAGTGCTGAATCACGCTACGGGTTGTGAACGTGCCTCCCGCACAGATCACGTTCGCAACCCGAGCATCCACTTTATATTAAATCAGCCAGCTATTTGCTGCTCTTGTAAGCACAAAATAAAGCACTGAAAATATACAGTTGTTTTTCAGTTTGCAGGAGTCCAATGAAAAGTAACAACAGCAACTGGAACTTATTTTTTATAAATAGTACTAACACAGCAACTGATCCTTTGTCTTCTCATGCTAATATAACAGGTGTTCAGGTGTGTACTACTCTATTACAACTTCCTTGTAGAAAGCATAACCTTTTACTGGGGCCTAAAATCAAAAGGGACGCGGGTGGCACTGTGGTCTAAACTACTGAGCCTAGGGCTTGCCGATCAGAAGGTCAGTAGTTCGAATCCCCGCAACGGGGTGAGCTCCCATTGCTCAGTCCCTGCTCCTGCCAACCTAGCAGTTTGAAAGCATGTCAAAGTGCAAGTAGATAAACAGGTACCACTCCAGCAGGAAGGTAAACAGTGTTTCCGTGCGCTGCTCTGGTTTCGCCAGAAGCGGCTTAGTTATGCTGGCCACATGACCCAGAAAAACTGTCTGTGGACAAACATCAGTTCCCTCGGCCAGTAAAGTGAGATGAGCGCTGCAACCCCAGAGTCGTTCACGACTGGACCTAACTGTCAGGGGTACCTTTACCTTTTAGTCTCACATGAGCCACAGGACGCTCTGGAAAGTATGTTAATTTACTTATTTCTTCCACACAGCTGCAATGTACAGCATCTGCAAATTAGCGTAAATTAGAGATTGCAGTGCTCAGGGTTCCTTGTACCAGAAGCTACAGATTAAGTTATGACCAGCTTATATGTCACACTATCAGTCTCCAAAACATTATTATTGTTTAAATCATAATTGTTTATCACATTCCACTATCCTCTGATATTTCACAGCTATTAAAAAAACACACACAAAGAGGAAAAAGCTGGATTTACTTTCAAATCTAGTTATTAGAAGGTAGGCAAATGCTCATTTTGCTTTCTTAACATTTCATCTGTGTTTTCAATTAAACTGCACAATTCAGTCAACTAAGATTTCAAAAACAGATTAGTCCAGAGCTCAAAATGGAAGAAAATCACACTTCAAGTAAAAAATCATGTACATTTCCATTCTGCATTAACACTTACTAATCACCTCCATCACTATCTTGCCATTTCCTATCCATTGTGCCAACGCAGATTTGATATGGAATGCTTATCTGTGAAAGAATGCATCAAGCTAAATGCACAAATAGCATTTATCTTTAGGATTTTTGACTCCCTATATTAGGATCAGCAACTTGCAGAAATACAGGGCCAAATCTCTTCTGCATGCCAACTCAAGGCCAAGAGTGATGACAGGACTATTAGTTGGGATCTATCTCAGCACTGTCCAATTCATGCAGGTATTTTTCAGATGTTTATCCTGAAAAAAACCTGGCAAATACATACCACTCTCCACAATGCACTGCCTTTAATACTCCCACAGCAGCTGTAGTCTGTCGTTCAAACCCTTGTCCTATGTGATCTGCATGAGCTCGTGTCCTGTCTTCAAAAAGCATTTCACGAGGTTCACTAATACGAGGTAGGTACTGCAGGTTTTTTATTTCATTGGTTGTTCTGTTAAAAGGATGGGGGAAAGAAAAATTAAGAATAATTGTCCAATTTTCCCCCCTTCATATAAAATTGTTAGCAAGTTATTACACAAGTAAAAAAGGATTGCCCTCCAATATAAAAGGCGCTGGTTTAGAATTTTTGCGCAGTGATTGAAAACAAACACAAACAAGCTAATACATACCCACATTTCTAGATCTTTTTGTACATTTCTTGTACACAGTGCAATGTTCATTTGATATTATAATTGCATTCTACACACAAATTAGAAATGGAAAGACTGCTGTTCTATGGGACTGAGCCGCTCATGACCACCCTGACGGATTGCGCTTAACAAGAGCAGGACAAGGGGAGTGTAATCTTGTTCCCACGTCTAGTTCTCTAGGGTTTTTTATACCATCGACCATTGCACCCTCCTGGACTGGCTCTGTTGTTGTTGTTGGGACTGGCTCTATGGGATGGGAATTGGGGGCACTGCGCTACCTATGTGGCCAAGTTCAGACAGTAATAATAGAAGAGTGCTTTTCAGTCCCCTAGCAATTATGCTCTAGGCAACATGAAACTACGGGGAGCAGTCATAAGGAAATTAGGGCCAGGTGTCACGAGTAGGATAACACTCAGTTCTAGTTCTCAATAACAATTGAATCAGGAGATGCCACGCAGGACCTGGGACAGTGCCTGGATGCAGCGGTCGACCGGATGAGGGATAACAAGCTAAGCCTGAAACTCAGCAAAGCAGGGGCACTAAAGATGAGTGCTTTCCATGGCTGAAAAATAGGTCAATTACATCGTGTGTCTTGTAAAGACCTAACTTTTTGCCTGGTCTTTCCCTGACCCGTAAGTTCAGGGAATGTTTTTGACTGTATGAATTCCTGGTTTTATAATTTTCTGTTTATGTTGTACCCTACGTTAAAACTATTAAGTGACTTAAAACTGTTTGATATAAAAATAAATAAATCATAACAATCATTGATGATGAACTAGCTGCCACCCCAGCTCTCTGTGATCATTTACATTCTCCCTCTATGAACAAAGTGCTCTTTTTTGATCTCACAAGGGCCTAAGTACATCACTTCAGAGATTAATACTGGCTGAATTGGAGCCAGCTCAATCCAATTCAGTCAGTAATTCTAGTACCAGAGCCAAGTATTACAAGCACACAGTATTAGTGTCTATTAAGAAAATATAACATGTTTAGTCAAAAAGGCCAGAACTTAAAGAATTAACAAGCTATTTACGGCAAGACACAACATAACCAGAAACTGAAAAGACCTTTCCAGCACAACAATAGACAATTGGTACAAAACAGTTTGGGAAGCAGCCCTTCTTAAGAAATAAACTACAAATAAACTACAGTTGACACATGGACAGATCAAGAAAGATGGCTTTACCCCAGTATAGTTTAATTTCATAACATATTCCAGAAAATGAATAATCCCCCCACCATCAGCATTTGGCTCAATCTGGTTTATCTAAATTTAAATGTAAACATAAATTATTATATTCACTTTGAAACCCCCCATTCATCAATATACAAGAACTCTATATTGTTTCATTGGTAACTTAAGAGGAAAAAATGACTATTACTCATACTTAATCTAAGCACAACCACAAGGGCTCCTGATTAGGCGATTAGCTATGTAATGTTGAATGTTATCTGTTAACTCTGTTCTATCCTGTATTTTTATCCTGTTTTTTTATCCCCTTTGTTTTTGTTTAACCAATCAATGAACCAAGAGCTTATATACTGACCACTAATAATAAATTGTATGTCATAGATATTACTGCAAACTTATTGTGCTATTTTTGTGATGTATGAATGATATGAAAAGACTTGGTCTATTTGTATAATTTATTATTCCTATGATCCTTGATTTTTAAAACCCAATAAAAAGTTATTCAAAAAGAAGAAAAAACATGGGCTTAAACCAGCCTCCTCAAAAATAACTTACAACTTTGGAGACAAGGGACTCAGCTTTACAACCGCAGATAAAGTGTGTTTTAAGTGCAATATGCAATGTGACACTAGATGGCAATGGCGAGCCTTATGGAAAATTCAATGTATTTTTTTTTTTAAAGCATTTTCAGAATGTTTTTTATATGTGTGTAGATTCCACCAAGGTATTTTTTGCTTTGGCACACTCCAACTATTATAATCTTGCCAGAGGGGCTTTGAACTTGATGTCTTTTTGTACCAGATGAAGGTATCTTTATTTACTCAGGATTTTTAGAGCTTTGGGGATTCTGAGATTTTTTAGCTTCAATTTTTAAAATTCTTTTTAAATACCTTATTACTGTTTTAACTGCTGTAAGCTGCTCAGGAAGTTTTAAACTCTATAGTATGGAATCAAATAAAGCCAGATATTTCAGCATACCTTTTCCTTTTGAAAGGTGACTTTGGCATGTCTGCCACAGGGATCATTTGTTCTCCTGGACGTACCCACATAATAGGACCATCATCACTATCTTTACGACTCTCTAGTTTCAAACTAGAAAGTGTCCCCCATGGCAAAGTACACTAAGAAGAAACAGTTATTTAAAGGTTATTTAAAACACCACCAATTGAAACATTTTTATTAACTCACAACATGAAAACACTGCATATCTTATTCTACTGCAAAACAGGGGCAATTTCATCAATGTAGAGGACCACAATTTTTCTTCTGCATTTACTGTATTTTCAATTCAAAATAATGTCTACCTCAAAGACAATATTATATCTATATATAAATTGCATTGTATCACACTGTATTCTTCAACCTAAGAATCTGAGTGCTTTCAGTGCTCCTTGAAAATTTCATCAGGACTGCAGGTTTCATAAGAAATTAATAGCCTCAGTTATGAAGAACTTGAACTGGCCTTCAAATATGAATGTAGAATACAAATTGAAAAATCAATACCTTTAATTGTTGCCTTATACCTAATCATTTGCAGAAAAATGCACATAAACACAAAATGTTGCACACTATTTATTTTCTTGCATTGCATTATATTTAATTTTAATTTTGCATGCAAGAATCCCTGTATTAAAGACTTGCAAATTTTGGATCTAATCTCTTCACCATATTAGAAGTGTCATTTTGTTTATCATAATAAACAAAGTTTTAAGATTTAACAAAACTATGCAAAGTTACTTCCCCGATTCCCTTTCTTTCTTACTTTTAAGAAAGGTGAATCTTCCAGCATATCTAGGAACTCTGGAAAATAGTCCCCCACTTCCTCATCCACTGCTCCAACAAGGCTGATTTGTCTCATTGGGCCAGCTCTGTATGTACCATGGGAATATGTTCTTTTTACCTAAAAGAAAGTCATATACAGTAAACAAGGGTCAGTTTTATACACAGAATAAATTACAAAACAATTTACATTTACACAAATATACAAAATATTTTCTAAAGCACAGAAGTACAAATTAAACATTTTTAATAGTACAGCAAGAGGAGATCTGAAGTTATGACCAGGCTAAAAGGTGGAGAGTGCAATGCTAGTTTAGCATTTCAACATAAATAAAAGATCATACTCAACATGAAATGCAAAAAACCCACAAATGGTAAAAAAAAATTAAACAATGCAAGTAAAACAAAAGGTAGCAGATAAGAAAAGGTGGCTGCATTTAAAAAATAAATAAATTGTTTATATGTATTTTAATGACTTAGTTTTAATAAAAAGGGTTAATTTATATTTTAATATTTTAGTATAAAACTGTTGCAACACAACTGAAAGAGATAATGAAAAATATCTGACTTTCCTTTGTCTCTTCAGGAACAAACATAATAGAAGCATAGGAAGAGAATATGCATTTCATGTTGCACAATTATTTACAATAAAAGCAAGAAAATTACTATTTATACTATAAAATACATTGCCTTGTTTGAATAACTAACTAATATATTCTGCTGCGTAGAATATCAATAAATTTAATAAAAGGCTGGAGCAAGGGATTAAGAAAATGATGTTTACTGAACCAACATTAATATGCATAGCAGATTATTTACCAGCCAGTACATTCACTTCTCCTGTGCTGTCTAATGCAAACCCTAGGATCTTATACATTTGCCTTCCTATACAAAAATAACGGAGAAGGCAGCACTTTTCATTAAATGGTAATGTATTCTAAGCTTCTATGCAGCAGTGTCTGCTTTCTGTTTTTTTAAAATGAGTCCACATCTAATTTCTAGATGCCTAATTTTTATAGCTTTATGCCTATGACAATTTTAAATGTGCGTTAATATATCTATCCCCCCCCTTTCATTACCTCATTTCCCACTCTCTTGGACATACACCCTCCCTACAACCATCTGTTATCCACTGACACAATTGCAGTGACTTCTTGACCAGCAATCAGCCTGTCTAAATGTCAGCAACGCAACAAAATGCTACTCTCAAATGTACTCTCAAACACGACTGTCAAGTAAACATGTTTCCTCCACAGAAACTCCAACAGCCAGTTTTTGTTTAATAATCCATCAGCTGACACTGTTAAGAGTTTAGACATAGATGATTTAGCTTGCCATTAAAAAATTTTAAGTTTCCTAGGACTTTCTGTCCACATACAATTAGTTACCGCAACATACTGTAGTCAGATTTAAATTAAACATGCAGTATTGAAAGATAAGCACTCAGGCTCTTGTTTTGTAACAAGATGTTTTAATATTTTGTCAAAGGAATGGATAGCATAAAAATGAAGACATAGATAACAAACTAGGTTTCTTTCTCTGTGGAAGGCCTGCAAACGCCATCTTGCAGTGTTAGAAACTCAGATATATAAGCTGATTGCCAAATGGCACCTTAAACCTAGGTTGCGGTTGCCAGAACAGACTGTCTAAGTACCTTTCTGCCCTGTCCGCCCCATGGAACTTATTATACTTATTATATTTATTATTATTTTCATTCCATTTCTATACTGCTTTATTAAAAAAAAAAAATCAAGGTGGTTTACAACACATTAAAACATCAAATAAAACAATCTAAAATAAAACAAATTCAAGCTTTAAGGAAATTAGTGCAGATCCTTCTTTAAATTATGGTACATTTTGCTTTCCCCATATTTATTTACCTACTTAATTTATATAGCAGCACCATAGCAGAAGTACTCTAGGAAGTCAGTGTGGTGTAGTGGTTAAGAGTGTCAGATCAGTGTGAGATCAGGGTTCAAATAACCACTCAAGTCAGGAAGCTCACTTGGTGACCTTGGGCCAGTCACAGCCTACCTCACAGGGTGTTGTAGAGTTTAATTGAGGAGGCGGTGAAACATGTACTCCTTGGAAAAGAGGTTGGGATATAAACACAATAAATAAGCTCTTCTGCTTACCTGCTTAAGAAAGATAAAAGGCCAGCCAGGTGGAGATGTCAGCCCAGAAATCTCCGCATGGTCGCAACTGGGCCTGTGTCAATCATCTTGGTAGTCAAGATAACCTCAAAATTAATTGATAGTTGCTGTGGGAATGAGCTCATACATGCTTTGATATGTGCCAATTGGCTTGCTTTGTTACTATGCTTATCAGTGAGGCCTGAGATGCTGGGCTCTGGGCTCTGGGCTCTGAGAAGGAAGTGATATGTAAGCCTTGGACAGTTGCCACCTATGCCTTCAGGGGTCACGTGGGTTGAGGAGAGGTTCTGGCCAAGCTGACATATGCAGCAGCTTTTTGTTAAAAATAAGGCTTAACATTTGCGGACAAATCTTGATGACTGCTTGCTTGCTGCTGCAAGTGTTCGCCCCGCATCATTAAGGACAGAAGGGCTCTGCATGCTGTTTTCATGTTACTTTTTAAAAGCGATAGAACTTGCTGTTCTGGGATTCTTGACATCCAACCACTTGCATCCAACCACTAGGCTCTCCCTTGAGCCCATGGTTCCGATCAATTTCTCACCCCAGCAAATGATGTTTTGTATGCATCCACAGTGACATCAAATAAACACTTTAAAAGTATGCTACATGAGAACAAAAAAACCCTTCAATACAGATATGACAGAAGCTAAGACAAAGGTTATAAATGGAATGAATGAATACACCTAAGGCACCATGCGCCTCATCGCCATTCATGTATGGAGAGTTAAGTCAGCAGCACATCTGACCGGGCAATCACAACTTGACTGGTGTGCATGGCAAATGTGTTTATAGATAATGGAGCATGTATGCACTGCTAACACGCAGGAACTTCATTTGTGGCTTCTATCATATCTGTTTTGGTTGCACTATATGAAAAACATGCACAGATTTTTCATTAATTGTATCAACTGTAAGCCCTCATTTTGGCTTTTGAGAGATCAACTGGGCTTCAAAAATGAGGATTCTTAAGAAGCATGTTAAATTTTGTGAATGTGTATTAAAAGTTACTGTGCTTCGACAAGAGTCAAGAAATTAACGTACAAAGCATATAATGAACTTAAAAATAAAATTTGATGGCTGCCTTTCTAATTAAGTAACCATAAGACTTAAAAATGCAAACTATTCTGATTTAAAGAACGTCATCCTGCAGTTTATAGTTGTAATTGCCCCCTTTGACTTAAAATACAATAAAGGTTTTGTACAGATGGGGGTTTGGAGGTTGTTGTTGTTTGGTACTGTTAAAATTAGCTTCAACCTGCTGAAAGGTAACGGACTATTATTTTCATGTCTTCTTCATATTACATATCAGAGCCCTAGAATTGCAGAGCGAGTTCTATGTGTTCTTACTAGACAACTAGAGAATACTATTTTCTGTTCTGCTGGTAAAATGAACTTCTCTTAACCCCTGCCACTAAATGTTAATTCAAACAGAAAGTGCTTGCACTGCTTCCAAAATGTGTTCAGGTTAAAGCAGACTCTAGTGACTGTTGACCATATATCTTAGGAGGTGATGTTAGAGAATCTCCAAATAAAGCCATAGTTACTATACCTTAGTGTATTACTACCTTTGGATCATAGCAACCTCAGTGTATATCTAGATTTTACTTCTATTACAAAAAGCTCATCTTACCACTCTGATTAAATAAATTTGCAAATTGTTTTTATATGAGTGTAATTTATATTGGGCTATATTGGGAGTTCAATTTAGTAAACTCAGGTTAGGGATTGCAATATTTTAAAAATAAAAAACAAGAGAAAAAGCATATACTTTATATAAGTACTGTATTAATAGAAGAAGGAATGTTAATTTATTTTGTAATTAATGAAAAATAGAACCAAATGGGATCCATTTCATTCAACATACTTGTTATAAAGTAAACATCACTAAGAAGTGAAATGAATTCAGATTCATTATCCAATTAATTTCATTTGGGAGCGGGGCTTATCTTTCTCTGGAGGAAGCAGCAGGCCCGATTTTAGTGATGACTTAGCACCTACCATTTTATTTTTCCAAAATTCCTTGGATATTGGGAGCGGAGTGGAAGTTAACAGTAGGGGTTGTCATGTTTTCCCCAGAATGCCCTGGAATGATTCAATATCTGGGGCACGTTGGAAGGAAATGGCTGATACCAGAGCACCTGCCAAATCAGTTCTGCTGCCATGTGATTTTAGTGCAAGAAAGTATTCTGAATAATGAAGGGGGGGGATTCACACCCTAAGACGCTCATGTAAGAAGTACAACTCTGCTTATGAGATCATTGTATGTCTCAACATCCTATTATGACAGCATTGCCCGGCTTACTTACTCAGTACACGTCTTCATAGTACTTTGCTGTGTCCATGGAATAAGCCCTTCCAGAACATTTAGGGAAATTTAACACATGTGGTGTGCAGCAGACAACTCTGTCCAATGGGACTATGGCCCTATTCTACCAAAGAACAGCCTGATGTCAGTCTGGTGCATTCTGCTCCAGCTAATATAACAATCAAAATACCAACGAGCTAAGTGCTGGTAATGTTCGTATTGTTTAGTCGGCGCAGTGGATTGCCTTTGTAAGGTGCTCAGGGAGCAAGAGACAAGTTAAAGACTTTACCGAAAAAGGCTTTCTTTACTGAAAGAGTGCTAACGAGGCAATTAACTGGATTTGCTAGAAAGGAAGATAGAGGCAGGAGAATGTTTGGAGGGTGAGCTGGTGGAATGGGTAAAAAATACAGCTTGCACATAAAGGGGTGGAAAAGAATGGGTATAACTGCAGTAAGACTGAGAAAAAGGCAGGGAAATAGGAGGAGCAGGCGGATTACTACCTTGCCTTCCACTTAGGCTCTGAACATTAGAGAAGAGGTGGTGATCCCAGGAAGCAGAGGGACAGCAGTCAAGAGCTCAGAAAAAAGAAGACTCATGAGAATAAGAGTCTGGAGGAGAGAAGGAGCACAACTCAGGAATGGGGACAGAGCATGGGCATGTGCTCTCTGGTTGGCTTGGCTAGTTATACACTTGAGCACTGAAGACTTTGCAAAAGAAAGGGGCATGATTCTGGATAATGCTTCCCGGATACAAGAAACAGTCAGTTGTCCTAAGTTTGATTAGCGGGGGGGGGGAGGGTGGCTGTGGGTGATTAGCTTTTCTACAATGAGAGTAGCATTTTGTGTATATGGTCTTTCCTCATTAGGGTTAAATGGACAATAAATTAGGTTTATAGTAAGGCTTAAATCCCATTACGTAGCAAACCAAGTTAGGTGGTGTACCTCAGGATGCTATCGGAAGAAAGGCTGGAGCCACTCCCCTGTCCATTTCAAAAGAGAAGGCTTCCTCTCATGTGCCCAGTGAGTATGACCAGTGGTGAGAAATAATTGAGTTGTATTCCAAAAAACCTGAAGAGCACCAGTTTGGGGAAGGAGGCAACAAAGAGCAGGTACACTTGCAACACAATTTGTTCTTTGTGACAAGGTTACTAGAAAAGCACTCAAATAGGAGGGGAACCTGTTCCCTTGGCAACTACAGTTACATAAGATTAACAAAATGTAAACATGATCCTGGACTTACAGTTACTTTCCTTAATATAGCACTGTCATTAACCCTTCACACTCATGTGAATAATAGTAATCTATTCCTTCCAGGAGAGTAGCTTGCTATACCTAGTTGATTTGATCTTGGTTTTATGCAAGCTTACCATAGTTTGCCTTTTTCATATGAAACAGTAAATTAGATCAAACCTATCCATTCTGAAGGAAATCAGCCCTGAGTGCTCACTGGAAGGACAGATCGTGAAGCTGAGGTTCCAATACCTTGGCCACCTCATGAGAAGAGAAAGACTCCCTGGAAAAGACCCTGATGTTGGGAAAGATGGAGGGCACAAGGAGAAGGGGACGACAGAGGACGAGATGGTTGGATAGTGTTCTTGAAGCTACCAGCATGAGTTTGACCAAACTGCAGGAGGCAGTGGAAGACAGGAGTGCCTGGTGTGCTCTGGTCCATGGGGTCACAAAGAGTTGGACACGACTAAACGACTAAACAACAACAACAACAAAAACTAGGATTGAGAATTACTAATTGCAGCATACAAAAGAGGAGTGAGTGTGCAAACTTAAGGCTCCAGTGCTAAACTATGCTTTTCTGTTGTATCTCAGCATCCTATAAATATTACAAAATTGTATAAACAGCTACCCTAGGCAAGAGAAAAAAATTGTCATCTTACTCTAGTTTATCACAAGCTGAAACACATAGGTATGGCTTTTCTGGTAAAAGAGGGAAGAAGTGAACACCAAGCATAGGAGTGTAAAACCATGGAATAGATGTAAACTTTTTAATTAAGCAGACTATCCAAGTTGCTGTTGTTACTTGTTTTAGGCCTATCAGCATGCTTCCAAAATGGAAATTTATCTGCATCCAATTATAGTACAGTTCAAAAGGGAAAACTGCAAAGAGAACTCAAAAAACAAGAAAACACAGCTATACATAGTGAAGCACATGAAGCATTTGAATCATAGAAGAATGCTGCCCATTTTCTGGTACCAAGAAATTCAAATTAAACAATAAAATATTTGTCTGTCAAGTTTCTACCATGCAAAAAGGTTTTAGAAAAAGAAAACTTAAGGATTTTTGTGTGTGCAAACAGAAAGGGTTGGATCCCCAGATTCCTCACATGTTCTGTGACATTTCATTAGTGCCAGACAGAAGGGATAAGTCTATTTTTACAGCACCTTCTTCTCTTTTCAGCCCAAGGAAAATCTGCTTTGAAGAGTTGGGGGACTCTGGAGGAGCACCAGAGGTGGTGCAGGGCACTGTAAAGGAAGGGTAAATTGACAAAAGCCACAGGTCAATTCTGTGTCCAGGGCAGCTGTTTACCAGCTCCACCTGGTACGTAGGCTAAGACCCCACCTGCCCGCAGACTATCTTGCCAGAGTGGTGCATGCTCTGGTTATCTCTCGCTTGGACTACTGCAAAGCGCTCTATGTGGGGCTACCTTTGAAGGTGACCTGGAAACTACAACTAATCCAGAATACGGCAGCTAGACTGGTGACTGAGAGCGGCCGCCAAGACCACATAACACCGGTCTTGAAAGACCTACATTGGCTCCCAGTACATTTCTGAGCACAATTCAAAGTGTTGGTGCTGACCTTTAAAGCCCTAAACGGCCTCGGTCCAGTATATCTGAAGGAGCGTCTCCACCCCCATCATTCTACTTGGACACTGAGGTCCAGTGCTGAGCGCCTTCTGGCGGTTCCCTCGCTGTGAGAAGCCAAGTTACAGGGAACCAGGCAGAGGGCCTTCTCAGTAGTGGCACCCGTCCTGTGGAATGCCCTCCCACCAGATGTCAAAGAGAAGAAGAACTACCAGACTTTTAGAAGACATCTGAAGGCAGCCCTGTTTAGGGAAGCTTTTAATGTTTGATGGATTGCTGTATTTTAATATTTTGTTGGAAGCCGCCCAGAGTGGCTGCGGAAGCGCAGCCAGATGGGCGGGGTATAAATAAATAATTATAATACTTATTATTATTATTATTATTATTATTATTATTATTATTCCTCTAGCAAGAAATTTCTGGTCCTTTCTATGAAGAGAAAGAGCCCTTCCACATTCACAGGATGGCCAGCCTGGTTCTAACCGAATCAACCATGTATGAACAACTTGCTAACTGGTCAAGCACACATAATTTGGATGTTTCCCATTCTTCAATGCAGATATTTTAAGTAGCAGAACATATACTTTTGTTTCCAAGAGTAAAATTCCTGTTTCTATAGTGAAGAACACAGTAGAGCTACACCTGGAAGCCCTATGATTCATGTCACTGATTTATTCCAAAGTGCTTCCAGTGGCACCAAAACTATGCTCTCAGAACTTGGGTACAATGACATTTTGTGGCCAAATCTTACTCTTAAAAGTATCATAATATAAGGGAAGACAAGCCCTATCCTTGTCTCTGGAATTTTAGTATATCAAGAGTCAACAGTTTTGCTTTTAATGTTGCTGAATGCAGGCGTTTTGTCCAGCTATCTAAAGAGAACAGAATAGCCAGACATGGCTATGACTTAACTGTTCTATTTTTAATCATTATATGAGTCATGAATCTACTGTTTACCTTCAACCAGGAATAAACTGACTTGCTTTTTAAATGACTGCTGAACAGTGGTTCGCTCTTATAATATTTACCCAATAAGAATCTCCTTGATCCTTTCACCAACTATGAAGGAAAATATAATATCCATAAAGTAATAGGAATGAAGATGTCACAAATTGCAACATTTTTTTACCTTCATGTTGAGAGGCTATGCTGTTCAGTTTTGCATTTCTGCCAAATAGCGCTCAAGGCAGCTTAATAAATTCCTGAACACATAGAACCATTGCAAAGCCCAAAATAAAATCAATAAAAGCTACAATTAAAACAATACGGCAGCCTGTAAATCAACAGATCAAGGACAACCGACAAACACAGTGAAGCAATTTAAAGACTATAATGAATTATGATTAAACCAAATCAACCATAACATTTACATAAGAATTGAGAAGAGGCTAGTATACATTCATACTCTTCTAAGGAATGTTTTTAGTTGATAACATTTCTATCAGATCCAGGCCAAACCTGAAGGTGGTATGTATATACACTATAGGAACCTGGTTTGGTCCCAAATTTGATTCAAGAGCAACTGTGAGACTGACAAACATATAAAGGACATCCTTATCAATAAGGGAATACTTACTTCATAATACATTAAAAAGAATTCAGCTATGGCCTATTCTGCCTATCAGGAAAGGTATAATTACAAATAGTCTGTTCAAGACAAATTAACAGATCATTTGCATATGACAATATCATAAAACTGATGTGTCAGTTTTGATCTGTGTTCTGTTTTATTATGTGTTTTATTACATTACACCGCTACTGGCTGCAACATTAATCCATCATCTGATTTACAGTATTTTCAAGAGAAACTGTACTTAAGCAATTCAAAGAGAATGCAATCTTCAGCCAAAAACTTCCCTGAATATACAGCACAAACAAGTCCTCTCTTTTCAGTGACCCCATTTGTCCATTATTTTAAGCTATGGTCAGAAAAATCCATGGCATACTGTGAATGGGTGGTGTACCAGGGCATGCAAGCTGAGGAACTGGGAGGAAACAAGCCACATCACTGATTAGTATTATCCTAAACCTAGTACTTCTAGCTCGTTTCTCCCAAACAAACCATTAGCAATAACGCAATACCCAAAGACTGAAGAAACACAATCCATGAGCATTGGTTCTCGTGTAAAAGTAAGCCAGCACTGTGGTTGCTTTCTTCCTGGCTCAGCAAAGGAAGAAACAGGCCAGGAGCATTTTAGCAACACATAGTAGCACACTGCTTGTTCACAGTAGGGGTGGAGGATGGGGGGAACGGTGGGGGCCGTCCGCCCTGGGTGTCCCCACTGAGGGGGGTGACAAAGTGTTGGGTGGCACTCACCGCGCGGCCTGCAACGTGCCCGAGCCACGCATCTCTCCTAGGAGTGATGTGGTGGCTTGGGCGCCCGCAGGATCCATCCTGCCCCAAAAGATCCGCCCGCTGTCTCCTCCTCGGCTGAGTGGGTGGAGGCAGGCTAACTCCTCGGAGGCCCAGCTCACCCTGCCCCATGTCCGATCAGCTTGCTCTGCTGCTGGCCACAGGGCTTTCCCCTTCCCTCTCCATCGGTGTGGGGAGCCTGTGCCGCTACCCCCTGAACCCACCCAGGCTCAGGCATCACCCTTAAAGCCACCGCCGGGAGGCAGAGGCAGGTGAGAGGGAAAAGCGAGTTGTCCCACCAGCACTTGGGAGCTGTGTGGAGCCACTTCTCTCTTTGCTGACAGGCACTCTGTATCTCTTAAGCACCTACACTCAGGTATTCATGGGTTTCTTTTCTTGAGTAATGGGCTGTATTTTTGAAGCTGCGAACAAATTAACAGGGTGACTCTTCCCTCCGTGTGTGTGTGTGTGTCCCCTCCCACCTTTCCACATCTCCCAGTGCCTCACTTTAAATCCTTTCTTACGTGGAAAGACACCTTTGGGAAGTGATTTTGCCCTTTTGGCTCCTTTCCCCTAGAATTATAGTATTGTAGAGTTGGAAGGGACCCTGTTGAGGATCATCTAGTCCAACCCTCTGCAATGCAGGAGTATGCAGCTGTCCCATCCTTTTTACATTTGCTCAGCCCTCCCTCCTTCTTCTATGTAAATTTACATATCTCCCTCCCCCCCCCAGATGCTAGTCCTACTCAGAGAAGACTCACTGTAATTTATTAAAAATCCAAACATTAATTTCAAAGGGTCTGCCCTAAGTAGGATTTAGTTGGATGCAGCCTGTTATTATGACCAAAGTATCTTACCCAAAAATATCTGCACAAACCAGTTTATCTGAGTGCATTATTCTCAGGGAGGGGGGGGGGGGCTCATTTATTTATAACTGCTTAATTGCCTTGCCAGGCCTTTCCACACCTGTGGCGAGCCCCATTGGGCTTTCCCACGCCTGCAGCGAGCTGTGAAAAGGGCCAACGGGGCTTGCTGCAGGCACGCGGGGGGCACCTATGACACCACCTAAATCCACTGTACTTGAGCACTATACTTATGGCTGTTCACAGAAGCAGCGTGCAGGTATGAGAGATTACATCCTCCCTTATTGCTCCTGATTTGCACTATTCTTGGGTGCTTTTGCTAGGCAGGAATAGGCGCTTGAGCTCTGTCTGTGGTTGAAGCAAGAGAAACAAAGAACATGATGAGACATTAAGTAAAGCAAAGAAGAGGTGGAGTCTGAGGTGACAGGAACTGAGTTCCTTCCCACCCCCTTGGGAAGTGGAGGGGGGAGAAGAGAAGGACAATCGGAGGGGAGAGGAGGACCATGGCAAATTGACAGGACTCCTGCATGAGGAACAGCAAAAGGGCCCCAAACACGGTGGCCTTAGCTATGACACTGACTAAGTATCTTATTTTTTCCTTCTTTTAGTAATTGGGGGGGGGGGGTTGACAAGAAATTTTCCGCACCGGATACCACCTGAACTTGCTACACCACTGGTTCACATTAAACCAATGCATGCTAACCAGGTCTTTGTCTTCTCACAGCTGATGCCTGGAAATGCACAGAACACTAACAGCTGAAGGAGTTGAGAAGCATTTCATTTTCTGAAGTTCAAAAGCTCAATGCTGAAAAATAAGAGTCGGAAGCTATGGAGTTGTTATGACACCAATTCATATTAATGTTGGGGTATTATGGCATTTTCAGGGGTGGAGCAGGATATAAATAATGCAAAACAAATTGACTTGCTTTAAATATGCATTAGATTGAACTGCCAGCCCCTCTGGATCCAAAGGGACCAATTCCTAAGGAATCTTTCATAGGACTGCAGCCATAGCACATACAACTGAAAATGCATCATTTTACCAAGTCCAGGTCATACTACTCAATTGCATGCTAAGGAAAAGTTCAGAAAATATTCCTAAGATCTTATAGAAAAATCAGTTTTTAAAAAATAAAAATGGATGTCCAATAAGTTTTAGAAGGTGCAGGAGTAAGAGCTACCCACACCCAGAAGTATATCTGCTGTGTTTCTCCATTAGTCATGTTTCTTCTGAGATTGGGTCATTCTGCTCTCATTAAATTATTCCATCACACTCAATGCCACTGAAACAGAAGAACTATCCCTTACCCCACCCACAGGCTGATTGGAAGGAACTACACCACAATCAACAAATCATGCAGCGATGCCGCAGGCAAGCTTTTCTGTGAGTAGGTACCTCATACAGTACTCACACAAGTCTTTAATTATTCAATTTATCAAACATATTAGCCTGTCCAACTACAGAATTTGGGAATTATTATTGTACAAACATACATAATGGAGAATACCTTCTGTTCCTGCATTGCATACCGGGGGGGGGGGGGCAATCTGACTGTATTTTCCTTAGTCAACTCAATCTTCTCCTGCTAACATATTTCATTTATACAAAAGAAATTAATCACAGTATGAAATAATTTTTAGAAAGTGAAAAAACCTCTTACCTGAGCATGAAAATTTGACATAGTCGTTGTCTCTATATCTTTCTTTCCCAAAATCTCCATTTTCACTGGCGAATTGGGAAAATTAAATGAAAAGTAGTCTAAAAAGTCAGGTAAGTAAGTAGCTGCCCCATGAACAATTCCCATTACATAGTAAGCTGCACAGTTTTCATTTTCACTAAAAACCAGACCCACAAATTCTTCTGCAAATCTCTCCATCTCCACAGGAGACAAGTGGGAGAGTTCATTACTGTAGGCATGGATAACTGAAGCACCTCCATTAGGCTGGTGCTCAATATGAATGAATTGTTTGAACTCCAACATGTCCAACCTTTTGAGTTTATTCTGAACCCGTGGCTCCTTTAACGAGACAAATGGAAACTCACTGTTCTCTGATATCTTGTACTCAGAGTCCTTCTTGGGATCCATATTTTTTCCATTGAAATCCTTAAGATGATTTTTGATTATGCCTTTGGCATCTTGATCCTCAGTGTCACAAAATAATCCCGAGCAGATGGTCTGAATAGATTTACTGTACATTTTTGGACGCTTCCTTTTTTCACACTCTTTATGCTTCTTTTTCTTTTTCTTCTTTACTTTTTTAATCTGTAGATCTTCTGCATTGCTTTTTGGTTTCTCCTTTATACCTATTAAAAAAAGAAATATTTTCATTTTTGTATGTCTAAAGAGACATGCCAAGATGAAAAACTGATTTACATGCACAGTGAAGTGATATGCCAAGTGAGGTTAAATAGCACAAACTATATTTACTTATTATCCCATCTTTTCTTCAAGGAGCTCAAGGTGGTGTGTGTCATTTTTGGCACCAGAACGTTGGGGCAAGCTGGCACGCAGAGTCCCTCAGAATGCAACTCTCATGTAAATGGGGAGTTGCCTATAGTACAATTTTCTAGGAAAGCAGGCAGCTGCTATACAATAGACATTTGTGTGTGCTTACCTTTCTGAAATAATTTCATCTCTCCATTCTCTTTCTTAATTTCAGACATTAACCTGTGTTTCTTCTTTTCTTTCTGCTTTTCCTTATCCCTTTCTGCAATTTTGTCTCTGATGGTTTGATCTAAAAAGGAAACAATTCATATTTAACCAGAACTTTACAAAGAAAAATTACCACAATTATATTTGGTATAATAAGTAAATATTCTACAAAGTTCTAAGGCTAAATGAACTCTCAGATATTGAGAAGAGACACTTTATACATAACTGTTGTGGGGCTTACTTAAAAAATTGAAACCAGCAAGTATATTCTACATCTACCATATGACCAAAACTCCTGAATTGAATCTGAGCCACAATTCTACCAGCCTAATAGATTAGATTTCCAAAAACGAAGAGAAGCCCAAGCCCCCGGAAAACAACTTAACATTTTAGGACGTATGAGGTGATATAACTAGGATAAAGAAAACAATGAAACAGGAAGATTTCAGTTCTGCTAAATCAGGTGTGTTCCCAAGCATAAGTTATTATTGTTATTTTGTATATTATATCCCAGCCTTTCTCCCAAAACTACTAGTGTAAATGAATAAAAACATCTTCAAAACAGTGTTTGAAATTAGTCAGGCAGAAGCCGCATTTTGCAACTATCGGCCACTTGCGACCAAGTGAATGCCTGGGTGCCAAGATGGCGCTTGACATCTCCACCATCTGGAGGTGCATACCGGGGATCACTGGATCTTGACTGTTTTCACACACTAATACCACATTCTGTAGAATTCTCTCTGTTATATTTTATCTGCACAATTGGAATGAATTTCGGGGACCAAAATGCTTTTTCTTGTCAGCCTGAGCAGAAGCAGTGAACAATGTCATAGTTAATTGCTGCAGTTTATCTTCACCTACCCCACCCCACTGCCCTGCTCACAGTTATGAAGAATATTCTTATGCTACAAACGGTTCATGTCACCATTAAGAAAAAGAGGCAGAAATAGATACGAGAACTGTCCCTGGATCAAGTGACTTTTCTTCTTTAAGTTCTCAAAGTTCTTAACTGAGCTCAAGGTTGTCTGTCATCTGAACTAGCCAGAAGATTAACTGTTGAACACAGTCGGTCCCTCATTAGAGCCATCTTGCCCAGAAATGGCAACCAGACATTCTGTTTTGGTGACTACAACCTTGGTTTAAGGAGCCATTTGATGCCTAACATGTATCTTGAGTTTCTAACACTGCTTCAAAACTATTCCAATACAAATGCTTTAATGATGATTTGTGTGCTTGCTTTTCTCTACCCAGTTACAGACATGGCCAAAATTGTGGAAACCTTTTGGAAGATATGTATTTCTGAGGTTTGATGGCTTATAACAAGTAATTTTTATAATAATGCCATAAAATTATGTATCATTAGAAAGAATATAATGCAACAAACTAATTATCTTTATTCTATCAAAAGTTATACACAAATAAAAGACTTTATACACAGAAAAAATAATAAAGGGTATTTTGTAACTTCTCGTCATTTCAGTTAGTACTTAGTTTAGAAACCTTTTGCCACAATTACAGCCCTACAACACCATCCAATAGAGTTAACCAATGATTTTAGTTTGTCAGGTTTTATAATGTGGAAACAAAGATTATATGATTGCTTCTATCAATTGTGCTTTATTCCTTGGTTGCTTCTGACTAGTTTCTTTAATCGACTCTACAGATTTTCCATTGGAGTCAGCTCAGGGCTACTGTATCACTTTCTAGACATGGGATGTGGTGACGCTGTGGTCTAAACCACTGAGCCTCTTGGGCTTGCTGATTGGAAGGTCAGCAGTTCAAATATGTGTGGCAGGGTGAGCTCCCGTTGCTCTGTCCCAGCTTCTGCCAACCTAGCAGTTTGAAAGGACACCCGTGCAAGTAGATAAATAGGTACCGCTGTGGCAGGAAGGTAAATGGTGTTTCAGCGCACTCTGGCTTCCATTTTGGTGTTCCGTTGTGCCAGAAGCGGTTTAGTCATGCTGGCCACATGACCTGGAAAGCTGTCTGTGGAAAAACACTGGCTCCCTCAGCCTGAAGCGAGATACACGCCGCACCCCATAGTCGCCTTTGACTGGACAACAATCCAGGGGTCATTTACCTTTACCTTTTACCTATCGCTTTCTAGGTAACCAGTTAACTCTTTTCACTCTGTTTGTCACTGAACAGGTTTGAGTTAAAGAAATCCAGTTCTTGTTACATAGGGCAGCTGTGCTTTCTTCTTCTGGTTATTTGGCTATAACTTTAGTTTTATTGGCAACCTGATCTTGCAATATGAATGGTGGGTACAATCTCTCCATAATGGAATTAACAAGGATCTAAGATACACCTCAATACTGGAAGCAAGGGGATATGAGAAAGAAAGGAGTGTTCTTTTGTGATTGTAGACATACGGAGTCAATAATTGTGCACTATAAAACGGTTGCTATCCTTTTTTTCTGTAGAAATAGGCCAGCAATTCACTTCAACCTCAAAAAGGGAGGGTAAAGGGGCAAGAAAAAAACTAAGGGCTTGAGTCATGCATATAAAACCCCTAACTTGCTAGGGGAATAGGAACAGACCACCAATGAAAAGGGAACTTTAATATTGCATAGAAGAAGAAGAAACACTCCAGTACAGGTGAAGGTAAGGGTTAAAAAGAGACCCTTGCTTTAATGGTGGAAGGTGGTTTGGCCACTGCCTACAGCAGCCAAAAGGTGGAAGTGAATGAGGCAAAAACAAAGAAAAATAAAAGAACAGAATTCCCTCCACTGGAATAAATTAAAATCACATTAATTAGAACAAATGTTTAAAAAGGAACACAGTTCCCTTGTCTGAATGTGCTGTCAGGGCTTCCCAGTCCTTTGGTGGCACCTGGCCCTTTCAGTATGCCCCACTCTGCACCAGCAGGCACCCACTGGGCAATAACTCCTGAGAATAACACATTCGGACATTGCCTGGAGACTCCACCTGTGGAAGAAGGGTGAGGCACTCTCCATCAGCTGCCAAGAAGGAAGGGGAGACAGGGCGGATATAAAAATCTTCAGAAAGAGAGAAGAATGTGGGTGAAATCCAGTGGAAATACAGGCAACAGGTTAGATAATCAGGCTGCCCAAATAAGGCATCTCTTCAGGTACTGGCTTAAAGTGATCCTTGCTTCTTGTGAGAGGTCTTTTTCAGGCAGTTCTCCTAAGTCCCATCAGGTGTGATCTGAGAGCAGCGTTAGAAATTAGCCAGGCACCAGGTGCATTTTGCTACTGGCATGTGTCCAACTGTGACTATGTGGAGATTTCTGGGTGCCAAGTTGGCAACCACAGTTAAAAAACCTTTGCCTTAGTCCATAGATAATACCATTTCCATTGTGCTTGTTTCTCCCTCTGCCATACTGGAAACAAGTTAATTGTTGTAAGAGCAAGCTACAGTCAAGCAATGTAGCTGAGATCATTGAATCACAGAATTGCAGTGCTGGAAGGGACCCCGAGGGTCATCTAGTCCAGAATAGACATTCTATTGTGGTGACTGCAACACAGGTTTAAAGCACCATTTAGCCCCTCACTTGTATATCTGAGTTCTAACACTGAGAGGCGATACCAATGACCTATGCTTATCTATGCTCCCTGGGGAAATAGTAATGAAATAGAAAAGACTCCATTCTCTTTGGGAAGGAGCCTCCCATGGAACTGTGAGGCAGCTCTGGGAAGAACTGATGACCTCAGAGCTTGGAACTTACTAACAAGGAGACTGGTCAGGAAAAATAAGACTCGGTAACAAAATGTTTTGTAAATGACTTTGTATATTTTGGACTAATAGAAAACCAATAAAATGGAATTAAAAAAGACAATAGCTTAGATATTCTGAAGAAACCACAAGACTGAAGCAGTCCTGAGAAGAAGAGGTAAAGGACTTGCTGATGGGAACAAGCTAGTAGGGGAAGCAAATAATGTGAAGTAATACTGCTGGAATGAAACACTGCTGAAAGCTGACTAGACATGAGCTAGTGCCTTTGTTTGGACCCCTTTGCTTGGCATGGTCCATGGAAAGCATGGAGTATGCCCCCTTTGACATTCCTCTTCCACAGGAGCCACCATTTTTACAAAAAGTTCTCATTTAAATCAATACTGTTGGAAAATTTCTAATGTAATCCATTACAACTGTCCTGAGTTCCCCTGCCAACCCACTGCTGGCTCAATGTTCAGTCCTGCCAAACTGACCATATACAGTCTATTCAGTTACCCTGGAGTTGTCATGTGGAATCAAGAAAATAATTTTTTTAAAAGAAAAAACTTCAACTGAAGCAGCCAACATGTGAAGTGACCTTTCTTTTTACCAGATATTGCCTCTGACTCAATCCTTTTGGTTGCTTTTGGTGGCGATCAGATTAACTGGAGTGCGATCAAAAGTTCCCAATCAGTTGAATAGATCCAATCCCTGTCAAAAACAGTGGGAAGGTCAGAGTCAAAGGCACTATCTGATAAAAAGAAAAGTTGACAGAAAAAGGCACCATGTTCACACAGTTCCACATTCAAGATGCAATGGCAAAGGAATAATTGGGATTATACTATTGCCTTAGAACACACTCCTCTTTGTTCCTTTGCAGCCACCATTTTAACTTTCCTGTGTCTGACATCAGGTGATGGGAGTGGGTGTTGTCAACAAAAGCCTTTATTCTGTTTAGGCCTTGACTGAAGTCTGGTACTTGCAGATCTCTGGGTAACAGAGAACATGGTTTCTGGTGACAACTCAGCTGTCGCTAATCAGGATGAGATCATGGATTGAGTGCACCCGCGTTATCTAGCTATGGCTGGTAGCTAGCTCCAGGTCAGCATGGAGACCTGCTTAATTAACAGCCACTGTGCATCTGTGAGAATGCAGCAACTCAAATACTGGAAATTTCCAGCCAACCAAGCTTCTGACCAATTGGGAAATTTGGGTTCAGTTGCTATTTTCTATATGTCCCAGTTGTTCCTATGCGGAGAACGAAACAAGCTCCTGACAAGCCCATTTAAACAAATGTATATACTGTACATATACTGCAAGTTACTAGAAAACTTCTGAGTTATAATATACAAGTGACACAAAATAAACAGTAATTGACCAAGCATTTCAAAACCTACAACTGAACAGAAGTTTTTCCCATCTGTTTTAAAATAATGTAGGATGCCAAAAGCAGCAGCTGGTTTGCATCAGCTGAGAGAGGGCATCCCACTTCAGCATTAAAATATTATGCAAGAAGCACATCAAGATCAAAGGCAGCTAATGCAACAAAATTCCACACAATAAGGACTGTCATCAAAGAAAGAGGGCAAAGTTACTGCATCATTGCAGTAGAGACAGAGATATAATCACAGGTCATTGTACAAGGCACTATGAAAACAACTCTTGCTCTACACACTCCGGGCAAAACTCTTTTAGCAAAGCATAAAAAGCACAAAGAAAGAAAGAAACTAATCACTTTCAAAAACAATTATGATGTAATAATTGTTTGCCAAATCCATTACATGCACTATGACACAGAAAGCTTTGAATGATAGAAAGGAGGCTGTGCAGATATTTATTAGCATGTTCCTTTTTCATTATCTCCCAAGAGTGCAAGGAAAGATGTCTGAAAAGAGTTTGTCAGCAACAATACTAAAAATACAATAGACTTCCAGCTTATCAATTTATCATTAAAAATTGAAAGCTTTCCTTTTTAAACTGTAGAAACAACAGACCATGAAGATGGTTTACGGCAACAATGCCAACCATTTTAGTGTTGAAAGAAATGGAAAAGGCATTCTGAAACACACCATTGTGTATTGGGGATAGGTGCTTCACCAAGCCCTGAAATGTAAGTTTTACTGCATTACTAAACACAGGATTTGGAATCAGAAGAGTAATTTCAAATGTTGAAAAATACAGACTACATTCAGGTATTTGGTCCAGAAGTACAATCTGGCTGTCTGACATGCTTTGACATTTATGTTCACGATATAGTCTTTCAAGTTCTAGATCAGTTAAAATGTGATGAATTTTTGGAAATATACATGATCAAGGAACTACACAAACACGTGAAATAGTAGAAAAGCTTATTTAAGCTTCTGCAAACTTCCTACTTTCTCATATCCACAAAGATCAGCATGAGGGTTAGAATCAGAAATTATGGGTTGTTATGACACCAATTAACATTTAATAAATGAAACAGTCATGCTAATTATTCTGAAGGGTGGGATAGCATATAAACAATATTAAAATTTCCCACTTCTAGACATTTCCTTCAAATATGCATCAGACTGGGTCCAACAGGGCTGACTCCCAGGTAAGGCTGCAAACCTGTGAAAACATATGATAAAAATCTGAATTTTTTAATAGTATTATCAAGAGTAGCTAAATAATTATAGGATGCAGCTTCAATCTGTCTGTGGCTGCCCTGTATGGTGATTCATTCAACTACAGGCAGCAGCCTTCTCAGTGATAAACCTTCCATACTAACATCCCACTCATGCTAACCACTGGATCTTTGTCAGTAGGAAGAAGTATAAAAGTTTTTGTTTTCAAGGTGAGGTTTGCTCAAGCAACAATGTCTTCCTGAGCATTGGCATTTTCCTACATCTTTGGTTAGTCACTGGTCTTGACTTCTCCTTTGTCCCATAGTTTCCAGTTCATGGCTCACTCCAGACTCCTGCCTACAGCACAGCACTGACAATATCCAAATATATTGCTACATCTTAATTATAAGGATATTTTATGAGCTTTCTTCACTGAAAGGTACTGTATATTCTTTGTGCAGTATGTTACTGAGGTCAGCAAATCATATATAAACCAAGATTTTAAAAACTTTCCGAATGTTTACTGCTGTTGATGGTTTTCAACATTCCCTTCCAATTTTCTGCAACAGTAAAATACTAAAATATGCCCTAGTACCTTCAAGAGTAGAAGTCTGACTCTCCTTCTCAAATACATATTTCATATATATATATATATATATATACACTCTCTCTCTCTCTCTCTCTCTCTCTCTCTCTCACACACACACACACACACACACACATATACACAGACATATATGCACATATACATATACATACACACACCAAACAATACAACCCTATGAGCCAAATTATATATGGTATACGTTCTTAGCTTGAGTTCAAACAGGAAGTGGTTTTTTATTATTTATTTTTATGTTTTCTGCTACATTTCAATGCCCTACAGACAACTCCCAATTTATGCAGGGGTTGTGTTCCAAGGCACTGTGTGTTTAAGTGAAATCTCGTATAACACCATTGAAAAAGCATGGAAACACCCCATGCTGTTCCCATTCCCCCCCTTTTTGTGATATTTTTGGGTCACTTCCAGGTTCAGTGTGATGCGCATGTGCGCACACAAATTGGATGCACCTAAAAAGGCGGCTGCCTGCACTAAAAAAAATCCATTATGCCTTCAAAAATGTATGGAAGTTTACATCACTTGTCTTGTAAAGGTAAATAACTGCATGCAATTTTAGCCGGCATAATGCACACACTGCATATGTTTTGGCATTCTCTGCTATTCCAGTTCTCTAATTCTGGGCACTCTCATATGGTGAGTACAGGAATTCTGCAAACTCTGGAACAGCATCAGTTTTAAAATTGTGCTGTTTGCTCCCATTCACTACAACAAAGCCACACACTAACACAATATTGCTATATCACTGATAGCTTCAGCAGTCTCTCTCAAAATGCATGGCTTCTAGAAGTGTGTATGACCACTGTTTTAATATTAAATGCAATGTGGTTCCAATTCACTTAATTGAAGACATAAAGCTAAAAGTCAAATGTTCATTATGACAAGATATTGAATGTATGTTCCATCCTTCCATATAAGCAGTTTCAAAGAGAGAGTTTGTTTGGGACCATTGCATCCATAATTTGCAGCTGGACAGAAGGTTGCACCACTTCCATCTCAAGTAATCAGTTGCAAAACACTTTCCTTCCCTACTCATTTGCCTTCCTCTCGCAACTGCTACTAGCTGCTCCAGGGGGAGACTGTCCCAATGCAAAACACCTCAGATATTGTCACAACCTCCTACTGTCTCAGGCAGTCTGCTGCAAGGCGTTGGTGCCTCCAAAGGAAAAGGCAGAAGCCTGACAGTCAAACAGTGAGGAAGAGCATGACAACCTTCCAAATTTGATCTGTTCATATTTTAGAGAAATATATTAAGACAAAGCTTACAGCACAGTGAACACATTTTGAGATCTCTTTATGTATCATGCACCTCTGGCTTTATCTCAATTAACTTGCAAAGTCAAGGAGTCATTCAGGAGGAAATGTTGGCAAGAGATTATCAGATAAAGGGAGGAACTGAAAGGTCACAGATAAAATAGTGACAGCCTAAGTAAGAGGGAGAAGATATTTTAAAAATTGTCATAGACAGTTAGAAGATTACTAAATGGCATTAGAAATGTTTTACAAATCTTAAAAGTTTTACCCTGGTCAGTTCTTTCCAAACCACATAAAGTCATCAAACTTCCATAGTGAAAAGAAACACCTAACTGTAAAATCTCCAGAAGTGAAAGAATTCATCCATTCCATTTATATGCTGCTTTTCTGCCAAAAGGCACCCAAGGTGGTTTACAATTTTAAAGGACTAAAACAAATGACACAACATTTAAAACTGGCTGGGGTGGGGGACTGATCTCCTTTACAACTACAGTTAAAAACATGCTGATGATATTATTTTTCAAGTAAATGTAATTGAAGTAGTGAGAAAACATTAGTTTGTTCCAGGGTCGAAGAGTATCTTACGAACATCATGCACCAGGTAACTTAGAAAAACTTGTGCCCTGCAACTACTTGAGCTCTACTCATGTGCAGTTTTCATATTATTTATTAATACTTATTACAAAGATGGAAAGAATGTTCATGCTTTTATGTAAAAACAGTTTTGTCCTTTCTTCTGGAAATGTCTGATCATTCATTTTAAATAAATATGAAAATGATCAGGAAGCAATTAAAAAAGGTGATTGTAGCATCTTGGCAGGTATACAGGGGGGAAAAAGACCTATCTCCTTTTTTAAAAAACAATTATACTTTATAAAAGGCATGCAGGATAAATAATCAAGTTATTTGATTATGATCATTTATTAAGTCTATTAATTGCAAAACTAATGTTTTTTTAAATAACTATAGCAACCAGTTGCCCTACATGATTGTTTAGTAAGTCCATCAGTTTCAAAATAGAAAACTTACCTTTATCAATTCACTATGCCCAGAAATAGAAAGCTGGTATCTATTGATTCACTTATATACCCAAATTCTTCCTCCAAATTTGAACCTAGATTTGGGCCACATGGATAAGCAGCACAAAGGAGCAAAACCAACCATTGCAATCCAAGTTTTGAACCCAAATACCAGTTTCTTAGTTGTCCACCAAAATCTCAAAGATTGTCTCTTGTCCAATAACTTATGGCAATTGACAATTCCTTTTACACAAGCAGCAGGCCTCCTTTCTAATTTGCTTCAGCTTTTCCTTCCTACAGTATCAGCATTGATCATTCCAACTGTAAATGCCCCTTTTTTGTTCCACATTTATCAGAACGGGAGCTCATCTTTGCTTTTCCAACTGCCAATCACCACAGGCTGCAATATGTCTGCTTTAGCAAAGTTAGAGCAAAGCAAAGCAGGCCTGTACAGGTTAAACAATAGACTCTTGCTTTTTATTCCCAGCATTTTATCTTTATGTATGAAGCAGTATTTTTATTTGGCAGAATATTCCAGCATGCAATTCTGCATCTGAATCCCAAAGTGGCACTGTCTTTTGAGTCTCATGAGCTATTCCTGAATGTCTGAATTAGCTGAGAGAAAGAAGAACCAACTGCTGACAAGAGAGAAAATCTTGTGAAAGCAGGACAATGGGGAGAGGTGAGAAGGAAAAGAAGGGCATTCTGGAAGCAATAAAAAACAAAAACACTTGTGCTTAATCTAACAGGATGTGTTGATGTGTGTGTAAAATATTGGGGGAGGGGTCACTTATCATAAATAAAAACTAGAAAATGTGCTCCTCTGCAGGTTCTGAATATAATTTTGGTTCCCAGTTTGCAACTCATTGTCTACCCTATAAACTTAATACATACATACATACATACACACATACATAAGGTAAAGGTAAAGGTAAAGGGCCCCCTGACCATTAGGTCCAGTCGTGACTGACTCTGGGGTTGTGGCGCTCATCTCGCTTTACTGGCCGAGGGAGCCGGCGTACAGCTTCCGGGTCATGTGGCCAGCATGACTAAGCTGCTTCTGGCGAACCAGAGCAGCGCACGGAAACGCCGTTTACCTTCCCGCCGGAACGGTACCTATTAATCTACTTGCACTTTGACGTGCTTTCAAACTGCTAGGTTGGCAGGAGCAGGGACTGAGCAACGGGAGCTCACCCCGTCGCGGGGATTCGAACCGCCGACCTTCTGATCGGCAAGTCCTAGGCTCAGTGGTTTAACCCACAGCGCCACCCGCGTCCTACATACATACATGCATAGACTTAATAAATAATTTTTAAATGCCACAATGGATTAAGCATTTAGAAATATGAAGAACTGTGCGCTGCATATGGAATTTAGAGCAAAGGAGAAGTTCTATTGCTTACGCATATCACAGCAAGCCAAGATTTGAAGTTAAAAAGACTCTCTGGCATTAACTGAACACGGATTATATAGCACTTTGTACCATTCCCAATTCTAGATGTCAGTTTCAGAGACTGAGAAATAAGAAGCATCTTACAGATGACTTCATGTCATCAGCAAAGTTGTCTTTAAAAAAAAGTCTTCTTCTCCAATTACGTTGTCAGTTGGGGCATCAGTTAGTTGATGCCGCATCCATCCTTTGCCACAGATTTGGCACCCTCTCCTCCCTTGAAAGCATGACCTACTTTTTAAACTGTCCCCAAATTTCCAACATCTTCACTAAAAGAATTAGTAGGTTCCTTATGTAAACTATCATTTATGTTAATTTGAAATGTTTCATTGTGTGTTATTAATGGAAGTGTGCCCTCTTAAAAGCCAGGTAAACAAAACGTGTTCTGGCTATGTATCACATGCATCAATGTGGACTAGTTGTAAGAATAAACTCATAAAATAGCAAAGCCAGAACCATTTCCCCCCCCACACACACACATTAAGATATTTTTAGAACAAATAAGACTGAGAACTGGTATTTTGAGTAACAAATTTTTTGGAAACAAAGCACAGAGTGACAGAGAAAATGAAATATTTGTTCAGTGTTTGTAAACTATTTTTCAAGAACTACGTCCATTTTTCCTGTATTTATGAAATTTAACATAATATGAAAACAAAAGAAAAGAAAAACCACATATACAGGATTTAAAAGCTAAACAGACATAATCTGTAAAAAATGGATAAATTATAACACTATACAGTTGCAAATCATTAATAAATTTATTATTCAATAAACAAAGATAATCTTTCTATGAACCTCTTGATATAAGATCTAAAATAACTTTTTGGAAAATATGTTTAACAAAGTTAACTATTTCCCAAATCTTCTTAAACCACCCAGATTTGTGTAATGCATGTTTTCGTACAATTAGCAACAACTATTTCTAAAAGTGTAAGCTACCGATAACCGAATGATTAATTGTAAATATACCTGTTCTACTTACTCTTTTAGAAAACCTAGTAAAACTTTTCCAGAATCCAAAGTTAAACCAAATTAAGGGGGTACTGTCTATTAGACAAAATCTCTTTTCATGCATCTTTAAAAAAGCTGTGTTAAAAAATTATCATGAGAAGACTGTCCAACATATTTGAATAAATAGTACTAGGTGTATTTGAAGTTAAATACCACCTACACTAAGTTTTCATTTAAGTCTGTGCTGATCAAATTTGTTACTTCATAACAGAAAATTCATATCCATTCTTTATCTTGCATATTGCAATTTAGAACTTAATCTATACTGACTTTATCATTACTGTATTTAACTTACTCATAAGTAAGTCCCATTGTGTTCAAAACATTTACTACCAGTTAAGTGCAAAGAGGATTAGTTTCATTTTGCACAAGTTCAGTACTGTCATTTCTGGCAAATATCATTTTGATCTACATCAGTTCAAAACACAATATTCAAGATATTCCAAGTGAAATCTGAAAATAATAACATGTAAATATATATTTACTGTTCTGGTAAGAATAAGCAGTAACATTTTCTGTATGGATTTATGTATCTTGTTGTAGCACAGCTTTCAGAATCTGATTGGCTTTTTCACTAAAACCTGAAGGTCCACCAAACAGGGATGGGGCAGAACAGTTAATCAGAAAAAAGGTGGAAACGCTCTTAAGAATTTAGGTACAGGATGTTTCTGAGTCTCAGTCCAGAAATTTGTCATCAGCACTAAAACCAAATTCACTTGAATAGTTTAAGCATTGCAGATACTGAAAAGGAATCTGCTGGTGTAAGAGCAGAAAGACAAGATAATAAAGTAAAAATAAATTCTGGCTCTGTGAGCCATTTCAAATGTCTAAGCAACTGCTTCAAAAGTTTTGCACTTTTTAAATTAAAAAGTACTGTCACGTTGATTTTATTTTCTACTATAATATAAATGTTGTATTAAATTTGGTTCTCTTCTTTTCTATAACTTTGTGATCCTTTTTTGTATTTATTTGTTTGAATGTTTATTAGAAATTGCCCATGTTATTTAGCTGAATAGTAAAAATAAAATATTAACTTACAACTAAAACAAGTAATGATTAAATCATTTAAACAAAGGGCTAGGACAATGAGTTTCGAGTCATATCTTGAAAACAGAAAGCTCTATCCTAGCCATTTCACCATGAACGCATTAACATAATTAGATCGTTCTAAATTCATGATCTCAGTGACAGGTACAGACTTGACTTTTAAACGAGTTCTGTAAATGTCAAAACTATCCCATCAGTGACCACACAACATTTTTAAATGAACATAGGCTCATGCTAAAATTAAATATATAAATAAGGCCCTACAATAAATGATTTTCTTGTTCCCTGGGCAACAACAGGGCAACTCCTCAAGCTTTGGAAACCTTTTGTTTTCATAGCTCACACTCATATGTTCACCCAACTTCAGGACATTAGTTCAGTGTGGGTTGAGACGTGGACATTAAACTACTGTGCTGAGACACTGAGCAACCCAACCCCTTATCCCTCCTTTTCAAATAAGTAAAAATGCAGGAACCAGGATCCTGCCTCTCAAACATGGAAAGCATTTCTGTGCATGTTAGCTCTCCAGTAACCAAAAGAATTAAATCCAACAAATATATTCAGAGGATTTACAGTTTAAGTAGTACAGAATATATAATTGTTCAGATACACCTTGGCTTAGATTGACAGCCATGACACCTTAAATTGCAGTCTATGAGACACAACATGAAAACAACAATTCTCTGACAACATCTACCTCTTTTTTTATATTCACGTGTCAAGGAGAGGGGGAAACGTTACAGCTATTCAAATTAAGATTAGCTGTACTCTGCATTTCCCAATTGTGTAGAGTTTAGTTATGTTTCTTTGCTTCTGTATTGGAAAAGCTCTATAACAGCTAACCCTTTTATTGAAAAGGATTCTGAAGTGTTATAAAATCAATTCATCAATGCCTAGCAATTTAAAGTTTAGCTTTTGAAGCAATATTTTCACACCTCCTTTGGAAGCATTGGTGTTGAACCTCGTCAGACACAAGCAGATGGAGATTTCTATACGAGAAGGCACTTTAGCAGTTAGGAGTTTTCCAATAAGTCAAACAAGAGACTAATTGGTGGAGCCACAGAGAATCTCCCTCTTCCTTCCTTACCACGACACCAGAAGTCTTTGTCTGCTGTACAAGCAAGGAAAAGTTAGACTACAAGTGCTTCTGCAGCAACAGAACCCCTGCACTGTTCTAGAGCTTGGGTTTCTGATGTGGTACTCTCAGGCACAAATGGGTTCTTACTAGAGGCCGGGTCATTTTCCATACTCCAGAAACACTCCCTAGTACAAAGCACTTTTATAATACCATTTAAACATGCATTAGTGCTCCAACACTGGGAAATCAAGTGATGAAATCCCTGTGAAAGGAAAAGGAGGCCTGGATAAATTACTCTTGACACACTAATCGCCTGGACTGTACTTCATATTCAGAGATGCATAAGACTATCCAGGTTGTTTGGTCAGCTGTCACTACCATAAGAAACAAGCATCTTTCAGAAAGTTTGCTACTACTCTGAAAAGCCAAATATATCTACAATTTATTACATTTTATTCCACGTTTCCTCTAAAAAGGAGGTTAGACTAGATGACTCTCGGGATACCATTCAACTCTACAATTGTATGAGTCTATGAAACACTTTAGTGTGGAGTACATAGTTTCCCTTCCCTTCTCTCCATTCACACAAACACTTTTTACTTTCTTGTAACTTTATAAGATAGGTTAGGCTGAGAGATAACAACTGGCCCAAGGTCACCTAGTAAACTACATGGCTGAACCTGCTTCTAGCCAATCCAAGTTCAACACTATCTGACACACCATGCTAACAACAATCTATGGGTTACAAAAGCTCTAAGTGGAATACAACATTAATTAGAAATATTAGGAAAGCATTCTTCATACTGGTGTGATTAGAAGACCAGTCATGTATTATTATTTTTACTAGACTGAATGTCTAGAGTTATTTTTTTCCATCTGTTGTACACCAAAAGCATGACAGGTGGAATAGAGTAAAGAAAATCAATTATTTTCCAGTTTACAGAAATTTTGCTATGTTTACCTGGATATAATACATATTCACACTACAAACTTGAATAACCTGTGATGTGCCTCAAAATTGCTCTTGTACAATCATTAAAAGAAAAATGTGATACCTATAGACTTAAAGATAGAAGCATTCTGGGTAAGTTAAAAGAAGTGAAAGGTTTACTGCTGTGCATTGAAAGCAAATGTAAAGTTAAGCACTGTTTGAAAAGGACAAGAATCTACGTACATGGTTTTACAACTGAAGTTACATGTGATAGGGCAGCCATATGGCTTTTATACACGTTTGCCCAGTTCACACATGAAGTTGCAGAAGGCTGGTGGTGGTGCCTTTTTGTTTTTTACATGAAAGGAGCATACAGGTGAGGAGAACTGAAGTATTTCCTGGTTTACTTTACTGTGCTTCACTGGTTTACTGAATTTTGTCCCCAACTTGGCTTCCCACCCAGGATCAGAGATGGGCTTTAAAAAATTCCTCCAGATATCAGAGCATAACAAGATAAGCTGAAAAGTGGATAGTTTCACTCCACTCACCCTTGAGCTTCATTTTATATAAACAAACTCCACACCCACACCTTATACATGAAGAGGGCAGACACGTGGCAGCCTCATCACATTTAGTCAGGTCCTCAAGTATTTCTCCCCCACTCTATGTAGCCTTTATCTGTGATAGATATCCTGCCACTAAACAACAACTAAGACCAATGTAGTGCCGTTCCTTACAAAAAGATCAATAGGAACATCTCATTTGACAAAAAAATTGGATTAATATTTAAGGACACAAGTGAACCTCAGCATTCCACAATGATTATTTTTCAATGAACTGACGAATCAAAGGCTGCAATCAAATGTATATCTGACAGTAAACCCTAGACTCAGTGAGACTTATGTCTGAGTAAATATTTTTTACTCAACACTGTAAATCTCCTTTTAGTGTAATCCAGAAATTTCATAGATCAATACTGTCCTCTTGAATCAACAGGGGTGAGCTGCAAAATGCAACTTTGCAATGTTAACCACCACGAACTATTCATCTCTAAAATGTATCCATATCGACTTAGCACTGTTCTGGAACATAGTCCCTGCAGCACTACGGTTAAGGCTTGCTAAGACAGAGGTGGGGAAACTTCTCTTCCAAGCAACATGCACTGTAGCAGAGGTGAAAGTGGGCAAAGCAACAAATGAAATTTTTGCCTTTCTATAGTATGCTAGTTTCTACACACACTCCTCTTTATTCTCCACCCAGGCAAGCAAGGCGAATTATCAGAGCTCAATGGCATGTTTCAGCCATGAAAAAACTCTTGGGAGTAAAAAACAGGGTTAGCAAAGGATGTGGTCTGGGGAGAGTTCTGAGGGCCAGACAGAGAGTCCTGCAGGCCAAACATTCCCCATCCCTGTTCCAACATGTTAAATTCTGTTGCCTGCACTTCTGAAAAAAGGAGTCCATTTCTATACACCAGCTAAGATGGATACTACTAAACTCCTGTTGGCAACAAATGTATCAGTCTGTCCATTTGCTATTCTATTAAGCAATAATTGTGTGTGGTTGTGGGGTGCATTTAGTATTCTTGCCAGCTGCATGCATGGAAGAGAATATGCATGTTTGTTCTTAAGCTATATTATGGTGGTCCGCCTTGACATCACTCTTGTTATTGGCTTGCAGATTTCCAGAAGTGCAAGTCAAGGAGCTAATCCCGCCAACTAACACTGATCCTGCCACACCCCATTTCTTTGCACCTGAAATTTATGCAAGCCTATGCTGGTTCAGTTATATAGATTTAGCCAAGCTGCCTAAGTTCCCTATACTGAAGTAAAGAGCCAAACTTCTCAGCTGCATCAGTACCAAGTGGAGTCTAATAATGCTGCAACTGGGCAAGGTCAGTTAGACAGTTAAATTGTTTGGGAACAAGTGCAGTTTACTTCCCCATAAATAAGCACAAAACTGGGCTAGCTGCATCCTATCCAGCTCAAAGACATATTGATATTAGATAGGATATCAAACAGCTTTTATATGATCATCCCATTGGGATTTTAAAAGCAGGCGAAGTTGCGCTCAAGTTTACAGCACTTTTACAGTTTCCATAATCATTAGGTGACTGCATTATGGCTGAAACCGTATATGCTGCAAAATACAAGTCAGCCATTTCTAGTTTTAAAATGAAAAACAACATTTTGAACTCAGCACATCATTTTGAACATTCAAAACACTTACACTGCTGTAATATGCTTGGCGTTCCTACCACAGGGCATGAGCTATCAATATTAACCCACTTAATAAATGCAGCCTTTCAATGAGACATGAATGTATATACTCATAATCAAAATTTAATCTGAACCATAAAACGGCATTTCATTGTTAAGATGCCCATCTGACTCTTTGCCGCCAGCTACAAGGCACCCTTATTTCCCTAATAGGTCTGAAAACCTAAGGCCTCTGGCAGCTTCCACCCACGGCAGTGGCCGTTTCCACACCCCCTTTTTGACAGGAGCCGCCAGACAGCGCTGCCGTTGCCGCTTTCCCTGCAAAAGGTACCCGCCACCAGCAGCACGGCAGACCCCCAGCCGACGGAGCCCACCAGCCTCAAATCACCCCCAGGTGTAGCCCCTGTAAGACGGGACGAAGGGCACCCACCCCCGCCGGAGACACGCGGCGAAGCAGCGAGCCAACGTGTTCGCTCCATGTGCCGCCGAGTCAGCCATTCCGGTGTCAGACTCGCTGAAGAGAGCAACCATTTCCTCCTCCTTCTCCCTCCTGAACGCGGCTGCTTTCCTGGGAGCCCCGAGTCGGCGCGGCGGGTAGGCCGTTTCCCCGCCGCCGCCGCCGCTCCTCCCGCCCCGCTCTCGACGTTTCCCCGCACCCCCGGGCCTGCCGGCTGCCTCCCCCGGGTCACACTCCGCTCACCTTCCTGGCGGTGGCTGTGGCGGTGGCGGTGCTGCTGTTGCCGCAGCAGCGCTTTCACGTCGCCGTTCTCCTCCCGGCCAGCCGCGCTCGGGCCGCCGCCGCCTCCTCCTCCTCCTGCCGCCGCCGCCGCCACCATCGACGACCCAGGCAGGGCCCCGAGTTTCCTCTTCTCCTTGTCCCGCTTTTCCTTGGGCCTCTTGGTCTTGCTGCCGCCGGCGCTGGTGCTGTTGCTGCCGCCTCCGTCGGCGCCCGAGGCCAGGCAGCGGTGGGAGGGCGGCGGCGGCGGCAGCAGCAACTTGTGGGGCAGCTGAGGCGGGAAAACGAAAGACCCGCCGCTGCTCGCCGCGCTCCCGCCGCCCGAAGAGAACGCCGTGAAACTCCACACGGCGGGGCTTCCGTGTCCGACCGGGGTTGGCGCCCCTGGTATGTGCGGCGGCGGCGGCGGCGGCGGAGGCTGTTGCTGCTGCCTATTACTGCCGCCGCCGCCGCCGCCCTCGCCGTTAACGCGCTTAGGCCCCTTGAGCGTCCGCTCTTCTGCTCCCTTCATGCGCTTGGCAGCTGACGGGAAGCCGCGCGGAGAGGCCCTGCTCTCTGCCGCCAAGTTCGAGGAGAAGGGCTCCGGCTGCGGCGCTACCACCGCGCCTCGTCCGGGACTCGGTGGCGCCGCCATTTTGAGATGCTGCTTGTATTTACCTCACGGCGCTCGTCGCTTGAGAGAGCCCGGGCGGTAGAGGGAGGAGGGGAGAGAGAGGGGGGCGGGCTCACGGCCCGCGAGCGCCACTCTCCCCTCCCAATGGAAGCGGCGCCAGGATTGGACGGACAAAGAAAGCCGCCAATCGCCGAGCGGGGTTTGAACTCGGGCCGCTGCGGCCCGCCTGGTCGCTTTCCCACAGCAGCAGCAGCGGCGGCTGCCGCCGCGAGTGGCGCAGTTAGAAAGGGGAGGCCGGGCGAGTCGGAGCTTGTCGCGGATTCCGCGCGTTACTTCAAGTGGTTTAGGGGCAGCGAGAGGCGGCGGCGAACCTGGAGAGGCGACCGGCCACCTGGGAAAGGGCGGTTAGCGGCGGAGGCGGCACCTGCGTCTTCCATCTCTGCGGCGGGTTAGATTTCCCTTCCTCCGCGGCGGCTGAGCGGCTGCGTTGCTCGGGTGGCGGAGCGCGGCTCTTCCCACGTTGCCCTTCAGAAACGGGTAACGTTCAGCCGAGGGTTGCAGGCGAGACGACTTTCGGTCGCCAAAAACAGGCGTTTGCGCTTAGTCGGGCCGCGCTCTCGTCTCTTGAACGGGGCTTCTGACGGCTGAGCGTGTGGCGCTGAGGGCGGCCGCCATCTTAGAAGAGGCATCTCTCCCTCCCCTCTTTCCTTCCCTCTCCCTCACACAAGAGAATTACCCCTCCTAAGATGGTGCCCGTGTACAAAAACCATTACGGTGTCGTCGTCGTCCGAGAACAGTACGTTTTTCTTACCAGAGATATACAGAGGCGTGTGTACATTATTATTTTTGAGAGCTCTGTAGCAGTAGGTTGCAGTTAAGGCCTACTAAACTCAGGGCGGGGGACTTGTTTCTGAGGAGGTGGCCTGACTTAAAGCCTAGACATAATGCTTTCGGGTGGTTAAAGCGTTTCATGCGCGCTGCCTGGCTGCGATCCTTACAACAGCCCCGCAAGGCAGGAGGGGGGGACCCGTGGTCTTCCGCATTTTGTTGGGATTTCAACGCCCACGTGCCCCAGCCAGGGGTAGGTAAGCAGGGATGGGAGTTGTAGTCCAATAACACCAGGACTCTGTGAGGAAGGCAGTGTCAGCCTACGCATGGCCGGGAGGTGGGAGCGGGACTGATGCTGAAGAGGAAGCGGGGAGCCAGCCTAAGGGGGCAGGTGAGATGGGCAGAGGTTTCCCCTGCAGGGCTACCAGCAAGGACACTTGCCTGGAGACAAACCCTGTTGAACACCGTGGGCTTTACTTTTGAGTAAACATGCGGAAGGTTATGTTGTAAATTTTGTGCAGCAGCTATAGATTGAAGATAGTTAAAAGTGGATTAGTTGCCTCCCTCTGTTCTTGCAATAACTCTGGTTAAATAGTTGATGAGGTGATAAATTCTTGCCCCTGCCCACCTCAAGCGGAAATCATTTTTCCTCCTTATAATGCTGGTGTACAGTTACAGTATGCATAATTCTGTATTTATGTGTGAACGCTTTTAAAACTCAAAAAAACCCCTGAAGCTCTTCCTACACAAATGCTATTTTAAAAATTAAGAATAAGATCAAATATAGTATACTTGGAGGACCATTATTAAATAATGCTTAAATGTAACTTATTACCATACCGCAAAATAATCTAGCTTTCTTTCTCTGGATAGTGGCTAATGTGGTAATTTGTAGCTCTGAACTCATAACAGTTTCTGTGCTACAAATGCTAATGTGGAGTAATGTCTGATAATGGAACCAGTCAAATGCAGGGCGATTATCAGGTTCCTGTACTTGAAAGGGCGCACATCACAGGAGACGTTTGATGAGATGAAAGGATCTTATGGGGAGGATGCCCCATTGTATGACGTAGTCAAGCACTGGCATCGTCAGTTCAAGTGTGGCCGGACTTCAGTGGAAACAGCTCCCATTCCTGGGCAACCACAGTCCCCCATTGATGAAGACACCATCCAGCAAGTGGAGGCTGCTGTTTTGGAGGATCCCTGCATAACTGTTTGCCTACTAGCTGCAGATGTCAAGATCAGTGTGGGACCAGTGCGGAGTAATGATGATAGATTTCCTGGAAAGGGTATAACAATTACTGGGACATACTACACTTCACTGCTGCAGAAATTGCGGAAGGCCATCAAAATCGAGAGGCATGAAGTTATTTTTGGAAGGGCAAGCTTTTCCCAGACGATAACAAGTCGTGGCTTCTGAGGCAAACTGCTGACTTCTATAGACAAGGTCTCCAGAGCTGCATAAAGCAATGAGAGAAGTTTGTGACTCATGCTGATAGCAATGTAGAGAAGGACTAATAATTGCCCAGTTTTGTTTGTCTCAGTCTGTGGGAAGTACGTCAGGGGAAATCTTTAATGAGTGCCTCTCGGATGTATTCATGATCTATCTTTCCATCATTTCCACCATATATGTATGAATCTCCTTTTGTTTTGTTACACAACCAGCACTTTCCATTCACCTTACCATCTCTTACCATTCTATTCCCCAAAGACTCCAATAAATGAATCCAATTTCCCCAAAGACTCCAATAAATGAATCCAAATTGGATGGCCATTTGTCTTGGAGGCTTTAGTTGAGATTCTTGTATAGCAGGGGGTTAGATTAGATGACCCTGTGGATCTCTTCCAATTCTGCAATTCTTTGATTCCATGAAATACTCATTTGCACCTTGTGCTTCTGCATAGGCCTAATATTGGTATTCCTCAAAGCACTACACATTTCAAAATTTCTGCTTCATAATACTTTTCTAAATGGGGATTCTCAGTCCTCCTTACAGGCTACAATTGCTGTTATTTATTTGCACTTTTTTCTATCTAGATGAACTTAGATATAATTTCTTCCCATTCTTGTCTAGTGTAAAACTAGATATATTATATAAGCTAGGCTCTCCCCCCTCCCCCAAAAAAATTCATTCAAAAAATTCATTCACATTCAGGGCTAAACATGTCATTATTTTGTTTTTATACCGTATGTATAGCATCCTCCTCACGTTCATCATCAACATCATCATCTTCAAGAACCTCAAAGCAACTTACATATAAAAACAAGAATCACCAAAAACGGAAAGGTCAATCCTTAAAATACAATTAAACATTAATAGGATTATAACTGTATGCACATATAACACCTGTTTAAAACATTACAATAGAAACAGCATGGCACCAGCCCTTTAATGAAAAGGAGTCAATTCCGAAAAGCCTATAGAAGCAAGAAAGTCTTCACCTGCTGGCAGAAGGTCAGCAAGGAGGAAGCCAGTGTAGCTTCTCTAGGAAGCAGACCAGATCCAGGTGCTTTTGGAAGAAATTGATTTTCTGGATCCATTTCAGTTGGGGTTTAGGCCCGGTTTTGGCACAGAATCTGCTGTGGTCACCCTGTATGATGATCTCTGTCAAGAGAGAGAGACAAGGGAAACACATCCCTGTTAATTCTTCTCGACCTCTCAGCAGCTTTCAGTACCATCAACCATGGTATCCTTCTGGAGCGACTCTCCAAACTAGGAGTGGGTGACACCGCTTTGCAGTGGTTTCAGTCCTAACTGGATGGTCGTTCCCAGACGGTGTTGCTTAGGGAATGCTTTTCAGCCCCACGGGACCTTCAATGTGGGGTTCCACAGGGCTCAATTCTATCCCCTACGTTGTTTAACATCTACATGAAACTGCTGGGTAGGGTTATCCAGAGGTTTGGAGTATGTTGTCAGCAGTATGCTGATGGCACTCAGCTCTATTTCTCCTTTACATCTGCAGGTGAGGCAGTGGAAGTGCAGGACCAGTTTATTGCCTCAGTAGTGGACTGGATGAGAGCCAACAAACTGAAGCTCAATCCAGATAAGACTGAGGCACTGTTAATGGGTGTTTCCATAGAGCAGATAGGCAGGAGATCGCCTGCTCTTGCTGGGGTTACACTTCCTCTGAAGGAGCAGGTTCATAGCTTGGGAGTACTCCTGGATCCTTTGGTGTCACTTGAGGCTCTGGTGGTCCATCTAAGCTCCTATTTTTGTAAAGGGACCTCTGGCAGTTAAGTCCAGTCGCAAACCACTCTGGGGTTGCGGCGCTCATCTCGCTTTACAGGCTGAGGGAGCCGACGTTTGTCCACAGATAGTTTTTCTGGGTCATGGGGCCAGCATGACTAAGCCACCTCTGGCAAAACCAGAGCAGTACACGGAAACACTGTTTACCTTCCTGTCGGAGTGGTACCTATTTATCTACTTCCACTTTTGGCGTGCTTTTGAACTGCTAGGTTGGCAGGAGCTGGGACCAAGCAATGGGAGCTCACCCTGTCGCGGGGACTCAAACCGCCAGCCTTTTGATCAGCAAGCCCAAGGCTCAGTGGTTTAGACCTATATCTTGATAGGGATAGCCTAACTACTGTTGTCTATGTTCTAGTAACCTCAGGGTTAGATTACTGCAAAGCGTTATATGTAGGGCTGCCTCTGAAGACGGTTTGGAAACTTCAGCTAGTGCAGAATTCAGTGGCCAGGTTGCTCACTGGAGCAAGACTGTTTGAGCGTATTACACTGATCCTGGTCCGACTGCACTGGCTACCAATTAGTTTCCAGGCCCAATTCAAAGTGCTGGTTTTGACCTATAAAGCCAAATGGCTCAGGACTGCAATACCTCAAGGACTGCCTCTCTCCATATCAACCCTGGGATCAACTTCTGAAACTCTTTTTCGTGCCTCCTTGAGAGGTTTGGAAAATGGGCCTTCTCTGCAGTGGTTCCATGTCTGGAATGCTCTCTCCAGGGAAGTTCGCCTGGCATCTTCATAATACACCTTTAGGCACCAGGCAAAAACATTCCTTTTTAATCATGCCTTTGGTTGATTTCATTGACAAATCCTAAGCCCTTTTAAAACTTGGGGTTTTTGGGGGGGTTATTAGGTTGTTTTTATTTTGATTATATATTTTGTGGTGTTATATTTTGATTTTGTTCTGTGAACCACCCTGAGAGGGTATAGGGCGGTATAAAAATTTAATAATAATAATAATAGGAGTTCCAAAGTCTGGGAGCAGCCACCAAGAAGGCCCTCATTACAGTTCTTCCTTTAATGAACCATTCTTATATTTGTTTATATATTTATCAATTACTTCAATTAGTCAGTGGTTCAATTACATCAATTGCTATTAGTCTATCCACTAATAGTAGTTTTAAAAAATAGTCAAAGAATAAGATCATTGGTCTTTAGTCTATTTTCCCTACATTTCCCCCATGTTGCCGCCTTGTTGCAATAGTCACATTTTTAACAGGCGAGTGGTTACTGGAAATCTGTCCTGTGAATTGCAGTCATGTCTCCCAGTCACTATGCTGAAAGAATGCAGAGATTATAGTTATATTCCAGGTTAGTCCAGAAAGTATGGTATCTGTATTGGGTGTATAAATCTATTTCAGATTTTCCTGCCCAAGTACAATTATGGTATTAATACCATCTAACTATTTCTGGGTAAGTGGTATCCTCATGGTTTCCATAGTTCCTTATATAAAACTTATATAAAAAGAATAAGGGTGGAGATGCTGCAAATGTGTCATGAAGCAGTAAAGCCTGCTCAACTTTATATGTGGTTTTGCGGGGGATTTACAGAAGGAAATAGCAGGCCTAGCAAAACTTGTATTTGCAATCAGTTTAAAAGCTTTAAAATGTTTTTTGACATTCTCACCCTGCAGGACCAGTAGTGTTTAGGTCGGGAAACCTGCAGCCTTCCAAATGTTGCTAGACTACAGGTTCTTATTCACTGCACATTGGAACAGTAGTGGACAGTGGAACAGTTAAGATTAAATTATACTAATTTCTGCCCTAAATAGTTATTTTTAAAAAGCTTACAGTAGAAGACTAAGGGTAGTAGTCTTCTAGACATATTTAAATTAATGAACATGATGAGTTAGGTTCATTAATTTTGATGGCTCTTCTCTGAGTAAAACTCAGCTGACTGCCATGTTTAGCATAAAAGTGGCAAGAGAACAGGCAGCTAAACTGATTTTTGCTGCTAATTTGACTACAATTATTGACCTAGCAGACACTTTGAAAGTGGCAGAACATCTATTAGGCTTCATATCTCTTTGCCAAACTTAGCTGAATTGGTGGGTTTTGTGATGGCAACTGTATCCAATGTAGGAAATGCAAAAATTGCCTCCCACAACTTCACAGAGCTTTATGTGGTACTGTTCTACAAAAACATTTGCATTTGAAAATAAGGCAGCATAGCAATAAATCCCGTTAAACTCTTTGGGATTTATTTCTGGGTAAACATTTAAAGGAGCAGTCTTCACATATCACCAAATTGTTCATTTGTTTGGGATAAGTCCAACATACTTAGTAGTTAACTTAGGGTGGGGATTGCCAGTGGTGGTTAGTCTCACCTTTTTCAGACCAATGGCTCAGTGTTTTTTGTTGTTCTTTTAACAAGGAAAAAAGTGGAATGTCTAGTTTCTTTATAATTAAACTTGTCTCTTACACATACCCTAATGATCAAGTAAATTGAACTTCTAAGTTTGCTTAACAATCACTGGTCAACAACAAATTTGTTGTCTGCATTTTTCCAGCTGATTTAGGACGAATCTGATGCACTGAATCCAAAAATCACATTGGTTTTGCTCAATCAGGTCAAGTTTTTGAGCTATGGCCACATGTTGTTTTTTTACGTTTTTGTTCACATGTACGCTTGTGTGGAGCATTTTAGAAGAAGTTGGTGGGGGTAAAATGCCATGTCGAATAATTGTTTTGATTGGAAATGATTATTTTAATGACAAGAAGTATTCAGGTCCGAGAGTTCTGGGTGATTATGTCGAAAAGGGATCAGTTTGAAGTCATAAAACCTCAAAATCTTCCATAAATTGGTGCGGCAAAGCATAAAGTTGGGGGATCAAAACTAAGTTAATGGGGCAGCTGCCCCACGAAGTATAGGAAACTCCACCTATTTTTGTTTTGCAGGTGAATGAGATGACTTCAGCCAGGAGATCGTGCAGAAATAAGCCCGATGTGTTCTGCTACATATGTGGAGAATACACCATTGCTCCTAATAGGAAGCCAGTCACAAGTTTCATAAGGCGTGCTTACCATTCTTATTTTGGTATTAAATTTGGTGACCAGGATAAAGCTTGGGCGCCACACATGGTGTGCAAGGCATGCACCGAGACTCTACGTGGGTGGACCAATGGCAAGAGGAGTCTGAACTTTGGAATTCCCATGGTTTGGAGGGAGCCGACAAACCATGTCACTGACTGCTACTTCTGTGCTGTTGATGTGACTGGGATCAACAGAAAGAACCGGAACAGCCTCAAGTATCCTGATCTTCAATCAGCAAGTCGTCCTGTAGCTCATTGTGATGAAATTCCAGTGCCTATCTTCGGAGAACTTCCTGACATTAGTGACGAAGATGCCTCCAGTGTTGAAGGACATGAAGAGGAGGTGGTTCTTGAAGATGATGCTCCACATCCATTTTCCCAAAAGGAGTTGAATGATCTAGTTCGCGACCTCAGCTTGTCAAAGGACTCTGCCGAACTATTGGCATCCAGATTGAAGGAAAAAAACCTCCTCTCTGACAGAGAGACTCTGAAGAGAGACCTCCCTGCCGCTGAGCATTCCAGGAGTTCCAAGAAACTGAAGTTCAAGCCCTGAAGTTTGAAAAATGGTGAAGCAACATGCAATTTACGTGTACTTACCTTTATCAATGCCCACCATTCAGTTTACAGTAATCGATGTTTCTATCAGGTAATCAATATATGTTGTTGGAAAAACATTTTTTTCTCTTAAAAACATATTTAGGATAATATGTGTTGACAAAAATCAGCTGATAATGCCACAGAAATGTAATCGATTTTGTCACAAGATCTGATTTTTTTTCACATCAACATAGCACAAAAATCTGACCTGATGGAGAGAAACGGATGCCATTTCCTGATTCAGCAGTGCAAAAATACCCTAAATCAGTTGTAGAAATCTAGACAACATTCAAAAAGTAAAAAATTGTTGCCCAGTGATAGTTAAAGCATTTGAAAGCAATCATTTTCTATTTGTTTTAAAATAAATACTGTAAGTAATATATCATTCATTTTGCCCCCTCTTTTGGCTAGTCTATTAAATGTTGCAGGTTTAAGGTGCTTTAATGTGACTCATGAGAGACTTCTCAGTTTGAGAATTTACAATAAATGAGGTAGAATTTCTGATTAATACTGTTTTAAGAATTTATAGTCCAAACTTGGAGGTGTGAGTAGGCTAGGGATACAGCATCCTATATAATAGAGTGAACTTGATGAACAAGTTTCCAAGAACTGGTTGATTCAGCTGCAACAATTCCTCAGAGTTACAAAAACAAGCCTAGCTCTCCCTGGGCACGTACCTACCTTCTTTTCTCCCCTCTCCCTCCCTGAGCCTGTGTATCTGTGGAGAATTTGTTAGCTCTTGGTTCCATTTTGGATTACTGCAGGTTGCTGGGTTGACTTGAGTCAGGATGAACTGTGGTTAATCACAAAAAAATAGTCTACAAAGGTTCCTTGTTTTCACTTACCATAGCTAAGATTGGAAAATGTTTAATTTTGAGATAGGATGAAGGGTGTGCAAGGGTGGTGGGAGGCTAGATATATTGTCCCATGTCACAGCATTACATGTTAGGATGCAGCCACTGGGAGCGGGCATAGCAATTATATAGGTAGGATCCAGAGAATGAAGAATATATTGTCTTGAGTTTATTCTATACTTTTTCACTGTTGTCACACAGATAAGGCAAACTGGCTGTTTCCTGACGTCAGTCGCATTACAGTGTAAGCCATCTAATGTAAATTTATGAGATAGCTAGGAAAAAATGGAGGTGCTGCAGGCAAAGAATGAAGAACATGTGGATGAACATATTTATCCATCTCAACTTATGGGAACCAATAATGAGAAAATGCACAGTGCATTTGTCTCTGGAGCTAATGACTTCACTTGGTGACAAAACACTGCAAATTTTGCATTGCTTATTCACAAAGGCAGAATTTGAAAATGCTTGTTTTCTTTTAAACAACATGCCAACCTTTTTTCTTTCAAACTCCTTGCTAATTGACCTAGAAAATAACATGCACTGCAACTGCATGGACTACAAATTTGTTCTTTCTCCATAACCTAAGATTTTTCTCAATTTGTCCCTCTTTAAGATCTAAAAGTCACAGAAATGGATTGTAATTTTTTTGTCCTTTTTTGGGTATACATTTTGAGATAAGGTCAAGACTAATGTTATGTATACTTTCTGCATTGCATTTGATGGGACTATCAACAAAAGAGAACATTAAAAATGACATTTTAAAAATCCATACCAATTATTTTATTTTCTATCAATATATTTATAATTGCCTGAGATGACCATTTGTGGAGTTATACATGGACCTATGCATTTCAGTTCAAAAAACCTTATCTACACATGATAGTTTTGAAATAAGTTGTTTTTTATAAGAATCCCTAGATATTTTGTGGAATTATTTTGACAAATTATTACAGCTCATTTTAGTGGCTTAAAAAAAATCCAGACTTTGATTGAATGATTTTTATAGTTGATATTGAGATAGCAGTTTCTTACCTTCAACATTTCCCTCCAAAATGTAAGTTTGTACTTAATTACATTTCCTTTCATGAAATATGGAATTCTTTACTCAGGGATAGAATTATTAAACCCCAAACTATATATAAACTGAAATATTCCCCAAATAGATCACTGTTGGTGCCAAAGGGGAGCAGCAGCATGTAGTGGTTGGCAGATCACTTTCCCCCCCTTTTATAGTAGGAGCTACCACCGTGCCCACTTACTTGTCCACCCCACCTGCCTGCCACACCCAACCCCTTTATACCTCTTCCTCTCCTGATACAACTACACAACTTTTAGCAGACATCTGAAGGCAGCCCTGTAACAGGAAGTTTTTAATGTTCAATGTTATATTATGTTTTTATATGTGTTGGAAACCACCCAGAGTGGCTGGGGCAACCCAGCCAAATAGATGGGTGGACTGTTACTACTTTCATCTCAGCAGACCTCCCAGTCACAGCTGCTACTGTCATTTTAAACAGCAGGCTTATCTCCCCTTTCCCTCCCTAGCAGCCATGGTGGTGGCAGCAGCATTGGGTGGAGGGCGGGAGGTGAAGTGGAACTTTCCCTCTCTGCTGCCCCTCCCCTATCATCTATGGCAGCGACGGGGAACATAGAAATGCTTGCAAAGTTTGCACCATACTGATCCTTTCAGCCTTGGAAATCACTGGTTGAAAGGCTCGGTGTGGGTCACCTTCATCTCATGCCACCACCACTGTAAATCCAGTGGCTGGCTTGTCCGAACTGGTTGCTCACTCAGGATGCTTGCCCACTTCTGGGGACACCCACCCACTCACTGGCCTGGGTCACCCATCTCCTCCCTGCTTGGTCTCGGATGCTGCCATGACAGCACAGCAGTTCTTGGGCTAGTGTGTTGTCATGGTGCAGTTTGCAGTACCACCAATCAGCAACCACAAACTGCTGTGGGATTATATTACAATGTTATGTATGAAGGGATACCACCCCTGCTTGCTTGGTTTGCCAACCCCACCCACCTGCCACACCTTGCAGTCCCTTATCAACCCATCCCCTCATAGTTCCTTCAGTTGCACACATACACCCTGAACATTTCCCTAAACCCAACATTTAACTCAGGAATTAGGCCATTATCTTTGGATCTGGTTACCTCAAGATCTCCTGCACTTAACTTACTAGTGTATAAAGATCCTCTGCAGAAACTCCTGTGGCATTTCACCTTACAACAACAAGGAAGAGGACCTTTTCTGTTGTGCCACCCAGTCTTTGAAACAGCCATCTCCCAGAAGATATGTACCAAAAGTGATGCCGTTTTGGCACATTCTGAAAACACTTTATGTACTAAGGATATCGTACCCCCCCCCCCCCAAAATGGTGTCCTCCAAATGCTTCAGACACAATTTGCACTCTTGCTGGCCAAGGCTGATGGATTTGTAGTCTAAAACATCAGCATGGTTTCAGGTTGGAAAAGACTGCTCAGTACAAAAGAAAAGGGCCCAGCTCTCTGGCAGTGCTAGTCTGAGGACTTGGATTTATGGCACTCAAGACGTCACTTAGCAGTTGACTATTGATCCGTGAATTCTCATGTGACCATCTAATTACTACTGCAGTACACCCACTTATAGTCCACATTCAACTTTTGATGTGTGTGTGTTTTTTTAAAGAAAGCACCAAAAAAACCAGTCAATCCTTCCAGTTATTTGCTGGAGTCTTTTCTTCATTTGCCACTGGTCATTTTTCAAATACTATAATTCCCTTTGACTCTTTGAACTCACACGCAGTCTCGCTGGGAACTCAGCCTGATTAGCTCCCTGGTTTTGGCACCAATGTCTGTAGCCACTCAAGCCATCATTGCCCCTTGAGTCTTTTTGCTGTGGCAAAGGAAACCCTGCCGCCTTTTGGAAAAACTCTTACTCCTGGCTCCATTCGGCATTGTTTTCAGACTACAATGATACCGCAGTTTACGAACAGCCCAGTTTACGAACTTTTCGGAATTAGAACGCCGCAAAAACAGAAGTAGTGTTCCGGTTAGCGAACTTTACCTCAGTCTACGAACGGAAGCTTAACAGTGGCAGGAGGCCTCATTAGAGAAAGCATGCCTCGGTTTAAGAACGGACTTCCAGAAAGGATTAAGTTTGTAAACCGAGGTACCACTGTATAAAGAAAAGATACGTTGCTCCCCCTTTTAACAGTTTACTCATCCACTTTCCAATTACCATCTCATTTCTCTGCCTCCCCCCCCCCCCAATGCCTCCTTTGCCTCACACATCTCACAACTCATCCCTTCCCCTTCACCATCCCTTGCTTTTATTATAATGAATTCCATTTTGTGGAACAGCTTTCAGTAGTTAAATTGTCAATTGCTTTTTGTTTCACATTCTCAATAAAACTTGTTCCCTGGGGGAAAATCTGATTCTGTTTTTATTTCTTGTGAGTGCCTTATAAGGTTGCTTTGCTACTAAAATCATAAGTAATACACACCTGTATTTCAGCAAACCTTTCTGACCACAGACCATATTCTGGCATAAATAGAGCCATAGTCACAAAGGGGCTTCTACCGCTACAGTCAAATTTGTCTTCTCTCCTACCTTCCAAAAATCATTTTGCCCAAACAAAGGGCGGTTGTGCCCATCCTGTGGAACGCCATTCCGTCAGATCTCAAGGAAATAAAGAACTATCTGACTTTTAGAAGACAACCAACGGAAGTTTTTAATGCTTGATGCTTTAATTTGTTGGAAGCCACCCAGAGTGGCTGGGGCAACCCAGTCAGATGGGCGGCATAAAAATAATAAATTGGAATTAGTAGGCTTCAGGCCAGTTTGAACAATTTCCCCAAGCAAATAAGGAGTTCCACACATTTGGCCTGCCTGTGTAGTCAATTAAATTTTTTTGACCATTGTTATTGCGATGATTCCACTTGTATGGCGAGAAATAGTGTCTTGACACCAATGAAAGTCAGGAACAATTTTCCCTCAAGCCTCTTGGAGAAGGGTGCATGCTGTAACAGGCGTGTTTGTTGTCCTCTGGTTCATTATTCATTCCTTTGAAATTTGTTAGCAACCACTCCTGGACTAGATCAAGTGCCAGACTGTTACCTTCAGACCCTGACGGGGGCATTTTAACACCCAAGAATTGATGGGAAAGACCAATATTAATTTTAATCTGAAGTTCTTATACAGTATGAAGTGCCTTACTGAACTCAAAAGACTAATCCTGTTTCTGTGTGTGTTGGTTTGGCAGGACTTTTATATGGAAAAAATGAAAGCATAAACTCATATTTTAACACTATAGCATATCTCTAGAGCATCATTAGGTTCCCCCCTCAACTGCTGCCCTGTGCATGATATCTGTGAAACACCAGTAAAGAAATGAGTTATTTAATTTAAATATTCTCTTAATACAGAAACAAACACATATGTGTAGTGGATCCTTATGAGAATAAATCTTGAATCTGTATATTTTCAATAGTGGAGTAGAAGAGCTTGGGGGGGGGGGGAAATTCCACATCTGGCAACCAGTGTGCCCTTTTGGTTTCAGATAGTACATGGTCATATTGGGGTCATCCCGCTGTATAATTTGCTTCAGGTGGTTAATTTGGTCAGAATCAAGTATACAATTCAAAGTTAACACTAAATACATTACTTCTGGTAAATGAGCTACAATAGCCGTTGGAGGGCCGTGGAAAATGTGTGTCTTGGGCTTTGTCTGAAACCCAAGGGGCACATTGGTTGCCAGACGTGAAATATATTGGCATTCTTTTCGGCTCTCCTACCCGACTACAGGAGTTTTACACACACATCATGTGAAGGGGTGAAGGGTAAGAGTGAAACTCTTTGAAGTACATTGAGGTACATTGAAGTTGTCTCAATGATCTCTTACCAGTGTGGCTCTGAAGGGCTTGTAAAATAAATATACACTCTTAAATGCTTTCCTTTTAGAAGCTGATTCTACATATTCTTAACAGATATATTACAAATGATAACTAGAGTGAGTTGAAGTGTTCTCTTTTTTTACTGGCAGTTCAAATAAGTTGATATGCTGATCTCAATCAGTGAACATATTCATGCTAAAATCTGATATTTTCAAGGCACTTATGGACTCCATGACTAGATGAAAACCAGGACAAATTATGACTGACAGTGAAACTGTATATAATATAAAAATAACCTTTTGCTTACAATTTACAAAATGTATTACAATCTTCATCTCTGCTATCCTGTAATTGTGGATGTGCGCCCAACTTTTTTTTAAAATGAAAACTATTTACTAAAACATTAGGGCAAATAATTTACAAGGTACACAAAAAAATTAGGTCATGCAGAGATTTCTTACACCTTCTGTTAATACTTTATGATTGCAGCTTTATCAAATTATATACCTGCTTGCCCTGTACATATACAAAATAAAGTGTACATGGTAATCAAACGTTAGCAAAAAAGTCCATAAACTCAATTTGTCAAAAGTTTCACCATATTAACATGTCTATAAACAGTGTGTAACAGGTTAAAAGACATTAAGGCAATAATACTTGAAGTAACAAAATAAACCATATGTAATACTTTCTCCTAAATGTAGTAAGGCAGATTGATGGCCCCAGCAAAGTTAGATTACAATACTAGAAAACACTCTTGTGAATGCTTAATGTTTGTGTGGATGTATAGAAGAGTGTACCATTGTGTAGTTGCATGTACACTGTGTTAGTCCCAAAAAATAAAAAGTGGAATACTATTTATTGATCGAGTTCAGTGGCACTTGGAATATTCCAGTATAATTTAAAAATGTCCATTTGTTCTTGCATCATGTCCATTCTGAAGGTGGTTCTCTCGGTCCTCTTGGTTTTCCACAACGGTTACCAAAACCTAAAAAAGGGAAAGGGGAAAAGAACTGTGATAAGTTGAAAAAACGAATGTAGCAAAAGAAAAGAAATATTGCTAATGAAAAGCCAGTATACGAAAACATATAAAAGATAGGACTCTGCTGTTTTGAAACAAGTTCTCAATCTAAGGGGCTATTCTTCAAGTGTTCATTATGCTTCAAGCACCTCGCCCAAAAGAGCAAAAGAAATGGGAAAAGGACAAAATAAGCAGGCATGTTCATAAAGCAACTATCACAACCCATGTGAGATGCCTCTCATAAATATTATTCCCTGTGGAAATAATAAATTGTAAAAATTAAGAGTCTGAAATACTTCTTACATGCTCAGCTTACTCACAAACTGAAGTAATTTTCACAATTACTGCATTTAAAGTAATCTTTCCTGCTGAACCTCATCCAGATTAATGGTGCTAAATTATGCCCATATATCTTAGACCTTGTGTAACATTTTAGTGTCACTAGCCTAACAAAGTTTGACATCTCACTATGTGCTGCAGTTTCCACAATTATTACTGCTTATCCACAATGAATTCAACCTTTAGCTGTTACAAAAGAGATTTTGTGGCTACCAAGAAATAAACTGTTTCCTCCTGATACATTAACCATTGGTCAAATAATGTACATCATGTATTTTCAAAAGCCACTCTACAAGAGTTATGTACAGATCAATAAAAAGCAACCATTTACCAATATCTGTAGTCTCAACTGGAACTTCTGGTGTTGGACCTCTTTTAACAACAGGACTGGAAAGAGGAAGCTGAGGTATAGTATCAATCTGTGATTTGTCTGCTATCTCAGGATGATCTGGGGAGGAAGAAAAAAAATTCACTGACGCATAACCATACTTGCAATTCTAAGTATTCAGTTATAATTACAAATTTCTGTTAATATCCAGTTTTGTCCCAAGTATGGTTTAGAGTGTTTCCAAAGGCCCAGTATTATAAAACTAAAAGCAACTTTGTAGATATTGCCTTGATAACTGAAATAATTTGTTCCTTAAAGTTACATCCATGTTAAAAGGCATAATTCTGGCTTCAAGACTAGCATGTCAAAGTCTCACACATTGGAAGACAAATTAAAAAAATATTCTGAGTAATGCAAGGAAGGGCGTCTCATTTCCTGCAATGGCATGTGTAAGTGGAGCTATCAATATTGTGGTGTAATTTATATGCTGGATTGCCTTGTCCATTTGTGAGCTGCATTGTAATGGCCACTGGCAACAAACAATAAAAACCTGACTGATTGCGATGAAATGGGAAGCAGTTGCACTGAGAGGGAGTTGTGAACATGAAGCTTCATCTGTCAAAGTCTCATTACTTGAACAGATTATTTTTCAGAATACTGGCATCCTACTTCAGGAACTGTTAATTAACCAGTGTTTGGTCAGAAGCTACTCTCCTGTATTCTGACCTAGCTTAAACAACCTTCACAAGGACACCTGCTATTTATAAACAAAAATACTGGTCAAGTATGAAAACCTGTTCTGCTCACACACAGGATTATTCAACTCCCCCTTTCAAACAGCAGCCCCCTATGTCCAGTCTCAGAGCAGCAGCCCCATAGGCCTAAGATGCTACAATCAGAATGCTATTTTGCTTTCCCCATACATAAGTGGAATGACTTTCTAGATGCATCTAGGGTGAGAGAAATCCATCTATTGTAGCCAAGTAGCAGCATATTTCAGTAGCTCAGCATCTCATCTCATTAACAAAACATCTAGTCCCTTTTAAAGTTAAAAAACGAATTGCTTACCAGGCTGTGTAGTCACCATTTTCAATCCCTGTTAACAATAGAAATGTTTTTATGTTGGTTCAAAAGTATTTTACTGATTCAGATAATGATTTTTTAAAAAAATAAATAAGCCACATTCGCTAATATTTCCATTCACACATAAAATGTCTAGATGAAAAAGAAAACATAGCTCCTACAACTTTTAACAGTTGTATGAAAGAGAAAGTTCCTTTTATGCATATATAAAAGGTTCAGGAATGCTGGCTACTTTTTCACCTGGCCACTGTATTCATATGCTAGATGCCTATGTTCAATTGGAAGTATCAACTTTTAAAAAATGTTACTGCACAATAAAATCCTGAGAAAAGTAAAGGCTGATCATTCCTTTGGCATTTCTGCCACTGCAACCATAACATCTAGGCAGTTTCAAAAGAGTGGTGTTCTTCAGATGCCAGTAAGTCTATATACCACACAAAGAAGCGTGGCATATGACGAAGGCTACTGGAGTTCCAACTCCAGCAGCTACAACCAGCATTTCCAGCAGTCAGGGATGTCAGTATCTGGAATCCAATAAAAACTGGAGGACCAGTTCCCAACCTTAAGCTTTCTGTTGTCATTCATATATAAGTGTGTGCGTGTGAGTATTTGACACACAAACACACACAATGAAGCTCTGATTTAATACTTCATTATTCTTAGGGATTTGTTCATGTTTTAAAGTAAAAAAACAAGGTAGCAACTGTTTATGCCTTAAGCCACACATCCCTATTTATCACAGCTTCCCTTCTCTTTCAACATACTCTAGGGGCTTAAATTACAATACAGTATAACTCCATGGAAAACATTAAACCCATAATGACATTTTCTGCTAAAAATAAAACAAGACAACCATACATGCCAGAGTTTGCACATGCACACACAGTAAAATATCAGTTGCTTTCCTAAAGAGGTTGCACAGAAAATCTTCCACGCTGGGCTCAGGTGACCCTTCTGGTTAGCAAATTCTAAATATGGGGGAAGACAAGAAACTCCCACCCCAACCTTCCACGCTAATCTTACTTTCTTCCTAAATAGTACCCCCAGCAAAAGCTCTAGAGTGCAGCTGATGTACTGAGACCTATTAGGTTTACATGGGAAGCAGCTATTCCTTCAGTGGGCTAAACTTCTTAAGCTAGCACAAACAATTTGGATGAGGGGAGGGTAAAGATTTTATGAAATCATTTGGATTGAAATCAAAAGTCAAGTGATACTTTGGGGAGCTACAAGAAAAATGAGTGAACAAGCAGACACTTATTCTGCCCTCAAAGGGTGTATCACAGGGACTGGGAACCACTTTCAGTCAGAGGGCCAGAATCAAAGGTAGCCAACCCTCCATGGGCCACCCTGATAACAAGTACAGTGGTGCCTCGCAAGACGAAATTAATCCGTTCCGCGAGTCTCTTCGTCTTGCAGTTTCTTCGTCTTGCGAAGCACGGCTGTTAGCGGCTTAGCGGCTATTAACGGCTTAGCGGCTTTAAGAAAAAGGAAACAAACTCGCAAGAACTCGCAAGACGTTTCGTCTTGTGAAGCAAGCCCATAGGGAAATTCGTCTTGCGGAACGACTCAAAAAACGGAAAAACTCTTTCGTCTAGCGAGTTTTTCGTCTTGCGAGGCATTCGTCTTGCGGGGCACCACTGTAAGGGAAAAAAGCCATTGGAAAACACTGCTTAGATTGTGCTCCCAATTGTCCCTTTGTGACCTGGTGCCAAATGCAAGCTGTGATCCTTTCAGACAAGAATTGGATATACTCTGGAGCTCCCAGTTGGAGCTCATGGTCATTCCTTTGCACCCACAGTTTATCCATCTCATTCCTGATATCATAGGATGTCGGGTGAGTGACAGCTGGGCATGGCCTGCCCAAAGCAACCTCACAGGAGAAATGGGGAGACCCAGTGGGGCTAATTAGGCTTGGAGACCGGAAGCTGCACATGGCTGCTGTACATCCCTGAAGCATATTCCCAAAGCTAAGATCCCATACTTACTGTACATTTTGGTTGATCAGAAGGTTTCTGGTCTTGCGAGAAACTCCACTCAGCAGATCGTGAAAGGATAACAGCTTTGGGGGGAGTTGTGACTATGAAAACCAATTTTAAAATACATTATTCAGTAGACATGCTGCTGTACCAGTTCAATAAAACAATAAAAGCTTAACAGTTCAGCAAGATTGGTAGTTACAGTATTTTTAAAATACACAACATTACAATATGGGGATTGAAAATGGTAGTCAATGAATTTTTCTCAGTAAACCCACTGAAATTAAATTCAGTGGGTCTACCAAGTAAAAATTAGTTGAATAGCCCCTTGTATATTGATGTTTCCCAATCTAGCCTTCCCAAAGCCAGTAACTGACTAAAAGGGAGAACAATGCAACTGTAGGAGCACAGTCCTATATAAACACAGCACAGGGCACTATGGTGGGTGCATGTATCTTTCTATGCAACGCAGCAGCCAGAAAAATTTTACCATAGGTAACCAGGGTAAGTGGAAGCCCACTATATAAGCCAAAACAATAATGCAGCAAACTAAAATTACCTGAACATCTATTTGTTTGTCACTACATGCATTATCCAGCTTCTGGTTACCTCAATATCTATCGCTATTTGGCCAAAGTGCTCCTTTAATGCACAAGTTTGATTCATGACTTTTGTGAAACCAACACAGTACAATGAAACTCACTCTGCTCACTTGCAAGCTCAAGAGATTCTGGAGTTCTTTCTGGTAAAGGAGGAGAAGAAGAGTCTTCAGAAACACCAGCATCTAAAGTCACCAAAAATTGAGAAAACCTTAACACTTAAACAGTACATTATGTAAAAGAGTGCCTGGGACAAAATAAAATATTAAATCATTTGTAATAAAGGTTTTAACTGAATATACTTTTCACAGTCGGGCATAGCCCTGCTGGCTTTGTACAAGTGTGTTTTGTACAATAACCACAAAATGGCTGGCTGCCCACAATGTATTTAGATGCCTTGTCTGATGTATTAATTCACTTGGCAAGATGCCTGTAGTAGGCGGAAGCCATGGAACTGCAGCAACAGATTAATGCTTTTTCATTAAGATGACAGGATGCAGACCTTTAACCAAGCTAACCATTAGATTAAAATGGATCCAGCCTTTCTACTTTCCCAGGAAAGTCATGTAAGTAATGGCAACTGAAATTCTTTCATGCTGCAATCCTATACATACTAATCTGGGAGCACATCCTATTTTAATTCAATGTGACAGACTTCTAAATGGACATACAATAGAGTTCTGCTGTCAAGGCATTAAAACAAGCAGTTTACAGAGCTTGGCTGACAATGCCTATGTTACAGTAGCAGGTAGGGTCAAAATATTATACTTCTGGTTTCAAGCAGCATATTACAGCTAGAAGTTGTATTAATATAAAGTTACAAGGAAACAATGCCCAAGTAGAGGAGGAAAGACCCACTGAGGCTAATGGGACTACTAAAAAGTCAGATCTGCACAGCAATGAAAGACGCATTTAGGATGTTCAATTGACTTTCTGAAGAATTTTTGCTGAACAGACTGGACAGATTCAATCACCATTGTATTATTTCACAGACAATGAATATGTCATGTAGACAATTCCTTTCAAACGTGGAATAGACTTTCAGACTTAATCCTGAACTAAATGTGAGAAGTTCTTTTTTCAGATGTGTTGATGTCTTCAAATCCAAGATTTTGAAACAACTGTGAACAAAATAAACCAGGTATGATAATCTGAAAGCAGAAGCTGTGGGGCTGCACATCTACAGCACCTGAAGGAGATAACTCACTGATAACCTGTGCATAAACAGTAGAAGAAGAGCTGTTCTCTCTTATTTTACTTCCCTTTACACTTCTCACCTGTTATAACAGACCATAAATGCTTGATATATTGCTTCTAAGGCAACCAGACCTGTAGAATATAGCTGTGATCTACCACAGACATTGAGTGATCTACCAGTAGATCATAGTCCATAATACAACGCAGAGGCAGCATTCACGTGCCACAATAAACTAGGGTAGCGGGCTCAGTGTGACTTATTGCAGGGATGGCAAGCCACACCTACCTTTCCTGCACCTGTGATACAGTGTCAGGCACAGGAACCTCTGGGAAGGAACCCTATGAAACACTTTCCCACACCTGGCAAGGAGCAAGCAAGGAGACTGGATGCCAAGCCACAACAGGTGAGCCAGAATCTAGCTGAGTTATGGTAGCTAACAAAACTTCAGGGCACACTAGACCTGTCAGTACCAAAGCTAGGCAGATCACATGCACTGTCCCTTCCCCTGTGCACAACAGCTACACCAGTCCATGGAGGAAAAGAATGTCAGTAAAGCTGCTTGGAAGAAAGTAAATGAAAGCTGGTTGGATTTCTAGAGAGCAGGAAGAAGGTATGTTGCTCCTTCCCACTTCTCTGAAGCATCCCTGTACAGGGCAAGTAGGGGAGTTCTTCACCTCCCCACCCACCTTCAGGATTCTAGAAGACATGAGGCACTTGGAGTGGCCAATTCGTTTCTCTACTTCAAGCCTCCCCATCCCATCCCACCCTCAACATTCTGTGCTCAGCAATCCTAAACATCCAAAAAGCTTGGAAGTCACCAGACAACAGGACCCACGTTGCAACAATTTTTTAATGCTTTTTTAAAAAGAGGAAGCTACCTTGTACTGAGTCAGACCACTGGCTCAGCTCTCCAGGGTTTCAGAATGAAGTATTCTCAGCCCTATCTAGAGATACTGGGAAATGAACCCAATAAGCTCTGCATGCAAGCCAGTTTACATCTGTGAATCTCCAGCTCCAAATGTGAGCCTTTTAGCACAAGTAACAGTTTCAGGAGAGGGAACAGTTTCTCCTCCTGAAAACCCAGTCCCAGCATTTAACAGCCCAGGGCTCATACTCCAGAGCCCTGAAGGAGCGCATACCTTACATTTTGGTGTGGGTTCCAACTTGTTGCTTCTACTATTAAACCCAGGCAATTCCACACCTATTCAGCTGGAGCTATTCCCACATACCAGTAAAATATTAATTCTTTTAATTAGGAAAAAACAAACAGTCCAACTGCTTTCAGGGCCAACAAAACGTTAAAGGCATACACTGAAATGAAAGGAAGGAAAGGGGGAGCAGGAAAGACTTATTTAAACCCCAAACATTTTATAGTATCTATCCTAAAGGTGGGTATAAAGGTCAGAGCAGATGCATGTGCATGCGCAACAAAAGAGATAAAGCGCAAACACTCTTTCTACAAATACTGCTATTAGAAGAATTAAGGAAACACCACCCAAGTATCTAGACAACTACTGAGCAAAACAACTAGACCCAACAGAGATATAACAAATGTGTGTTTGGCTTGCTAATGCATTGTGTGCATCTGAAACACAAACTATAGAAACAACAACACTGGACACCGATAAAATTGGAAAGACCCATGAGGTGGCCCCATTCACATGCAGCCCCCAGCCCCATGGCATCTGATCTTAGATAAGCAGTTCCCACATGGCAGCGGCTGCATTTGAAGGACACCTGTGTGGAAACACTAAGGACAACAGGAGATGACTGGTTACTTCCCGGACAAATTGCCAAAAAAACCCTGTTTCCTTTTCCATTAAAAAACATGCACTACTGAAGCTAAACAGCACCTTCAATCAGAAACACACAGGGGAAAAGCATGTTACCGTAATCTAAAGCAGCAGTTTGATTGCTTTTCTGGACTGAGATTTCACAGACAAAATTTGTATGTTTCAAACCTTAGTAAGTGCCTTGGAATTGGAGAAGTGAGGTGCACACCAAGAGATCATTCCCTGTCACAAGTGGAGAAGGTTTATTACGGAGGACATATTTTTCCTTTCCCACTCTCAGGAACACAACACATACATCTTGGAAAGGGAATTGTGTTTGGAGTGTTAACCTCCTCCATGCTATTTGGAGAGATTTCAGGAAAAGGAGGACCTCTAAAAAACCTCCACCCTCCCATTCTTTTAGCACAGTAAATTGAGGCTTCAAGAGGGCAGAAAAAGGTGTCCTTTTCCCTCTTCCCCCTCCTGAAACCTCTCCCAGCTTTGCAAGCCCTAAACAATTCTATAAAACTTCTGTGGTAACTGGTGCCTGGAAAAAGAACATTGCAACCTTTGGTTACGGCTTCCTGCTAATCCCTCTAATAACTATTTTAAATAGATCTATGCCTATCAGTTTGGCTAACACAGCTGCCCAAAGGTAAGTTAGTGGTTAAGACTCGGGGGATTTACAATGTACTCATAAGTCTATTGTGTTTTTTCCAAAAATCAGCCCTACAAGGATCCAGTGTTTGTTACCCATGCAGGAGAGCTGGTTGCTTAAAGCTAACAGAATTGGAAGCTGTGACTAATAGTCACTGCCCCCTCCCCAACTAAAGAGCCCCTGAATGACAGCAGCTGTTCTCTACTATCAAGGCTGATGTTTCCAAGGCCAACCTGAAGAAATTAATGGCCAGTCCTACTCCACTTCATGTTGGCTCTCATTTATGAAAACTTCCACGTAGCAGTTTCACATAAACTTCTAATTTCACTTCTCCCCCTCCAGCCCCATGTCACCCCTTGTCACACTTCATATCAGATTTTTGGGAGCACGTAGGGGGCCCAAAAACAAGGATTGCTTGCTCACACTATTAAAACCTACTAACAGAATAAATAAAATAGCAGCAAACATTAGGTCAAAGCGAACATATTAAGTTATTATGGTCAACTTGTATAGATACCCTGCAAAGATCTGAGAAAATAAATGTTTTTAGCTGTTACCAAAATGTGATGAGTGTTGGCACCTACCTTTATAATATGCACAACCCCTTAGTTTTCTAAGTTGGATCCAAAGGTTGCAGAAGGATCTTTTTTAGCCGCCAGCCAATTCCAGCTGCAACCCCAACACCTACTCTAGAAAGTTGGGGAACACTGCTGAACAGTGTGGTCTGTGATGGACTCACTGAAAAGCACATGGATTCAGTATGTGCAAGTGAAAATGTGCTTGTGCAAGGCACCTCAGTCCAATTTTGCACTCCCACACCACAGCTGATGTTGTTCAGGAAGGGATGAGGGAAATCCTTGCACAAGAAACCTTTCCCTTTCACAAGCTTAGGATCCAACTCTACGAATTTAGTATTTCTAATATAGATAGCATCTAGTAAAGCTTACCTTTATCAGCTATGATTGAGGCATCCTGTCTTGCAATGGACATGGGCAATACTTTTCTAGCGGAAACGTTTTCTGTGCCAGCAGCCACAGAAACCGTGGCACTTGCAGTTGAAACATTAGACATGCTTTGTGTCATAGACACATCAGAGTTTCTTTCATCTGTATCAGAATCATCAGAATGCAGAGGATTTGTAAAACAAAGGGGTACTCTAACTGGAAGCATGCCACTGTGATAATGATCCGCTGATTCACTGGAAGGAGCATCCATTTGAGCTGGTGAGTTCGAGACTACAGACAGATTTTTAATCCCATGACATAAAACAGCTGGAGATGTGTCCTCTGGTGTTGATGTTGGCTGTACATTTTTTGTCCCTTGTAACGACCACATAGCATGTCCCTTCTCTTTGAGAGGCAAACAGTCTGGTCTTTGCAGAGGATCAGAACCTAACAGACAATGATGGCCTTCAGGTGAGGATGTTACAGCTTTATTCAGTGGCTGCATATTGCATTCTATACAAGAGTTTTGGAAGGTATCTGTAGGAGCATCTCCCGAGCCTTGTTCCTGTAGTTTAGATGTCTTATCCACCGCACAAGATGAGCCAGTTTTAATTTTGATTGCATGTCCCCTATTCAAGAGGGTGTTCCCATCAAAGCTCCTTGGCCCCTCTTGAAGGGGTACCTTTTTAATTTCAAAACTCAGGTTGCGCTCAAGCTTTTTCTCTACACGTTCAGAGACTTCATTCTTCCCTGGATGCTCTTCTGACTTATTGTAGTTTTCATTGAGGTCTGTTGGATGCTCTGAAGAAACCATGTGCAGAACAGGCTTTGGATGGTATCTATCATTGTCCTGCCAAACAGTTGTTACTGTTGGATAAGCTGAAGGAGGGGATGGTGTTAAAATGGGTGGTACTGGATGAGGCTCTGGAGGCTGCAGAATTTCTTCTTTTACATCTCCTTCTACAAGGCAGCTAAAGAGAATAATTGTGTAAGTACTCCATAATTAAGGATTATGTACATTTATTATATAAGCTACCTATTCAGAATATGAACTTTAAAAACCCTTTCTCAGAATTACGTTCACAATAAAAAATAGGCACATTTTATCCAAAATAGTTAGAACGTCAAAATCCACAAAATAGGAACCAAATGCTATAGTTTTGTAATAATCCCAGGAAACAGAACTTTCTTCAAACACCCTTAACTTTTACATCCAATATTTGAATAAAGGTCAACCCAGAAACACATTAAATATCAAGAAAGCATTTAACACATGAAGAAAAGATGGTATCATGCTGTTATTGCCTATGGGCAACCACCAGAACCTACTATTTATTGCTTAAAATCTACAATAAAGCATGCGATTATCAGCAGTCTGCAGGAAAGCAATGCCCCCTTGTGGCAAAATTTGAAATACATGTGTTGGAGGGGCAGGGGTATAATGCTTACTGCAGCAAAGCATGACGACTGCACCAGCTTCTATTAAGTTTGACAGAACATTGGAATGCCTTCCTGATTATGACATTCCTGATATGATGGTATAACCCCTCTATTATACATATAACATGGGACACAAGCAGTCTATGGGAAAGCCCATACTTGAAATAATGTATAAGGAAGACTATCCTTGGATTAACTGCTTGATTCGTGCCACCTTGTTTTGATTAGACTGCTGAAGTCTGAATTAGGCCACAGTTATATAATTTTCCAGTTTATTGCATGTAGATATAAAATACATTGTTTGTCAGAGGTCCATAACCCTGACATTCACCCAGGTATATAGAATGTAGCAAACTAATCTACAATATATTTCCGCATTGTCTCTCTTGTTGCCACTCGAGACGTTAGCAGATACACACACAATACTATCATTTATGGACTTGCATGCCTTAAGATCCAGAAAGTATGTCACCAGGTAGATTTATTTTACAGAAAATCCAGAATATTTTTAAGCACAGCTTTCTCTACAAGCATCAAATGACTACACTTGCTTCAAGGATGAATGAAAGGACAAGAATGTTGAATATGAAATAGGATGAAGATGTTTGTAAATGCTTAAAATGGAACAGATGACAGGCACAGAGATAGTAAGCAATCATTATAGAAGGGCACTTCATGGAAATCATGAAGCAAAAAGCACATGGCTGTCATAATAAAACTCTTTCTTTAGCAAGATGTGATGAGCAGTAGTGTCTGCTGACGGGCAAAGTGAGTCTCATAAGCCAGGGTGCTTTTCCTTCATTGAATTAGGAAAATAAGACTATAATGCAACGTTCAGTGAAATCTTTAAAATTATTATGTTAACTTGCAACTCAGTAAACTGAATCTGTTGGGAGGATGTGGCCTGGGAATGTTTTCCCCTAACCTAAAAGAAGTTGCCAAGAAGTTGCATGCCTTCTTAAACATCTGACGGACTACCAGACTGGAGTCTGATGAGAGTACTATCAAACTAATATTACATAAATACAGCACCCTATGAAATGTTCCAAGGGTGAAAGTGAAACCATGTGCCTCTCCAGATGTTGTTAGACTACAACTCCCCCTAGTCCCAGCCAGTACTGCCAATGGTCAAGAATGATGGGAGTTGTAGTACAGCAACATCTGGAGGTTCTCCATTCCTGCCTTACACCAATAAGCTGACTAAATTTGTTCTTGGGCATATGCTCATCTGACCAGATACTAAAGGAAATAAAATGGGTCCATAATAAACGATTCCCTAGGAGTAGTTCTCCAGGAGTACCTGCGAGTTCGAGGTGGCTTTGGTGGAGGTGAATCCTGTTTCTCAAGCTCTCCAGAACTGGCGGTATTTTCTGAGCCAACTTCGTCCTGTCAAGAACATTAAATCCCCAAAAGTTTTATTCAAAGGTTAAGAGAAACATCCACACAAAAACCAAAACATACACCAGCTTGGGATTGCATTACCGTGCATATTGTGTTAAATGTGAGCGCAAAGAAATACTCTATGAATGAATAGTATAATTTCACAAGACTCAAATTTAATAGGGAGTTTTTCTAGTGTGACGATATAAAGGAATCAAAATTATAACCTACAACACATTTGTTCTTCATATTCTCATCTGAATATGTTTTATGAATATGAATAATGCCCAATAATGCCAAATGCAATCAGTAAAAAGCAGGTCCTGGGTTAGGGAGGTGGCAACATTACAGCCTTGCTGTGAATGTGTGTGTTTCAACTTTGGATGGGCTTCCCAAGGATCTCTGAGCTTTCCTTTGGATCTCTGCTGGCTATCCAAGCCTGTCCAGTGCTGATCCTTTCGATCTCAAATTTGGAAGTGGAAAAGATCACCACAGGGTGGGATTTGCAAGGAGGCTGGGTTATCCAGCTGAGCTACAAAGGAGGAGGCACAGGGATGCTCTCAGAGCACAGAAAAATTATCCTGTTCTGCCGCTGGAATAAGCAACAGAAGGAAGCTTGCATTTTGAAAACTTTCCTTTAGCAGCAGTAGTGGGAAGGGGCAAAGGGGAGAAATAATTCTGTCTCCTCTTCTGTTTCCCCCTTGCTGCTGCCACTACTGCTAATGTAAACACACTGGGAGGGAGAGGGGGAGAGCAAGAGACTTTTGCCCCTTAAGGGAAAAATTGTAGATCCATCAAAAGCAGAAAGACCGCCAATGCTTCATAGCACAGAGCCCTCTAAAATCAAATTAAAGGCCTTCAAGCCGCCATGCCATGCATTCTGCCTCCCAACCGTAAGTGCTATGTATAGTGCAACATGAGAGACCAGAAAAGACCAGGCATAATGCACTTTGCAGACAGAGCAGCACAGTGGGAAATAAAAAGCAAAAAAACCACTGCATTTCTGTATCTTGCTCTCCCAAGTCCAGCTCACACCAAGCACCAACTAAGAAAAGTGGGGAAGACATAGGCCAAAGCTGCAATTTTCCACTGGTCACAAGCTTCTTAGCAATAAGAGAGCATTCCTGGAGATACCACTGCAAAGAAGAGGGTGACTGAGGAATCAAGCATTGGCTGGAGGAGCATAACTTGCAGACTCTGTGGCCCATCAGCTGAGAATCACTGGCTAGACCCAACTGCAGCCAACATGGACCAAACAATCCACATGACATTACGAAGTACAGTTTTATAAAACTCTCATAATATTTATCCACATTCTTTGTTAGTAACCCAACAAAATTTAGTTGAAACTGTAAATAATAACAGATGTGTTTATTTTCTTTATTATTAATTGCTGGATCATTGTATTACAGCAAAATTGTGCCTTGTGAAAATTCCTAATAAAAAGTCCCAAGTCAGCCAACAGATTTGAATGTTATGAGTACAAGTTTAAAATATTTTAATGACTGTTTAGTCATTTACAGCCCAGTGAAAAGGCCAGCTACTGCTGAAGGATCTTTACATAATATATTTAATAGCGAAGTAGTGACAGACTATATAAGACTTCTGGGAAAGTGTCTGAACAAGGCAAAGAGAGAAGACAGGACCAGGACTTATAAAAATAAAATAAAAAAGGCAGGTAGATAGAAAGAGAGGTGTTAACTCAAAATATTCTGCAATATATAAGCCAGGCATAAAATATTTTCAAATAATTCAGTTATGAGAAGCAAATATTTCTCAACTTTGTTTCAAGGCAGCAAACAGAGAGTTTATGAGAAAGATACAAAGGAACTGAAAGCAAATCAGCTTGTATAGAACGAGGAGGGTGAAAGGAAGAACAGAGCCAAGGGCAGACTACTAGAAATCTATGAAAATAGACCCAGGAGCTTATATCATTAAATAAGATTAAAAGCAGTATCTACTGAAAGAGTCAAATGTACCATATAAACCCATCTAATTCAACATATTGCCTTAGCATCCAACCTCTTGTTGCCATTACAGAACATTAACAGAAGTGCTTTTGTTTAACTGCTCAAGGACGAAGATTTACTCATACTCCCTACACCATCAGCTACATTCTCCTTTGCATTAAAGTATCATTGAGCAGCCTAATCCATTTCATGTCATGTCCTCAATTAATGTCCCAAATGTTATGGCTACTGAACATGTGGATTAAGACATTAGCTTCTGGCAATCAAAAAAACAAAGCAAAACCCAAGAAGGTATAATGTATGTTGTGAAGATGAGCTCATCTACGATGGGGAAGAACAGATGGTGGCCTTACAAGAGAAAACCTTTGCCTCTTTAAATCAGATTTTCTTTAGCCAACTTATTGCCTATTTTCCTAGGCAAATGTTATTCTATTTTATTTCAGTAGCTACATTTAAGAAAGAATTTGCTTTGATGCAAAAGATATTGTGTAGCCCACAAGAGCTTGGTCTAGTAATTTTCAAAAGCTGATTATATGCTTATGAACCAGAATGTGGCTTATGGAAAAAAATCGGTCCATTGGCACTGCTGGGAGAAGCCAATCTCTACGCTGAAATGGCTGGGCTTTAATTAAAACAGAGGGGGGAAATAACACAACACACAGTCATGGCTTTGTCCACACATATTTGTGATGCAGCAGCCATTGTAGAACTTGGAAAGGAATTAAAAGTTCTTTTCTGCCAACAAAGAAGCCACTAGATTCGGCACAGCAACAGCACTCAATCTCCTACATACATTAAGGTTACCTTAAACACCCAGGAAATTGGTCATCATATTAAAGAGTTTCTCTTGAAATATAAAGTATGAATTAAGTGATCCCAACAGCAGGGACATAAATGGTGATCTAAGTTGTCAAAAATTCACAGGAGAAAATGGACAACTTGGTGAACCCTTACTTAAAATATTTAACAAACTCTCTTAAAATGTGAGGTTTTAATAGCGTTGTTCTATTTCTATTCTAACAAGCATTAGAGCCGATGTGGAACACACTTCTTTAAAAATGCTTATTTTGATTAATGGAAGAGAAGCTCCTCCAGACAATTACTGCAATTTTACTTTATACTGCATAGGTGTAAATTAGGCTTCTGCCTACTAGAACTGATGCAATGCCCTGTTAGGAAGACAATTGTGTATCAAGACCCCAACCATCATCAAATGGTTTCATTTCATCAAATAATAATAAAGCCTAGGGCTTGCCGATCAGAAGGTTGGCGGTTTGAATCCCTGCGACGGGGTGAGCTCCTGCTGCTCGGTCCCTGTTCCTGCCAACCTAGCAGTCCAAAAGCACATCAAAGTGCAAGTAGATTAATAGGTACCGTTCCGGCGGGAAGGTAAACAGCATTTCCATGCGCTGCTTTGGTTTCGCCAGAAGCAGCTTAGTCATGCTGGCCACATGACCCAGAAGCTGTACGCCGGCTCCCTCAGCCAATAAAGCGAGATGAGCACCACAACCCCAGAGTCGGTCACGACTGGTCAGGGGTCCCTTTGCCTTTGCCTTTACAAAGGTTCATGGGCCCAGTTCCATCCACCCTTACCTTGAGAAAAACTCAATCGTGTTATGCTCTTTTTAAAGTCAAATAATAATAATAATAAATGCTATCGTTGTCACCATCAGTTCCTCCCTTCCCTGTGTTCTCAGTGAACTGGAAAGAGAGGGAGGGAAAGGAGCCATCTTTTCCCGTCTTTTCTGACTTCATAGCCAAAGACTCCTACTGCTGTCATTGCTTAGTCAAAAATAAAGATGACCCTTTTCCCTAGGCCTCAGGCACATGCAGAAGACGGCTATCAGCATGTCTCTCTTGCCACTTTTTCCTTCCCCAGTGCCTTTAGGCACTGAAGCACAATTTCTTCTGGAAAAGCTCTGCTGCGACAGGCCAAAGGCCAGTCCAGCAACCTCACAGGGCCTGATCAGAAACCTATGATAAGCCCACAAGCAGGATATGTGCACAGAAGCCCAATCCTATTACACTGTTGCTGCGGACCCCGCATCCTGAGACAACCCCCTCCCCACATTCTCTGCAATTCCTGGCAAACTTGGATGAAGGTGCCTGGACATGGCAAGCTACTAAAGGTAAGATGTAAGGTTCTAGAACTCAACTGCATCTCCTGGCTTGCCTCAGCAGGCCCACTGATGACTAACACCCAAGAAGATTCTTTCTCCCAAGCATTTTATGTTTACCTCCCAGACTAAGAGCCAGAGAAGTCTGCAGGAGATCTTTGTGGTAACTATAAGCAAAGCAGTTTCAGAGGGAAGATTAAGGCTTTGTCTGCGTGTGGTTACTTTGCCTGGATCAGTCAGTCCAACAAGAGTATTGTGCAACATCCTTTTCAGCTGTTATTGTCTAGAAATAAAATATAGTCAAGAAAGTTGACACTGGTAGAGCATGTTGGACAAGAATGTGCCCCTAAACTATACTTAGGCCAGGCCAGTTCAATCCTATGTGGACTACTAGAACTTGTTGGGGGTGGAGGCAGTTTCCAGCTGAGAATTAAAGGGGCAGGGCAGTTTTCAGCTGAAAACAATAATCCTTACGTAACTTGGGTATTCAGCTTTATTTTCATTAACTCAACACTATGATACAAACCAAAGGCACAGCCCTAATGAGTTTTTTCCATTTTAACTGAAAACACAGCATCAAGGCCTGTTTCTAATAATGCATTAAATAACTGAGAGGTTTGCTCCAAAACAAACCTACTAAGTATCATTAGGTTGGATAGTTTAACCTCTCTGAGTACAGTGGTACCTCATTCCAGAGGTCCGTACTTAACCTGAAACTGTTCTTAACCTGAAGCACCACTTTAGCTAATGGGACCTCCTGCTGCTGCTGCTGTGCCGCCGGAACACGATTTCTGTTCTCATCCTGAAGCAAAGTTCTTAACCCGAGGTAATATTTCTTGATTAGGGGAGTCTGTAACCTGAAGCGTATGTAACCTGAAGTGTATGTAACCCAAGGTACCACTGTATTATCTATTGTAAGTCATGCCAATATCAAAAACATAATTTGTCAGATAAGTCCCTTGTGTCATATCACACTAATTATCATGGGCCAAAATGCAATGAGACATGCTCTCAACACTGCAAATGCACCAGAACTTTCTGCCTCCCCTTCTCAATGCTGCTCCCAGCAGCATTCAGAAAAGCTTTTGCAGAAACATCAGGAACCCCCTAGAGTGAGACTCCTCAAGACACGAGGGAATACAGCCAGAAATTAAAAATATCCACTTTCACACCTTACCCCTTGGTGCAAGTGTGGAAGCACTTTCTGATCACATACCAATGGAATGAGGTGGGGAAGAGAAAAGAGACTGCATCCTGGCTATGCAACCAGTGCTGAAACAATAATAACCACAGTAACAGTTTCAAGAAGAAAAAGAACACAATGACTTTGGTTTCTTTTCAAAAGAATTCAATAGAATAAAGTTTGTTGCAGTAAACTGACCCCATTTAGAAAGAGCCCAATTGGCAGCAAACTCATACAAACAAGCATGGATTTCAACACCGTATTTACTCGAATGTAATGCACACCTTTTGGGGCCAAATTACATCACAAAAAGTAGGGTGTGCATGTGATGGCGCATTTACATTTGCCAGCAAACACTTTTTTGGTTTCAAGGTTTTGAAAATTGAGGTGAGCATTATTCAAATGCATTACATTTGAATAAATACGGTATCTTATTACCACAAACAAAAAACTAAGATGAACAAGGGTAATTTAACAATAAGGAAAAGCTACTATTTCAAATTACACGAAATATGACAAAAACACCTACCAGCCCATCTGCAATTTTCCAGTTTGCACAACTTTCATATTTTTGAAGTTGCTTTTCAAACAACTGTGCTATGGCTCGATGAACAAGTTCATACTGTTCCTGGGTGCATGATAAAAACCAAAATTAGCATACAAATATATAAGCAGTATTTCAAAGACACTATTTCACAAAGTGGTGATGTCACAGCCATATACTCAACTTCTGAACTGAAAGCAGTATTACCTTAGTCTGTACTGCGGAATGTCTTTGTGTCCTCATTTCTTGTATTAAATTAAACACATTGAATTCCTCTGGTATTTTCTGAAATACAAAGGAGCAGAAGGTTGTCCACTGATGTACTTTGGCTCAAATACTATCTAGAAGTCACAAAATGCTTCAGTATTTAGTATTTCTATTGCGATCATGAACTAATTAGAAGTAACAAAAGGAAAAGGAAAATAAACTTCATTGCTGCTACGGGAAAAGGTACTATCTAACTTAAAACTCATTTTCAAATTATGTTCAATTTTGCACACTGAGGAGAACTCCATTACCCCCCTATAAAACTCTACTCTCATGACTGGCATAAGATGACCTAGTTTTGCAGCATTAGATTGCTATAAATCCTCCTTACCCCAGCTTTCAACAAATTCCATGTATAATCTATGGCACAGATGGCTCCTGTTCTTCCACACCCAGCACTATAGTGGAAAAAGATGAACACCATAAGAGAAAAGGAGGCTTAAAACTTTGCATTTCTGTTCATACCTACCAAACACTTAACAGGAGGTATCCTTGAAAAGCTATTTTAGAGTTGATGTTTAAACAATTCTGAATTATCACCATCAGTAGTGGTTTGTGTTTTCATATCAAAAGCATAAATCTACAATTTTGCTTCAAGGTTTTATCTATTCAACATACCAATCTACACACAAAAATATGTCCCTCTTCAACAAACACATTGCCAATACATATAAAATGGGACTGTATTGTAACAACAAACATAATAACCATATACAATTGTTAGGGTAAGCCACATAGGCATTTTCTACATACAGTACATCAAAATGAATCAGTCCATTTATTTACCAGCTGGTGACTATTTACATTTTATTTCAACTACAGTTAAGCACAAAGGGTAGTTGAAAATAAAAAAACTATCTGTGAGTCCTATTTTCAAGATACAGGTCTGGTTTACATATTACAATAAATCATAGTTAAAACCCAACTGTTGTTTAATGTGGACCACACAGCATGCTAGTGCATGTACCTGAAAAGTTATCGCTCTGCTCTACTGAGAACCAAGCCAGAGAATAGTATGTCATAACATCCGAATATAGGGTTGTGGTTTGTTTCTTTTCACACATCCCATGAATCGCAACAAGGTTTGCTCTTGGCTTAGGACTTCAATCAATCAATAGATTTTTATTGTTTATAGCCAATGGCCATCACAATACAATATAAGCAGAAATTACACAACTACAGAACGAAATACATCCTTTTGAATAGTGCAAGTGCCAAACCCTAGGGATGCTGACCAGAATGTATGGTTTTTTTAAAAAATTCTGCACATTGTAGATTTGTCTAGGTCTGACACAGGACTTATGATTTATTAAGGGAAACAAATAATGTACCATGGTTCAGATATCATGACAAGTATGACGCTGGCTTGTTTACTAGTGGCATGGCAGAAGCGGAGTGAGAATCTTTGGGCAGTATGCATGAGCACACTGCTTATACACATTTAAACGAAGTTCATAACTATGGTTTAATGCAGTGTGTGAACTGGGCTGTGTCTCAAATGTTTTCAAAGACAGTCTGCACAGAAGTCTGTATTTAACAAATATAAATCTGTTTCAAGCCTTATTACAGTGGTGCCCCGCAAGACGAATGCCTCGCAAGACAAAAGGGTTTTGCGGTTTTTGAGCTGCTTCGCAAGACGATTTTCCCTATGGGCTTGCTTCGCAAGACGGAAACGTCTTGCAAGTTTGTTTCCTTTTTCTTAACACCGTTAATACAGTTGCGACTTGACTTCGAGGAGCAACTCATAGCACGCGGTGTGGTAGCCTTTTTTGAAGTTTTTGGTGATTTTTGAAGCTTTTCCAAAACTTTTCCGACACCGTGCTTCGCAAGACGAAAAATTCGCTAGACGAAAAAACTCGCGGAACGAATTAATTTCGTCTTGCGAGGCACCACTGTACATTACTGTAGTCCCCTTTCCTCTGTCAAGAACTCTAGGCAATGTGTTTTTGAGAAAGTATTCCTAGATTTAAGAAATTCCTATAATACTCACCGAATAATTAACAGGTGTTGAAGACATGACAACTTAAAATATAAGGGATGCTTTGAATTAAACATACTCTAATGTACAATGTAGCCTCCCCCCATAAAAAACACCATTACAGAGACATCAAGATTAATATCACACACGGTGACAACTTTTTGACTTTAATATCTATCTCATCATATCCCAGGATCCCTGGGAGGGATAGCAACAGTTTTGAATGAATATGTTACACTCACTTCTACAAATGTCTAGAAACAGAAGCATGTTTACCCCACAATGAAGATGCACTTGCTGCATTTTATCTGTCTCTTGTACTTAAGGTAACATGCTTCCTGTATATGCATACTTTCTCTCCTTCCAAAATAATGGGCTGGGTTTGGTTACCTCTCTCCCCCCCCCTCAATATTGATTTATGTATGTTATTTATATACCACCCGCTAACGTAGGCTCCAAATAAAATTACGTAAAAAGTTGTTACTGCTGCAATGTTAACATTATTCAATGTTAACATTATTCAGTAATACAGTGCATCCTGATATGTACATATCCTATAATACTACAGCAGTATAGCAATGAAAATATCAAAGAGATGTACTAGCCCTAGATTTTTACAAATGTTTATGCATCCATGTTAATATGATTCTGCTGCTTTATCCTCAAGATTAGGTTTAGTACCCTCAAACAAAGGCAACACATGAAAGCCATCAATTCCAAAGTTAAAAAATAATATTTTCTAGGAGCCCCCATTTAAATTCCTGCATTTTGTACCTGCAGTGTATGCAAATAGGAACATCTTCATGCTCCTGGTATTCCCTCATTAAGCTGATCATGTCCAGAATAGAATCAAAAGATGATGGAACGTCGTGGTCAGGCCAATTCACATAATGAAATTGATAAACCCTACGTGTTTCCTAGAAGGAAAAAAGGTTGTGTTATATCTTTGGACAAGGGTCAGCAAACTTTTTCAGCAGGGGGCTGGTCCACTGTCCCTCAGACCTTGTGAGGGGCCGGACTATATTTGGGGTGGGGGGAGAACAAATTCCTATGCCCCACAAATAACCCAGAGATGCATTTTAAATAAAAGGACACATTCTACTCATGTAAAAACACCAGGCAGGCCCACAAATACCCCAGAGATGCATTTTAAATAAATGGCACATTCTACTCATGTATAAACATGCTGATTCCAGAGCCATCCATGGGCCGGATTCAGAAGGCGATGGGGCCTGATCTGGCCTCCGGGCCTTAGTTTGCCTATCCATGTCTTTGAAGGCTGGCTTGTAGAAACTGTCCATTTTGGGAGCTGATCAGGTACTCAGAGAAAAGTGAATAAAAATGTTGTAAAATACCACCATTAAGAAATATTTTTAAAGAAACAATGAAGTAAATAAGTAAGTGTAGGAGCTGCTTCACACAAATGGCTCACCGTATAGAGCTCATGAGGCTACATTTTACGTGGTAAGCACACCACTGCCAGAATCTACCCAGAACAGACCAACAAGTTTATAATTATTTTCCTACATAATGAATATAATTTTAATAAATTAATACAAACCCAAAGACTACATATGGTGTCTCTGAAATAGCACAAGTTGCAAAATTTGCTTCACTTAAAAGTTGACACAGACACTGGGTCAAAGCCCACGTCCTTCAAATATTAAGCTTCTGTTTGTTGAGCCTTTACAAATACACTCCAGCCCATTCGTGGCACCCTAGGCTCTTATGCAGGGCTACTGACAACAACATACAAACAGGTTCTGCCAGAGGTAGAATTTAGAACCAAGTAGTGAATTCAGCTACCTGGGAATCACAGCTTTAAATTTACAAGGCCTAGAAACATTTCTGCAAACTATATAAGATGAAGCAACAAAACTACCATTAAGCTCAGCCCAGATCCCAATGCGCACGACACTCAAATTTATTTTTATTATTAAAAAGTGAAGCCACTCAAGTGCCTCATAATGCACCAAGAAGCATTTAAACCACACAAATAAGTAACTGAAGGAGCATCATCTCAAAGTCAAGATTTGAGTTGAGCTGCCACTGCCCCAAATGACCAAAAACTCCGTTTGTGTCTTTTGGATGTCAAGTTATTATTGATTTTAAGTATTATTTATTAAATTTGTATACTGCCCTATACCTGCAAGTCTCAGGGTGGTTACAACATAAAATCACAATATTAAAACACCAAATACAAAAAGTTTTCAGGACGGTTGACAGTTGGAGGCGTTATCCTGCCAGTTATCGCATGTCGCAAGGCCATTTCAGCCCCACATTAACATGTTGTCAAAAGGGGCAAAGTGATTTGGTACACAGAAGACATCAGACTAACAATACTATGTTTAAACCAGCTGTAATATAGAGCTTTTATCTTACTTACATTCTGAAAGGCTAATACCAGAGTTCTAATATAGTAGTCTGTTCTGACTTGCTCAGCTTCCTAAATGAAAAGGGAATATTTGTGAATAGAGGGAAACGTCACAAAATTTTAGCTTAGTACCGACAGTAGTACTTTACTCACTCAAATCTAATTTACTCCTAACAGAAGTATTGTATCCACTTAGGTTAATCTTTAAAAATAGCAGAATTCAGAATCACACCATTCATAGGAGCACATGAATGAATTTTGATTTGCTTCACTTGTTTTAAGTAAAACAATAACCAGAATTTAGGTTCTGTGCCAATGTAGCATTAACCATAACTAAAACTGGAAAAATTTTGGGAAAGTCATATCTACACCGACACTAAGCCAGAGTGGTCCGCACTTGTGGGCTATAGTTCCTTTAAATAATGGGCTAGATCCAAGCAACTATGAGTGGAAGGAAAGTAACTGCCACTGTTGTTCCACAAGCTCTTGGGAAAAGCTTACACGGTGCTATCACAGGAGGTTTTTAATTCTCCTGTTTCTGATTGTCCAACGAGTGTGAGCTCTTGGACAAGCAAAATGACTGTTAAGAGAACATTGCATGGGAAGTGAAACTGAATCTCAATCTTAAAAAAGCATAAAAGATCCCTCCTGTGAGACTTCTGCATCCAACCAAGAGTCGCCTGCCTGAGTCTTTCAGGTATTCTTTTGCACACATGTGCATAACTTACCCTGCTTTTCTTCCTTATTGGTTTTCTCATTTCTATGACACTATTATAATAAACTAATAATAATAATAATAATAATAATAATAAACTATTATAATAAACTTATAATAAACTAAACAGAACCACATTCTCAGTATAAAAGGCCAGCTTTCTTCTATGGCAGTTGATTCAAATTTTGCTACTTATGCCTTACCATGGCTTTCTTAAAATTCCTTATAACCTATAGGCTTCTGCCCTACTTCCCAAACTCTACCATGAGTTATGAGTAGTTCACCAATTCGTAAAACACCAGCAGCATACCACTTGACTGCTTTTCCCCATTTTGCCCAATGAAAACTTTTTTTCTGTTATAATGTTAGTTGATGTTTTAATTATTCAGTGGTCTCATTTGCGCATAATACTAACCTATTGTTTAGTATTACAAGAATGGATGTGGGAAAGGAGTGGGTTTGCTCCTTGTCGCCTCTAGCATGTCTGCAAGGAGGTCAGATGCTTTAGTTTGCAGCTTTCAACTGGAATAGTTTCAGCAAATCATAGTAAAGACCAACCACAGTTTGTTGAGGCACTGACACACGCTATACTGTGGTTATTTAAAAACAAAAGCTCCTGATTTCTTCTTTGTAGATGTGTCAAATGAGGAGAGAGGGGGGATGTAAAACACCAAGGTGAGTCCAAGTTTATTCCTGTGGTGGTAAACCATGTCACCACTATGACCACAAAACCAATGCATAGTTTGCCTTGTTTCAAAATGTTCCACATGCCAAGGGGAGAGACACAAATGTAAGCAAACTCTTCAAATTATTTCATATAAAAGAATATCAATTTGGCATCATTGAGGCTTATGGACCAGCACTTCCTCAGAATTAGAGCAATTCAATATACTGTAATTACAGTAAGCCCACAACTTATGCAGGGGTTACATTCCAGGAATCGCACCTCAAGCCAAAATCACGTATAGTCAAAAACCAATGGGTTCAGTGACGGGCAGGATTGCCAAAGTTGTTTTTCCTGGAACTCTGCCCCCTTTTTAATTTTAATTTTTCCCACATACATAAAGCTGAATGAAAAGAAGTTAAATACATGTGAGTTGCAGGCTTACTACAGTTAATATATACATTTCTTTAAGATGGAATTAGAACTATTTTATTTTTTTTAAAGCATCAATTAGTACTGCACTATCATTAACAAAATACTTACACAAGAAATATGAAATGGTCCAAAAGAAACACCTTCTTCCCCATACAGAGGCCAGTAACGTTCACATTTTTTCTGTTACCAAAGAAAATATAGTTACCAAAAATATGGTTTAAAAATAAGCACACACATTCACAGATAGTTGGATTTAAATGGGCAAGGTCATCCTTGCTAATACACCCAAGACCTTCATCTCCCTCTCAAGACTTTTTAAGTGTTTCCTTTTAGAATCTGGAAGGTCCATAGGAAAAACTGCTATTTGCTCTGTCCATGCACCCACACTGTGCAATTCCATTCTAAAACCATTTGTTTCTTTACACCTTCCTACACTAAACTTAACAGAGTGGCAAGAAAATGTGCTAGTTTTCATTAAGTAACAAATGTTCAAGATTTACATGGGAATTCCTCAAGTAGAATGAGTAACCTGTACAGAGATTTGATTAACTGCATTATCACTGCAACATATTTAGCAAAGGCCATATACAAGCCAGCGCTATTAATACATACCCTTCCCATTTCAAACTCTCGACAAGCCATCACAATAATCTATTAAAGAAAGAAAGAAATGTGACTGTACAAAGTTTCCAAGAATCTGTGCTTTAAAAACCTTTCCATGTGCATATTCATATACTGACTACAGCTGAAGGACTGACCAAGGACTTAGCAGCAGGCCAAACACTATATTATCCATGTGCCAGAGTTTAACAAAAAAGTGGATAAACTTTGGGGGGGGTCAAGGACAACATTTGCCCTTGTGCCAATCCTCCGGGGACTGTATCAGTGTTATATACCACCCACTTCTAAAACCAATCAATCTATCAATTAAGGATTTCATCATCATGCTGTTATGATAGTTGCATCAGCATTTCTGCATTTGTGCCTGCCATGTTCTCCTGACCCCACAAAGCCAATTCTGGGGAGGGAAGGGGGAGAAGGTGGGGAGAAGCCCTGTTGTACAACAGGGACTCACAACTATTTAGCTGAAGCTGTCCCCAAATTCATGCCCCATCCTTCTTCTAAAAGGAGCTTAGGGCAGCAAACAAATACAGTGGTATCTCGGGTTACATACGCTTCAGGTTACAGGCTCCGTTAACCCAGAAATAATGCTTCAGGTTAAGAACTTTGCTTCAGGTTAAGAACAGAAATCGTGCTCCGGCGGTGCGGCAGCAGCAGGAGGCCCCATTAGCTAAAGTGGTGCTTCAGGTTAAGAACAGTTTCACGTTAAGAACAGACCTCTGGAACGAATTAAGTACTTAACCGGAGGTACCACTGTAAGTGATAAAACAGTAAAAAATCTTTTAAAATGTTTTAAAATTAAAACCTGCCTAAATAGGCTTGTATCCAAAGGAAACAATGGCAAGTTAACAAAACATGTATTGTGAAAATCACGTGATTTCAAATGTGACAACTTGCTGACAGCACAATCTCCTCTTTGAGGATGGGGCTTTTTGTTGAGTTGTTTATACAGATATCAATACAAGAGGCTGTGCTGAAGTGAAGCACAGGTGCTCCACCGTTTAGTGAAGTCAGTGCTTGCTTCTTAATCCCTTCTCCCATTGTGCATTTATCAGCCACATGATCTGACAGTTCATGTTCCTCCTCTTCTGCCCAGACACTGTAGCTCAGGGATGTGGAGTGTGTGGCCCTCCAGATGTGCTTAGATTACAACTCCCAGAACCTCTTACTACTGGCCATCCATGCTGGCTGAAGGGCTGATGAGAGTTGGAACCCAACAACATCTGGAGGGCCATACATTCCCCGTCCCCAAGTTAGGCAAATGCATGCTGGCACAACAGACTTTGGCTGTACCCATTCAGCACATCACCAATCAAACTCTTATTGTCACAAAGACCCCTCTCCTCCAAGAAGAGGGGATGTCACTGATCTCATACCACAACTTGGAACACAGCACGTCAGAGGAAAATGTACTCCACTTTCCATCCCTAAGCTTAGATTAGAGGATGAAACATAAAACAAACTCTGGTTCCAAACTGCTCAGAATGAGAAGTAGGGGCAGAAGTTTGCTCACATCACAGAATGAAATAAATATTGGGTTAGCATACTTACTGCGACATTGTACTCCCATATCATCCTCCAGAAGTCTATTACTGTGTTTGCTAGTGGTCCTTGGGTGGCAACATATGCTTTTGGCCCATGTACTCCCTAAAATTTCAACATATAACGGAAGGCAAAAACAGTTAAAGGCATGCTTGAAACAGTTCTTAGACACAAACTCTCCCAAGGATGGTTCGACTATGGGTGTGTTGGAAAGGTTTTGCATTTTCAAAACTGATCTATTCAAAATGTCAACATGCTAATCTCTTCAAAAACATGAATGGAAATTTAAAAACTGATAACACCCAAGATAAACCCTACAGGATATATACCAATTTTACTCTACATTAGATAAGTAAACAGCAAATTCCAATACAAAAGTTCGCTGCTAATGCCCAAATAACTGAATAACCAATAATAATATATATCCTCATCTTGGTTACAAAATATTTGTGAAGTTTCCCCTTAGCTGCTCGCTCAACATACCTACAGTAACTGAGCCAAACATTCCATTATTATTATTATTTTCAAATGCTCTGCTATTTTTCTCCCCTTTGAGTATTTTGCTCAAAGTTTAACATCAGTTCAGGTGGTTGATAGGGAGAAGGGGAAAGAAATGCCACATCCAAGGGCATTAAATACTCCAAATCACAAGTCATTTCATAGTGATGCAGCAAGGAGATACTGAATTCTCCTTATGGGAGTGGGAGTGCAGGGATGTTAAAAATTCAGTACTGTACTGCATTTTATTCACACCTCCAGGCAATCTTTTTTAGTCAAAAAATAATGCATGAGTTTCACACATTTGTAAGACCAAGAACAGAAATTAGCACCAGGTAATTATATACCTCAATAATTGTACCCTTGTGCTATTTTACATTACATTAAACTTTAAATTGGAAACATAATCAAAAATTTGTTTTATTTAAATGCATTTATTTGGAATCCTTATCCTAGTTGCAGAAAGTGCACAGGAGTGTTGAGTGTAGCACCATTCAGTATTTTTCAAGATAGCTCAGTCGGTAGAGCATGAGACCCTTAATCTCAGGGTTGTGAGTTCAAGCCCCATGTTGGGCAAAAGATTCCTGCATTGTTGGGGGCTGGACTAGATGACCCTCATGGTCTCTTCCAACTGTACAATTCTATGGTTCTATGAAGACATTCACAAATAACAAGGACCACCACACTATATTTTAAAAATCCAATGAGTTACAGGACTGCAAAACCCTTAATAAACGTCACATAGAATGCATAACTGAGAGAAACAATGGATTAAACCCAAACTAGCGTGAGCCAAAGAGTTAACTGATTAGCACTTTTCTGTGAACTGCTGTGCAGGCAGGAAGGCAGAAGGAAGACTTTGCACAGCATTGTATTTGGAGCCTCATCATAGTATACAAAGAGATTCTGTAACTCCACATCTGAATACAGGATTATGGAATTCCACATCGCAAAGCAAGCCAGAAAGAGGAACTATATGCACTCCACCCATCAAGGCTTGCTTTGTACAAGGGGCTTCATGATTTAAAGTGGCCATTCTTGCAAACCACAAGCACTTTGCTACACAGAACTCCATGCATCCCAGCCTTGGGGACTTGTTCCACAATGGGGAAGTGTCCAGATTCACGCAAACGGGATTTAAACGATGCACAGTGTCAGGGAACTGCCATCGGTAGGAAGGGAGGTGAAAGGACTCAGACAGGTTGGAAGAGATCCAGCAGCTGAAGAGGGAACCAGCAAGGGGAGAGAAGCTGAACTGAGGGAGGTGAAAGGGCTCAGACAGGTTGGAAGAGACTTAGCAGCTGAAGAGGAAACCAGCAGGGGGAGAGAAGCTGAACTGAGGGAAAGGGAGCTGGGGGGATGGCTCAGAGATACTTCCAGCGAAAACAGTGGTGAGGTTTCCGGACCTCCTGTAGCGACACCCACTCCTCGCCGGAAACTGTCACGCAGAGAGTCCAGAAGACGTGTTTCCGTTAAGGAGCTTTTATGTTGGAAGCGATTACGAAAGCAACCACTGTCGGAATCTTCTAGTGACTAAGAGGAGCCATGTCAGAGGGGCTCAGTCACAGACAGAGGTTTGTGGACTTGAACAAACTCTGAGGGAATACGATTTTACGCACAAGCAGCTCATAATCCCATCACAGCATTCCGACAGTCTTTGAACGCAGCTTGTGCAGGAGAAGGCATAATGAGCAACCCAGCAGGAACCGGAGAAGCAGGGGCTGGAGCGGGTCCAAGCCTGGAAGAAAGGTACCGAGTGTTGGAGGTCCAGCTGGCGCTGCAGACGGCGAGGCTGGAGGAGAGGAGGGCTCAAGATGCAGACAAAGGGAGAAAGCCACCCAGCTCGCCAGAAAGGTACCAGGATTGGTGCAGAAATTTGGGGGGGAGCCCAAAGACTATCATAGCTTTCGGACAGAAATGCAATATGCCCTCAATCTGCAGTTTGATGATTTCCTGATGAGGAATCACGAGTGGCTTTTGTGATTGGGCATCTTGAAAAGGGGGCGAGAGACTGGGTTAGACCCCTGATGGCAGCGCATAGTGACGTCCTAAAGGACACGATGAAGTTCTTTCGCGCCATGGATCTGATGTTTTCCAGCGATATTGAAAAGGGAGTGGTGCGCAGACAGTTAATGGCTTGCAAACAGGGGAGCCGATCTGTACGTGAGTACTGGACTGAGTTCACCATGCTGATACACAGATTGGGGTGGGACTTATCGGCGGAACCCATTCAAATGCTCTTTGAAGAAGGGCTTTCTTCGGCTGTGAAAGATGAACTTTCCCGGGCGCCCAGGGCGGAGTCTATGGACCAGCTGACCAAATCAGCGCTGGCCATAGGAGCGCGCCAGGAGGCGAGAGCATTGGAGAGGCGGGAAGGGAAAGGGGAACGTTGGAAGGAGTTCCGCATTCCAGACATTCCAGAGCCAACTGTCCCGCCGGCAGAGCCGATGGAAATCGGAACAGCGCGCGCGCGCGCAGTTTCAAAGCCCAGTGAGGGTGGAAAGAAGGATGGAAAAGGCGCCCGGAAATGCTATCTCTGCCAACAGCCAGGGCACTTTGCCAGAGTCTGCCCCCAGAGGAAGGAATGGCAAGGGATGGTGGGAGCTGTGGAGGGAAGAGAGGAAAAATACCGGAGCAACTAAAGCCAACGCCTGGCTGCCATTGTCGGGGCACAGCAGCCAGGCCAAAGAGCAGTGAAAGTGCCCACTCCAGAACCTCCTAAACCCGCCCTAGTGATAGAAGTGACACTAGAGCTCCCAAACGGACACCCTCTAAAGATAAAGGCGCTGTTGGACTCAGGCAGCTCCTGCAATTTCATGAGCAAAGAGTTTGCAGCTGAACACCAGATACAGACGCTCCTTTAAGCAACCCCTGCAGGTAACCACGATCGATGGCAGGGAGCTGTTGGGAGGAGAAGTCAGCTTGCAGACCGTCCCAATGATAATGAAGGTGGCAAGGCACACTGAACTGATAGCTTTTAATGTGGCCACCTTGGGAGGAGCTCCCATTATATTGGGGATGAGCTGGCTAGCGTTACATGATCCGCTGGTGGGCTGGCATCAGAGAGTGGTTTCTTTTGGGTCAGCACATTGCTTAGAACATTGCAAAGAGGGAAAGGTTTTGGCAGGGGCCCAAGCCACCCTAGCAGGGACTGAAGTGAAGGAGAACGTGAAGGTACCACGACAATACGCAGATCTCCGCGACGTCTTCAGCGAAAGTGAAGATGACCAACTACCACCGCATAGAGCCTTTGACTGTCAAATCAATTTGCTCCCTGGGGCACAGCTCCCTGTGGGCAAGCTGTACGCCATGTCAGACAGAGAGATGCAGGAGCTAAGAGAGTTCATTGACAAGAACCTGAAGAGAGGGTTCATCAGAGAGTCCAGGGCGGTGGGGCAGCCCAGTGTTTTTGTGGACAAAAAAACACGAACAAGCCGAGACTGGTGTGTGACTTCAGGGCCTTAAATGCAGTGTCAGAACCAGTGGCCTTCCCGATGCCCAGGATTGACGACATTTTGACAAGGGTGCGAAAGGGAAAGATTTTCACCAAGCTGGATCTAAGGGGGCGTACAACCTGATACGAATAAGGAAGGGGATGAATGGAAAACCACCATGTTCACCCCTTTAGGGGCATTTGAATACTTAGTTATGCCCTTCGGTCTACAAGCAGGCTCCGCAACATTTCAATCGTTTATGAACCACGTCCTGGGGCCGTTGCTTTACAAGAATTGTGTGGCCTTCTTAGACGACATGTGGGTGTATTCTGAGAATGAGGAGCAGCATGTGAGAGACGTCAGAGAAGTGTTGAGCAGGCTGCAAGCCAACCAGCTGTGGGTGAAACTGGAGAAGTGTCAGTTTCATACCAAGGAGGTGGAATTCCTGGGGTATCGCCTGTCTGACAAGGGGTTGGCCATGGATCCCGGCAAGGTCCAGGCGGTACTGGAATGGAAAACACCCAAAACAAGGAAGGATGTGCAGAGGTTTTTAGGGTTTGGGAACTTCTATCGTAAGTTCATCCCAAACTTTGCCCACCTGACGGCGCCCATTACGGACTGTCTCAGCAGTAAGAAGAAGTTCGTTTGGACGGAGGAGGCGGAGCAAGCATTTGAGGAACTAAAAGGGCCTTCGCCTCGGAACAACAGCTCCTGCATGTGGATTTACAAAAACCGATGAGAGTGGAAACTGACGCATCAGACAGAGCGGTTGGGGCGGTGCTTCTCCAGCCAGGGAAGGAGGAGTCAGAGTGGAGACCGTGTGCCTTTTTTTCGCGAAAGCTGAACAAATCCGAGAGGAACTACACGGTGTATGACCGAGAGCTACTAGCCATTCATGAGGCGTTCCGGAGATGGAGGCACCTGCTAATTGGCGCACAACATAAGGTGCAAGTGTGCACTGACCACAAGAACCTAGAGTATTGGAGGACGGCACGAGTGCTCAACCAACGGCAAGTGAGATGGGCTCAGGAATTCTCCAAATTTAACTTTGAGATTTGTTACGTGCCAGGCCCAGAGAATATTAGGGCGGACGCTCTCTCACGCAAACCTGAATATTTGGAGGGGAGGGAGCACCCGAAGAGAGACATGTCATTCCAGAGGACCGCTGGGTGTGTGGGGCGGCATTGGTGGGACAAAGAGAACTGGTAGAAGAAACAGAGAATGATGAATACGCCCAGAATAAGCTTAGAGGTCTTAGGGATGAGGGAGAGGAATCAAGGGGTTTCGAGGAAAGAAATGGAGCTTTGTATTACAAAGGGGCACTGTATATCCCTGAAGGAGACTTAAGGGGAGGGTACTCAAGCAGTTGCATGACAGCCCCACGGCGGGCATTTTGGGCAACACAAAACCATGTGGTTGGTCACCAGGGAATTTTGGTGGCCTAAGGTGAGGGAGGATGTACGTGAGTATGTAAGAGGGTGCGAGCAGTGCCAGCGAGCCAAAGGGGAAAGGCGGGCGCCGGCGGGGCTATTAGAACCCTTACCAACACCAGAACGACCTTGGGAGGCAGTGTCGATAGATTTTATGACTGATCTGCCGAAGTCCAAAGGGAAAACAGCCATCATGGTGGTGGTAGACCTACTAACAAAGATGTGCCACTTTGTAGCTTGCTCGCATGCAGTCACGGCGGAAGAGACAGCGAAGTTATTTGTAGAACACATTTTTAGGTTGCACGGGGTGCCATTGAGGGTGGTCTCAGACCGAGGAAAACAATTTACTTCCAGGTTCTGGAGGAAGCTCATGAGCTTACTGCAGGTGGAGGTCAACTTTTCGACTGCCCGGCACCCTGAAACCAACGGGCAGGCGGAAAGAGCAAACGGTGTCCTCCAGCAATACCTGAGGTGTTATGTCAATGACAGAGAGAATGACTGGGTAGAAAAGTTGGCGCTGGCGGAATTTGCCTACAACAATGCCGAGAATGTGTCCACAGGGATGAGCCCCTCTTGGCTAATTATGGGTGTCATCCCAGGGCTTTCCCAGGGGAGAAGGGGAGAGATGGAGCGCACCGGCAGCCGAGCATTTTGTAGAAGAAATGGAAGCAATCCACCGTCAGCTCCAACTCAACTTAGAAAGGGCGAAGGAAGAATACAAGAGGCAGGCAGACAAGAACCGAAGGGAAGGTGAAACCATAAGGGTTGGAGAGAGGGTGTGGCTGTCAACCCGAGGGCTGCCGTTCAAAGGAGGTTGTAAGAAATTAAGACCCAGGAGGTTGGGTCCCTTTGAGGTCATTCAACAGGTCAACCCAGTGGCTTTCAGGCTCCGGTTACCCAACCACATGAAACTGCACCCAGTATTTCACAGGTCGTTACTGTCACCGTACGAGGGGGGACGAGAAGGGATGGCCACTCGGTGACCGGTCATAGAAGAAAGAGAATGCAGCAGTCATGTGGCAGAAATCCTTGATGCCAGGTGGAAGGGGAATCAGGTGGAGTATTTGGTAGCGTGGGAAGGAGAACCGGAGTCAGAAAACACGTGGGTAATGGCCAAAGATATCAATGACGAGGTATTGATAGAAATGTTCCATCAAAGGTTCCCGCGGAAACCTCAGCCTGTGGAGAGGTTCTGGAGGGAATACTTTGGGACCACTGAGGAGGAGGAGGAGTTGGAAGGATTCCCAGAATCGGAAGGGGAAGGGGAGATGGACTCGGAGGAGGAGGAGTGCTTCGAGACCAGGAACCGCAACAGGTGGAGAGAAGTGTTCGAGACATCGGAAGATGAAGGAAGTTCATTCCGGGGTTTTGCCTCCTCACCGCCCGTAGAGGAGGGGGCGAGAGGGGGTGAAGGGGGCCCTGGAGGGGAGGTGGATGTCAGGGAACTGCCATCGGTAGGAAGGGAGGTGAAAGGACTCAGACAGGTTGGAAGAGATCCAGCAGCTGAAGAGGGAACCAGCAAGGGGAGAGAAGCTGAACTGAGGGAGGTGAAAGGGCTCAGACAGGTTGGAAGAGACTTAGCAGCTGAAGAGGAAACCAGCAGGGGGAGAGAAGCTGAACTGAGGGAAAGGGAGCTTGGGGGATGGCTCAGAGATACTTCCAGCGAAAACAGTGGTGAGGTTTCCGGACCTCCTGTAGCGACACCCACTCCTCGCCGGAAACTGTCACGCAGAGAGTCCAGAAGACGTGTTTCCGTTAAGGAGCTTTTATGTTGGAAGCGATTACGAAAGCAACCACTGTCGGAATCTTCTAGTGACTAAGAGGAGCCATGTCAGAGGGGCTCAGTCACAGACAGAGGTTTGTGGACTTGAACAAACTCTGAGGGAATACGATTTTACGCACAAGCAGCTCATAATCCCATCACACACAGCTATGGAATTCAGAGAAAGAATGAATGATCTTGTGTAAATGGATCCACAATGTTTGTTCAAACTGAAGAGCCTATTTTGACCTAAGCCATTGCACCAGGGTCATGCGGATAGGTGGAACCCAGAAACTTTGAATTGTGATTCTTGTACCGTCAGCCAGCCACTGCACAGGATTCCTCCACTGCTTTTACTAACACAAGCCTATCTTATGTATGTGGTAAAGCACAAGTCCATTTTATAAGATCTCTTCGCGTCTCAGTGGGTACCTGGTTCAACAACCTCCTCTAGAAACTATTCAGTAACATATAATGAGGTGTAGCCAGAGCTATTTTTCTAGAAAAAGAGGTACCAGATCTCACCACAAACACCTCCCTTGTTCTCTTATAATGGCACTGGTGCCCAACTGAGAGGGGCCAGAATTGCGTTCCGGCTGGGGAAAAAACTCTGGGTGTAGCAGACATTTACGTAGTTCTGGAAGTTCATAAAATATGCCAATGAGACCCAGTGTCAGCAACTAGCATGCTCTGACAAATAATGAAGTCCCAGGGACGAACCACAGCTGAGGTGAGCCAAGAGTCTCATGCTCTACCGATTGAGCAATCCCAGCTATGATACATTCTATCGATCAAACCATTGTTATTTTATATTACTGTAATAAGAGATGCTATCTTTGTCAGTGCTGTGAATTATCCATGTGATAATCGCTGCTTAATTGTGTACTAGTTTAGGAGGTCAGCCTTCCTCCTTTTTTCATTCTTTCTTCCACTTTTTCTCCCGCCCCCCCCCCCCCGCTACTTTTTCTCTTTGCAATCAAATTACACAGAGCCACAACATAATCACATACAATACTTTGGCATCAGTTTGGTTTTCTGTAAAGAAACATGTGTTAAGATTTTAGAAGTTTTATTACGTAATAAATCTATGTTAATACATACCTTAATAAAATTTGCATTGATGTAGTCTGAATCTTGAGGGGGAGTTTTTAAAGTCAGTTTAACTCTGCTGTGATCAACTAAAACATAGCAATTTTAGGAAGAATTATTTTCCATGTTAACAGGTATTCTCCAGCAAGAATGATAACAAGTTCTTACCCAAGAATTCTTCCACTGTATCTAGGCACTACTTTAATCTACCCTAAGAGAATTCCTCACACATTTTCAGGACTGCTTGCTCTTCACATTTCTATTTATTTCACTGCAGAACTCTGCAGGACATAATTCTATATATTTTCCTTAGAGAGCATTTCCTTTATTAATGAAGTTACTCATGAACCACTGGAAATGAAATTCTGGGTTGGCTGATAGTTCCAAGTTCTATGATGAGATAGCAACTATCTTGCCAGTACTGGACTGTTTCAAAGCATCTTTCTTTCACTTCTAGGTATCTAGGGATTAAATTTAAGCAGTTTCCAGGCCACCTTATTCTCTGAATGTCCAGTGAAAATGTTCCAAAACAGATGTTAACATTAGAAGCAAAGTAAGTTCACACAAATGGAAATGTGGAACAGTATAGACATTAACTCAAAATATATTCCCCAGCCAGGGACTCTTGAACAACTTAAATTTAACACACAAGCACAATGTATTTGAGGCTGGCTAAAAAAGGCACCTACAGCAAAGGATCTACACTCCTTTGGTAAACTCCAGATGGTAAACATTAATTTTTATACTTGTAAAAATATTTTAAGATGTGCAATAATACAATAATGTATTAAGTGCTTATGTGTTCCTCTATAGAAAGGATAGCACATTTAGTTTTTCCAGCAACACTTTATAATTGCTTGCTTGCTGCTCAATGTTAAAGTTGCATGTTGAAGGCAATCCAAAATCACATTATCAACTTCACAGAATAGACTAACTGACAGTCATCTAAATACTAATTCTTTGAGAGAAAAAATCCAATTTCATTTGCAAGGTTGTTCTATATTTTGAAGACTTGGGGTTGTCTGTTACCAGTTTTCACTTCTGGGCAAGTTAAACTTGAGAATCAGACGTCCGCACAGAACTAAAGAGGATCCAAAAGTTCAGACTTCCTCAGCCAAAAAAATTCAAGGTCTATGGCCAAAATTTGATAAGGAAGGTTGTCCAATATTTTAATAACGGCCAACCTTTTCTGCAACAACAACAAATCAACTAAAAACATATTGGCAGACCGTATTTTCAGTGTTTATATGAATTCATCATTTTATAGTGTCAGACTAACATGGCTAGAAGTCTCCAAATTCTCAATGTTTTATGAGGGTTTCAAACAACAGGATGTTCTCTGAGCTTCATATATGTATTATGACAAAATCAGTCTGTCTTTATTCCAGGTTCTGCCTGTTTTCCAATAAGATTCAGACTAAGGGAGTCTTTCAAGAAAAATAGCATTCTGAAATAAATGGGTATATTTTGTGAGTCAGAAAAGCTTTTTCTGCATTAGTTGGAAGGTTAAAGTTATTAACAGATTTTTAGCCTTGGAAATGGTTTTTAAATAGATACTGGGAGGCTGACGCACATACAAAGAAACATTCACTTAGGCAGATGAAGCATCTTAAAAAATACCCCTTTCGGCAAATAATTACTATCTAATTTACCTATTCAAGAGATCTTAAATGTTAACAGGCAAGATATCTTAATAAATGTTATTAACATGTCTCTCGAAGGGAAAAGTCAGGCTTACATGGCAGTATGTCCTTGTATCTGTTCTTTTTCACATTTTCTTCTTTTTCTCCAGTGACTGTTGGGTAGATCTTTTCTGTTCTATACTTCGTTGATAGCCTCCTCAGTCTCTGTAATTAAAACGTTCTGGTTTAAGTTACTTTTTCAGCTGCTCCTTTTTACTTTTTCAGAAAAGTAGTCTCTGAATAGGAGTAAGTTTAACTAGTCGTCTCTACCACTATTACTCTGCACAGCTATCCTTCTCTGAAGTCCACGCCAAACAGTGGAACTGCATACATCAAGGAAATTTCACAAACAATGTGGAACATATAGCATAAAGCTTTCATATCCTACCTTGGTCACACATTACTTTAACAAAGAAACTTCCTTTCATATTTAGAAGTTGGGGAGGATGTCTTTTTTCTTTTTTTTTTTACTTGACAGCATAGGGTGTTATAGTACAAATCATTTCAGCTAGTTACTACTGTAACAGCTACAGGATGTTGGCCAGCGCCAGCTGTGAGAAAGGCTCAGGATCCAGCAGATCCCAGACTGGCTTGTCACTCCCACCCTCACTACCTGCATGCAAAATGGGGGGAGGTTGGTGGCAGCAAGCACAAGTGAGTAGAGAGGCGCCTCTGCTCAACCCAAACCCCACACAACCTGGCTTAAGAGAGACTTAGATTGCAGACTTAATCACCTTAATCACCATATAATTAGATGTACACTTTAATGAAGTAAAATCCATTTAATCGGAAAACACACCAAATTTTGATTATTTTAAGGTGTCACAGTACACCTTATGGTTATGTGTTTTCACTACCCTATCAGAAAGATTAAAAAATGGAAAATAGAAAAGGTATAAAGAAGAGAAACAGAAGTTATGAATGAGAGAAAGAAGGGGGAAAGAAATAATGCTTGTGGAAGGAATAGACCATGGGTAGGCAAACTAGGGGACGCGGGTGGCGCTGTGGGTAAAACCTCAGCGCCTAGGACTTGCCGATTGTCAGGTCGGCGGTTCGAATCCCCGCGGCGGGGTGCGCTCCCGTTGCTCGGTCCCAGCGCCTGCCAACCTAGCAGTTCGAAGCACCCCCGGGTGCAAGTAGATAAATAGGGACCGCTTACTAGCGGGAAGGTAAACGGTGTTTCCGTGTGCTGCGCTGGCTCGCCAGATGCAGCCTGTCACGCTGGCCACGTGACCCGGAAGTGTCTTCGGACAGCGCTGGCCCCCGGCCTCTTAAGCGAGATGGGCGCGCAACCCCAGAGTCGGACACGACTGGCCCGTACGGGCAGGGGTACCTTTACCTTTACCTTTAGGCAAACTAAGCCCTGGGGGCCGGATGCGGCCCAATCGCCTTCTAAATCCAGCCCGTGGACGGTCTGGGAATCAGTGAGTAGAATGTGTGCTTTTATTTAAAATGCATCTCTGGGTTATTTGTGGGGCATAGGAATTCATTCATTATTTTTTTAAAAAATATAGTCCGACCCCCCACAAGGTCTGAGGGACAGTGTACGGGCCCCCTGCTGAAAAAGTTTGCTGACCCCTGGAATAGACTATTTCAGAATGGGTGGCATTCAACACTAGTCCTACTCAGAGTAGACCCACTGAAGTTAATGGATGTGGCCAACTTAGGGCCATTAATTTCAATGGGTCTACTCTGTGTAGGACTAATGTGGAACTCAACCCAATGAAGGTAATTGTTTGAGAAACAGGAAATACACTGTTTCCTACGGCATAGTACAGGTTTGAGGAATGTCCTCACAGCTAAACGTCTGGGGGCTGCGAGTAAGACCAATACAAAAAGTCAGTGCGGACCACCCAACACACAAAACTTCCTCTCTCACAAGTGTGGATGTGTATGAATACAACATCTACCCACACCTATTTTCAAACATAACACCCCCCCAATATATACATTTTCTCCCCACCACACACACAAAAAGGCATTTTTCAGGCCAGATTGTTGTGCAAGATAGGGTAAGGAGGGAAGCAGAGAAGAAGCCTGCTCCATAGGCTGGAGGCTTCCTAAATCTCACCCCTGGAATGGCTGATTTCCATTTTGTCGGTTCAAAACATTCAGTCTACTTTTAGGCCATGGATAACAAGTAGATTATGAGCAGCTTTAAAATGAAGAGGCCACATTTTCTTCATATTTGAGACTTACGTTATCGATGTAGCTTCTATTTATTTGTGGTTATGTAGCTGGTTTTTTAAATAAATGATTCAGTGCCTCTTATCTGCTTATTGACAGTAATAGAAGAGTGGTGTTGTTGGTGGTGTGTGTGGCTGTGTGTGGCTGTGTGTGGCTGTGTGTGGCTGTGTGTGTGTGTGTGTGTGTGAGAGAGAGAGAGAGAGAGAGAGAGAGAGAGAGAGAGAAGTCGTGGTCACATATGTGAGGGAAGATATTTTTTACAGAACAATGTACTTCCTGGTCTCAGAGTTGTCAGACAACAATGTTATCAGTTGCTGGAATTCTACTACACTGCCTAACTCAAATGGCATCTAAACTTTAAATTATGAGCCAACAGTCAAGTTGGGTAAGAGGAGGCACAACTTTTGGAGTTTTCCATGACAGTTTTGCACTACGCAACAGCTGATGAGGTTAAATCCAGTGCGCACAGAATTAATAAAAATTTTCATATCTACAATTGACATCCATCCTTACAAAATACAAGATCAGACTGCAGAAGCTTATGTTATTAGCTGCAACCACAAACAAGCATGTTTTAAATACAATGCATCTTCCCAAAAACATTTGCAGCCAATTTCCCACTTAATTCTGAAAAGGAAAACAGATGTTAATCTATTGGAATATTTAAATTATTTCTTGAGTTGAGTCTTGACCTGAGTCCCCTATAAGAGGGGACAAATAGACAGAGTCTAAGGGGCATAGGCTGGGCTTCCAATCTGGGGTTAGAAACTGAGATATAAAAGCTAGGAGCCAATAGGTCGCCACAATAATATGTCTAGGTGCATTTTTTAAAAAAACAAGATTAAAAAGCAAAGGAAGACAAGATGGGGAATCTAGCTGAAGATGGAATAAATGCTGTGCACAAAAGACAAATTATTTGAAAACACAAAGGTAATAAAGTGGGGAAGCAGTCTAGAAAGAGATGTGACTGCAGTTTTGTTCTAGCAAAAGTAAAAACCAAACCTCTTTTACTCAATTAGAGAGGGTAGTTTGCCAAAACCTGTATCTTTATAAATTTGTGAACAACTCAGCATAGATAATTTATTGGATCTTTTTCCAGTTTGTGGTATTTGGAGGGTTGTAACGAGCCACAGCAAAACAGATCATACAGAGAGCACAGTGGGACTTAAATTGAAGCATGTATAGTACAGTAACACCCAGTGGGGATTCGAACTATAGTCTCCCAAGGGCCTAGCCCTACTGCCACTCTAACCACTACACAACACAAGCTCTGAACCTTTTTCTTTCAGATTGCAAAGTCATAGCTTCTGTGATGGGTGGAGCCACCAGAGAGGGCCAGTCTGCCCACTCATGCCCACATAATGAGATTAATTTCAACGTTCTATTTTTTTATTATTTCTGTAAAGGAAAGCACTTCTCTGTAAATGGCAAAGGAACACTCATGCAAGTCTTTTTAAAAGTAGGGGGATGGCCTAGCATTTCTCAAAACAATTCCAAAACAATTTTCTATCCTTTTCCTAATGACCCCTAAAATACAATTCCCCCTTTTTACTGCTGCCACAACCTGGGTAAACATTTTAACTGAGCTATCCACTAAGACCCTAAGATCTTGGTTCTTGGTCAGTCACCACCAGCTCAAACCTCACTGATTTGTTAGGATATCTTCCCACCCCCAATCACTTTACACTTGTTAACACCGAATCAGATTTATCATTTTAATGCTCATTCACCCAGTCTGGGGAGAGCCTTTTGGAGCACCTCACAGCCTCTTTTAGTTAAAAACTATTCTCCTTTTTGTCATAATTTCCAGTATGCTCTCCCCACCTCCACGCTCAACCTGCATTCCTAGAGGAAAAAAATGACGGCAGCAGAATTCAAATAAAGGGGGGAACATTAGAAACCTTTAAAATAATCAGCCAACACAGGAAAAACACATTTAACCATTTGTAGCTTGTATTTGTTTGCAAACCACAAGGTGCTTTTTGCTTCCGGCCTCCATAATAGAAAAGCAAGTTCAACTGTCTGAAAGAGCTTCTTCTGTTTGCTTGCTTATGCAAATCGTACAACATTGGAAAGGCTCCCTCTGACTCAGCATATCAAAAGGCTTCCTGAAAAAGGGATGGCTTCAGTCACAAAGCTGCTATTCTGAAGAGGAGGTATCAATCTCAAACCTCGTGACTGCGTAACTCAACCTGGTCACTAGGTGGTGCTCCTGAGTTGCAAAAAAAACTGGCGACAAGCTAATTTCGAACACGGTGCCAACCCATTAGAAATTTTTAGGCCAAAGTTGAACAGCTACCTAATAGGGATGCTCTAACAGTGAATTTCCTTATTGACAGGTGTTTGGACTTTATGACCTTTGGGGTCACTTTCAACTCACTGATTCTTTCGGGGAGGGAAATCGAAGTTGATCTGTAGATCAAGTCTGAAGGTCACCACAAGCTTGTACAAACTTATTTCCCTATATTTTTCCAGACTGACCAGATCTTTACAATGTGCTGGAAACAATCAGAGGCATAGTTAGAACTGTCTCAGCAATGAACTTCTAGAAAAAGCCCTCTTTGGGAACAGAAGGAGTGGTTGCACAGGAAATTCTAGTACCCGTAGTGTGACATACATTGGCTACATTCAGATGCATTGTTAAACCATGCCTCTTTCCTCCTCCGTAATGAGCTCTGTAGCTTCTGCTTCAGATTAACTACAGCTTGCTGCATTGTCCAAACCCTAAACAATGTTTAATCTTAACAAATGATAGCTTGAAGTTGGCTTGTCTCCACTAACAATTTAAGGTTAACTACTATTTGCAACATAGCAAGCTGTGGCTAATTTGTAATGAACTCTCAGATCATGAAAGTTTCTAACCTCCTCCTTGTAGCCATGCTGGAGAAGGACTCAAGGGCATCCTGATCAAATTTTCAGATGACACCAAACTGGGAGGGGTGGCTAACACCCCAGAGGACAGGATCACACTTCAAAACGACCTTGACAGATTAGAGAACTGGGCAAAAACAAACAAGATGAATTTTAACAGGGAGAAATGTAAAGTATTGCACTTGGGCAAAAAAATGAGAGGCACAAATACAAGATGGGTGACACCTGGCTTGAGAGCAGTACATGTGAAAAGGATCTAGGAGTCTTGGTTGACCACAAACTTGACATGAGCCAACAGTGTGACGCGTCAGCTAAAAAAGCCAATGCAATTCTGGGCTGCATCAATAGGAGTATAGCATCTAGATCAAGGGAAGTAATAGTGCCACTGTATTCTGCTCTGGTCAGACCTCACCTGGAGTACTGTGTCCAGTTCTGGGCACCACAGTTCAAGAAGGACACTGACAAACTGGAACGTGTCCAGAGGAGGGCAACCAAAATGGTCAAAGGCCTGGAAACGATGCCTTATGAGGAACGGCTAAGAGAGCTGGGCATGTTTAGCCTGGAGAAGAGGAGGTTAAGGGGTGATATGATAGCCATGTTCAAATATATAAAAGGATGTCACATAGAGGAGGGAGAAAGGTTGTTTTCTGCTGCTCCAGAGAAGCGGACATGGAGCAATGGATCCAAACTACAAGAAAGAAGATTCCACCTAAACATTAGGAAGAACTTCCTGACAGTAAGAGCTGTTCGACAGTGGAATTTGCTGCCAAGGAGTGTGGTGGAGTCTCCTTCTTTGGAGGTCTTTAAGCAGAGGCTTGACAACCATATGTCAGGAGTGCTCTGATGGTGTTTCCTGCTTGGCAGGGGGTTGGACTCGATGGCCCTTGTGGTCTCTTCCAACTCTATGATTCTATGAGTGTGTGATCCTTGGAAAAGACCAGGCTTGTCCTTAAGATGCTAAACTATGGTTGCATCTGAAACAGAGAGGGATGCAATATGCTCTCAATATAATCCCTAGACTTCCACCTGTTATTCTCTATGCACAGAAATGCCAACTGGGTGGGGCAACAGAAAAACTTGTCAGTGGCACTGAGATACCAGGGACAGCTTGGGGTGCAGGATGAGAGCAAGGACCATGCTACAAGTTGTACAAGGTCCAGAGGCATTATGCTTAGACACTGACTGCGGGAATGGTCTGGAAGCTAAGAGCAGTGAAGCACTTATGCTGGGAAAATTATGATAGATCTTCCATGCAGCTAATATTGCAAAGCATAGCCAACTTAGGACATCAGTGTCCCTAAGAGAGCAGCATGCCATGAAAGTAATCCATCAGCTCCTGGTGTCTTATTTTTCACTGCATCAGCACCTAATCAGATCAACAGACAATCTACAGTGCCACACAATGCTTACTTACTTATCAAATTATTGCTCTGAGTACCTTTTATTCCAGATAATGCTTCTTTGGCAATCTTTCCCCATCTGTTGCATCTGAACCCAAACAATTATTGCTATATGAACATTTGTTTTATTTATATTATGATTATGATTCCTTTCTCTAGTATGAACACTGCTGCAGGTTTACTGGGTGCTAAAGTTGACTATGATCTCAAAGTTTGCTTTAAATTCTCTCTAGTTCTCCCTACAGTCAGGTGATTAAAATCACAAATTTTAACACCATGATTGTATAAAGATTTTCCCATTTTAAAATTTTGAAAGTCAAGGCTACTAGATGACTTCCACTGGCCCTCTCATAAATGAAATCTATATTGCCCCAGTAGTTTGTAAGGTCACACCCATTATGCGTCTGCTTCAAACCTTATTTTGCTAACTTGCATTCCCAAGAAAAAGCTTTTAACTGAATTTAGAAATTAAGAACCAAGGCAGCATTCCCTTTTCTAATCCCCATCCCTGTGAACAAATATACAGTGGTACCTTGGGATACAGACACTTCAGGTTACATACGCTTCAGGTTACAGACTCCGCTAACCCAGAAATAGTACCTCGGGTTAAGAATTTTGCTTCAGGATGAGAACAGAAATCGTGTGGCGGCAGCGGGAGGTCCCATTAGCTAAAGTTGTACCTCAGGTTAAGAACAGTTTCAGTTTAAGAACGGACCTCCAGAATGAATTAAGTTCTTAACCTGAGGTACCACTGTAAATGTAAGTCAAAAGTTGCTTTCTTGCCCTGCAAGTCCAGCAGTGGTGACCCTTTGGCTCACAGGCATAATCTGGCCTGACAGAAGTCCCAATTTGGTTCACAATCTTCCTCAATTCACACCCACTTGCCCTAAATCTTATATCTTCTCCTTGTGGCCAGTGTTAGAAATTAGCCAGGTGCCAGGCACGTTTTGCTACTGCTGTGGGTCCAATTTTGTCTAGGGGGCGTTATCTGGGGGCCAAGTTTAAAAACCTTTCCCTTAGTTCATAGTAAATACTATGTCCATTTCCACTGTGTGTTTCTCCTTTTTGCATACTGGGACAAGTGAAGTCAAGAAATGTAGCTGAGATCACAGAATTGTAGCATTGGAAGGGATCCCGAGGGTCATCTGGCACAACACTCTGGCAAATATTCCATTGTGGCAACTGTAACCTAGATTTAAGTTGCCATTTGGTACCTAGCTTTTATATCATTGTTTCTAAAACTGCAGGTGGCCTTTGCCCGCATGGTTTGATTTCAAACGACTTGAGCAAAAGCAGCAGGGCTTGCAAGTACCACTGACAAGCTGTTCATTGATGCCTGATCACCTGAGCCTTCAACCATGTGCTCTGACTTCAAGCCACACAGGCAAAAGAAAACACTATGCCCGATGTCATGGGGACATCAGGTGATTGACCAAAGGGCAATCCCACCCACCTGGCAAAATGCCTATAAATGCTGGGGGAGACCAGTTCCAAACACCTGATCTAGTTATCAATATAGTTTAGAAACAATGTTCAACTACTTTGCCGGGAGGGGGATTAGGATGGCATGTAGATTTGTACTTGACAATGCCCACCGGCTAAGAGGAGCATTACAAAAGCAGGAGGATTCCACCAAGGCAGAGGCCCTGGTCTTTGCCTAGGAGGTTAGGTGAGCTGCTACCAACAGAGCATGGAAACCCACAAAAATAAGCGTTCTGATTTGAGGAACTGATGACTTTGGAACCCAGAGGTAGAGGTAAAGGTAAAGGGACCCCTGACCATTAGGTTCAGTCGTGGCCAACTCTGGGGTTGTGGCACTCATCTCGCTTTATTAGCCGAGGGAGCTGGCGTACAGCTTCCGGGTCATGTGGCCAGCATGACTAAGCCGCTTCTAGCAAACCAGAGCAGTGCACGGAAACACCGTTTACCTTCCCACCGGAGCGGTACCTATTTAACTACTTGCATTTTGACGTGCTTTCGAACTGCTAGGTTGGAAGGAACAGGGACCGAGCAATGGGAGCTCAGCCCGTTGTGGGGATTCGAACTGCTGACCTTCTGATGGGCAAGTCCTAGGCTCTGTGGTTTAACCCACAGTGCCACCCGCATCCCCTTTGGAACCCAGAAGGGCCCAATTAAGTGATTTATAAATAAATAAACAAACAAACAAATAAATAAATATAATAATACACAGGGGAGAAACTACTCCCCACACCTTCTTGCTCTGGTCATCATGAGATCCACCACTCCTCCCAGACACCAGGTTTGGATTGCTGTTTATGAACTGAAACTACAATAGTGAATTCTGAATCTATTGAAATTTGCCATGATTATTCAGTCAGAAATCTCCAGATGCTATCAGTTTATGGTTTAAAATGTCTCACTCACAAATCCCCCACTGACACAAATCCAGGCATTTATTCAGAATGAGCATTTTACTTTACCCATTGTTTTGTCTTCTTCCTGACCCTCCCTCAGCAGAGGAAGCATACAGTACATGCTAGCACAAACAACACAGGCCATTTCTTCCAAGAGCCTAATCCACACTACAATTCACAGACTCATTGATGCTTCACCAAAAGGTATATATGCTCTTGTATTGTAACAGTGTCAAAACAGATAATGAAAAATTGATGCAGCAGAATCCAGATAAAGGGGGCAAACCTTTATTCTTCCAAGCAAGCCAGCAAAAATAATATTATGAGTTTTTCACACATGGCTTCTCCATTTTGGTGCTATTTCTGTTAAATATATCATGACATGGTGTAGTATGTTGTGTGATGTTGTTCATCCGAGGTTGTATTTACCTAACTTTAAAACCTGCTAAGGAACAGATGATTGTTATTCTATGTAAAACCACAGAATCCAAAGAGGATTTGCTTTCTTTTTCTCATGACTATAAACAGTACACAGGCAATTCTTGCACATCTTGTCTTCTTCAAATTCTTCCATTCTTCTTCTGTACCAATTTTTTTAAAAAGCCATTTTATGTTTGGAAATATACTAAATAAAGTAATATAGTAGGGATCATTATTTTAATCTGCGCAATTTTACAATTCTCTAAAACTCCTTAAATAGGAAAATTTCAGCACTGAAAGCTATTGATCTTATAGAGAAACACTTTTCAATAATGCATTTTGTATAAATGTATATGGTATATTAATTTCACATGCTTTTGTTTTTCATTTACTATGAAACCTGACATTTATGTCGGGAACCAGTGTTGCGTCCATGTGTTTCAATTATGAAATCTAGCTAGCCTGTAGTAAGAAGTCCAATATTCTGGATTACCAATTATAAATATGAGTAGTTCATGAATGTTTATACCACAATACTTTTGTCCTCAAGGTGCCACAATACATAGGATAAAATGGCAGAAATGGAGGGAGAACCCAACAGCCCATGGAGTAGGTTGGGCTCGGAGTGAGAGGAACCTAAATTACTCAGTGAGGTTTACAGCTTAATAGGAGTTGAACACTATGCTGCCACACTAGTTCTCGATATACCCAGAATATACAAACAATTGAACATGAGTACTACAATTCATTTAACCTCCTAAGCATTATACATATTTTCTCCCCAACATATCAACTGAAATTACTGTGCAAAGCACTCAAGTGTGGGTTGGGGTGGTAGTTAAGGACTAGGTCAAAGCTGTTTTAAACATTTCAGAGCAATGTCAAATGCCAAAATACAAGATCTTTTAAGCTGTTAAGACTAGGACTAACATCTACAACAATAATAGCAATTAATATGCAAATATATTGCTGCTCCTTTACAATTTGAAGGTAAGTAAGTTGCCACACATACACCCAAAAGAAACACAACACCCCCCACACACACAAAACTTATTACAAAACCACCCAATGAAGGCACTGTTGGCATCTGTGAGTTTTTGTTCTTTTGTCTTTCTAGAATACGGATATGGGAAAGGCTTTCTTTAATAAAATCAAAGTGATGGGAATCAAGATGCTTGGAATAATTTCTAGTACTTATTTTATCCATTTGTTACATTAAAAAGTTTTCCTTTGGATTACACTTGATCAAACTCTTACTAACTGCAAACACTAGCTGACAAAACCCACAATCATGACTGAGAGTTTATTTCATGTAAGCCGCTGCAATTTGTTTGAGTAGGCAGTGCCTAAAGTAGAGCTTCAGGCTTGTAACACTCTGCCAGCCGAGTGCAGATTTGTTCTAAAAGTAGCAGATGTCTCATGGAATATATATAATACGGAAAACATTCTGATTTGGTTTTTCCTCATTTTTTATTGGCATGGGAGCTTGCATGGTAGATAAAATCTCAGTTCAAAGATGAATTATTTTTAGACATTGAAATCAAACTTTCTAAACAACTCCCATTACAAACTCTTCCATTTAAGAATCTTAAACCATATCTGTTGAACTCAATAACAAATCCATTGATATAACCCTGCTCACAGGGTTTCGTCATACATTGTTTTTTAAGCTAGGGAAACAAAATTAAACCCAGTCCAATCAACTGTATATTTTGCATGCCAAGTTTCCCGAAACAAACATTGCGAAAGAGTGCAAATCCTTTGCCACTTCTGTTTTTACCACATAGTGTACCTAAGCCATTTTCATTTGTGCCCAAACATTTTACCTCTTAAGATGCTTTTTATACCGGGCTAATGTACATCAGCCCTCAGTCTTGAAGGTTTGATAGCAAGAACTCCAGAGCCTTTGAAGACCTTGAGGATCCCATTTTTGTATTGAAGGACTGGTACACTTCAGTACAATCTTTTCTAATGCTCTCTTTGTGGAGCAATCAGACAATCCAGAGGCGGCAGCCACGACAAAATGTCTAACTTTTATTTATTAAGAGGGGCTGGCCAAAACATATTAAACCCAGTAAGCACTAGATTCAAGATTTCTGTTATCACCTTTCAAGTCCTAAATGGCCTGAGACAGCATAATCACTTAAAAGTAGCAATAACAGCAAAACACAAAAGAACAGATCCATCAGCTGTAGCTCACCACAGTCAGAAGAACTGAAGGCTCTTTTAAAAAGGAAAGTCTTTACTCTTGAGCAGAAGACTAGCTAGGAAGGGAATAAGTTGCTCTATTAAAGCAGCAATTCCAGAGTATGGCTACAGCCACTAAAAACGCCCTTTCCAATCTGAGTCAACAATGCTTTTAGAATATGTACAAGGATCTGTTGTTAATAGCCAGGCAGGCTGATTTTGGAGGAAGAGGTCATTCAAGGACTCAGGTTCCAAACTGCGTTGTTGCCTTTACGGTTACTCAGTTGCAAACATTTGTATCCAAAGGGAATCCAATTTTTACACCAATGGAATGAGTCATTAATATGGAATCCTGTTTAGTACACTGGTGTTAGAAAAAATGCTGGCTGCGCTCTCTTTCCAGAGTTTAATACTGGTATGAAAATAATCAGGAGAAAAGCCACAAGGAACACAGACGGTTCACTGAAGCTCCCCTACCCTCTTTACGGAAACTATTACTCCATAGTACTGTGTTAGTAAAAAGGTGCCTTCAAAATTATGTCTCTGTTTTAACACTGATTGTCTTGCAAGTCATAAGCTAGTTAAGGTAGTTTGACTGTGAAAACATTCTAATAAATGTACAACTCCAAGCCAGCCGGGGTTTACTAGTGTCATTACACAAATACCACCAACTAAAGACACAAATACCACCAACTAAAGATTGCAATCCTGTGAAGGAAAAGTACAATTTACAGCATATTTGTAACACAGCAAGTTATGCTAGTATAAATATGCTTACATTTTTTTTAACTATCCAATGCCTTTACCATACAAAATTGTTTGGGGCACCAATCTTCAGGATACCGTAGCTAACAAAAACACGACCTTATTCTTTTAAGTTTGAGCAGCAGGAAGATCTAGCAGGTGAGTGATTTGCACAGCCATAAACAATAGGTTTTAGCTACCAAAGGACCTATGCAAGAATGCCTCTACTTAAGCCAAAAGGGGAAAACTGCATTCTACTGTTATATAAATTTGTTATTTGTAAGGTAATTTTTTAGCTCATCCTTCATCATATGGTCCCATAACAGGTTACAATACAAGTATAATAAAACCAATCCAACACAACCTATAAAAGGAGATTAAAGTACAGCATAATTAAAAGCATCCTGGGCCCCACAACTTGAGCTGCTCACTTGGTACAGTGTTGAAGAACTATCATCCAGTCACTAATACTCCCTTCTGCAGCAAGGTGCTCAAGAGAGTGGTGGTAGCTCAACTACAAACATACCTGGAAGCAAATTCTCCCCATCCCCAAGATTTTTATTAAAGTTTTCACAGCACAGTGGAATAGTACCTAGAACAAACTGAATCAAAAGACAAGAGAATGAGAAAAGAGGAGGAGGGAAAAAAGAACAGAGCAGTGTTTGAAATTGGCCAGGTGCCAGGTACATTTTGCACATGACCATTGACCGCATGGAACCAAGTGAAGATGCCTAGACAGCAGGATGGTGCCTGACATCTCCACCATCCGGAGGTGCATGTCTGGGGATCATTGGATCTTGACAGTTTTCACACACTAATACCACATCCTGTAGAATTATATCCGTTATCTATTATCTGCACAACCTGTAGCCTGAGCAGGAGCAGTGAAAGTTACAGTTAATTGTTGTAGCTTATCTTCACTTATCTCACCCCACTGCCCTTCTCACAATTGTGAAGAATATTCTTACGTTATCAGTCCCATGATGAGGCTGGAAACCTAACTGGAAGGGGTCCAAATAGTCTGCATCCTCCTGCCGTGTCTGGAGTTGTTCAGCAACCACCCGCTCAATCACCTTGCCCAGGAATGGAAGAATTGAGGTTGGGCGATAATTGGGAATAATGGCCAGGTCCGAAGAGTTGTGTTTTTTTTAAAAAAATATATGGTTTAATCACTGTTTCTTTAAGCACATCGGGGGGGGGACCCTCACCGAGGAAAGCATTCACCCCCCTACGGACATGGCCCATTGCCCAGCCCAACTTGTTTTTGTAAGTCAGAATGGGCAAGGATCAAGGTGGTCAATTTCACTTGTACCATGGTGGTAACAGGTTGAAATTGATTCCATACAACTAGACCAGACAGATCTCTGTGTCCCCGCTCCCTGTTACCACATAGGAGTCTCTCACTTTCCGAATAATATGAGTGATTTTATCTGCAAAAAAAAGACTGCAAAATCACTACTGGAAATCTTGGAGTCCTTATTGGACTCCAATGGCAAAGGTGGTTCTGTTAGACTGCAAACCACCTGTGAGTCTCCTGCTGTAGATGCAATAGGGGCGAAGAAAGTCCTCTTCGCCGTCGCTATTGCCACTTGGTAGGCTCAATGTTGAGCTCTAACTTGTGCTTGATCCGATTCAGAGTGAGTATTTTGCCACCAGCCCTCTAGCAATCTCAGCAATTCTATCATCACCCTCAGTTCTAAGGAAAAACATGGGGCCATTCGGGCTCCATGCAATCAGAGAGGGTGCTTCGGAGCCAGACAGTTGATAGCCCTGGTTAGCTCCTTATTCCAGCAAGCCACCAGGGAATCAGCTGAAGGGCCAACAATATGGGATAAGACATCCCCTACCACTCTCTAGAAGCCATCTGGATCCATTAAGTGGCAGGGATGGGTCCCACTTCCCTGCTGAGGGGAAGAGTCATGAATAAGTCTAATTGCACCAGGAAGTGATCTGACCATGGCACTTTTTTGTTTCACTGGAACTTAGTGTCAGATCACCTACATACATAATGGTAAACACCAGATCTAAGGCACGTCCACAGCTATGGGTTGGACCAAACTTATTCAGAGGCAGACCCATGGAGGCCATGCTTTCCACGAAGTCCCAAGCAGCCCCTTGTAAGGTTGTGTTGGCAAGGATTTTTGGGCAGGAAATCCTTGGCATGGGGGAAAGGCTGGTACATCAATAAGAATCCTGTACTGCCCCTATTGCCCAACTTTCAGGTGACAGTCCTTCAGATAGTTGAAGATGGCTATCATATCACCTCTCAGTCTCCTTTTTTCCAGGCTAAGCATATCAACTCCCATAACCATTCCTTATGAGATTTCATTTTCAGACTCTTTATCATCTTGCTTGCTATAAGTTAAAGGGAAAAGGAATAAGTGATCATTAGTTAATGGTCATGCAGAACAACAGCACAGTGAACAACCATATTAAATACACTGCACTACACTTCAAGCAAGCTAAGTTTCTGCCAGACACCTATACACCATGCCATGAAATAAGAGTACAGACCCGAACACTGCTAACTGACAGCTACCAATTTGACAGTCATCACTTTAAGAAAATATTTTGATGTACTGTTCAGAAGTGCTATTAATTCAAATTCTTAATAACTAAAGCAGAATAAATATCTTATTGCTTTTGACAGAGGACCTGAAGATGTTCCCATTTAAAAGACTAAAGCTTAAACTATTAAAATACACAACAATTTATTTAACATAATCTGTATATACCACTACACTGTATTGGCTCTCTAAACAGATCATAGTGAAACTCATACAGGATATATCTGTGATGTCATAAAGAGTCTAGTAATATGAGCAATCTACTAAAAACCATGCAGGAAAATGCATGAGCTATAGGGGGTCAATTAACTCAGTAAAATACAACTACTGTGTCTTCCAGCTGCACCTAACCATTACTGCTCAATATGTTTATTTTCCTTATAGTTTATCTTTCTTCCAATGTGTTAAAGGCAGTGCAAAAAATCCCACCCGACCCCACCGTGCATTTTTATTCTTACAACCATCCTTTGAGATAGCTTTAAGGCTAGTAAGACAGTGTGGCTGTCCAAGGTTACCCAATGAGTTTTCCAATGGCATGGGTGGGTACTTGAACCCAGGGCTGCCCAAGTCCAGCTCCAACACTCCAACCTTTATATCACATTGGCTAGGATCACAGTACCTCCAGTGGAAAAGATAATATAATTTCAACACAGTGGTACCTCGCAAGACGAATGCCTCGCAAGATGGAAAACTCGCTAGACGAAAGGGTTTTTTGTTTTTTGAGCTGCTTCGCAAGACGATTTTCCCTATGGGCTTGCTTCGCAAGACGGAAACGTCTTGCAAGTTTGTGTCCTTTTTCTTAACACCGTTAATACAGTTGCGACTTGACTTTGAGGAGCAACTCATAGCACGCGGTGTGGTAGCCTTTTTTGAGGTTTTTAAAGACTTTGGTGATTTTTGAAGCTTTTCCAAAACTTTTCCGACACCATGCTTCGCAAGATGACAAAAATCGCAAGACGACAAAACTCGGGGAACGAATTAATTTTGTCTTGCGAGGCACCACTGTACTGTCTAGTATCCACTATCACAATACCTTTTTTCCAGAAGATCATTACTTTAACAGCATTAACAGCAATTATTACTATTAAACAACCTGAATACAGTTTTCACTTATTCCCACTTCAGCTACCATGCAGTGTTCCACCCTTTCAAGCTTCTACATTATGGTAGCTCCAATGTAGCATCAGCTATTTTGAAGCAGGAAGCTCTAACCACATTATGCTTCAGATTTCTTCCAGCAAGTCCTCAGACAGTGTTACTACAGCTCAGCAATCACTACAGTTCTTGCTGGTAGCACTACACCTGTGCATCCACAATGCTAGTGTCTCCCACTCAAGCATACAGCAAGGCATTTGTGCTTGACATGTTTCTGATCTGAACTAGTCTAGTTTTAATATCCAACTACATTCAATAGTAAGCCTCCCAGTTTTATAATTGCTATTGACCACATCCTTGGGATGCAACACTTCTCACAATTAAAACCATTCAAGTTCTAAAGAGGTCAGTAATAGCTGCCTGAACCTGCAGACTTAACCTGCACTTAGGCAGACACATTCTGTACAATCCTTAACACATCCTCCTATAACATGACCTAAGAGAACTGCCAATAAAGTCTGTTTATACAAATTATGCAATTTCTGCATATAATCTTAGTTTAGGGTTGCCATACTTGAAACAGTGAAAATCCGGGCAGAAAACGACACTGTGGGGCATATGGCAACCATAGTTTGCATTATTGACCTGCATTTATAGTACACCTGTTAGAGTGAGCAATGTATTACTCCCAGTCCTTACACAGCAGTTGGAAGCTAAGCTTACATATCTCCATATTGCAAATAGGGGTGGGGATGGGGGGATTTAGTTAACTATAGGAGTTGTCCCCAAAACATCTACTGAGCCAACACTTAAGGTGAAATGTAAACAAGTGTTGGTTCTTAACTTATTTAGAGGGGTGTTGATAGAAAGGAGTGAAAGACAGGCCTTGTGGCAAAGCACTGCAGATTAGGGCTACAGGTTCCAATTGATTTAAAATCTTGAATAATTTTAAGTGCCCCCAAGTTAAATTGGGCCGAAGTTTTCAGAAGGTGTTAAGTACTTACAAAAATCACAGAGGGCAGGTGCCATCTTAGAAGACGCATCCCCCCTTCCTCTCACCCAAGAGAGAATGCATCTGAGATTATGCTTGTGGCACATGGGTGCATCATCTAAAAGACAAAGCAAGAATGCTGTTTTCTTCAGAGCCACTGTTTTAGTTGTATATGCAAAGTCAGATTGTCAATAATACAATTTTTGATCAATTTTGATACATTTCAGTAGCACTATACTAGGAATTCTAGTGAAGCTTTGGAGATTTCACACACACACACCCCAAAAAAATCCTGCCACAAGAAGAATATACGGTCATAAAGGCAGATTTGAAAGTATATAAGAGCTAGTTATCTGATTGGTAAAATATGTGCTACAGTTTTCCAGATGTTGAATTCTTCATCGAAATGCCATATCATATTTTTATATGGTTGATCACCTCCTTGGGTAACTTCACACAATCATATTTATTTAGAGTAATTCTAACCCACTCTTCATTAACATAATCACAGAACCTGTTACGTAAAAGAAAACTTTAAAACATCAATATTTTAACACATTTAACCACCTCCCAATGACTGTACCTGTACATATCAAGATTGGTCAGGTATTTTTTAACATAAAAAATGTCACATGCTTTGTGGTCTATGGTCCTGTCATGGAGGCATTCAAACAAACTATTAATTCTTGCTTCTTATATAAAAAGTTATATAATCAAGGGACACCAGCTTAAATATGTATTGTGGTTATCTGTTGGAAAGAGACGACGATGTCCTGTGTTTTACTACAGGCTTGCAAATAACCACTTGCCTGGTTGCCTGATGCAAGTATAAATTACTTCTGGATACATTATCAAGTCTCTTCTTTGAAGCTTCTCTCCAGCATGCAACTTGTCAATGCAAAGGGTATTTTGTGTATGGGTCAATCTATGGCATGCACAAATGGCTGTCTGCTACTTCTCACAGCACAAGCATCCAAATGCAGTCTGGGCTGCCATGGCGGCCTCTGTTTCCTTCACTATGTAAGTGAGACCTAGTTATCGTCTTATTTTCAGCATAATTATCTGCACAAATTTAGTAGGCATGGGCTTATCTTGCTCTTCTGTTTACCTTTTTTCTGCATGACTTGAGGCAGTCATTTGGAATTCATTTGAACTGTGAATTCCTGTCCTGTATATTAAACTGTTTAAGATTAACTATCAAGTGGAGAGCTGCAACAATACTTTACTGTACATCCAATAGGATTGGCTCCTATTCAGAGCTCCAGCCAAGACCAGGAGCCGTGTAGCACTGTTTAGGGCTTACATTGGGAGAGGAGGACCTCCTTTTCTCTCTCCCTGCACACTCCCATGCTGTAAAGTACTGAAGAGTTCAGTTTGGGTGCTGATTGCCAATCTGTGTTTTATTACTGTATCTCATATGGGAGGGTTCTGGAGCTCTGAGGAAAGGAAAATCTGTTTTCCGAGTCTCTCCCTCCTGAAACCTCCCCAAATAATACAGGGAGGGAAGTTTAATCTTAGGATGTGCAGATCACTTCCTTCATTCTGAGGCAGTTGTTAAAGTCTGGAACATTTGGTTCAAAATGCATGAACCTGCAGAAGAGCAATATCACCCAGCTTCAAATCCAAATAATTAGTTTTTCTGCACATTTTTTTCCCCCTGATAGAAAATACCATTTAGCTTCAATAGCACGTTCCCTTATGGGAAACAATCAATGAAATTCACAAGGTAAATCCATTTTTATTTTGCAATTCTAGAAGCCCAGGTACTATCAAACGTATTTTGGCTACGCCCACATGCTATTTAGTATGCAGTTTGCTCCTACCATGTAAATGCATGCTTTGGTGTAGTGCTACTAGGACTCATTTGTTATCAGTAAAAATACAGCTGTGGCCACTAACACTAGAGAAGTTACAAGAAGCCGAAGGGACCAATTGGTTAAAGGCATACAAGTCAGAGCTAAACAGTATAAGTTGAGAGCATTTGCAGATGACTTAGTATTGACGTTACAGGAGCCAGAATCTAGTACTAAAAGGGTTTTGGAACTGATTCAAGAATTTGGTCAGGCTGCAGGATTTAAACTGAATAAGTCAAAAACTAAGGTCTTAGAGAAAAATTTAAGACCGATTGAGAGAGAGAGGTTTCAGAATGAGACAGGTTTAACAGTGGTTAAGAAAGTGAAATACCTGGGGATTAACATGACAGCAAAAAATGGGAATTTATTCAAAGACAATTATGAAAAATGCTGGGCTGAAGTGAAAAAAAGATTTAGAAATTTGGTCAAATTTGAAGCTTTCACTGCTGGGCCGTATTGCTGCGATAAAAATGAATGTATTGCCTAGAATGTTGTTTTTGTTTCAAACATTGCAAATTTTGGACAAAATGGACTGTTTCAAGAAGTGGCAGAGAGATATTTCTAGATTTGTCTGGCAGGGCAAGAAGCCTAGAATAAAATTTAAAATACTAACAGATGCAAAGGAAAAAGGTGGATTTGCCCTGCCAGACCTTAAACTTTATTATGAATCAGCAGCTTTTTGCTGGTTGAAAGAATGGCTGCTTCTTGAAAACACATTTTGGATTTAGAAGGTTTTAATAATGTATTTGGATGGCATGCATATTTGTGGTATGATAAGGTCAAAGCACACAAAGCATTTAAAAACCATATTGTCAGGAAAGCATTGTTTAATGTCTGGATAAGATATAAGGACCTATTGGAAAACAAAACCCCAAGGTGGCTGTCACCGATGGAAGCGAAAGCTCAGAAAAAGCTCAATATGGAGGTCAAATGGCTGAAATATTGGGAAATTTTGGAAAAAGAGGGAGATAGACTGAAATTGCAGAGTTTTGAGACATTAAAAACAAAGTGCGAGACTGGCTTCATTATTATCAGATAATGGAGGCATACAATTTGGACAAGAAAATTGGCTTCCAGGTGGAAAAATCAAAATTAGAAACAGAACTGCTAGAACCCAAAACTAAGATTTTGTCAAAGATGTATAACCTGCTGTTGAAATGGAATACACAGGATGAAACAGTGAAATCTGCTATGATTAAATGGGCACAAGATGTTGGACATAACATAATGATGGCTGACTGGGAACAGTTATGGACCACTGGTATGAAGTTTACGGCATGTAATGCCTTAAGAGAGAATATTATGAAAATGATATATAGGTGGTACATGACACCAGTCAAGCTGGCAAAAATCTATCATTTGCCCGATAATAAATGTTGGAAATGTAAAGAAACTGAAGGTACATTCTTTCACCTTTAGTGGACGTGCCCAAGGATTAAGGCTTTCTGAGAGATGATTTATAATGAAATGAAAAGGGTATTTAAATATACCTTTCTGAAGAAACCAGAGGCCTTTCTCCTGGGCATGGTCGGCCAATTGGTGCCAAAGAAGGATAGAACTTTCTTTATGTATGCTACAACAGCAGCAAGAATACTTATTGCAAAGTATTGGAAGACACAAGATCTACCCACTCTGGAAGAATGGCAGATGAAGGTGATGGACTACATGGAATTGGCGGAAATGACTGGCAGAATCCGAGACCAGGGAGAAGAGTCGGTGGAAGAAGATTGGAAGAAATTTAAAGACTATCTACAGAAATATTGCAAAATTAATGAATGTTAGAATGATGTTAGAATGAAGTTAAGTGATTTAAGCAGCAATGTTATAAAGGTGTATGTAAAAATGGACTGTTAACAGTTGAGAATCCAAAGTTATAATATATTAAGTTAAAGGATTAAGATAAAATAAAGAGGGAAAGAAATTGCTGAATTAACTAACTGAATTGGAATACAAAAAAGGGAGGTATGAGGAGGTCAGGGAAGCAAGGAAATGAATGTAAGGCATGGAAAGATTGATGTATTTTTAAAGTGTTTTTTATTCTTTTTTCTGTATTTTGTATTTTTCTTGTATTTTTATTTTTGTCTTTTTTTGTTTTTTTTTCCTCCTTCTTTATTTATGTAATTCTTTTCTTTGAAACCTTAATAAATATCATTTTTTTTAAAAAAAGAGAAGTTACAAGAAGCCATACAAGGTGTGCAAACAGTTTTATATCAGAAATCTGGGGGGGGGGGGGTTAAAAAAATAAATGTTTTTTTAATAAAAAAATATAAAAAAGCTTTTTTATTTAAATCAGTTTTTTTATTTAAATTGGATTTATTAAAATAAAATGCTTTTGGAGGAAAAATCTTTCTAAAGAAAGTTTTCTATTTAAATTACATTATACTCCAAAGGCTATTCATCAGGAAAATAGGATGTTTTTAATTATGTAGCATGAGGCTTTATATGCAATGTTTAAATTTTTTGGTAAATGAATTCCATTAATCCATTCACAATGTCATGCTCTTCCAGAGGTTTCTGTAAGATTATTTGGGGCAGTTTTTCTAATGAGAAGATATTATCACAGATGCTTGTTTTTGCAGTTCTCAAAAGCATGAATTTGTGTCTGCAGAGATAACATGCCTTTCTTTACAGGAAAAATGTTTTAAAATAAACATACAGAGTTGAGAGGAAAACCTTAATCCCATTGTTCCTTTGCAAATTATATACACAGAATCAGCCCCTTACCTCTTAAATGCTAAATTACAAGAGTTCCAATAGATTGTTTGGAGTGGAATAGATCTTGCACAAGGAGGTAAGTGTGAAGCAGTAAAAATGAAAGTGCAACCTTGTGAGCAGAATACTCCACAAGTCTTGGGATCTTTGTGTAATAATAGCGCAAGTCAGTTGCATGTCTGTGCAACTCAGACTTGAGGCAAATGCTGAAGTCACTTCAGGGCTGGCAACCTCTTCCCAATCCCACTGGGTTCCAACAACTGCACTAACACTTAACTGTACAGAATAGGCACCTGAATATAGAAGCAAATCCAAAGGGGTGGTGGTGGAAACAGTAACTGGGATCTGTAAGTCCTTGGCAAGACCTTGAAGTACTTGCCAGTCAACTAATAAGAGTTCACTGGTTCCAGGCCCTGCTTCCCAGGGCTCGCCTGACATTGTCCAAACAATAAAGTCTCCTGCAGCAGGAATTCCCGACGTTCTCCGCTCCAGTCCTCGGTTCCCCTTTTCCAGCTTCTTTCTGCAAGCCTGTTCCAGCCTAGACCTACCAACTGTATGTCTCCCCCTCACCCCCTAGACAAAGGAAGGCCAGCCTCTCCAATGCCAGGGAGATATAGCCCCTATAAATAGTTAACTTATTAAACCTCCCAATATTTTCATAATTAACTGTCTATGTATTTCTAATAGTATAACCAAATCAGTAATTTTTGATATAGCTGTAAAAACTACTCTGAAAATTTATTATTCCAAAAATGAAACCTTATACCAGCAAGAATGAGTCTTTCTGTAAAAAAGAAAAAAGTGATTTAAATCAAGTCTTACTGACTACTGATTTACCGTATTTTTTGCTCTATAAGACTCACTTTTTCCCTCCTAAAAAGTAAGGGAAAATGTGTGTGCGTCTTATGGAGCGAATGCAGGCTGTGCAGCTATCCAGAAGCCAGAACAGCAAGGCGGATTGCTGCTTTCACTGCACAGCGATCCCTCTTGCTGTTCTGGCTTCTGAGATTCAGAATATTTTTTTTCTTGTTTTCCTCCTCCAAAAACTAGGTGCGTCTTGTGGTCTGGTGCGTCTTACAGAGCGAAAAATACGGTAAATCAAATCCACCCTGGTAGCAATTCATTTCATCCTTCTCCAGATCTGCCGTTAGTCAATGTATAATCATGCTTAACGTCTATTATTCCAAGTCACAAGAGCTCTCTCGCCTTCCCATTATGGATGAGTGTGTTAATTCTACAGCTCGCTGTTCCACAACAACACCATGAAGCACTATGAAATATTTTACATGTATTCTGCAACCGTGTATATAAAACCACATCAAGGACAATTCATCATGACTCCTACGCACAACTGCACTACAGTGCCCGTTACTAGAGGCAAGGACACTGCAAAGTATCTGGACATTACTTCCAATAAGAAGTCTGGTCAGGCCTTCCACAGAGAGATCCCATTAACCCACCCTTCTCCAGAACCCAATCACACAGGTTCTGAGGATCATGCTGATCATTTGCATAAGAGTTTATCATCAGTAAGCTAAAAAACATGTTTTGGTGGAGTGATGACCTGAATAGTAATTAGCTCTGGAGTGAGCACTTTTATTTTCTCACCTGCAGACTCCAGGATGAAGTTAGACAACTTGCTTTCAAATGTTGAGTAGCCATTAAAAATTCAGATTCGGAATCTATCAACTAACCTTTAGAAATGCTGAACTAGCCTAGCCATCAAATCCAATACCGACATGGAACTACAACAGTTCCAGATTAGAAAGCATGCATTTAGAAAGCAAACTAGGAAGTAAATCAATGTGAAACAAGTTAGTTAGAGCATCGTGCTTATAATATCAAGGTTACATGTTTGAACTCTACACAGCTGCATATTTCTGCATTGCAGAGAACTGGAGTAGATGGTGCTCAGGATCCCTCCCAGCTCTACAATTCTATTATTCTGAGTCATCTTTTTTCAGTAATTCAGAGTCCTTAATGAAATACACAATAGAATATATTAATTTGGCTACTATATACCACAGCCATCCAACAAACTGGCCAACTATTCCAAATGTAAACCCATGGATTCAATTCTCCACAACTGCCAAACCAAAACGGTAAACTCATCAGAAGAACAAATAATCAGCCAAAGCCATTTTTAAACAGCCACATTTTAGCAGTCCCCTAACACAAAACAGTGATGGGGCCATACAGACCTTACTTGGCAAAAAAATTCACATAGTGGATGCCACTACAAGATAGCCGTAGTCAAGGGGTTCCAAAACTGTGCTCTGCAAACTTCATTTAGGTATTCCACAGCATGTCTGTGAATTTTGTTTATTTCTTATATTGTGTTTCATTCATTATTATTTGAATTCCATAGAATTAGCCCTCATTACTGCCAGCTATGCTTCAGAGGAATGAAGGAACCAAGTGGGACCTCAGATAATGATTAGAGCCTGAAGCTAGTGAAATTGCTAACTTTACTGAGATCATACTTGACTTAAAAATACTTTAAGTAGCATTCAACTAACTATTAGAGTAGACTCACTGAAATTAATGAACATGACTGCCTTAGATCCTTCCATTTCAATGGCTCTACCCCAAGTAATGATTAGTTGAATACCACCCCTTTATAAAATCAAGCTTTTAAGTAGGACGACAATCTACACATTTTATTTATTTCTTATATTTGTTAGCCACTTTTCTCACAGAGTGACCCATAGCAACTTACCAATTAAGAAGAACCAATCAAAATCTAAAAACAGAGCTATAAACATACAGATCCCAATCCACAACAGGACCTTCAAATTAAAAGCCAAAAAGCTCAGATAAAGAGAAGTCTTTGCCTAGGACCTAAAAATAAGATGGCATCAAGCATGCCACCCTGGGGAAAGCATTCCACAAGCGGGAAGCCACCACTGAATTATCTGATAGCAGAGGCAGCAATGAAGACTCCATACTGTGCTTCTTCAGCCAGTATCTGCCAAAATCAGAGCCTGCAGGGCAACTGAAGTTACCAATCAGGAACAATGCTAGTTTGGCGATGTAAAATTGAAACCATGAGTAATTCGCTATATGAAGGAATATAAAGACACCTTTCAAACTAGGTGTAATGACCGCATTGCCAGAACTAAAATAGGTACACCAGCAGGCACAAGGCTCTCAGCAGTGGTATGCTTTTTCTGTTAGAACAATTGGCAGGAGTGTTTACTAAAGATAGTGGTAGCAGACCAAAACAGTCATGAAGCTCGCAGGGTGATCTTGGGCCAGTCACAGCCTCTTAACCTACCCCACAGGGTTGTTGTAAGGCTTAAACGAAGAGGGGGATGAACCATGTACTCACTGGAGAAAAAGGTGGGTTATAAATGCAATAAATAAGCTCTTCTGCTTAGCTGCTTAAGAAAGTTGGAGAAGCCAGCCAGATGAAGATGTCAGTTGCCAACATGGCATCCAGAGATCTCCACATCGTCACAATTGGACCCGTGCCAGTTGCAAAATGCACCTGGTGCCTGTGGAGTTTCTAGCACTGCTTCTCAATTAATCCCTACCCTGTGAAATACATTAAGAGGCTGTTACTGGCCCAAGGCCACCCAGTGAGCTTCATGACTGAGTGTGGTTTTGAACCCTGATCTCCCAGGTCCTAGTCCAGGGGTAGGCAACCTAAGGCCCGGGGGCCGGATGCAGCCCAATCGTCTTCTCAGTCCGGCCCAGGAATCAGCATGTTTTTACTTGAATAGAATGTGTGCTTTTATTTAAAACACATCTGTGGGTTATTTGTGGGGCATAGGAATTTGTTAATCCCCCCCACCAAAAAATGTAGTCTGGCCCACCACATGGTCTGAGGGACGGTGGACCAGCCCACGGCTGAAAAAGGTTGCTGACCCCGTCCTAGTCCAACACTCTAACCACTGCAGCACACTGGCTTCATACAGTACTGCTATGGGGCTATATAAATTAAGTAGGTAAATAAATACGGGGAAAGCAAAATGTCACTTAAAGAAGGATCTGAAATATTTTCCTTTAAGTTTGAATCTGTTTTATTCTGGATTGTTTTCTTTGATGTTTTAATGATTTCCTGATTTTATATGTGATGGAAGCCGCCCAGAGTGGCAGGGGCAGCCCAGCCAGATGGGCAGGGTATAAATAAAATGTTATTAATATTATTATTGTTGTCATCATCATCATCATCATCATCGTGTTGTAAACTGCTTTTATAATTTTTCTTTAAAATACAAAGTGGTATAGAAATTAAATGAATAATAATAGTAATAATAATAAATTTCATTGTAAATAAAAAGGCTCCTATACATTCCATCGTGGCAACTACAAGCTTGGTTTAAGGTGTCATTTAGCACAAATTAGTTTATATATCTGAGCTTCTAACACTGGGACAATACTTTAGGAACATCTCTCCCTATACCAGTGTCCCCATGTTTTAAGATCTACAAGGGAGGGCCCTTCTTGTCCTGTGACTGGTTGAGGCCACCACTCTGTTTCGATCTCTCTGCTATGGGATGACCCCTCTGTGACCATTACCTTGCCAAGAACACCTGATACCTTATAATCTGTTAGTGGTCTCCCAATGTTCAGAGGCTTGTAGCTCCCACTGCAGGCCCAGTCCTCTGGAACTCCTCCCTATTGAGATTAGACAGGCTTCCTCCCAGCTGTATTACAGGTTTCTGACAAATACTTTCCCATTTCAGCAGTTTCCACATTCCCTGACCACTGGCTGTGCCAGCTGAGGCTGCTGGGAGTTGGAGTCCAATAACATCTGACAGGCTACGGGTTAGGCACCCCTGCCCTAAAAGAAGTAGGGAAAGTGAAATAAAAGTCTTAAGGAAAGAGTAGCATACAAAGTCAGAAGAAAGCAGGATCTTGTAAACCCTTTAATAAAAGTGACTATGTGTGGATTGTTTGGGCAAGAGTGTTCAAAACAGCACACAGGCATAGGAGAATGTGAATTGAAGATATTAAATTTCGTCAAAGGAAACTTACACTAGCTCTGAAAATGCAAGCCTATATACAGCCAATACATCTTTAAAAGACATTTTGTTCTGAACCATGCTGGGAACCAATTGGTTGAACTGTAGTATATAAATCATTTGCCCTACACCTCCACATTTCAATACAGAACAATCTTTGATGTGATTAGGAGACAGATTATTAAGTGTTATTTTATTACAGGGACAGGTTACGTAAAAGGAAGAGTCCGTTTCAGTAAAAGCATCAGCCAGTTTCAGTAAGTTTGTTTTACAACAGTGCATTTACAGTACTAAAGCAACCATCTGGCATCACACCCGGAACCAAGTCCACCCACATTAGCACTTTCATTCCTTCTTGCTGTATAAATTCAGGAAAGAGACAGTACTAACAAGCCAAGTCCTCTTGTTCAATTTTCATGCACTTAACTAATGAACACTAAGTTAAGAGCTAGACAAATGTTTCCTTATTCCAATAAGGGATTTGTTGAGTTTTTTATAAGAACACTGCAACTGGTTAAGAGAACAGTCATAGTCAATCCCATTTATTTGGTGTTTCACAGGAAATAGTAATATTTGTGCATTTCATGTTCTATACAAAAAAAATGTAAGAACTGTAATTAAACACACCTCTACACTCAGCTTTAAGCAGTAGATACTCCAAACCAGTGAAGTTTAAAGCCTTACGGAATGTGCATCAGGGTAACTACTTCAAGTCAAGTAAAACATGCAAGCTTTCCCCTCCTTTCAAATCCTTTTCTATTTACCTCAAGAACAATAGAACCCTTTCAGCCAGAAGAGCCATTCCTCTTTCCCATGTCTCCCCATCCGGGATGAGGAAACCGCTTCCTAAAGCCCACTTCCTCTTCCATGCCTCAGACCTGAAACAACTTTCAACAGCCCCTTGGTCTTTCGCAATATCCTGTAGACACCTCCCTATATTTCAGGAAACCTCTTATTTGTCACTTGCATCAGAATTTTTGTGCTCTGAAGCCATCAGCTCAACCAGAGCTTAACCAGAATGCTTCTACCCCGAAGCGAATAGAACAAAAATGAAATGAAGGCGCACGATAATATTTCCAGTTGGGTTAACCAAAAAGCCCTTCCTTGCCAAAGGCTTGCTGTTCGATATTAAACATTTGCGACAACCTTTATAAGAAGCTACATTGTTTTCAGAATTACAGCTAACCGTCATCCGCCAGCCGGCAGAGTGAAGCAAAAATGAAGGAGCTGTAACGATCCATTTGGATAAATATGGTCATAAGCCGTTATCTATGTACACAGAGATAAGCCTACCAATAAATGGCTGCAAGGATAAAAGAATGTGGATGCTGCTGGAGATTTTGAAGGGGAGGGAAGAGATGATGTTGGCAAGAGGACTGGCTCCAAGGAAAGCACAGAGGTTTTGCAGTAGAATACAAAAATAGGAACCGGGAACTGAAATTTCGATAAATGCCCGCTGCAACCCCAAGATGCTACTGTGTTGTATATGCAGAGAGAGCACTTTACCTGGAGCAGGATTGCTTCGCAGAACTGGGGAGAAGGAGAAAGGAGATAAGGAATCTCCCCTCTGGCTTCTTACATTTCTATTTGTGGAAGCGGCGGGCAGGGTGTTTGGGGGGGGGGAGAGAGAGGAAGGGTGGGATCGCAAGCACAATGGCAGCAGCCCCTCACCATGCCACGGGCATCGCGGAAGCCTCCCCGCCACATGGAGCACCAGCAGCCCTCCAGAAAAGCTGAGGGAGCCCATTCACGCCAGAGGCTTTCTCGGGAGGGAAGCGGGGGAAGGATGCAGCCCTGCAGGCTCCTTCCAGCTCCCTTCTTCTCTCCACACGGACCCGGGGGGGCGCGATATGATGGGGGGGGGACAGGCCAGGATGCACCTTCACGGAGGGGGGGAGGGGGAGGTCAACGGCATCGCCTGACAGGGCGCCCCGCCCTCTCCTCGCCCCACCAGAGACGGAATTCAATACGCACGACCTTCTCCCCCGCCTTCTCCCCACCCCCCAAACCCGGCGTACCATGAAGTCGGCGGCGAAGTTATCCTCCCCATTGTGGTCGGTGTCCTTCATGGCCTGGACTCGCTGGATGAATTTCCTCAGGATCTCCTCTTGCTCCATCCTCCTCCGCCTCCGCCGCCGCCTCCGCCTGCCCCCTTCCCTCCGCAAAGCGGGAGAGACCCAGCCTGAGGAGACGCCCCGCCAACCGGCTTTCTCGCTGCTGCTGCTTCCGCCGCCGCCGCCGCCGCCCTGGCCCTCCTTCCCCAGCCGCCTCCCCGCCCCGACCCCGAGCACAACGACTTCCCCGCGGCGGCTCAGCTCAGCCCAGCGCCGCCCGGCCGCCCGCCCGCCCGATCCATTCTCCTCCCTCACGGCCCCTCCCTCCCTCGCGAACGCAGCCGCCGCGGCCGCCAACACCGAACGCCGGACGGCGGCGACGCCACTCGCCCTCCGCCCCTCTGCGGCGCAGGCGCAGCGACGCCCGCTCCCTCCCTCCGCTCCCTCCCACGTGTGGATCCGCCGCGCCCGAGCTCTCGGGCCCCGCCATTGGCTTCCGCTCTCAGAAGCCCCGCTGGCGATTGGCCTCGCTGCTTGTCAATCCCTTCCTCCTCCTCCTACCTCGGGAGAAACTTCCTTTTCCCCCACCCCCACCCCTAGAATTCCCTAGCGGGTAAGGTCTTCCTTGCGCTTGATAAATAGGACTCTGGGATGTACCAATGCGTTTGCGGGGGGGAGGGGGGAAAGGTCGCCTGTGGTTTCGCTAAAAGAGGCCGCGGGAAGGCAGTGCCCCGTCTTCGCGCCCGGGAGGTTGCAGGCATCTCTGGTTTGCCCGCAGAGAAAGTACCTGCCAGTATATGGCACGTTTAGCAAGCTTATTTAGAGCTCCCTCAACACGTTTGCGTGCACATAATAAGTAAGTCTGGCCTTGAATAGGACTTACTCCCCTCCCTGAGTGTGACCCCTCCGTTCCCAGCCTGCAAGCCCAGGTTCAGACGTCTCGCTCTTTGGGAAAGCAAAGTTCCCAGGCCTGCCATCAGGCATGCAGCTAATGGGTCTAATGAAAGCACAGCGATAGATTTGGCCATGCAATCGGAGAAGGCACAGGGCGTGGGTTTTATTCCTTCGTTTTCCCGCATTAACCTTCCACACTATAAATGGTGCACTGCCATACGAGGTCTCTCGAGCTGCTTTTTATAACGTTATTTAATTCCCGCTGTTATAAATCGGCAGCTTCAAACAACTCTGCAGTCATAGTTGCAATACTGTAGGTATATATTGCAGCTTTCCACCTGCCTGTGGTGCACCCTGCAGTTTCTAAGCTGAAAGAACACGATATTTTGCCCTGGCTCTGCGGGTAGCGAAAGCCGAGGCCATTCAGAATAGCATGAATATGTGGTTGCACGTTATTATAGGATACAGATAAACTATACACTGAATCTTTACCAAATATTCACTAATAACAAGATGAGCCTGTGTTCCAGAAGGCTGAAAACCTGGGTACAGAAATAATTTTCAAAATTGGGGATACTGTATATGCTGCCCCACAATAGCTTCATCCTGTCCATGTTGACTGGGAAGTAAATCCAACTGAATGCATATAGGATTGCAGACATAATGTACAGTATTATCAAGCAAAAATGTACAGTACACAACTCTAGTAAGGTGGTGCTCTAAAGGACTGCTTTGTAGACCTCTCTTGCTCTGAGACCTGAGGGCTCCTGGTGAGGCCAAATTAAATTTTACAGATACAAGAGGTGGGGTCCGAATAGTAGGGCGGTTCATTAAAATATATATATATATATTTGAAAATGCCTGCTCCAAAGGTCTTATCTTAATACACTAGGGATTATATAGCTATATCTGAAATTTCATTCATATCAGTATTGCAGACTTACACAATAAATGGGGAATCTTGGAGGAACATCTCACTCATTGTCACTCCAAATACCCCAATATACCCAATGTTATAGCAGGGGACTTCAATGCTCGCATTGCAACAAACTGGGAGTCTTTAATCAAAGCCAAATGGTGGATAACCCCAGAATTCATTAATGACCTCTCCTCCATAATCAAAGACTTTCTAAAGACAAAAGGGTAAATGAAGCAGGAACCCTTCTTTACCAATTGGTACTACGTCTAAACTTAGTGATTCTAAACGGGAACTGCCCGCCAGACGTACCGGGTGAGTTTACACACATAAGCTCCTCTGCAAACAGTGTCCTGGATTATATGTTAGTATCTCATGACATATTCCCCAAATTTTCCCATTTTAAAGTCGAAAACTTTCAACTGAGCGACCACTTACCGTTGGTCGCCACAATGACTATAGACTGGACTCCAGATGGAGACAAGCACCCAACACATCTGACTACGAACTCAGCATTGCAAATCAAAAGTGTAAAATGGTCCGAACTACAGGCCCAAAAATACTCAGCATATTTCCAACAAGGGCTAAAACAAGCATATTCAGGCTTAATCGAGAATTATTATGATTATGACCAAACTCTAAGATTATTCTCGAATCTGTCAGAAGATCTAACGTCTTTTTTCTCTGTCCCGACGCATAAAATAAATAGAACACAAAGGAAGATAGGTGCCTTGTGGTTCAATAGTGCTTGTAAACAGGCTAGACAACTTCTTGGTAACATCTACAAAGAGTATAAAGCCTCCGGGGCAACGGTCTTGCCAAAAGAATACTTCCAAGCAAAATCAGCCTACAAGCAAATTCAAAAGGGAGCCAGACAGGAATGGCAAGTGAATCAATGGCGAACAATCATAGAAGCCTCATCATCACGGAACTCCAGACAATTTTGGCTCCTGGTAAATAAAAGAACTAAAAGATACCCTTTGACTATTATTCCTGCCCCGGTTTGGGAATCCTACTTAAAAACTACTTTGCCACAACTGACTGTATTGCTAACACAAGAGATGATTTTCAAGATCAGCTTCCCTCTGGCCCCCACCGACCCGGAAGACATCCATGACTTGATCGTTAAACTCAAAACAGGGAAAGCGCCTGGGCCAGACCTGATCCCGGCAGAAGCTATAAAATACCACGCGGACTGGTGGGCTAAAGTTCTGGCGACCATCTTTGATGCCGTTAACAACTCTGGAAAGATCCCGGAAGTATGGAAGGACGCTGTTATCGTTCCAATCCACAAAAAGGGCTCACCAGATGACCCGGGGAATTACAGAAATATCAGTCTACTCTCAATAGTGGGGAAACTGTATGCCCGCTTCTTGCTGAACAGACTTAACCAATGTGCCGAAGAGAAAAATTAATTGGGCCCGAACAAGCTGGATTCCGCCCAAAACAGTCAACAATTAATCATATTCTAATTTTACAGCATCTTGCCTGGAAATATTCCACCCCAAAGGGTGGCCAACTCTGTGTGGCATTCATTGACCTAAAGGCAGCATTCGATAGTATCCCCAGGAACATCCTCTGGGAAAAACTCTCCCGCTGGGGCATCGATAGAAGGCTTCTCTGGCTAATAATCAAACTCCATGAGAACTCAGCGGCTAGAGTGAGACTCACCCCGGAGGGTGATCTCACCAATCCAATTCCCATTAACAGAGGTGTCCGACAGGGTTGTATATTGGCTCCATTCCTGTTCAACTTATTCATAAGCGATATGAGGACTCCCCTAATAGAGGCTCAAGAAAGGATTCATGCACCCCGCCTAGCACTTTATCGCTGCCCTTTGTTACTGTATGCGGATGACGCAGTCATCCTTTCCTTTTCTAGAGTAGGTCTCAGGAGGGCCTTAAAAATTTTTGGATCGTACTGTAACGCAAATTCCCTTACAATTAATTATGGAAAATCTAAGATTCTAATTTTCTCAAAGAGCCGGAAACTCCATAATTGGAGAATTGATGGGAGAGTCATCGAACAAGTCTATAGATTCCAATACTTGGGAGTTTGGTTACAACATAACCTTAGATGGAAGGCCCATGTAGCCTATGTTACAAATAGAGCCAAAGCTATCTCCTTGGCGATCTTGCGATTCTTCTTCACCGATGGGGCTCTTCATATCCCATCGGCGTTGAAAGTCTTCAAGGCCAAGGTGATCCCGACAATTGCCTATGCCATCTCAATTTGGGGGACTTTTGTCAATCTATCTCACCTAGAGGTTATTCAAAATCAGTTTTTAAGAGGGATATTGAAACTGCCCAACTGTGTAAGTAATACAGCGTTACGCATGGAACTTAATACTGTATCCCTGGAAAACGCTCTGTGGAAGCACATACTTTGTCACTGGTTATCTCTATGGCACAATCTCCCAAACTTGTACTTGATACAATGTATGTGGAGAGATGATTTCCAGAGCCCATGGGTAAAAATTTACAGCTGAAAATAATGACAATGGGAATCTCCCCATCCAAATTACTAGAGCAGGACATAGTTCCAGCTAAAAGAACAGTAACCTGTAAACTAGAGGAGATGGACTTGCAGCAGAAAATGGTCTTGGGCAATGGTACCTGCTCACCTCTAAACCTTGGTTTATCACCCTCTTAAGGCTCCCAAACTATTTGAATTCCTTAACTTCTTCGGCTCATAGATATGCCTTTGTAAAGGCAAGATTCAACACCTTCCCATCGAACATGCTGAGAAATAGATTCTCCAATGGACAGATATCGCTCTTATGTGATTGTAATTGTGGGGCACCGGAATCGTTGCATCACATAATTTTTGACTGTGCTTTTCACTCATCGGCCAGGAGCAAGTTTCTTGCCCAATATCTAAAGGGAATTGCCGATGATACGAATGAAGCCAAACTGAGATATCTATTAAATGATGATGACCCCCTAAGATCACTCACGGTTGCCAGATTCTTGATCAGTGTCCTATCCCTAAAGAAGAGAAACGGACTCCTGTGTGGCTCGGAAAATCCCTTTAAACCATGATCTATGTTTTAGGATGTAACTAGGTGAATCACCATTGATGTCTTTTATTGATCTGTGAGCAGATGGTGATGGTTATGTTACAAATTTATTGCAACATATGATGTTGGTCTTTTGTTTTTGTTCTGCTTTGGTTCTTGTCTGTTTTTTGTAAGTTTTGACGGTTTTAAATTTGGAGGTTCATGTACATTATGTTGGTATGGGAAACTGTCGTGTGACGGGCCAATGGCCGTAATAAAGATCAATCAATCAATCATATCAGTAAATATCTTGACCCTCCTCCACGAAAATAGCTGTTTACTTGGCTATTTTCCTATGTCACGAAGGCTGAAATTTCAATTCAGTGGAGCAGGGTCAAGATATTAACTGATATGCATGAAATTCCAGATATAGCTATATAATCCCTAGTGTAGTAAGATAAGACCTTTGGAGCAGGCATTAAAAAAAAAAAGTTTTTAATGAACCGCCCTACTG